CTTTAAATGACGTAATGACACCGAAAACCAGAAAAAGTTACATTTGGATTGGCCTCTGTTTCGTAATGTCGCGAGCTTGAATCCATAACAATATCACTTGTTTTAAGATAAATTCTATCAAATGGATTTCCAACACATTCGTTAGATTGAGATTGTTTTCAAAAGGTTTTAGGCCTCTACGCCGTTTGAAAAAAAAGCCAATATTTTTACAACTACAACACAATAAGATTTCAGAATGAATTTTAAATTAAATTGTAATTTTTCACGCAACTAAGCTCAGCATATTTTATGAGCCAACCAAAACAGCTTTTGCGTTATTTTTATTTTTTGAAAGAATTCAACTGGGAAATTGTGGTTCTTAAACTTTTTGACACAAAGTCTCACTTCTTCTTTATTTCATGCAAATTGGAAGCAACCCAAAGCACTGAAAAGAACTTTGATGCTCATAAATATTTAATGTGGTTACAGCATCAAGCAGAATAAAAAACATGTCTGAAATATTTGAATTCTTTATGTAACTTGTCTATTGATAAGAAAGTAACATTGTCAACTGTCTGCTTATTTAGATTCTTGTAAATCTTAGAATTAACTTAACACTCCGACCACGTGAGCCGGGTGTATGTCAGTGAATTTATCTTCCCACTTCAATGCCACTCATTTGAAAAGTTTGATGTGAATGTCTGTCAATGATTTGTTTGACAAAAACATTTGTGTTCGTTTCGAAGAATACTTTTCAGTAGTTTTTTTAAGATGCTTGTTCGTTCGTCATTGATGTGCTAAATTATTTACGCTACAAAGCAAAACATTTTATCATTAAAAGAACACAACTTCTTTACAAAATGTCTGAGAAACATCAAACAAAACATAACTTTACTTCATTGTTTCGTTGTCGCGAAATTGAAAAAAACGTTTCAGTAGCTTCGTGAAACCATACTGCAACTTCTTTTGAGGTTTCAACCTTAACAAAGTTGTCATAATTCATCGTACATCGCCATGTACGAATAGAAAAGACCTCTACGAAGGTTACATTCAGACTTTGCTTTATGAATGCGGTCGCAACCAATTATCATTCTCATTGCGCTTTTATGTAATTCATTAAATATTTATTCAATGATGTCTCTGACAAGATTCTCATCATTCTTAAGTAGTTTTTATTCTTTCATGAAATAGACATTTAAACATTTATCAATCTAACAACTTGTTAATTTCATTTTGTTTTGAATAAATATCGATTAGTTTGATTCCTTTGTTCATTAATTATAGGAGAAAAACAACAAAAAAGTTATAAGTTGAATATAAATGACAATAAGTAAGATTAAATTATTACTACAATTTATTTTCCTTTCATTCTTACATCGTTAACTATCATTTAGTTACTCACCGTATGTTGACTGAAATAAAAACAAAAGGAGATTGTTAACGGCGCTACAATGTGACATCATTTCAGCAAACTAACACGCTTTAGTCAGAACAAGTGTTAAATACTCTTTTTGCGTTGTGCAACAGCTTTTGTAAGCAAACATTTGCTTTAAGAATTTTAAATGAACGACGACGATATGTTAAAACATTTTCTTTTATAAATTGTCGCAGGGTTTGTTAATGGAAGCTGTAATTAATTAGAGAGTGTAAATAAAGAGTTTTTTAATCCCAGGATTATTTGTCTTAATTTCTTTCATATTTAATTTTGCTTTTTCCGTTTCTCTTGTCTTCCTTTAATTTATACAAATTGAAATAATTGGTAATTGCAGTAAAGTTCAGTGAAAGGAAAGTCGATGACAATAGACGACGATGCTGTGTAGCAACAGACGATAATAGAAAAGACAAAATTTAATAATATAAAAAAGAAGTGAAGGAGTTTAAGAATAATGGGAAGAAAATTCAATTCCAATTGTTTGTTCATCGTTACTCTGTTTAGCAGCGACGGTGAAATAGAAAGAATTAATAATAGAAAGAAATTTCTTCAAACGCTGCTTTTTTATGTTTAGCAATTAATGAGTTATGAGCTTGAAAAATACTCAGATTGAATCTTCACTCACCCGCGATATCATTTTATCGTCCTTCGTTTAATGAATGGAAGAATAAAAATAAAATGACGAAAATCTGTAGCATCATTGAAAGTTGGTGCTTGTCTCAAGAGTTGGCGGCATGAGATGTAACAAAATCTTTGAAAAATTGTTACTCGAAGGATAAAATAAAAACTTTTTTCTTTTTCCAAGCATCTTCAGATCATCACGAAATGGATAAAAGTCCTTCGTCATTTCTTTTTTACATTACGTTTTTTTCTCTTCCCTAAAAATTAATAACAAGAAGACAAATTTCTTTATCCTGCAAAGAAATGAAAAGGAAAACTTTCTTCACTTTACTTCTATCTACTTGGCTTTTAATTTTTTCCCCACCGTTTCATTCCACAAAAGCATTTTTTCTTCGATGATGGAAAATTGAAAAAAAGCTTTTTTATCTTGATCGCTAAATTTAATTCATTTCTTGCACGTCAATATTTTTCAGCAAGGAACGAAATTTGTCGTCATTTACCGCACAATTGTTGAATCTTTATGCTTTCCTATAATATTTGTTGATTGCGTTATGATAAGAACATTTGACGGTAATGTAACCAGCGCTTTATATCGATTTTTCATTTTGTTGTGAATATTTATAATTTATGTTTACATATACATGCAATTTCTCGTATCTAACATGAATAGAATTATTATAGTGGAAATTGTAGTAATTTTAAAGCTTTTAAAATCTCCATCTGCATGCTGTTCCCTTCTAATTAACAAATATTCTCAATGCCCCTAACGAACTTCATTATAAACGATGTAGGATAATTAGCAAGCACCTTTCTCAATTAAATTTCAATTATGGTTGTTACATATTCATCAAGTCAATAAACGTCGATTAAGAAGATTTAATTGCATAATCTATTAAATTAAAAAAGCTTTTTCAGTGATTTGCTTTAACGAAATGCTAAAAATAACAAAAAATAAAAAACTTATCTCAACAACTATTTGAAAAGGCGTAATTTCATTCTTCTTACCTCATATTTAAGTTTGTTGAGTTTTGTGCTGAAGGCTTGAATATTTAAATTAACATTTCAAAGTCGCCAAAAAAAATGTCTTTGACATCTTTAAAGCAATGCTAAGAATTTGTTCGACAACAAAATTTCATTTTTATCTAAAAATTTGGTAACATTAAAGACGGAATAAAATTATTCAGTTCAATTCAAACTCCATTAGTGTGAGCTTTGCGTGTAGTCTGAAGCACAACCAATATTGGTGATTAAATAAAACCGAGAGAGCCTGAAGCTTCACAGCAGTCAACAAGCGAGCACACTTATGAGTGTTATTTGGTGTAATTGATACTTGCTTCCGTTCTAGAATAAATGACACTCTCCAAGAGATGTTTAAAAACATTTCTCTTCTTATTTATGTAAATCATTTTACGCTACCAAAATTAGATTTCTGTTGTTGTGGCACATGCCATTAATGTTTTATTTGCTTTGCAATTTAAGTTATACGAAAGACTTTTATTCTCCATTTTCAATTGTTGAAAATACATTTCGTGACTATTTCAGAGATTAGATATCTTCATGAGAAAAACAAAGCCGGAAGTTTGTAATCGTAAAGTATCCAGAAAAGTTCTAAACTTTCTGATGAAATAACTTTTTTTTGACTCAAACTTCAGATGATGTTGGGTAGCAAATAAAGAAAATAGAAAATTTCTTTATTCAAAAAAGCTTCACCAAAGTTCATGTGGATCGTAAACAAACATGATATAAATCGATGTTGGCAAAGAGCTTTCACGTCAAGTGAATTGGAAAACTTTTGATTATGTCTTAATCTTAAAATACTGTAAAATGAATTATCCACTAGAGGAAATCATTTCATGTCAACAGTGTCGAAGTTAAAAATCTTGAAAAAGTTATTCAGGGAGACAAACAAAAATCAAGATGAAGTTTTCTATCTCTTTTGACAATCATCCTTTTCTTTCATTTCTTCCTGTTGCTATTATGGCGTCATGATATGATTTTTTCTTCAACATCTTCATTACTCGTAATTTGTTTGTCCTCAAGCGTTAGAAGCTTCTTTTTCTCCTTCGTAGTAGAACACAAAAACGACATGATGTAATACGATGTTTATTTACTTTAATTTTCTTTTATCTCTTCAGCTTCCATGAATATTCTCTTAAAAAGACAATTTCTCCTTTTTAATTTTAAATCACAATTGAAATAAATCCAAAGAGTTGACCTGAAAAGTTATCTAAAGACTCTTCATTTTATTTTCATGACTCCCACAAGACAATCGTGAACTCTGCCAAGCACCGTAATCTTCCTGCTTTAGTTACTAAAAGAAAATTATCTGTGCTTGAATGTTTCCACTCCATATAAAGAAATGCTTGCAATTTTGTGCTTCGCTGCATCTCTATCAAATAATCTCTTTCTATAATGTTATTGCATGCTTTCTTCTCTTCCAAGTTTCAATATATTTTTTCTTCTAACTATGTAAATAAACGAGAGTTCAATGAGAATATAGATGACACTATAAAACATTAAGATGTCAACATTGATCCATATAGATGGAAGCTAAGAATCGATTGATACTCGCAAAGTTGACTTTTTAATCAAAGAAATTGAAAGAAAAGCTTTGAAAATATCAGTTTTGTAAGTTTCCTCAAATCGATTTTTATTGATTTCAACTGCGACTTTGATTTACTTATAGCTTTCGTATTATTTACAACACGCGACAACTTAACGACTTCTTAACATTTCTCATTTTCTTCCTTTTCTCAGTAAGCTTTCGTCGTGACTCAGAACTTTCGTTAAAGTCTTAAAGCTTCACAGCAAATCATTTAGACTTAGACTGTGAGATAAAACAGCTTTGAAAGCATTAAATATAAAAGAAAATTTCTTTAATGTTACAAGTAAAGCCTCTGGAGACTTTTCATTTTTATTTTTGATGGAGTTGTTTAGGGGCCAAATATTCACCCACACCATTTACTTAATGAGTTATTAAAACCTTCTTTTCTTTTTTTTCCTTTGATTACGTCAGCAAAAACCATTTCAAATGTCAGACGACTTTCGAGGGCGAGTCTTTGGAGTCATTTCGTTCTGCTTTCCAAGCTTCTGACTTGAGTTTCTATTTTTTTCCCTTCTCTTTTTATGCCTTCTTGTTGTGTGTCTGCTGCTGACACAATTCTCATGTCTTCTTCTTCTTATTGACTTCAAGCACGAGCAATTCCCATTCGAACTATTTCTCTCTGCCGTTAGTTTCGCAACATACGAAACAGCAGAGAATGGCAAGACTGTTGAAGCAGCAAAGAGAATGTACAGTTAATCCCTTTCTGTTTTCGGGTTGATTGTTCCGAGTATTGAGAAGATGAAGACAAGAATTAAGCTAACCAATTTGACATGTAAAGAAGAAGACAAATCAGTATATCATTACTTACATTGAATTAAAAATATTTGCACTAATGATGAGGAATGTTAATTAATCTTTGTAAAATTCATTTTTATGTTATTTTTTGAGAAGAATTTTCATGTTTTAAATTAATGAACTTTTTTCAGGAACATCTCGACGAAAGTTCTTCTTTGCAAAAATTTTAGCTCTTATTCCGACATTATGCTTAAAAAGCAAAAAGTTAAGTTCATTCTTGGAAATATTGCATTTTTTGGTCGGATATCGGGGCGGGATACCTCAGTGAATCTCAGACGTTTGGGTTAAGTAAACTAACAGAGAAACTTTGAGAATATTTTTCTCGTCACAACTTTTAATTTGCGCTGAATCTTAAGAACTTTTTCTTACAAACTCGTTTTGTTTAAAGAACTTTACGCGATAATGGAATCATACATATCTGAAGCATTAATGTTGTTTGCATAAAAGCTCAACTTTCGTTCTTTCTTTCTCATTCTTAAGTTAATTGGGAATGAACTAGAGAAAAAAGGATGCTTAAGTTTTACGCTTTTCTCTTCTTACGTCATTTGTTAAATCACTTTGAAAGTTTTTAAAACAAAGAGAAATTTCATAACAATTCTATATATTTTCTCACTTTAATTTCTCCACATAAGTTAATGCAATTTCCGAACTTTTTTTTTAATTTTTTTCATGCTACGGTTCAAACCAAAAGCTTTAAATTATTCATGTTTACCCATGATAGAGTGAATGCAATTTTAGTTAATGAAACTTTTAGTTGGAAACATTATTCAGCATTGTGGAAACGTCTGGTCGATAACGGAAAGCTTTGAAAAGTTGTGTTCGAAATATTTTTTCACCTGTGAGCGTTTTTTGTATTTTTGCTTCCCTCTCGTTAGAAGGAAATAATTTCCAATTGACATGGATCGTACACCTGCAGAACAATATTATCTACCATGGCAACTACATAGAAGTAAGTGAAGACTTATATAACCAAAAGTTCTTCACACAGTTGAACCACCGAATTGATATTTTCCACTTAGGAACCATTGAATTATTCATTCGCTCAATAAACCGTGACAAATTATTTATTGTGTGTGACTTGAACAGTTTACACTACAATTTGACACTGAATCTGTTTTGTAAACGCTTAAGGAGAAAAAAAGCTTCTCATTAATTTCTTACGCCACGATTCATTTCGCTTCATTGTGATTTATGCAGTTTAATTTTGTGGCAAAATTAAAAGGCTTTTTATCATTAAAATGAGACGAGTTGAGGCTTCGCACAACGCATTTGCGCTTTTGAACAGCAGAAATATCATTTGATATGTGCATAAATTTGTACAGAATCCGGAATTTTTAAACGGAATCAACGAGCAACTGGAGGAAATAAAAAAAATGGAACGAGACACAGAAAATGTATGAATATCTTCCACTAATATGAACATCCATAACTCAACATTAAATATGCTAGCTATAGGTTTGAGCAATGCGAGCGTAAACAATCCATCGCTCTTTCTTTCCTTTTTCCTAAAAATATTTTTCTTTTACCTTTTTTTCTCTGTTTTTCTGGTTGAATCAACATTCGACTTCATTATGAAATGTTTTCAGTGTCGCTCTCAACCCCAATTTTCGGAGAAAACATAAAAATGCTTTCTTATTATGAATGAGCTTGGCTTCCTTACACATTTCAAAAGGACAAGCAGATTTTGATTCATCTGATTCATCCACGTGCTTATATGCACACGTTTTAACTTGGAAATTGTAACTTTAGTCGAAAAGATTGAAACAATGTTGTAAGAAAATTAAGATGAGTTTCTGGCAAATTACAAATCATTCTGACCTTGACAGATAACAAGAAAATCAATGTTTCATTGAAATATGTTGCTGATTTTTCCAAGTAGATTAGATTTCTATTTTTTTTCTCTTCATCGTTCACACTTAATTGCGAATCCTGAAGAGATTTTGCTGGAAAAGTTTTTTTTTCGTTTGCTTTTCACAGGCGTCGTAATTGTGGAAGAAAAAAAGAGAAATATTGGCAAAAAAAGCGCTCAAGGAAAAAAGGCAGAAGACATAATGATAGACACATATACATATACGTGTTATGTCGAGTATTTAGGGGGGCAAAGAATGAAGATATCGATGAAGTATTCATTTCTGAAGTTCATTGAACTAACGAAAAAAAAAACTTTAAGCAAATCGAGTTAAAAGAAAATGATTTATGCTAATTGTCTCAATACTCTAGATATTTCTCAACAAGTTAACGTTCGCTTGAGTTGAATTACAAATATCGAGTGAATGACTGCTTAAAGATTTTTTTTCGATTGCATACGTTGAATAATTGAATATCAGACCAGAAGGTGGATGGATAAACGCAAACATTAAACTTTAAAATATATACGACAGAAGGTGAAAAATCTGTTTTGAATTTCATTCATGTGTTTGACGCAATCAAATAATCTTACACTTTAGATTTTCATTAATCAACGAAACCTTTCAATTATGTGAAGAACTTTGCAGAAATAAAACGATAACGACTTTTGGAAGTTCCAAACGCTTTATGCGCCATCTAGTGCAATCCAATCAATGTTGATGTTATAGCCAAGACACTATTCGGATTTTCATTCTGCTCAATTTAAATTTTAAAACTTCGTTATTTTCATACATTACATAAATAATGAACATCAACTTTACAAAATTAATTTAATTAAAAATTTTCTTCTTTTCTTTTCAGATTATCCAAATATGAGTTTCTGATGAAAGGTTTTGCGAAAGATTCTTCGTTAAGTAATTAAGAAACATCGTTGAAATACAAGATTTGTTTATAATTGTAAGTACTGAATGTTTAACAATTAATTCGATTTGTATATTTCATTATGTAAATTCAACGAGTAGAAAATTACTTGAGTCAGAAAAATCAATTATTTTTCCCCATTATAACTTGAAATGTGCTAGATATAAAGTTCTTTAAACACAGAAAGCTTGTTCATCAACATTTCGAGATGATTTCTTCCGAAAAACATTTATCCATCCACTTTTCCCTTCATTTATCTTTCCAATTGGGGAATATAGAAAGAAAATCAATAATTCGTTTCCTTCAATCTCATCTTGAAAAGTTTTCCACATCTATGACGATCGAAAAATTGTTATTTTATTACAGAAACATCTAACAACGGAAGAAGAAGAAAACTATTCGACTTCGGAAAATTGGAAAATTCATTCGATTTGAGTTTTGATTTTTCCGAAGCATTTAAATTGAAGTTATCTGTAATCTAGCATCTTGTGTGATGTGAAGCGAGAGGGAAAGTTGTCATGTTGAATTAAATTTCATGTCTTCAAATGGAATGAAATGGATGAGCTAAAAGAATAGTTTTGGGAAACCCTCGCCTGAAAAATTTCCCTCGATGCCTTTCATCCCCGTACATCAGTTTTGTGTATGTGTGTGAAAATATTTATACGTACATATTTGCGAGATACAAATACAAAATATCGACATCAATAAAATTCATTATTCACAAGGGGATCTAAAGTATTTTATGTCATTGGCAAATATTGAAGAGAAAAAAATATTTTCATTTTCTCCTTTCATTGTTGGATGTCGAATTCAGATCAAAGTGAAAATCTCCAGCGAATAAGCAGCTCATTCACTCTACTCATGACATCATGGCAACATGAAATAATGTTTATTTCAAGTTGAAAGCCACAGAACTCTTTTGCATGTGTTTGTTATAAAGCGTGCACTTCCTTCACTTTTCCCATAGCTATCAGGACATTAACCTCTCTCTGTCTCTCTCACTTCATTCGATAAAATAAACACGAAACACCAAAATATAAAAAAGAAAAGTCTTTCACATTAAAAACATTTGCCACATAGACATGCATTAGGTTTTTGGAAGCTTCTTCTGTTATTGTTTTGAGTTGAATTATGAGAGAAAATAAAATTTGTATGTTGAGCTTGATATCAATGAGTGTAAATGAGATGCACAATAATAATGTAAATATTGAATGTTGCTGACATAGCTGAACCATATGTGACGATATCAAATCTCTCACACGAAGGCCGCTGTTTCTCTCATACAGCAATTGTTGATTGATGACTACGATGAACGAGGGCAAAGCGAGTTCGTTCAGGTTAATATTTTGCAACATATCGCGAAACATTAATTTATGTTTTTTTATGAGATGTTTTGTGTGGAGCCTGCTTTAATTATCACATCGTTATCAAATCCAAAATCCCACTAGAAGATAAATCTTTTTGATACGAGGGCGTGAAGGGATTCATTTGTGATAATTATATAAACATTTTCCTTCCGTCATTAATTTTCCGCAAAGGGAAAATTGTCGAGTTTATCCAATGACTGCAAAAGAAAGAAGAAGAATTAATAACTAAGCTACGTCAATCATGTTGTGCAATTCCTTCATCGCACTGTAATTAAAGTATAATGACTTTCAGTTTGTCTACATGTGAAGTGAACATTTTCAAGGCGAAAAGAAAAACAATTTTCTTTCAAACAATTTAAAAACTGCTGCAGCAGTAAATGGAATTCAAATTACTCACAAAATATTTTTTAAACAAGAAAGTTTGTTCAATGTCGAGGGAGAATGAAACATTTTCTCAATTCACGAGAAGAAAATTTATTGATTTAAATTTTCAGCTCGTTTTATCAAAGTCTTTTGTCTTGATTGCCATAAAGGAGTTTCGTTCCCCCTCACTTATTCTTTATCGTCGTTAAACCTTCAGGAGTTGAAAACTTCACCTCGACTTTTCCCTGTGGTTATCGCGGTAACCGTGAGACGCAAGAAACATTTACCAATGTTTCTTATTTGTTTAATCTTTTGTTGGTTGCCTTATGATTCTTGTCGTTACGTGCTTTTTCTTCTCAACGCAATTTTATGGAACGTGGATGATCCACGAAGCAAAAGATGGAATATTATATTCTTATAAGGCTATGAACGCGGTATTATCACTAGCGGTTGATGACAAAAAGAACAAGTAAGCCTCATACAATGACGAAGCGTAGAAGTTTCGTTTTCAATTGAACGCCTTATTCTGGATGTCGTCGCACAAGCAGAAAATAAATGAGATAAAGTAAATGCTGAAGTTTCATTGTTGCTGTTGAAACACGTTTTTTGGTGTCTTTCAATATCAACATTGATGGAAGCTAACAAAGTTAAATTAAAATGGAAGAGCCTCACAAAAATTATGACTTTTTCTTTACTTAAACATAAAATTTATTATTATTTACTACAGCACTGCTTTCCTGTTTCTTCCCTTCGATGAAAACGTCGTCGTCATCTTTGATAAAGAAAAAGAAGAAGAAAAACTTTTAAGAAAAACGGAATCCAATTTTGGAGTCTGATCACACAAACACACGTTTGAAAATTTATGCTCATGGCAACATTGAAACGTGATGAATATTATTTTTTTCTTCTTCTGCAAATGGAAGTGAAAACACAAAGAAGTTGTTGTTGATGTTGATGTTGTTTCAAAGAACCTTTTTTTAACTTCTCTTTTCCTTTCCTCTGATGAACTAGAGATGAAGAATATGATGATGATTATGATGATGATGATGATGCTGATGAGAAAAAAGCATAAGAAAAGGCAACCAACATAAATGATTTTCAATTCTTTGCTGCCTGTTTACATTCATCATGGCTTTAGTGTGTACATAAAAAACATGTGTTTAGGTTTATGTTTGAACATATATACATATATATGTTGTTTGACTGGCAAAGCATAAATATAAGCCTATCCCAGAACCGGTTCTTTCTTAAATTCAATCTCCATGGCTATAGCAACAACGTAGAGGTGCTTCTATTGATCAAGAACGTTCCCCAAAAGAAAAAATAAATAAAATTTCTCTCCTTTTGATGTCTCCTTTCTTTGTTTTGATTTCTTTTGGGATGGGATAAATGGATTTCTTTAATGTTCGTCTGCCTTCAAAAGAATGAACATGAAAAAAAAGTTTTTAAAAAACAAAAGAAGAGTGGAGTAAAAGATCCATCAGACTGATTGATAAATGAAAGAGTTGGAAGCATGAAAGTGATTGATTTTAGTCTGCGATTGAATTTTTAAAAAGAGAGAAAAAGAAATTCTTTTATGACGCTTGCAGAGACTGCTTGGGGTGTGGAAGAAAACCATGAAATATAAAAACACTTTAAGAAGATATTCTAAATGTGTGTAATAAAATTCTTTAAATTGCACCGCATCTCCTTGACGACAAAGAAGTTGAATCTTGTTGTTGCAGGAAACAATCAGAAAGCGTATCATGAAACTTAAGCATGTGTAAGGAAACTTCTATAGTGCAGTAAACAAGGAAAATAATGAACTGTAGATTGTTCAACTAATGACGGAAACATTAATGATGGGAAACTTGAGCATCTGGAAGGAAACAAAACTGCTTCTGTACAAAATGAATCCTAATAAAATGTTAAATTGTCAGTCAATTTTAATGACAAAAATGTGTTCGTTGATTTGATAAATCAAATTTTTATGTTGATAGATGAATGCAATTTCTGTATTAATTTCACAAACAATGAATCTCTTTGAAATTCAAAGACGAATTTGTTTTGTTATTTTTACTTCCAAGAAGTGAATGTTTATCCAGACCTAGGCTAATTTTATATCTCCCGGCTGGATAGTGCATCTTCTTTTTTTTAGTTTATATTTGAGGCGTAACAAAATATCAAAGAATTATGAAATGAAAATCTTCACTTCTTTGTGTGTCTTCTCTCAGCTGTTCGGAATTTATGAGCACAACTTGGAGACAATTTCATAACAAACGACAAATAAGTCTTCGGAGAAAGTTCTTTAGAAATTAAACCGACAATGATCCTATTACTATAAGCTAATTGAACAACTCTGAGAATAGTTTTAGTTGTCTTCTATTTCAAGATTAAACATGTTGAGAGTTGCAGAATCTCTCACAATGATAAAAAAATAATTTGTAATAATTTTTCTCGCTTAGTTACATCATTTTAGAATTTTCAGTCTTGATTTTTCTACTTCTTTTTTGTCTTCACTTCTCCAGTGCCTTCCACTTGAAACAAATGGTACCACATTTCGCTTTCATGTTGCTGGTTTCATTCGACACCCATTAAGACGCAGTATAAATTCAGATAAATGATCTTTGAAATGAAAAACTTAGAAGCCCAACGAGAGAATTGTTTTCTTCGTTCGTTCCTTTCATTTCATTTTTGTCTTTTTTAAAAAAGTTTATGAAGAAGAGTTTTTCGCTTTTCCTCTTCTCACTTATGTACTTTGTGCCAGACCCGCGCTGAGCATGGTTACAAAGAACTTTGGATTTGACCGCTGCCAAGGTTTTTGAAAGTCAAATGAAGCAAGATGAAGAAATAAACTCAATCGTTACATTAAGTAAAGCTGCAGACAAACGATCCGCTACTTATTGTTAAATTAAAATAAAATCATAAAATTCTTTTAAGCGTGTAAATTTTTGTTTTAAATAATTATGATAATCATTAATTGAAATCTCATTTTAATTATTAATGATTGTAATTTCTTAAGTATCAATGAACTTGAGTCATTCATCTTAGGATTAAAAAGAGAGAAATAAAATAAAAGAAGAAACCTTTAAATCTTCCACGTGAATCATGAGCGTGTAATTTCGTTTCATAAACTTTAATCATCATTCAGTCGATTACACGAGGAAGAAAAGTGCCTCAAGCTCCATTTTTCAATGTTGAAAATAACATCACAACAGCACCATTAAGTATGTAAAATAAATTTTTAAAGAAAACGAGAGAGAAGAAGAAAATTGTCCGAAAGCAAACAACGAGACGATCATGAAGAAACTTACACAACACTGCACTGTTCAGTTTCTGGTTGTAAACTGGGAGGAAGATTGAAGGAAAAGAAAAAACAAGCTTCAGACAATGAAGAATAATTATCAAGAAAGATGAAACCCAACGAGCAAGAGAAGAAGTAAAATATGTTAAGTTCAGGGTTGTTCTTATCGTGAATGTAAGTCGTGCAATTATTGCAATGTCATTCGCCTACCGAGCATAACTTAAGAATGTTGGGAAAGTCTTAGCGTATTCATATTAACCTTGGACTTTTCTCGATAAACTTGTCGCCATTTACTTATAGCTCCATAAAATTTTCCAATTTTTCTCAAGAGATGTCTGTCGAGTGAACTCTGAAATTGAAACAAGGCTGTAAATTTTTATTTTGAACAACTAAAGTAAAAGAATGCTTAAGAAAAACCCTTGAGTGGATTTCTCGTAACGAGAGATTTCATCGTTTTGTTTATCATTGACTGTCGTTGTCGTCTTCTTTTTAAGACATTTATTTCGAGAGATAAATAGACAACTTGAGACTTAATGGAATAAGGAGATGAGAGAAAGTCGCAAAGGGTTGGTTGGTAGAATCTTAAAGAAATCAACCAGTAAAAGCTTTTTCAAGCATCAAATGTTCCAACATTTGTCTCAAATTCAAGTTGAAGCCGTTAACCTTTGTAAAGATTCTCAAAAGATTGTGAATTATCCCCACCAGGAGATTGTAATCAAACTTTATCTTTTGTCACGCTGTAAGATGTTGAAGAGAAAAAAAATTGTTTACATCGAAAGTCTTTGCGATATTCTCTTGCTTGACTCCCTGATGAGCCTCGCTTTATTCAGCCACTTCCACGTTCATTATTAGCTTCTCAAATCCTTCTTCGTAATCTCTCATGATGAAAAAAAATACCTTTTATTGTGCCCGAAGCCGTTCAATAAACTCTTTATTTGTTTGTGGCGTGTCTCATTTTGGTATTTCTCTTCCTTTAGTGATTCTTTTTTCAAACGTCTTACAATGAGCAAACGAAACCATTTGAGATTTCAATATTTGCCTTTCTGGTTATGACGGAATTCTCTCTTCTCGGAAATTGGATACTTTGGTGTCATTTCAGTGTGTACATTAGAAGATGAAAATATCTCCTTGCTTTTGGGATGGTTTGTTACTACTGCTACGTAAAGTGCTAAGAAAACCTCTGACTGACACAAGAAAATAATAATCTTTGTTTGGGTAGTGTGATGATGTTTTAGGTCTTCCCTTCATGTTTTTTCCACATGCTTTTGAAATGACAACGGCAAAGTAATATAAGAGAAAACACGATCTGCCGGAAAATGAATAATTTTCAACCATGTGTTGCCATAAAGTGCTCGTATTTTCTTCTTGTTAGTGCAGCATAAGAAATCTGACAACAACGCAAAGATTATGAGTCAGAACACAACAAGATGAAACATGGCAAAGCAGCATCTTTTCTAATGTGAGAACAAACGATCAAATATTTAATACCTTTGTTATCCTCCACCAGCATTTTATGTCTAAACTCGAGACGTGTAAGAGAACCTGGTTTAAAAACGAATTAATGAAAAGGGAAGCAAGATTATTTCAAGCAAGTTTCAGGTTTCATTTTGCTTGCCACTGCTTATGGAAGTTGTGGACGAAAAACTTTTATTTATGTTATTGCAGACATTTCAACAGTTTTTATTTTTAATTCTTTAAATCTTTTCGAAATAACCAAGTTGTTGTCGTGATTACTTATCTCAGACGATTCTATCAATTCCAATTCTCTGCTTATTCTTGGTACATTCACAAAAGACCCCAAACAAAAAAAATTAACGTAAAACTAAAGCAACGCAATATCTGAATCAAAGAAAGAATTTAAGTCGTTCCCGTCTCGGCAAGTCGTGCAAAGCGTGTGTGTTTGTTTGTAAAGATATAACTTGATTGTATATTTTATTCTGCTATAAACTTTTTTTTAATCGAACAACTCAAGAGTTCAAGGAAACTCGAAGCATATTTTTCATTCACTTCAATGTTTTATGTATGAGTTTGGTTATGCTGAAAATTGTTGTTGTCGTTCATTCTTCACCATGGAAGCATAAAACTTTTAATTTGTTCTTTCAGATGGAAACGAATTTAGAATCTTTTGCATTATTTGTAAAATATGTAAATAAATATAAAAAAAGTAAGGAACATTTTAACAAAAATGCCAATCATAAATGAACGTTAACATTGTTAAACTCAACTTGATTCTTTGATAGCTTAATGGATTACAAGCAATATTTAAATCTGAAGGTTACAATTACGCCACCCGAATTGTTTTTGTACTGAACCAATTCATACATGAGATCATTTCATTAATACGTCCGTTCTTATGTTCTTAAAAATCGGTTAAGTTGAACCTTTTTTTTCCATGTCGGATACTGCTGCGCGAAAAACAGTGAACGATCAAAAGGTTTTTGCTTTCTTGACCTTGAAAAAATCTATTTTTCTTATTCACAAGACTTTACATTTTGCGGGCTATGTCGATATTCATTTTCTTTGGTAAATATAACTGTGAGAAATATCAGGTTTTCTTAACAAGAGTTTAACTTAAGACTTTTCCAACTAAAACAGCTCGCTCGTAACAGTCAATATAAATTAAAATTCAATTAAATTTTACATAAAACGTTTCATGATACGATAAATTTCTTAGCAAATATAGGTGGAAGGAATTGACACCTGAATAAAAATGCAAACATTTGCTTGAATAATAATTTTTGTTATTTTCGACAATTGTTTCGACATTCAAAGTGACTTAGAGAATGTCAAGAATGTTTTATGAAAACTTATGGGAAAATGTTGTTATGATCAAATCTCGTGATCTTTCATGACTTCCGCTACAGTTTCCTTCAATTTAAATATCTCAATAAGATTTATTCTTAAAATTACACGCAGTTTTATAAAACGTGCGCTTTAAATTATCACCACAAGAAAAAAAAAGAAGTAATCTGAACTGAAGTCGAGCAGAGATTATTTGTTTAATAATACAACGTCCTTAACTACTTCTTGTTTTGTTGTTAAAGCTTTTCATTGGTAACTGGCAATGTCCGAGTGAGCATGCTAACGAACGGACGCGTAAGTTGAATAAATCGCTTCATGAGCCATGCGGTTGATTGCCCGGTGAACGTTGAAGAAAAAAGAAACAACTTGTTAAATGCCATAAAATTGACTATTTGACTATTTCGGACTGGAATATTCTCTATTTCTTTTGCCGATATTTTTCGCACGTCTCAGCAGCTACAGAGCCAAGGAATGGAACACTAATTGCCTTTACATTCGGCTGTGAAGTTTGAAGAACTCATCGTTTGCTACACACACTTGTGAGGGCTTCGTTTTGCGAATTGGAACGTCTTTGCGATTCTTTCAACGTCGCTTTAAGAATTCTTACGAAGTAAAACACATCGCGCACACCTTTTCCTTTAACCGGCCACGGTATTGTGATTATAACATTCATTGCCTCATAATTCTTTATTTAATTTATTCACTTCGTGGGAATCAATGATTCCGAAACGGACATTCTTGTGTGCTGCGAAAAAAAATGTTAAATCATTCACACGCGGTTTGCAATTTTTCTTTTTATTTTTTTTATTCATTGTAATCTCATTTTTCGGGATCAATACAAAGCATTTAGTTAGTAACAAGATGACGTCGTTTGAATGAGTAAATTTTTATTTAAGAAAGGAGAAAAAAATCAGATTGGAATTAATGAGGAAATGTTTAAAACATGAGAAGAGTTCAAGTTAAGGTGAAACGGCTTAAAGTGGTCACTGAAAGTGATATCTTTCATTTAAACTCAAGGATAATTTTTCCGTTAATAATGCCAACCGATAAATCATCAACCTCAGCATGTTGTTAAGTTAAATAAATTTGCGAGTCCTCGAAGATTATCGGAAACGTCTAAAGAAACATTGAATCCGGTGACCTGACCACCCCGAAAGTCTTTAATAAAAAATTATAAAAAATAACCGCAAATGTATAAAACACCAATCAATTCTTTAAACCAAACTGTTATTAATAAAAAAAAGCAACCAACAAACAGAAGAAATAAAAAGTTTCTTAGAAGATGCAAAATGACGATTGACAAATAGCTTTTCATTTATCAGTCAATTCATTGAAATCATTCGCTATTTTGATGAAAAAAGAAATAAAAAGTCAGCAAATGGATTTTTTTGAATCTTTCGCTACTCAAGTTTAATGAGTTGGAGAGAAATATTCTAAATAATGACAAGCTGATCATTAAGATTTATTAAGCTTGGACTATGATGATTTATTACGAAATTAAGTCCCACTCAACTATTATTCAGATAATTATGCGGTTTTTAATAGAACTTTGTGCTTTGATGTCAGTCAGATGTTAAATGAATGTTTTTAACGCTCCCGTATTGTTTGATATTTGATTGATTTTAAGCTGTACACAGATCAAAGGTCTTCAGAAGAACTTGTAACGGTTGACGTTCCTACAAGTACCTATTTACAATGATGTCAAAAACCATCACTGAATGTACTTCAAGCGTTCAAGCTCGTAAGTGAACTTAAAAGTTCAAAAGAGTTGAAATAAAAATCAACAAACATCTTTATTATAAAGCTTAATATAATCAGCTTTAAACATTATGCTTAACAAGCTCTGATGAAGACCAACTATCGTTCCAAATATTACAAACAACTAAAAAAAGTTTAAATTTATGAATCGTGACAAAAAATTTCACGCAGCGTGCTACCAAATCACAAAATGATATGAAATAAAAAAGAAGAAGATCAACGAATTGAAATTTTAAATACCGAACGTTGAACGGAAATATTTCAACAACTTCGTTGATATCAAATGTAAATTATTGACGATTTATGTAACGAGACTTCATTTGAGATTCATCTAATTTAATATCGATCTATTTGCTGATAGATAAATGAAGTGAATGGATGGAGATGGAAGAAACTGGTCAATAGGTATGAGCTAGCCATTTATTATTATGTTATTCTATTGTGTCGATGATGATGATGATGTTGTTGTTGTTATTATCGTTGTTGTATCGTTTGTTGAGTTTCTGCTTTATTCAGCTTCTTCTCGCTCACTCACTCGCTTTTATTTTTCTTTTTTCGGCGTGTGATTTAAATCGATTTCGTTGTAGTTGGCTGAGTGTTTTTTTTTGATGTTATACAGGAGATGAGGTCAACGTATTCGCCAGCTTCCATGTAGTATATTCAAGGTTAATATTTTCGTTTTGTTTTTCTGCTTTGAATAAACGACTTGGAATGAAAGTCTAATCGTTAAGCATGTTGTCAATGTCTGTCGATGATTTACTCTAATGTTGTTGAATTGTATCATATTCTATTTTTATAAGATATGTGAAAACCTTTCCCGTAGATTAACATTATCGATGTGTGAATTCAGGGATTCCGGAATGAAATTATGTTGAGAATGAATTCAAGGATGAAGAATGGAATTAAATGCAATTTTAGGACATAAAACATTCCAATTGAAATTTAAAAATTTTAAAACCATTTCGAAGCCCTGAAGAAAAATCTTTTCATCTCAAAAATTATTTTTCCCAAAATTAGATTATTTTCTCTGGTATTCCATGTCAGAAAAATGTTTAAAGTTTAGTAAGGTTGATGGCCTGTGAGCGGCTAAAAAATTTTTCCAGTGACGAGGGAAATAAATCAAATTTTCCTTTTTTTCTTTCTCGTATCTATTTAAAAAATTCTTCGAGACATAAATGAAGGAAAAAAGGTGTTTTTTAATGGTAGATCATTGAAATCTAATCATTTATGGGATGGCAAAGAAACGAAGCTGTCAGAGCTTGATGAGAGAAAAAAAAATCATTTCATCGATTAGTGCGGTCCATTTCATTGCCTTCATACGTTCCTTCATATTTATTTAATTTTTTTTTGCCCCTTGCGAGATCCTCAATCAATTTCGATGAGTTTTCGATTTCTCTTTACTTCTTACAAAATTTATTAAAGCGAAAGAAATACTGTTGGCTCAAGAGGAAATGCCTCAGTCGTTAAAATAAACTCAAGATTGGAGACTCGAGAATGACTTGAATAATAAAAGAAAAGGGAAAAGTTCTTCAAGTTTTATGTAGCTGTGGCATGGAGATGGAGAAGAAGCATGAAAAAAACGAAGGAAAATGGTTGAGAAACCTTTTGAGAGTCGATATATGGACTTAAGTTGACTCAAATGAATCAGAAACCACATCCTAAAGATCAACATTGTCAATGATGGAGTATTGTGTCAATTCCGTGCTTCTGCTTCTTCTTTTCTTGTTCTAAATTTACTTCACTGCTACTTGATTTGCAACTTGCTTATCAAATGTCAATGTCAATAGAGTCGTTTGAATCTTTATAAGTCAAAGACCATTTCAACGATCGATAAACACAAAAACATCAGGTTCCAATGATGATGACGATGACTCAACTTGAAATTTTCTTCTGAAAGGCAAGAGGAACTCGAAAACATTCCAGAATGTAAGAACCATTGGCCTTTTGAAATATTTCATTTAATTTGCTTTTTCGTGAAACGATAAACAACAAACCTCATTGGCTTCCATTAAATATAATTCTGAAGCGTTAATGATTATTGTGGACAGCTTTTTATTAATGTAACTGAAGTAAATCTCACATGAAACATGTTGGGAATCAACTGGAGATGATGCGGGTCACTAAAAACTAGTATCGTACGTTGTTTGAAAAATATCTCATCTCAAATCTCAATCTTTAAACATCCCAACCCAAAAATAGAAAAGAAGTTTAAAGTGAAATGTGAAGAGAGAGAAAAGCAAAAGTTAAACATCATTCCCCGATGGAAACCAGTTTGAAAGTCAGAACTGGATTCTGGATCTTTTTTTCCATTTTTATTCTTTTCGCTCCACACTCCACACACTCCATGTGTAAGCTATAAAAAACACTTTATTCCGCTTTTTTCCTGTTCTTTTCTTATATTCATCACGACTTTAAAGCATTGATGTGAATTTTCATAATTTTATGTTTCATTGATGCTGGTTTGGATTTATTCTCATTGAAAATATTGTGAAAATGATTCTCAAATCCAGCCCATCATCATATTGTCTCAATAAATTATTTGGGAACTAATGTTGTCGATAGAGCTTGATGTGCCTTCATTCCCTGGTGAGTTCAAATAAAATAAAAGCAGCAGACAGAACGTAATGAAAATGAACCAGATGGTGTACTCTGCTTTAACGAGAACAAGTTTCCCCGTGTATTGCTTGCTTACTAAATACTTGCAGCAAGAACAGCAGCAGCAGCTCTTTATGATGTGTGTGCATGGCTGTTAAATGGCGACGACAATGACCTGAGCACCCCATAAATAATTCTCTTCTTTTCTCTCTCACTTTTAGATTTTAACTTCATTGCAACATTAACACAGCGAAACAAATTTATTGCAACTTTTACCCTCGTCTAATTTAATTAATATTCGTTTCTCTTTGAATTGTAACTCAACTATTTTGTTGCCATGTTAGTTTGATTTTAAGTTTACATTTTGACATTGCTCTCGTCATGCGATTTGTGTCAAGGACGTCGCGTCGATATCTAATAACTTCCAGAAAAGAATCGTTTCTAATTGTGGACTTATTTGAAGTGTGAAGTTGACATTGACATTTCTCAAACTTAAATCAAAATTTGATGCTTGTTGTCATACAACATTACGTAATTTTAAGAATGTTTTCTGAAAGATTCTTAACAAGAAAATTCTTTGGATGAAAGAATGAAATTAATGTTTGAATAAAAGAAATTAAAAACATTGTCCCTTGCCGTCTGTTCGTTGAATTATTTGAGCTACAAAAAAAGTGTTTTCAACTCCTTTTTTCCTTCACTCGACGGTGTCAAACGCACAGCTGTTCAAAAATCAACATTTTTCTCATGTTATGACTTTTATGTATGAACGAATTCAAGCATAAAATATCGGCAACTCACTCAGTTAACTCACATGCAAAGTAACTTTGGCGATTAGGAAGGAAAAAATAAATATTACAATGGATGTTGAACAACATGAGCGTGCGAAGTGGCTTAAAAGCTTAAACCGCTTAACTTCTTTTGCTCACATATGCAGACCTTTCAAATCTTAAAAAAAGAGAGAATGATTGATTTCTAACAATGAAAATCCATTTAAGAATTGTATCATTAACTGAATTGTAGATAAACTTACGTCATGAACATGACTATTGTAACAGAATTGAATATTTTCAACTAACCAATGTAAACTTTTATTATTCTAATTGAATCATTGCAGAGTTGAGTGAATGGAAAAACATGAACCAAGTTACAAGCTGTGATTAACAGGCTACGCCAAATAGCTGAATCATAGGTGAGTTTTCTATTTTATTTTATTTTCTGCAATTGAAAAATCAAAAGAGATAAAAGAAGGAAATTGAAGTTTGAATCTTTGTTCTTTGACAGTGAAATATGTTATTGCTACCACTGATAAAAAGCCGATTTTTTTCGATTTTCTATCCAAGAATAATAAATGAAAGGATAATTTGCTTTTTTTTGTTTCGGTTTCATTGGGTAGACGACCTTTGGGGAAGTGAAAACTTTTTATGTTTTCCGGCATCAAGAAAAATCTCATTTTTCTTGAGCTTAACCCCGGACAAATTATACACGAAATGTTCTGTTTTTGTTATCAGTATCTTCTTCAATTGAGTTGAACGAAAAAAAGGGAAACGAAAGTGAGTAGAAACTGAGTTTTCCTCATACTTCTTTTGATAAATGATGGAATTTTCTTATCTCAAAAGCATAGAAAAATGTTATTAATGATTGCTGGGAAACAGAAGATGAGTTTTCTTCCGCTTTTCTTTCTATTTATGTACATATGCTGATACAAAAACAATACTTTTACCATTTTTTTAGTTGTTATTATACTGGTCTCATTATGGCTAACATTCAATGATTTATAAACTTCTTTTTATTTCTGTTTTGTAATTTATTTCGATGACGAAACGTCTTCATCCATATTGTCATGATTGTAATTAAGAACAGAAATATATTTTCATACGAGAAATCGATTTGCTTTTCACATTTTAGTTGTTGGGTCTTTATATGTCTATTATAATTCTAGTAATATCCTGATGTTAATATCAAACCATTTGAGTTTCCATGGAACAACTCACGAGTCATGATTTTAATATCAACCAAATTTTCCTGAAAGCTTTTCTCACACTCCACAAAGTTTCGGTGTCTTTAAAAATACATTAAAGTGAACTGTTTTTAACACCATTGCCATCATTTCCGCAAGAAACTTCAGTTATAATTACAATAACAAAAAACATACAATAAATGTTCATGGGAAAGGGAAAAGTTTATTCATGAATAATGAAAATTTTCGTCGCATGGAAACTTTCTCAATTTTCATATCATTTTAAAAGGAAAAAAAATTTAAATTGGAATTTCTCACAATGAATCGTTTAAAAAAAGTATCGTTGAGGGTTAAAATTAAGGTTGTTAAAAGGTGAAATTTTGTGTGCGTTTTTTTTTTCTTCTTTCTTCTCTTTACAGAAGCTTTGAAACCTCAAGCATAAATTATGCTTTCTCGAAAGAATCGTAAAATAAAATCTACCAAGCATTTTACTCTAACTATAAATTTCTCCAAGCTTCGGCTTCTCCCCTCAATAACAGAAAAAAAATATTCACACAATCTCATTTTCTTCACGAGAAAACTTCACCCTAATTCTGCACATGAGCAGTAAAGTTGTGAAGTAAGTTGTACAATAAATTGTTTATACTGGAGAAAGATTGTTTGATTAAGAAGATTTATGAAATTTGTCGCCTCAACATGAGTATATTGACTTTAGTTTAACTTGAAGATTAACTTATATTACAAACTTCGCAATAAATCAATGAATAACAACAAATTCATTCTCTTAATCCGTAATTTTATAGGTAAAGAAGTTATTTTTCATTTAGGAAGCAAAAGTTCATCAACCGCAATGCTAATGAGAAATTATGACTTCAACGATGTTATTGCATTCACGAATTTCATTTTCTCTCTCAAGTAAAACGTTTTTTACTCCTTAAAGCTCTCACTTGTCTCATTCCCCTCGTGACAAGCACAAATCTGATGACTCTCGATGAATAAAAAAAGCTCTCTGAAAATATTCTCGCAGTGGGACAAAAATTTCGATGAAGCTTTTCCAGCATTTTACACAGTACTCCAATGAAAATAACAAAGAATTTTTGTGTGTGCGCGTTAGGTTGAATGGCGGAAAAGCATGAGAAAATCTCCGTGTAAGAAGAAGAGAAGAAATGTTTTACAACAAGCAGAGGAAATATTTTTGTGTAGTTCCATGGCATCGACAAACATACGATAGCTCTTCTCTATGACAAGTAGTCGGGATTACATTGCGGAGAAAACAATTTCCTTTATAAATATAAAGATCGCGGCAAAAAGAAAATAAAGAAATACATACTAAAGATTTCCTCAAACGTGGTCGTTAACAATGAATAATCAACACGCGACATTTAACTCGTCTGTGTGGCCTATCAATCGAATAAATCAACATAAAACGGCGCGTCGAACAAATCAAACAAAGCATCAACAGGAATTTAATTTACGACCAGGACTTATCAATAATTTAATGTTATTTCCGTCTACGATAAACAGCTGCTTAGTGAATCCATTTTATGTTGTGAATTTAAATTGTCCGAATCTAAATAGTGTACTTATTGAACTAACGAATTTGGTTAAATTACCAAATAATCGCCAACGCAATCATCATGCTAAAGTGAACGAACCGCTTTTGACGCTGACGCCTTTTCTGTGCTTTTTTCTCTCGCCTTTACATGCGGGTTTGAATCGCACGAATGTGGATTATAGCAGGTATTTACCAAAAGCTTTTTATGTTGTTTGATATTGAAGTTAATCATTGGTTAATTAAACGCACAAATGTGTTAAATTCAATAGGTGAATATAAGTAAACAATCTAAATGATTGAATAGTATAACTTTAAGGTTAATTTAATCCGACATTAGACTCCTTGAATGAACAAATATTAATTCTGCCTCATTCGTATTTGATAAACATAAGCAACGAAGCATGTTGATATTGATTTATGTGAAAATTTATCCACCATTGTTGGCTAGACATTTTAAATCTTCAACATTCTGTTTAAGATTAAGAACTTTTCACATTATTCATTTATGTTCCGTTCCAAGTCTGTAAACTTACACATAACTGATAATTATCCGTCTCAATGATAAACCCCACGCTAAGACTGTAAGGAAGAATTTTCTTTTTGTTTCCACGCGATTAATCTCGCATCAACACGACACGAAACTTTCCCAGACACAATGTTAGTCATTAAGTTTGAAGCGGAAAAACTTCATGCATCATCATGTTCGTAATAGAAAACGGAAAAAATCGGAAAAATAAACAAGTAAGCAAACAAACAGCGTTATATTAATAGAAACAATTTTCCGATGTATCATTGTTTAGCTGGTTTCAATTGCGATCCCTGTCAGAAAAGTTCAATGAAACATGTTTTATTTTATATTGGATATTGTTTCCTACCGTCACGTTGAGAGATCATAAAGTGCTTCAAATGAAATATTTGTTGTAGAAACTTTCCATGAAGCAAGGAGTTTAGCAGTTGATGTGAATTATGATGCAGTCTATTATAGACAAAACTTTTGTTTTACCATTTTCTCTTCTTCTTTTCGCTTATGAAACTACGAGAACGTAGTAAGGAAATTGGCGTGAATTTATCCTATAAATCCAAAGTTAAAACCACCTGGAGATGGTCGAAGTAATAGAGAAGAAGAAACCTTCGTTTTCCATAACATATAAAGGAAAGCTGCTACCATTTCCTATCTTGTAAAGATTCATTGAACTCCGGAGATTGTTAAACCGAAGTAAACGGAAGAAGAAACTTTCTTTTTTTTACATTAAATTGCTTTACATCCTTTGCAAATCGTAACAAGATGGAAAAATAAGAATCTCGTCCTTGCCATTCAACATCGTCTAGATTTTATTTTTATCAAAAGCTTTTACAAATTCCCAGACATGCTTCTTATTACCAACCTCGCGTTTAAGGTTTAAGGTTTCAAATCAAATTTTTCTTTTCTTCTTTTTGATTTTTATTTTGTTCAATATTCAAATATGAATGAATCGGTAAAATTCTTTTGACTCTTAAAATTCTTTCAATAAACATTCTACCGGATCTTAATTAAAGATTATTCAAAATATTTGGCAAATAAACGTGATGGAATAAATTCGCGATATTCTCTCAAATTTAAAAAAAAATCCTTTCATGAATTCTGTACAAAAAGCAGGAAATATCACATCAAATACGATATCCAAATAAAGACGTGCTACGCATTGCTAAAGTTAAATTTCTGTTGTAATCATAATGAGTTAGAAGAAATATTTATAAAGGAATTACTTAAGCTAACCACGATTCACACTTGTCGCGATCTTAAATATGACATCATAAAAAACAAAAGACGTTCAAGGTGAATTTCGAGCGATCACCTTCTTTGTTTGATTCTATAGACATTCGATTCATAAGAATTTTATTTAACCATTGGTTTGATCAGCCACAGGATTAATATGTTCAACACACTTACTCATTCATCCATTCGAAATGATCATTAAACATGTGAAGCTTAATTCTTAAGCAAAGACAATACGAACTTTTTTATGGTTTTGCCAATGATTATGTGTTGATGCAACATAATTGCCCTAAAGCAAACGGGATAAGAAGAAGAAGAAAGAAAAAGCGATCGTGAAGATTAAGTAAAGCACAATTTAATCTAAATCGCCTTCAACACAACTGTAGAGTAGTAAATTATTTGATTGCTAGTTAATTAGACAATTAAACGGTTTATAAGATTCAACTGTAACGAGTGAAGTTAACAGTGAAGGGAATCTGCTTTAATGGGATTAAGAGACTGCAATTCCAACTTACTTATTGAGTTGTAGATTTTTAAATGAACTTCAAGGTAAATAATCAAAGTAATTTTTAATTATTCAACTTAAAGTTTGTTTATTGATCAAACAATTTTGATTCTCATTAATGAAAAGTGACAAATTAAAGTGGAAGTTAAACTTGTAGCAATGAACTTCAATAATTCGTTTCTGTTTTCACATTTAAGCTTATTAAGTGAATAAAAAGACCGACTTAATATTTCGAAGAAACATAAAAATGTAATAAAAAATATTTCGTGATAATTAAACATAATAAAATATTTATTTTGTTATCAGTTTTGTTTTCAACACTCGTGAATTTTTATCTGTCCTCGAATTTCTATTCAATTAAAAATATCCTGAAAGTATTCATTAATTTTAATACGAAAAACTTACAAATGCTACTTTTACAATGAGTCATAAAGAAATTTGGATATTAGCAGAGAAACTCATTATTGTAATCCGATTTGCTGCATTCTCATTCCAATGATTTAATTGATACAAAGTTGCTTGAAAGGCAAGAAGGTGTACCGCTTGAAGGATACTGACATAAACAAGGAATTATATTTTTCTCTGAATTCTACATAATAATTTTTTATGACCATTCCGAGTCATATGAAGAATTGTAATATTTATGAATATAAATTGGCTTTTCTTAATGAGGTCACTGTTGTGCCTGTGCCAACTAAAAGAAAGGTTTTTGTTGAAAATAAACGACAATGCATATATCATGTAGTTATACATATAAATCATACAAAATTTAAAGTCAACTGTAATTTTGATCTCAATACTTAATTGTCTACTTAAAGCCCCATGAAACTTCCCACCCGAAAGTCTTTCTTCAAATCAGTTCGAACGTTAATGAATGTATTAAGTGCTAAGATGATTATTGACAAAACAATGAAATGAAAGAAAATTTTCTCCTTAATTTGTTGTAAACATCATCAAGAAATTGTTAATTAAAATTACGATATTTTGCTAAACATGAGAATGAAACACGAACATTAAAGAAATATTTCGAGTAACTATAATTAAGTTTTGGGTATAAATTTTCAATGTAATTGCCCTTTAATTCTCCTAAAGAAACATTAATTCCGTAAACTCTTAGGGTGTGTGTTTGGGAGCGTTTTATGCGGGGCCATTGGAGTCATTAAGGAAATATTTTTCACTTTCGCATCGTTAATGGAAATTAATTTATCATAATTTTTCATAACACATGTTTATTTCGTCCTTTCAAAAATTATATCAGAAAGGAGAATGAAATGAATGGCGACATTGTCATCGAAAAACAAAACAAAAATATTTCAAGCTTCAGAAATCTTTCATAAATTGAATGTTTTATAAACAATGCTTCATTATGATAGAAAAAGCACAGAATAATTCTACCTTATTATGGAAAGCATTGTTCTGGTATGATGAAATATACAATTTCTTAAATAAACACTGAAATATTAAGAATCGCTATTCAAGATTTTCAATAAAAATGTTTCTTGCAAAAGCATCAATTAAAAATTATGAATGTTGTTGTTGATGATGATGATGCTGATTGTTTAACTGATGGTTCATGGAATTTATTATTTCAATCTTTCAAGTAATCTTCTGAAATAAGTGTTTCTTGAAATGCAAATGAACTTTCTCATCTGCGTGAGAGATTAAATGCCGTTCTGTTTCCTACATTCAACCCGAAGGAGAAGTTCAAACAAAACAAATTTAAATTTTTAATATTTGTCTCGAGCTTACATATTTGTATCTTTCGCCCTTGCAAATTGCTTTTCCGTTTCTCGCATAAATAATGAAGCACATATCAGAACACAAGCAACTTGAAGCTGAAAAACTTTAAACGTCCCTAAAGTGAAAGTCAGGAAGAATAGAGAAGGAAGAAAAAATTAATTTTGAACTTGTTGAGAGACAAACAAAATGTCAAGCGATGTCTCTTGATACTGAAATGCTTTTAAGAATTTTGTCAACATATTTTAGGAGGAATAGATTAGATAAAGTATTTCCACAACATCATTGCAACAACAACATGAACATTTAGGAATCGTGTTCAGAAGCACTTTTGATGTTTTTTTCTTTCTTTCAAGTTGCTTGCTTACTTATTTACTCGTAGCGACAGAGAAATCGGAGAAAATAAAACAATTGTAAAACCAGCATAAGAACAAAGAGCATAAGCAAGAAAGATATTTATGAACCAGCAGCATTAAAAAGTTACCAGAGCTTCTCGTACATTGACACTCAGACCTTCAACCATTCAATCATGAGGCCATTATCATCTTTCCAACCACTCTCCGTGGTTCTTTAACGTTTGCTTTAAGTTGTTCTTTCGTTCATCCGGAATTACTGTCTTAAAGGCGTAGAAGAATATGGTTTACTAGATGATTCGGATTACGATTCTTCATAGGTTCAATAAATCTCAAAATATTCTTTAAAAGAAAAACTTAACCACAGACTCAAAACGTTCTTTTTTCTCTTTTTTGCTATGTTTTCTTAAACTCTTTCTCATGTTCAGAAATGAGATGCTGGAATGATCTTAAAAGATTTTTTAAACAAAAGAGCTACAACTTTGAAGTATGTAACAAATGAGACGATTCTTTATGATTCAAAAGCATTAAAGACAGAACAATGGTTAGTAAATGACTTTCTGATTTCAAAAATATATGTAACCGGTTCAGTACACTCTCGATTTTTTTTTTCTTCTGTTCTCCTCCATTCTTATTTGAGTTTTGTTTTTATGCTTTTCATTTTGATTTTTCATTAGAACTCTTTTAATGAACATATTTGTCTTATAAATGTTATAAAGAAAGAAAAGTTTAATTATTAATATTCTGTAGCATCATCATTTATGTAAATTATTATCTTATAAAATATTTCTTTTCAAATCTACGTTTTCACACTTGAGAATTGATTTCTTATTTAACGCGCCATAGCTTAAAAAACACTCATCTACGACAGACGACATAGCAAGATTACACTCCGTAAATGACCTAGAACTTTTCAATCTCTCAATGCCAAATGTTATCATCAGACAGTTCTGAATAAAAAAAGAAATACCCAAGAAGAGAAGTTTAATTAAAAATAAAATTGATTTTAAAAGTGAGAAAAAGAAATAAAAAGAAATCTTGCTGATGTTTACGACACTCAATAAATAAAAAAAACATTTTTTGAAAGTAAGAAGATGAAGAATGAACAGCGAAACGCGAGCGAATTGCGAATTTAATTTCTGATTCAATTTGTCACTAAAAAATTGTGTCTGACATTTTATTTAAAACGACTACGTCTTGAAAATCGATTTAAATAGTAAATAGTATTATCATCTAAACATTTTGCATCGTCAGGATAATCGCACATATTTTTCTCGATGTTCCAATGAAGATTAGCAGGGCACAGTTGTTCGAGCACACTTTTCGAGAGACATGTTAAATATTTATTGCAGCTAAATGGATGTGGAAGATGCACAGTCTCATGTTGATTAAATTCCGGGCATCCCATTTCTTTGTAATTGCGATAATATATTTGTGGAGCCGCCTGTACCACTGCACTCGTTATAGTCTGAATTATTATTAAGCTCACCAAAAGAACTAAAATTAAAATACGAGAGATATACAATGAGAATCACAAAGTTCACATCAATAAATATGAATGAGCTTAATTGAAATAAATTTTATTTCTTCATCACACGTAATCCAACATTAGCAGTCAATTAGAATCTCACTCACAATTAAGGAAAGTAAAAACTTACAACTCATTTTGTTCACTTGAAAATATGAAATAACATTGATAAGACCAAATCATTTGTGACATGCTTTTATATATACGAATGAAAATATTTTGTTTATATTAAATTTTCTTGCTCTGTTTTACTCGTCTATTGATGATGTCGCTCGATCGATGTGAATCCAGATTTTAATTACTTACTCAACAAATCTCTGACGATGACAAAAGTTCCCTCTAGTCCCCATCATTTACTTACAGTCTTATTTGAGAGATTCTTTCTTATTCTTTACACGATTATCTATCTGTCGGTCGGCGCTTAACGTTTACGCTTGTATGTTTTATAAGAACCAGGGCTGCGTTCTAATTAGTGATCACAAGTGTACACTTAAGAAAAATCTTATCAACGCTATTTTTAGACAGACATAACAGCAACATAGATTAATGTTACACTCAACTAATAAATAATGCGCAACATGTTAAATTTTATTATCTACAAGAGTGAAAATTTCCTGGTTTCATTTTGGACTAACAATTATCGCAAGCGTTGAGATTCAATGAAAAACGTGCTTATCACATTTGTACTCTACTTCAAATGTATATTCAACAAGACTCTAGATGAAAGTGCCTAGAAAGAAGAAGAATAAATTACAAGAACATAAATTTTCCGAAATATTTTCCTTCCTGTTTCGTCTTAAAATGAAAGAAACGTGACGTGTGGTTTAATTTGTCTATTTATCTTAACCGTATAAGATAAAGTAGAAGAAGAAGAAGCAGAAATATAAATTATCCTTCCACACAAGTTTCCACCTATCTTCCTTCCAATCTCTCTGTAAAACTCTAAATTACATGGAAAATGTTTTATTAGACTTCAAAGTTTCTTGTTGCTATAATTCACTTGTGGACTAAAAGTTTTTTGTGTTGAATGCTAACTTAAATGTAAGCAGCTTTCAATAGGTATCTCAACTTCTTTTTATTCTAAAAATAAATGTATTAAATCTGATACATTTCAAAAAGTTTTAAATCCACTAGGATCATTCTTATTTCACGTTACTTTTAAATGACATCAAAGCTTTGCTTTCAATGCTTTGATAAACTTTTTAACAAAATTCAACCTTGCCTGATACTTTATTATGTACTTAGCGCATAAAAAGAATGAGAAAGTTTTCAATTGTGTAAGAAAGAATTACAAAAGAGTGAAATAAATAATCACAAAATCATGAGCGCGAAAAGTTCTTTGACTTTCGATTCAATGTTAATTCCGATTCGCTTTTTCACTCAAAAATTCTTTTGCTGTTTTTTACTTCGTTTCTCTCACTCGCCAACAAACAATTTTTGATTGTGATTCAATTGTTGTGTACAGTTTTTTATTTCTTTTTCTTTCTTTGGGTTATAAAACAATTCTTGAGGAGTTTTCCATTGGCCTATTGTTCGTCAAGCTTATTAAGAATATTCTAACATGACTTTCCTTTGAAATTAACAATTGAATAACACGACAATTATCTCTTTTCATTGGAGAATGAATAACTTTTGATCTAAAGCCATATGGGATTTGTTTATGACCTCGACTTAAGAGTTTAAGAGTTGGTTACGAACAAGAAATAATAAATGGAATACCTTTTGAAGAATTTCCATTCTGTTAAGTGTGAAATTCTTATTTAAGTGAGTATCAAGATGATCGCTTCCATTAATGTCGATGTCGTCTAAAAACACGGCAGACTTTTAACATTTCTTTGTTGTTGTTCGAAAACAATAGAAGTTGTAATCAAGAAAAGATTACGTGGGTTTGTTCGTTTAATAAATTTTCATAACTTTATAACATTTCAAAGAAATTACCTTAAATGGATCCAACATCATTGATTTAACATTTTATCATAATTTTAAAGCCATTTGTCAACTGGGCAATTGGGTCTTTGTTTCGTTTCGTTTTATTATGGTCGCGTTCTTGAGCTTTATTAGACTTTTGAATGTTCATGCCAACAGCATGCAATTTAATAACCATACATATGATTTATCCTTGAACAGATAATTTCTTTTGTAATTTTAATTAATATCATGTATTACTTATTATGACATAATATTATAGTACAAAAGTATGTTGAGTTTGTGACAGTTGGCATTAATCAAACATAAGAACTTAAGCATTGGCATTAACTTAATAAATCAATGTAAATTTATTTGCATAAAAAAATATTTCAAATTTATCGTCATGTGAAGTTTTCCATCCTCTTTTTTATTAAAACATGTTTCCCTTAATATTATTTAATGATCTCGAAATTCTTTTTTGTCATATTTAAGTTGCTGAGAGTATTTTTCATTCGAATAATTGAAATGGTTGTTGTGTTCTCACATCTCGAATCCATCAATTAAAAGGGATTCAAGATATCAAGACAATAAGAAAGAACAGCAGTAGAGAACTTGAATCGAAATAAAACCCTTAAAAAGAGTATGAAGTTTGAATTCATTTTTTTTTCCTTCCTCTGAAATTTTTAAACGTTCCATCAAAAAAAAATCATGGATCTCAATGTTCAAACCAGTTAACGAATCCAGCTGTTCATCTAAGAAATCCATCGTTCAAAATATTTCGGTGTGAAAGGAAAGAATTTTTTGTCCCTTTAAGAGTTCTCAACTTCAAAAATAAAAAAAAAGCAACGCTTGAAGCCCCACAAAATACTGAAATTACCTTTAAAGAACACGAGTTGGGTTTGTATCGAATAAACAAGACAAAAAATTTCTAAAGTTCTTGAACAACCTAGTCAAACAAAAAAAAATGAAATACTGCATCAAGTAAGATTTTAGGTTTGGTTGAATATTTTTGTGTAGGTTTAGGTTTCAATGTCGATTTATATTTCACTAGGATTCATTCCGAATGTTACTTTTAGGAGAAATTTCTATTCAAATTGGAATATGAATGTCTGGAAAGTAAACAGAGCTGAAGACAACTGAAGGAATCTTTATTGCTGTACTTTGCTAATATGAAACGTAAGCTTCAAATAATTCCAACGATTTCCATATTTTCATTATTGCACTGCTCTAAATTCAAAATCAAAGAAGAAAATTTATGCGGATGAGAGTACAATCAGTGAATGTAATTTATGTGTGGCAGTGAACATGAATAATCAACTCGAATGAGAAGATTGATATCCAGATATGTTCTGAAATATTTCAAAATCTAAATTCTCGATAAGATCCATAATAAAATTTCTAAAAGTCTTTCAATGTTCCTTGAGGGGTTTCATTCATTCTTTTGTTACCTCAACTTTAATGCCAAACATTATGAAGTGTTGAAGGGGAAAAAAATATAAGGAAAAGGTGAAACAAGAATCTAAGTCTAATATTTCGAAGCATTTATCGCTGAAATGTCGATAATTTATATTTATTTTAAAGAAACTTATAAGGTAAGGTTTCTTTTATTGTTACAATTAAATTAAATTAAGAGTAATGAGTTACTTAATAGCATAATCTTCTAAATTGAGATGCATTGTAAAATATTTTTATTATAATTCATTTTGTGGAGATCTATTTTTAAAAATATTTCATCATTATAAGTTGTGGCATCATTGACATTTAAAAATCTCAATTATTACGATGTTTAAACGTTTTATTATTTATCTGGAAGGTCGTTACCAATAAATATGTTTGCTATTTAGAAATATTCTAACGGAGGTTTTACAAAACTCATAAAAGATACTTTTCGCTAATGTTGGGAAGGAAATGACTTAAGAATTATGTGGCACTGACAATGAATGAGAACGTTGGTCATGGAAACACGGCTGCCAACGACGTCATGGGAGTTGAGTTCTTTGAGCTATTGAGCTTGACTATTCATAGATTTTCAAGCCTCTACTGTGGCATAACACAGGAAGGGAAATATTTTTTACACACAATCGCTGGTGCTCCCATCATTTGCTTATTAATCAACAAAAGAATCATCTTCAACTACTTCTCTTCTTTGCCGTTTTGACGTTGGAAAAACAATTAAAGAAATTTTCCGAGCATGTAATTTTTCCGGTGTCATTGGACACAATCGCTTGCTGCCCCTCAAAGCACTGAACCAGATCGCATAAGTAAGCTGACGTTACAAGTTTACAAATTTAACTTTATTTTGAAAGAAACCTTGAACGTTTCCATTCAGTCTAATGTTGAGTTTTTCAAATGACTCACTGCTAATGCTTAATTATATAATTAATTTGTTAATTCATCGACAATTTGAAGTGAATTGCCGCTGTTGAATGATGGAGGTCTTTTTGAGGATATAAATCGCATAAATGGTTTTTTGTTTATTAAAACTTTATTTTTTTTGTGCAATCTTGTTGAAATGTTTTATTGGATCAAAGTTTGACTACCATTTTCATGTACAAATGTCACTTTAGAATCCTGATTTTTTTATGCAAATTTAAATTTATTCAAATAATGTTACTTAAGTGCTACTTGCCTAGTCGTGTAGTTCAACTTTAAAAGCATTATATTGACAAAACCCATAAAAAAAGATACGGAAATAAGTTAAAAAATAATAATTAAATTCATTAAGATCTTTTGACGTTGATTGCTTGTTAAGTAAGGCGCAAGTATTTGATGGTCAAGTGCAGGAATCATTAAATTTTCGACCAAACTATGATATCAACTTCGTAATGTTTCCAAGTCGCCACATAGACACAATTTCTTCTTTTTCAAGTCTCTTCTCATTCCTCTACTCAACAACAACGAATCATGGGCACAATGGATTGTATAACATAATCTGAATGGAAGAACGAAGAAGAAGTCGAGAGAAAAATGAAAGTTCAAGGTCAAGAAATTGAGTTTTTTATGTTTTCATGCTACATGTTTTACTTTTGCTTCTTCTTCTACTTCTTCTTATTCTCCACCTATGCTTTCAATTCTTATTTTTCTTGTTGCCTCATATTATCACGAGATGGAGTCGATTTAATAAGTACTCTTTGTATTGAGTTTATAATTTCATTTCTTCCTTCCATTACACTCATTCCACAACAGTGAAATAAATCTTACTTCATATATGTAATCACTATTGGAATCACGTAATCGTTCTTGGTTTGAATTTTCTTTTCATTTCATAATATTTCTGCTCTTACATCTCACAAGGGCAACGATGAATGAATAGAAATTCTATTTTTATTATGAACAAAATTAGAAAGTTCTCTGAGTGATCCTCCAACTGAGTTTCGGCTGAGAAGAGAAACCCCACCGAGCTGTAACGATGCCACGTCATTGGAAAATGTTCAAATTTAATTCTTTTTTTTATTTCTTCCTAACCGAGTGGAGCACATTGAGTTCACTCAGCATATTATAATCGTTGAATGGTTCTCGGAAACATCGTTGCATGTGATGGAATAAATAGGTAAACCTAAAACGAAATGTCGATGAATTTAATTCTGCTTAATTTTCATTTACCCATTTAGGTGATTTGATTAAATTTCATATTTTTATTCATGTTTGGAGGGATTTTAATAATTTGTAGAGAATCCACTGTGGTTATCACACAGAGTTTGGTGTAGGATTATCCCCTTGGAATTAAAATCAGAAAAATATCAACTCCCAACCCTGGTTTGTTGATATAAAAAAGCAATAAAACAGCATTGATTGTCATTCAGATTAAACTTTTATAGTTCATCTTATCATCCTTTTATTCTTTCTCTATCTCTCTTCCCATCTGCATCTACCTAAAAGTGAACGAAACTTTTACATTCGACCTCACCTATTTCATTCAACAAAGCTTGTTAAAAATAATCACACTGGTTTCAATGTAGGAAACTGTGGTGTTTTCAGCATGAACACTGAACAAATGACGCATCTAACGTGAGTAGAATACCTAGTAACTACTTCCTAAAATGTTCTCTGAAAGACATTAAAAGATGGGAAAGTATGAAATGAAAAGCCATGAAAATTATGATTTACAGTGTCGTAAAAAAAGGAAAATTATCTTCCAACACTAAGAGGTATAAACACTGTCGACAACGTCTGTCACAAAATGGCTCTTTAGAGAGTGATTATGAATCCATGCGGTTCCGAAGTGAATTGTTTTGAAAATTTCATATCTAACAGAGACGAATGATCTTTTATGACGGGCGTAGGAGTATCACGAGCACCTGTATAAACTGTCATTCACTTTACTGCGTGTTACACAAGGACACAAGGGAGTGAAAATTAAAACCGAGAATATTTTCACAGATATTTTTCCACTCGATGTTTCCATTTAATTAAAAGTTTTATACTCGCTTTAAACCGGCAATTTAAAATGAATACAAAACAGTGTTTTCATTCGAAAAATTGAGCATCCTGTGTAGCATCGTCAGATCATGTATAGTGAATGAATAAAAAGCATGTGCACACATTGCATGACGATATTCTCGTGGAATAACGGTTCAATATTCTTTGGGGAAAAATATTTTGATGCAGGTATTAAATTACATTGAAACTTGATAGAAATGTTGAATTTATTTCACCTTCAACGCATATCCCAGCTAAGCATCTCTATCGTGTTTACAATTCTTCACAAACTGAAATCATTTAATCTTCGGATTTGCTACTTTTTTCCTTAGTTGTAAAGAATGATTGAATATTTCTGATAATACAAGCTAACTGCAACATCATTTCTGCTACCTGACTCTGGAAAAAGAATTTTACTTCATCATTTTGAAGCTACTAAGAACTTCTATAAGCATTAAGACATTTTCCTTGCTTTTATCTTCAAATTTCAAATTGCAAAGTTTGCAAATATGTAAGGTAAATAGCAAAGGAAGAAGCGTTATGGAAATTTCTATTTCTTGTTAGTTTCTTCATTCAACATAACTTCTTGTCATATAAACAACATCATAGATGTTTCTCATGTTCAAAAACTTTAAGGAGAAAGATTTTCTCATAGGATTAAGTGTAGAATTTGATGTTGTGCTATATGAAAATTAAACAATTTCTTAATGGCAAACGCATCCGTCTCCTATGTCATCATATCAAGTAAAGTTTGTAACATTCCAAAAAGGATATTTTGCTGGTTAAGGGGAGAGAGTTGAAGCAACATAAATGTTGAATGTAAGGCAAACATAAATATTCCATCTTTTCAACATTTTTCTAAAAGAATTTCAATGGTGTGAGTCTTGACGAATATGAAATGTGTTTAAGAATTTTTTTACTTTATGCTTTTGTCGCTTTTTCCCCGACAGGTAAAACGAACATATTTTTCAATTCACAAAATCATTTTAGCACCTGCTTTCAATAATGCTTCATTCCTTTTGAAAGTGCATTTATTATGACGAACTAAGGAACGGAATAAAAATTTTACAAGCTGAATAAGTAAAAATGTGCTAAATAACATGAATCGCTGATGGAAGTAAAAGACGTGGAAAATTAAACACCAACTAAGAAGAGAAATTTGTTCTCGAGTTTTAAATGAGTCTCGCTTGAAGTGAAAACTTTCAAGGTTCTAGTGTTTTCACATTTTTTTTTTTCACTTGATGAGTTGACCTCGACGTGCCAAACGGCACAGAGAAAACTTCTGAGGCGAAAAAATTTCCGCTTTTTTCCAGTGCTTGGAAGAGCATAACGAGTAGAATTGTTGGAATGTATAATTTCTGAATGTGGCATGGATTCGGGGAATGGGGAGATGTAAAAACAACTGCTTTCATAAGAGAACTTCCGAAACCGAAACTGTTCAGAATACACAAAAAAAAGTGTAATTTTATTGTGGTCAAGTGAATCGAAGCATTCGACGAGCATAAAAATTTCATTACAATTTCCATTCGATATTTTTTTCATCCATCGTATCTCCTGCAAGCGATTCTGCGGTTTCCACAACTTTTTCTCTCTTTTTTCTGCTAATTCATACCGAAAAGTTTCGATTCGTAATGCAATTGAAAGCTAAAGTTCATGTGCCTTTAATTTGGATGCATGTTTGGCAAAACAAAACAGACGTTCGTGATAAAAGAAAACGAAGAAAAGTTCTTCTTAAGTCTGAATTGTTGAGCGCCTTGCAGGTTCCGAAATTTAATTGAATTTTTGGTTTCGACGAGTTCGTATAAATTTCATGTTAAAGATATATATTCTAATGTAGATATGAAAGCAAGCAAAACAATGTGTTCTTGAAAACGAGAGAAAACTTCGATTGAGCCTAAGTATTTAATTTCGAAGAACGTGGGTCGTCGTCGGCATGTTACATTAAAATTCGAGGATGAAGTAAAAAACAAAAATTAAGATTATTGCTTGCAGATGAGGATTAAATATACGAGACAATAAATTATGATTCCCTTTTCTTTGTGCTCGCCTTTTGGAACACGCCGAGCTTAATCGAACTCTTCACACCAGAAGGCACTCGCATTATATTACATCGACGATCGTTCCCATCATGAATACGATGTTGCGCAAATAAATAAAACACAAAAAAAGTGATCGAAAAAGCAAAACGAGTTCTGGGATCGGGAAAAAAAGAAAAAATATATAAATTCGAAGGCTGTCGATGATCGCGATTTGCGATGCAACTGGAAGCATGAAAAGAGAAAAAAGGTTTAGTGAATGGCTTTAAAAGCGTCGAACTTTTCGTTAAAACTTCATTAATGAGTTAAATATTGACATTTTATGAATCGACTTTTTCTTTCTCTGCTCCTTTCCGGATATTTTTTCATGTTATTAGCACGCATCTGTCAATGTGCATTGGCAAATGAACTTTATAAGGGATATACGAGACATATTCAGTCAATAATTCCTTTTATAAGTAAATTACATGAATCTTGACGTCTGAAATAAGAAGCATCGGTTGCTTACATTGCAATTATGGAAATGAGAAAAAACGAATTCAGTTAATGGTTTTTCATATTCAATAAAACATTGACGATATTGAAAATGTTTAATTTTTGTTTATCCGAAGGCGTGTAACGCATTAAATTTATATTTTTTGAATGTTGTCTTTGGTCAGACATTGAACAAAATGAAAAAAGAATTCAAAAAGAGTTTTAAAAAATTTTAATAGTCTTTAATTACTTGATACGCTTGCAAATTATTTATCTCTCAATCTCCACATACATAAAACGAAATAATTCAATTACATAAGAGAAATAAGTTGGCCTACACCTAGTCCATGCGACATATAATAATTTTCTTCTCGTTTTACTCGTGAAGAGATCGTGAGTTGTGTCTGACAATGGTAAAATAAGTTAACAAGAAACTGAAAGCATGACCGAGACTCTCACCACGAGTATACAAGAATTGTTGTCAAAGGTCCGTGCAGAAGTCCTCGAAAGAGTGAAGCAGCTTTTTTTTATAATTGCAATTTAAAAAGTGCATTTACGTAACATTCATTCCAATAAGCCAAGGTTAAATTGGTGCATTGAAGTGGCGTAACCTATGATCATGTACGAGCATGTTGTGGACCCAACAGACGACGGGATGTTGAAGTTATCTTATAATCGTTGACTTTTTGATTCGATGATATGTTCGGGATGTAAATAATTTGAGGTCTGACTCAACCGAAAGAATAATTAATTTTTTAATAGCTTTTAAAACTTCTTCGAGTGAACAGTTTAATTTAAAACTTTTGCTACATTATGAGATGGTGAAGGAAAAGCTTTCAGATTCGTTTTATTCTAAGTGTAAGTTATTGACGCGCATAAGTTACGAGGGAGGGGGAGACACTTTTTTATGTTCTTACCATCGTCATCATCATCATCATTTGTAACTTTGTTTCTGATTCTGGTAAAGTTTTATTTTTTTCCTTTCCTTTCTTACATTATTATGTCTGAACTGAACTCAAAGTGAAATATAAAAAGCATTCGCTTCGCAATATTATGCAGACTCGTTGCATTAAAATACATTTTTGTTTTCTTTGCGATGAATATGCTTTGAGTGTTCTTGTAAAGCATGCACTGCACGAGTGAAGAAAAAAATACAATTTCACATTAAAGCTTGAATATTTCCATGTGGGAGCAGCATTGCATTTACTTCATTCGTACCATAATTTATTTCATATAAATTTTCGAAACGTTGCGTTTACATATAAACTCTTTATGCAGCATATCTGCATTGTTTTGTCTAGAGGATATTTCTTAAAACTTTTTCCAAGGCCAGAAAACTTGCATGACAAATGAATTAAAAGTTTGAAAAATGTTTTCTTATCATTTCAAAGAGCACAGATTGATATTGATACGTTTATTTGAAAGTCAAAATAATCTTTACTTCTGTTGAATTTCCTAACGTAAATTATTTTAAAAACTAGAGATTTTTTTGCGTCAATTAGATGCAGTTTTAGTTTATCTTTGTTATCCTTTAAGTTCATTTGTGTGCTCTCGAAAAAAATTGTAAAATAAAGTTAATTAAACCAAGTGCTGACAAATATTATAATTAAAAATATTTTTATCAATTCTATCTTCAATTTTATCAAGGTATGAAATGAAATAATATAAAAACTTTAAGTTAAATGTTGAGACAACGTCGTGATAAGATTTTTAACCCAAAAAAAGTTGTGAATATTCTAAACAAACCGAATTCCATTAAAATGTTTCTTAAATCTTGAAATTTATATGAGAAAACCTTCATCCTCATGCATTAAATTTCATAGAACAATTTCAAATTTCGTTTCCCTTTTAAAGAATGTTTCTCAAGAAGTTGTTTCACTAAACATACGAGTCTGAAGCAACTAAGGATGAATTGAAATATTTAAAGCACATTTAGAAAATGTTTATAGCTTCAAGAATTCCTTCTGCAAAGATTTTGTCACATTTAATACAACAAAAATCCTTAACATGACACAACGATTGTTCAACAAATCTCCAAAGACGATGCATTTGCTGTTTATTTCTTTTTGTAAAGAGAACAAGAATGAAAAGTTAAATTAGGCAACGTCGCTTTATTTTTCATTTATCAGACACCACGTTGTCAATTTTTCACTTCAATCTCCTTCTTCTTTGAATAAACACAATACGATGTGTTGAAACCATTTCTAAATATAAAGGGACGGGACTTTATCCTTAAACCACCGAGAATATATCGAAACGAAAAAAAAAATATTTTTTATTATTTCATTAATGTGTTTCCATTTTTTCTTTCTTGTTGCAGGTATGTGGATGATCGGGACTCTTTCCAAATATATATATTTTATTGTTTGGGATCTTTTTGTTGGTATTTTGGGTAAGCGATCATATAAGGTTCTTCTCTTTCTACTACGTATTTCGATTCCTTTTTTTTGTGTTGCTCGAACAACCTCTTATAAAATCGTGTTCTCCAATTGGGCTTAACAAAAGCAGATGATCTGAAAAGCAAAATGTAAAATCGTTTTGAGTTTCATGAAAGATGTAAAATGTAAGCAAAAGATGAAATTATAAGGGAAGAATCAAGTTAAGGTTCTTCGTAGGATATTTCAGGTAGAAAGCTTCATGTATTAAAAGACTTGTTCAATAAGAAATCTTGTAGAGTTCGTTTTCATGTTTCTTGTTCTTTTATTTTTTTGGGATGCTACCTGACATGTCCTCGATTGATGGGGGTGAAAATTCTGGTGGGGAAAAACATTTCTCGATGTGAAGAACTCGGAAAAACTTCAGATCAATGAGAGAGATATTTTTCTCCTTTAACTTCCCCTCACAAACTTAATTTCTCTCTTGATTCTCTTGAAACGAACGTAAAATGAAACACAAATAAGTAAACATTGCGAGAAAAGAAAAATTTTGAGCAGCAATGAATTTTTCACTTCAGTCTTGTGTCGTCGTTCGCCCGTGTCGCACGTATCCATTGAATAGCTTCAGAATTCGGATTTCGCTCACAAAAAAAGTTTATTTTTTGGTGGTGTTAGAATTTCAATAACCGGAAACGGGGCGTTGCAGCAGCAGCTCGTCTGGTCGTTGAGGAAAAGTTCGCTTAAATTGAAGGAAAATTTTTAAAGGAAAAAAGGAGAAAATAAAAATTATCCGTTTAAATAACGGAGTGTGGTCATAATTGTGATTCATGAGTAAAAGAAGCAAAAATAAAAATTCTTTAGTAAGGAAGCATAAAATTCAAAGAGTGAAATTCGTATCTGATTGAAAATTGGTGGATAAAAAAAAAGAATAAAATTATACGAGAAATCGCAGAAAAAAGAATCTTTTAGAATAAAAATAAACAACTGATTTTAAATTCATTTCGGGGTTGCACCGAAATAAGAGAAGAAAAAAAATTGAGATAAAAGAGAAAAAGGGTTTTCATTGTTTTCTAACTCACAAGTACAACCTTCAGTGAAAAACGGCCTCATAAATGGAATTAGCAAGAAAAAGGTATGTAGGGAAAAAGGATTTTTATGTGACGTCCCAAAAAAAATTCGTTTTTCGGTTCACTCATCAGAGCACAGTTGCTTCTTCTTGAAGGGAAAAAGAATCCCCGGAAACTATCGATTTTTTTCTTCTGCTTTGCACTCGTTTGTTTCAATATGATTGAGATCATAAATCCTCGTGAACAACCGCACAAAAATAATATTTATAAACGAGTAAGACTTTCGCTTTCAATTTGTAATTGCGAAAATAAATTAATTGGATTTGATTAACATTATAAAGCTACGCGAAGCTCTTTCATAGAATTAAAAATCCCATAAAATCGGGTGACTTTTTTCCTATATTCGTTTCAATTGAACTCAATGAAGGAAAAAATAAATTCGTGAATGATGCATGTGCGATTGAGACAAACGGAGAAAAAAAATTTAATTAATCTGAACTTAAAATAAAAAAAAAGTCCGGGGGAGAGATGAAAAAGTGTGTAACACATACACACAAAGCGACTCTCGAGGTTAACTCCATTCAGACACATCACGCATTCGAGTCTGAAAACGCTAGAGCCAATGAACTTTGACAATTAAACTTGGATGAGAAGAGTGAGTGCTTAAGTCGAGGTCTCGAAGATATATGTGACTCACAAAATCATCTTATGAATGCGTCCGCATGATGTGCTGTAAAATCATATTAACAGTTGCCAGATGATACTTCCTGCTTGTAAAGTGAATGTTGGTTGAAAGAGTGTTGATGAACTTTAATTCAATATGCGTTAAAATAAGTTTTAAATGCTACGGGCTTAATCTGAACAGTTTTCCCTTCAATTCCGCATGATGGTTTTGCAACTAAATCATCCAATTCAATCCATTAAAATTCTAAACATTATGTATGCTTTTGTGATGTTAAACAACTTCTCATCATGAATCGATGACACCATCAGACAGAATATCTCTAAGGTATGACAACTAAAGAAGGAAGTGAAATATAATAAAAAAAATCACGCACATATACAAACAGTTTTATAATGGTGATGAACTGTGGGAAATATTTTCGATGTATTTGATACAGCGACAAGCAAAACGAATGAACAGAAATTTTTTTTTCTTATAACAAGTAACACAAGAAATAAACGACAAATACTAAAATTTTATTGAAAGGTCAATTTATACAAATTTGCGTTTAGTTCAATTAATAAAAGCAAAAATTATCGACAATGTGTGTGTCATTTTTTCTTTTATTTTGCTTGTGACTTCGGAGAAGTTGATTCAAAATGAATGAAATGATAGTTTCGGTGGTTCCTTTACTCTCCTTAGAGGAAGAGCTCAAGTTCGCTTTACGCTTCACATCACTATGAATGAACTAAGCACATCACTGTATACATATAATTTACATTCGATGCGCTTAATTTGTCACTTCCTGCGAAATTGAACAGAAAACTTACAATTTCTTACTCTTCTCGTACGATGAATGCCTTGCGTGAAGTGCGCTCTGACCGTGAAGGGTTAACAAACTCATGTTTATTCTTTCTGCGGTTGTTGAACAGAGTCAAGTAAGAGTGGAAGAGTATTATAGTTCTTACTCTAATTGGATGCTCAATAATCTTATGCATCAAATATTTATTTTAAAAAAATTTACATCCCTGACTCACAAGTCACAAATTAGCAAATGTTCTTCATTTTATTATTCTTTTTTTTTTCTTCTGCGTATTTCTCATGAAAATGAAAACATTTTAATTGGCCGCAGACTGTTCTTTCACAGACTTATAAAAGTTTAAAGTGAATTTCTTCGAATTTTCTCATTTCGGGCCTTTTTTTATTTTTAATCTCGAGCGGATCTCACATCGTTTGATGTACCGAACCAGAGAATACAAAACACAAAATGTTTCGTTGATTGTTTGTTGCAGTTGTTTAGTGCAAAGCAAAGCAAAGTTGACTCTTCTCTGACTTAACTTAAACTTGATTTGATAAATTGCAAAACGGAGCTCTGTTCAAATGGCAACATTTCTAACATTTCAAAGTTTGAGTTCGGAGAGACAAACTAATTGACGGGTGAAGATCATGATTAAAAACAATTGAAGTTCATCTGACAAACAGTGCTCGAGGCATAATTATTAAACATATTACAATTAAAACGCTTTAAATAATTCATTTTCATGCGCAAGTGCACTGAAACACGCCCCATAAATCTTTGATCTCTTAAGAGATTTTTATTTCGTTTTGTTTGTTTATATTGCCTTTTACAGAATGTTAAAACATTTCCATTCTGCTCTTGATTGCCACAAATATTGAAAAATGAACACAATTCACTCAATTCGCGAACCTAATAAAAGCATAATTTATTGTGAAATTTCATATACAATTACATTGAAAAGTTATTTGTATTTCGTCAGCAAACAGTTTTTTTTTCTTCAAGCTCAGTTTCAAGTTTAAAAATAATTGTCTCAAACTCGAAAACTTGTAGCTTGCAATTTATTATGCACTGAAAATAAAATCAAGTCGTTTAATAAATTCAGAAGCCATAAAAATTGAAATTTGTTGTTGTCGCATATTTTTTTTTCACTCTCCTTTAAATATATGAATTTCCTTTCGATTTGGAAAGCTCAACACAGCTCACCTGAAATATTATGTCGCCATGAGTTCGCTACATAATCGTAATATTTAAGTTTTTGACTTTTTTTTTTTGGCAATGTTGAGCCTCCGATTATGACACTTCCTTTCGAAATATATTGCATGTTTAAATGTCGTTGATATGTAATAATGAAATTTCTCAATACAATGTCTCGAAGGAGAGACGTGACTTACTAATTTACAAGTTACAATCTGAAGGCTTCGTATCCATTGATGCTTCAGGTTTACTGCAATTTACTTTTTAATTCACCTTCCTCTCAACAAGAGAAAGAAATAATAAAATTAAAGAAATAAAGGCAAAGCAATTGATTCCTGCAAGGAAGAGCCGTTAAAAGAATTAAATGAATAAGCATTCGTTTAATGATTTGCATAATTTCGTTCCATTGTTGTTCCATTAAAAATAAAGTAGCGCTACCTTTAGATGGGACGATAGAAGTTCATCTGATCCAAACATTCATTTAAAGTCATTGAATTTGAATGAATCAACAGCACTTGAAGCGTTAAGTGTACAGGCTCGACATCGTGTCAATATTCTTACCATGCTTTTTCACACTTCACTTCTCAAATCTGCTTAAATCCAAAATGAAAAAAAAACTCGTTGACTTTTCGGATATTTCAATAAAAATTCGTTTGAACTAAAGAAGTATAAAAAGAAATCACGCACACAGAGTCTCTGCTGACGTGCGAGTTTCGCGGGTTTTCGTTTCGTTATTAAATATTAAAAGTTTTTGTGAGCTCCGTGGTTGACCTTGGTTTAATGTCTCACGAAAAAATAAAACTAAGCGCGCGCGAAAAAAAACCAGCGACAAGCAAGCGTTTCGCTTTCAACTATACAATAAATGTTGTTAAATATATGTTTTATTTATATTTTTTTTTTCGTGTAAAACCTGCCGCTGATTATTATTAGAATTTGTCGCGAAAAGAGTAATTGAAAACCAGAAAATCTTGAAAGTGTTTTGTATGAAAATGCGAAACGATTTCCACGTTCACGACATCCGTCATGATAAGTTTCGTGAACCAGAATTATATTCAGGCATAAATCGTTTCCACACATGTCATATCTTTTCTTATTTAGCCGCAGCATTATAACATAGAATGACGTTATTTAAATGTAACAATCGCAAATGCACTTTTGTGTTACTTTGTTGCTCATAAATATTTGGCTTTTATATATGCATAACATGATTTTTGCACAATCCTCAACGTTTTATGTTGGCTGTTATTATTGTTTCTCATTTTTCCTAAGTTGTAACTCTACAATGTCAAATGGATATATTGAAAATGGTTATGCAGGAAACTCAAACTCTGCTGATGTGTGGTACTCATAATTTAAATATAAATGCTAATTTTATTTTTCAATTCTTTTAATTGTGTTTGTATTTGTGTGTGTGTGTGCGTTCGTGTTGTGTAAAATGACAATTATTTCAACAGTAGCAGCAGCAACAACAAAAATTTCACGTTCATGTGAATTGACATTACGAAGCGGGAGAAAATAAAGATTGATCGAGCGAAATCTTTTTGAAGTTGATAAATAAATTTAATAAACACAACAATAGTTGAACGAGTGTTGGCGCTGCCTGGTAGCAGTAGTTGAATTATTATGCAAATTCTTCAATTCATTCAATTTAAATGCCGAAAAGGAAGTTTTTATCTTCTTCTTTCAACTACGATAAAATCTTTAAAATGTTCTCATGCTTGTGAATGAAAACTTTAATTTGACTTTACTACTGAAAATCCTGTGACAAAGTTAGGATCATTTTGATTTGATTTTGCATTACAATACGAGATTATATACACTTCATTTTTATGTTTGTTCTCTTAAAACTTAATCGACCTTCAAGAAGTTTTTATTTTTTTCGGCGAATTAAAGATGGGTGAAACAAGTCGACAACAGCTGATGAATAATTCAAGAGATGCAGTCAATTTTAAATTCGTGTCTGGGGTCTCAGAATACTCTTTGTCGTTAGATTATTTCATGATACTTTTAAACTTCTTTTTTAATTGGACGTGTTAGCAAAACACAGAACAAAACAACAACACAAAAAAAATTGCATCGTTTCAGAACGTTGCTGTCGACGGGTTTGCATCCAATTATAATATTTGGTTTTTATGGATCAAAATGATAATTTTTTACTTCAAGTCTTTCTTTCTCATTCTTTGGCGCGTCGATCTTGTCGTAAATTTTTCGTCAAAATGTTTTCTTATTTTTCAGTAAAAATTTCAAAGAAAAAAATTTGAGTTTGTTAAAAATAACCATGAATGTCAGCAGAGTTCTCGTGTTCCTGTGTTAAAAAGTTGTTAGAAGAACTCAGACCCCCATGTGTTATTGCCTGACTATGAAAGAGAAAGAAAAGTGAAATTTTTCATTTTTGATGAGACATTAGATGCTCTTAATTTAATTAAAATAACATAGCTTGAGGCTTTGCCAGATGCGGGCTCTTTCCAATGAGGTGAATCGGTCTGTATTGGCTTAAACGCAGAACCAAGGAGATGTTCTTTCAAAGCTGGTTTAGTGATGAATACAAACCCTGTTTAAACATAATTGCTCGTGTTTTCTCCGTCACTGGCTTCATGCAGTATTCGTAGCATTGAATAATGTCAAAAACCTTTTCGCAGTTCTCTGCCTCTTCTGAACCTTCATCATCATTCCGATTCTTATTTTATCTCGTTTTTCTGCGCCTTCATTTTTCTTCTCATTCGTATTTGCTTTAAGACATTCTCGATTCTTGTTATATTTTTTTCTTATTTTACTTCGTAATGGCTTTTTGAAAACATCTCGAATGTGTTCTCAGCAAATGTTTTATGCTTGATTGTATGGTGAAGAAAGAAAACTCATAAAAACACATGGTGCAGCTTTGATTCTTTTTTTTCTTTTTCTTCTTCGAGAAATTCAATTTCCCTTTGATGATGCTGAGTGTCACGATAAAAGGAAAATTATGATTTAATTTATTTTATTTGTATGAGCTAAGAATCATTCGTCAACTGCAAGGCTGGGTCAAGTCCGAAGCTTGCGCCTGATTAATCCATTAATGTCAGATTAAAGTCACACACCATACAGTGCTCTTTGAATGGCCATAAATTTTCACTCTCGTTGATGCGCATGAATGAAATGAAAGAATGTCCATCAAGAACACATATCTATGTGTACATAAAAATGTTATGCGTACATATAACAACAATAATAACATAACATATCAAAAGCACAAACCAAATTCGAAATGAAATCCATTAATTTCATCTGAAAACGAGCCATGACAAAAAAAAAGGGGAGAGAAAGAGAGAAAGAGGTTTAACTTGCTTATGCTTCTTTAGGGGTGACAGAATAGGAAGAACAAATTTTTTTACCATTTCTGTACACGAAAAACCGTCGTCAGCTCGAATGAACAACAAACAAAGCTAACAGAGTCGGGTGAAGGAAAAAAATAATCAAAAACGTGCGTAGAATTGAATTTTGGATTAAACTTTTGAAGTTGTTCGTAATTTCTTTCAAATGAAAAGTTTGAAGCTTTCAAGAACAAATGACACTGAATGTGAACAATCACGACAAGAATGTTAAATAACTTTTAAGTAACTGACAAGGAAATTTCAAAGTAAATTTTGTACATATCTCCACTAAAAATTTTCATAAATTAATCGTTGATAAAAGTTTATTAAATTGCCATAAGCAACAACTACGAAATTTAAATGTGACATAAGCAGCTAATTCCTGTTACTCATGGTTTCTAATTTTATTTCTTTCCCTAAATATTGAGTCGCACTGAAAACAACAAAGGAAAAAAACATGTCTAGGATGTAACGTAACACGACAAAATATTGAAAAACTCCACAGCAACATTCGTTAGAAAAATTCCATTTATGAGTTAAAGTCTAATCGAAAAACATTCTCAGAATGATTGCATTCATAATGAAATTTCCTTTGTTATTTATATATAGTTTTATCGTAACTAAATCTACTTAACGTGATTAAACATAATTAAATTTAGACAATGGAGTCGTGAAGATATAAAAATAATTATGAAAACGCAGCGTTCGACAAAAATTATGCGATAAATGATGTCATGACCGCTTAGCAATTCATTTACTTACTGTTGATTGTAACTTTAACCAATTACGTAATCACACATATACACACACGTTCATATTAGGTTAATTTACAAAAATAAAAATGAATGGATGCTTTGTACTGTTAGAGAAGAACCTTGGCTTAACAACCTCGTTCATTAACGGGCTTATCGCAAGTTGCTGTTTATGTATTGCTTGCAAAACCAACAGGCAACAGATACATAAATAAAATAACAATTAGATATTTATTTAGACAAAGTTGTTAAAAAAGTTCCCTAAAAAAGACAACAGCAACTAGCTTTGAGCGATTGTCTTTCCATGGATAACATACGCACGTTGTTGTCTCATTGAAAATCATAATAAAAGACAAAAGCCTTTGTCTTTAAATACATTTGGTGGCAAATAAAACAACATTAATGCTTAATTTAGAGGTTAGAGGATCGTTTTCCGCAATTTGTTAATTTAATTAAAATTTGCAGTCACATATTGATTGAAGTGAGTTAAACGAGTGTGAATTAAGTATCGTATAGATGTGAAATGACCTCATCACTGGCTATTTATTTAAGTCGCTTATCAGCCTTTGACAATGATTTCCATTCCATCTCATATTTATTCATATTTTTTATATTATTTACTTATATTAAACTCAACCGTCCCTTGAAAATGAAAACGAACGAAGAACGAATAAAGCTTTCGCGGATGTTAAATAATAACGGTAAAATGTTCAAGCTGTCCCATCATTGAAGACAGCAAAAAGCAATTTGCAAAACAAAGAGATTCATCGAATAATATACAAACGAAACATGTAAATATTGTACAAAACATTCCGCAGTCGCTGAATCAGCACATCTCTTTGTATGTGGAGTTGTGTTCAGTTTAATGTGCAATATTGCCATGTGCCCTTATGATGGCCATCACCGAGTAGCAAGAAAAAACAAAGTCAAAGTATCGTGTGTCATCGTCATCGTCAAGGGAATGTGAACGATTTTGTTACGAGTTGGCGGTTAAAAGTCTGATTTTTGACCTAAAAGTGACCATAAAAAAATTAATGCGAATGGGAATCGAAGTTAAATATTCGCTTAAGTCTTGAAAAATCAGTTTAATGTATGAAACACATTAATGTGTGCACACACAACAGAGAAAAAACCAGAAATCGTAACAAGAAAAAAAAACATGAGCACGCTCTTTATCAAAAGCAAAGCTGGAAATTCTTATCAAACATTCAAACAAGCAAGCGAAAAAAAAGTTATGAGAGTGTAAAGCGATTGCGCTTTGTTTACAGAGCAACTCTTCTTCTTACTTACTTTTTTTTCGGGGGATATGGAGCACATATTAACACATTTCAAACTCTCATGCTGATTAAACTGAAAAAAAGTGACATAGTCAAATAAAAGTAATAAAAAAGAACTGCTGTCAATTTATTTTCATATTTGATTGATTTTGAAGGGAAGCTCAAAGTCACCTTGTGCCTTGAGTGAGATCAAAATCGAGACAATCGCGATGTGGTGATTTACCTTAAAATGAAGTCATAACAAATCGTTCCACACCTCGGAAATGGTAAATTGATTGATACCGTTGGGGTTTGCTTAAGTCATTCTTTTAGTAGTTTTTTTTAGGTTTCTTCGGTGGCGTATCAATTAAAGTTTTTGTTTTCTGAGGAACGTATTTGAAATATCCAAGAAATTATAAAGTTGCCTCAACTCTTAAATATTCTGAATCATATGTGAGAATATTCTCATGACTTCATAGCGTTATTGTTTTTGCATTACTACATCAAATTGGAATGTCGAGTCTCGAATGTTAATCCAGAAATTGACAATCGATAAAGTTTAATCATTTAAAGTGCTTTTTTTTAGCTCCATATCGCACTTATCTTTGTTATTTGTAAACTCGATTGTATGATTTTTATCTCTAATGTCATTGAGCTTACTCGATTTAAAAGTACTTCCAAATATCAATGACACTGACATTGTTTTATTATGCTTTACTCTTGCTTCCGTCATATATTCACATAATTTAAGTTAATGACGTGCTACAATAATATTGTGAGATAATTACACTCAACTTTAAAAGCTCCAATTTTTATTTCTTCCATATACTGCTTAACTTGACCGAAACATAAAACAACCTCATAGTAATTGAGCTCTTAATTCCATTCCGTATTATACAACAAAAATCTTCGCTGTAACAAATGTTGTTGTAGTCAGTTCAAGATCTAAGCAATTTTTTTCTGTATTTATTTTTAATTTGCCAACCTTGGCACCTTAACCAACCAAGCCAAGTTAAAAAAAAGCACACGCTGCTGCCTTATTGTGAATAGCTTGTGTGCAGTTGTGCCTGCTCTTTTTTTTTTCTCTTGATATTTATTTTCAATGTTAGATACTTTTGCAAGTTACAAGCCTGCTCAACGATGAAACCATATGTGTAAATCACAAGCTGAGCGATGGAATCTTACGATTTCTTACAAAGATCAAATTGAACTTCCACGTTCACATTGAAAAAAAATATGTAAAATTGAAAACTCAACCATCTGATATTTTGTTGTTGCTAATGCGATTGATGATTTCAGTTGTGTGCGAGTTTTTATTTTTGTATGTATAAATTTGCTCGTGTTTATTCCAAGCTTTGCTAATAATTCATTGTGACGTAAACAGTTTTTTCCTTCACTTTTTCATACTGATCACATGGTGAACAATTTTTATTTTATTTACAAAGTAGATTATTCAGGAATTTTAATGTTTCATTCTCCTGAATTCCCACGAAACAAACGAAGATTTTTTAAAGTAAAAATATTAAGAAGAAGAGTTGTAGAATGAGTAACAGTTTGTTCTTTTTCCCGTGAAGATGATTAAAATTTCGGAGAAGAACTTTGAAGCTTTTCGGAAGAAATAACAATTAGAAACTTTTTGGTGGAGAACAAAAAAAATTATTTAAATGACCTAAAAATTAAAAGAATTCGCGGAAATTTGAACGGCAGATGTGCCATTGGACTTTTAATTACCAGCTGTCAATAAGCAGCTTGGTGGGGCCTCCTGAAAATATAATTTATGGTAATGGATGCAAACATCTGTAAAATCTTCTTTATGCGCGAATTTAACTGTTTTCAGACCTTTCCGAATGAAAAGTTGATTGTTGAAAATGAACCATATTAAATATGTTTGTAACATGTCCAAACCCGCTGTTTATACTTCGCTTAAATTAAGATGACATACGCTCAACTTTTGACAGGTGTGTCCAGTGAAAGCAACTTTTGCGACATGAAAAGGTGAAACTTAATGGGGCCTTTAGCCTTTTTCATTTTTCTCCTGCCTCTCTGTAATGCTGGTGAACTTTTTCATAATAAAAGAAGTGGTGGAAAAATACCGTTTGTGATAACATAACAAAAGTCAATAATTTCCTTCAACTCCCTCGTCAACGTATGCGTGTTGTTTTAGTAGTGCCTTGTAATTTGCTTCCGGTTTTCATCGTCTCCCCTCTACGTGCGCTTCGATAAGACCTCCCCGCAATTGTTAATGAATACTTTATGTGTTCCTTGTGTTTTCGAAATTTTGAAATGATGTTAGGAAGAAGTATTTTTTTGCTATCGGTTGTTGTTAAAGAACTTTTTCCATTGTTGTTGTGTTTGAGTTCAAGAATTAAATTAGCCTTTTCCTTGTTATATTCCATTCTTTCCTTACGGCATTTACTCTTTAAATATTTATTCACACTCTTTGGATGGAAAATGGTTTTTCTTCGTTGTTTTAAATGGAATGCTTCGTGTAGTAAGAGGGACGAAAATAAGGCAAAGAAGTGAAGATTTTTTGTTTTGCATGAATTATCTTGCTGTTAAGAAATTTTACAGCAGTTGGAAATTATGTTGTTTAATCCATTTGAATTTATGGTGTTGGCAACCTTTTCGTTCCTCTCCTTTACTGACAGTTTCAGGTTGTAAACTTCATTACAGAGCGTCTTAACAATATTCAATAAATTTTAATCTTGCGAAGTTACAAGAGAGAACCTTTAAGCCTTTCTTCTTACTTTTCTTACATGTGAAATCATTATCTGAGATATCAATGCGATGGCATATCATGTGATAGCAGCGATAATAAGGTCACTTTAAATAAAGGCAACAATGATGCGCGTAGCAACTCATTTGTGTTGTGTCATATCAAATATTTGCAAAAAAGAATTTTTTTACTTCAATTTTTTCTTGTCTTCCGATTAGCGACATAAAATTCGTACATTCAAATATTTACGAAGCGCAAAAAATTATTCAAGATTTTGTAGGTTTTACGTGCGAAAAGCATCATTTTCGTCTGGTAAAAGATATTTGAAAAATTCGATGAAAATCTCTTTCATGATATTAAGGATTTTGATGATGGCGCGTGAGCCGATTAGCGTTCGTTGCCTTGAATATGCGAACAATCTTTTTTCTTTTGGGTGAATTATGGCCAGTGAAGCGTAAAGGAAAAATAAAATTACATAACTCAAATATCATGTCACATTAATTTTAATTTTCCGCCAATGTATGTAATGAAACATTATCAGCCTTGAAAACTGAAATAATAATAAAAATTTGCGGTGTGGTGTACATAAAACCACGAAATCAGTGATTGCATATATGCAATGTTAAGCGGCTTGATATGAAGTGAAGAGACGGTTAAAACAAAGCATGAGATAATGGATTCGTTGAAAAGTACGAGACTGCAAATAAATCGTTTTCCTTCACTCAACGAAAAAAAGAAAACGAAAAAAGAGGGAAAAGATAAAGAATGAGTTATTGATCAAGTGAAGTCCATCCATGAGATTGAGTTTAGGCACAAAAATCATGAAAAGCACCATAAATTATGCTCCCTTCTGAAATTAAAAAAATAAGCATAAGCGAATCATGAACCAGCATTGACCTTTTCTCCAACGTAATGGAAAACAGCAGAATCTTTTTGGTACATATACCTCGGAGATGAAGTCAAAGAGCGTTTAAGCGTGAAGGCATCCAAAGCCAAAATGATAATATCAGGCCGCATGGAAATCCATAAAAAAAAGAAAAAGGAAAGAATTATCTTAGGGTCTCTTTACATATATATCAACATAAATATATTTTATAACGCTTGCTTATTCAATCTTTTGAAAGTCAGCATCATTCACCATTCATGGTCTCAACGAAACCTCAACTTTTGATCGTTTTTTTTCGAATTTTATATCTTATTCGCTTCGAGAGATAAATAATTATGATGTTTACTTTTGATGTTATAATAATCAATATGAATTAAAGAAAAAAACACGGGCATTATTGATGGGTTAATTTCACGAATGAATGCTACTTAACCATTGCTATGTTTAAGGATGGAAGAAAAAGATAATGAGATGATACCACATAATCCTCTGAGAGTTAAAGAAGACGAAAATCTTTCGAGTTGAGATTGTCAGAGCGAAAAATTTCGCGTTTTCTTTTCAATTGTCCTTCGAAAGACAAACGAGAACAGAAATAATCTGAACAAGCTCAGTTTCTTGGCCTTATCATGAACATGCTTCAGAATGAATTTATGTGAGCGTAAAGAGATAAAACATGTCACAATTCTTTTCTTAAATTTAATTATCTCAAGTCCTTTATAAACTTAACATCTGCTGGAAGGATCAAAGAAACGATAAAACTTGTTCTCAAGGCTTTCATTGCTTTAAATATTTACGCTATGACTGTCGGGGACATCGGGTGAATGAAAGACGGAAGAGGACACAAACGTAATTTATCATATACCCGCTTCGAAGATGAGTTTTTTTTTGTCATTTCGCAGGGTAGAAGAAAAAATAAAGGAGACAATTTAAGATAATGTCGTAGTAGAGAAGAAGCTCTTAAATTCCATGAAACATCATCCCCATCATCTTCATTTTCTTACACACAAAAAAAAACGAGAAGGAAAAATTAAAGAAGAAGAACAAAAGTTTTCCTTTCTCTGCTGAAATGTTCTCGTTTGAAGAGATTAGAACCGCAATGTTTCATTCTTCTTCCATTTTTGCTACGTAAAGAGGGTGGGCCAACATCCATAAAATTTCATCACCATTCTGTTTCTTATTTCGTTTTTTCATCTTCTGTTCCAAAGTTAAAGCTTAGGGTGATGATAATATTTAGATGGAGTTTGTGCTTTAATGTTTTCTTCCTGAAAAAAGAAGAAGCGATTTGCATGTTTGAAAAGTTTTAAGGAAATGAATAGAAGTGTTGAATACACAACGAAAGAAATAAATAAAGCTGATAGCTTAAAGTTAACTTGTCCGATCTTGTGTGCTTCGATAAAATTATGATGGATGTATTGTGTCATGATTATGATAAAAAAAGTATAAACAGTTTGCGATCATCAAAATTGATGTTGTTGTTCTTACGTCGTGCTGTATAATCAAAAATAATTTTACCCCAAACGCAAAATAGAGAAAAGCGTCGTGTTTTAGTTGAGTTTCAAAAACAGCAAACGACCAAAAAAAAAAGAAGGAAAAACACCAGACAAACTTTAATCGATAATTTTCTTCTCGCTCATTGATTGGGGTCGAAGCTTATACAGTCACTCATACAATGTGAACATTTTCACAGCGTCGCTCTGTATGAGAAATCCATGAAAACCCCTCGAAATGGAAATTTTCCGAAATGGAAGAATTTTCCCTCTTCATTCTTTCAAGCTGAAAATGTTGTTTTGTGGGGGGAGGGTACAACAAAAGAGAAATGTAATTTATTCACCCTCGAGGAAAAATGTTGGGATGAAATGTGAATGTATGAGTTGGCAGCATCAGCAGCGCGTGTACCATCTTCTGTTGGAATGATGACGAAAAAGGTTCTTCCTACTCAACTTCTTTATGAAAGCATGAAAATAAAAAATGGAACAATAAGCAATGCGTACGTACATAAATACAAATTTTCTTTCTGTCGATAAAGAAAAATATCTGCAAACAAAGCTTAAAAGAAAAGCTTCATTTTCAATTGTAGATCGAACAGAAAGCTTACGCATAATTGATTTTTTTTTTCTTCATCGTAGAATTTCCATGTTATGAAGATTCGTAAATTTATTGGAAAATGCTTAAAGAGAAAAGTTTTCAGTATAAAAAGAAACCAATACTCTTTACCCTCCACGTGTTTCCCACCTCTTTTCTATTACGATTTTTATGTATTGTGCGTAAATTCTTTCTCCCCCATTTTCATCATTAAAAGTACAAGGAAAAAAAGTAGAAAAAAGCAAAAGAAATCATCCCCCATTCTATGTTCTTGCCTTTAAGCAAATCGACCCCGTACCATCGACGCTTGATGCTGTATACGATTTCCGACCAAGAAAAAAACCGTTCAAGAAAGGAAAATAAAAGAAAACAGGAAAATTCCACAAGATTTATTGCCACAATTTTTCCCCTGAAGAAGTCGTTGCGTGTTAAGTAAAAGAAGAAAAAAGAAAGAAAGCAGAAATTGCTGATATCCTGGGCAGTTATAAAACAAGCCGAAAGTAGCTTTAAAGAAAAAGTAAAGGCGTTAATTAAGTTACTGGAAAACAAGAAGAAAAGCATAAAGAAAATTAATAAGAAACTTTAACAACCCTCTTCAAAATTCTCATGCGACAACTTTTCAACATTATGAGTTCTGTTAACAAAAATAAAAGCCTGACTCGACTTATTCACTCACACACATTCAAAGTTTTATCGATCCTGAAAATTTCCCATCCTATCGTACTCACACACACACACCCATTCTTTGCTTTTACCATTGTCATGCTTTAATGCATCATGTTTTGGATTTTCGGGTTTATTTCAGTTCTTGTTCTTTCATGCTTTTCAAGACTTTTAAATTTAATGCTTTCAGTTTTTCGAATTCATTTTCATGCTGTAAAAAGTGTTTTGCTCTTTGTATAAATGTATTCGTGTGCATGTGTAAATTTGATATCCAGTTTAGTTTAATCCCTCATGCATTTCAACAGAGGAGGGTTTTTCCTGTTTCGCAACGTCGGTTGAAGGGTCATATGGGGTTTGAACGTATTTTACTTGCTTTTTGTTATCCCGATTCATGTTTGCGTTCACAATCGACCGGATCGATGTTTGGCTGTAACACGGTACGGGGCCAATGGCCTATAATTTCTATATCTAACTGCAATGAGCTTCAGCTTACCCGTGTTGAGTTCTGGTTCGAGGTTTTTATTTATTCAGGCGAACCTTAGGCGAACATTTGTTGTTTCAAAATCACGCATAATTTATGAATTGTTTTCACTGATGTAAACGTTTTCGATTGCGAAACATGAAAACGACGATGGTCGAAATTTACTCGTGCGTGAATAATTAAAAATTTATCACAATAATGAACTTCTTTATGTCTGATTCTAATATAAAAAAGTTCTCTTCATTTTTTCGTTTGGAAATGATTTTTTTTTATTAGAAAAGTTTTCTTTTACGTTTCGTAATCAAAAAATGCAAAGAAGATTGACGCAAAATTACCTTTGGGTGTCGCAGATTTTTTTTCTTCTTTTCAAGTTTCAAACTTTTTTTATTTCTTACCAAATGCTCAAGAGAGAATTCATTGTCGTTAGAATGGAACAAGTTTCAAGCTGGTAAAATGTTTCTATCATTCAGTGTACGCTTGAATAGCAGGAAAATGGTAACATTAACATAATTCCCCATTTTCGTTGTGTCGTAAACTCTGAAGCAAGTAGAAAGGATTGAAAGGGGTTGAATGGTTGATTATGGTATTCAGTAATTTTTTTTCTTGCCTTCGCACAAAACGTTGGGATGGAAATGGAAAAAAAATTCCTTTCCTACAAATGCGTGCATTAAAAATATATAAAAAAACCTTCAAGTAAAACAGCAAAAATGTGGAACAAGCTTGAGTAGGTTTTTTCTTTTTTATTTCATTCACTCTATTATTATTATTTCTCTCTTTTTTTTGACGTTTTAAGGCGACAGAAAAATCTTGAGAATTTCTTTGTGGAATTTGTTTTTATCTGCGAATTTTCAGCCTAAATTTTTGAATTTCACATTTGTGGTCTTGGGGAATGTTGGATGGAACATTATGGAATGACAATGAAATCAAGAAAACATAAATTGTTCAGTCGCGTTGAAATTCAATGCCTTAAAGGCAGGTAATGAGAAGAAGCCTAAAGGATGAATTTGCTTTCTCGTTATTAATCATTTTCAGCTTCATTTATTAAAAAAATATTTGATTGGATAAATGGATGAGTTTACATTTCCGATGGTTGATTAAATAAGAGTAAATAATATTCACTCAAAATCGAATGAGATAAAAATCAATTACTTGACAAGATTTATTAATTTTCATCTTGAATCGTCTTAAGATGACTTTGTTGAGAGTCATTTATAATCCTCAAGTCATGTCCGTTTACTTCATCTTGCTGCACTTTAATCAGGAGACGAGAAAGAAGGAAAATTATAAATAATCCTCCTTTGTTCGACGATCAACAAATTTCACAGACGTTTTAACTACATCACATATTCAATTAACTTAAAAAATCTTATTTCCCTTCATCCACTCTATCTTTGTGTGTGTATGTGAATTGCAGTTGGTTTGAATCTTGTTTCCGAATATTTTCTTTGTCGTTCTCTGAAGTTTGCAAACGAAACGATCATTTAATTTTTTGATTGATTGCTTCAGCTCTGCCAATTGATTTTGTTTTGGTGCATACATATTTCATTAAATTTATGTTGTATCGCTTATGGCATGAGCAAACACAACAACTATTCCGAATCATAATAAACTTTATGAATTCACTTTTGGCTAAAATTTCCATAAAAAAACACTTGAAGTATGAAGTCGAATTGAAGAATTAACAAAACAAAAACTGGCCCGAAAAAAAACCTCGATTTGCAATTTTATTTATTGCCAATTGCATTTTTTCCATGCAGCAAAGATTTAATTTCTGCTTCTCTTGCGCTTGCTTTTATTATGCTATGAAAGAATGCTTAAAAAACTTTTTTTTTTGTGTATGTCTCTTTCGTTAACTTATTTCTCAATTGCAAAGTCAATCAAAAAAGCGAAATGAAGCTTTTGTTATTCTCACGCTCGGACATACTTTAAAGGAAGCTTAAAACCCATTATGGGATCAAAATGTATTTGCTTTGAGACTAATATCGTGATGGATGAGCGAACTCACAAAATGGTGGTCGAGGAAAATTGTTTTTCCTCTCGTCTGATGGTTGTATGTTGTATATAACATAAATATTGTGTCAGGGTGAAGCAGAACTGACATGCTCGATTTATAATGCATGATAAAATGTGCTGTTGATGGGATCGGGATTTGAAATGTTGATATTTACTTTTCATTGTTCATTCAACCCTGCGATGCTTCTTTGATCCCTTTTAATAGGACGATACGTGCGATGAAATACTTTTAATTGCATACTAAATAAAGACAACGTAAAAAGAGCTTCATTTAAAGTCGAGTAATAAAAAAAAGACTTTTCGATTATTGATTTAAAAGTTGAAATAAAGTCACAGCAACTGGCAATCACATTTTAGCTTCTTGTTTCATTTCTCTGTTTACTTGATGCCGCTGTTACTGCTGCTGCAACATAAAAAGTTATTACGCCCATTCACAATTCGAATGCAATTGCCAACCGCGACGTCGTCAGATATTATGCAATTTAAAATTTAGTTCAATGTTAAATCTGAAAAAAAAATGTTAAGTTTTGTTGTTGTTTATGGTCACATGGAAAGAGTTGCTGCTTGTCTTCTTATCAGGTTTTTGTGGCTCGTTCCTTTACGACAATAAATACTTATTTTGTCCTCATATGACTTGAGTTCTTCCATTTTTTATGACTCACAGGCGAAGAAGAAAGAAAAACACTCAAGAATGAAAATCCATTTTTGTGGGCAGATTTGAGACGCAATCTTCAGTCGTTGAATTTTCCAGAATTTCATATATTTTCACTTTTCGCCGCTGGAGACTTTTATCCACCCTGAGAGTCGCGGCAAAGCTCTTGTTCATCTCAGCATGTTTACCAGAGTAGAAATTGCATCATCTCTTAAATTATTTACGTCTCCCAAGTCCCAATATGTTTATACCTACTTGAGTAAAAAAGAAAAAGTATCCACTTGAGACATTCGATTTTTTTTTACTTTACTTAAAAAATCTCAACTCAAAATGTTGATAAAACAGAAAGAAAAGGAAAAATCAATAAATAAATATTTTTTTAAGCTTCACCGTGTTGGACTTTTCATTAATTTTTATTACTTTTATGCTTTAATGCTATCAATGAATCAGATTTACCTCAATGACCTGAACTATCGAAATTATTTATTGTCACATGCTGTTGATAAGTTTTTACATTTTTTAATTAAAATTAATTGGTTTCAAACGGAGAAACGTACAAAAAATGTTTGAATTCTTACTCACTCGACTGTTGTTATCGTTCAAACAACGGGAAAAATGAATTGTTTCTATTTCTCAGCGTATTTCAACAAATTTTATCTTTTGTGAAAATCATCAAATTATGAACAATCATTGAAGTTCAATCCCCTCTTTAATGACAAAAAAAAACTTTAATTATTGACCTTCAATAAAGAAAAGGAAGAGAGGGGGGCGAGTTTAAGTATTAACAACATTTAACGCTTATCTGACGTTTCCGAAAAACGTCAAAGCTCAATGACACAGTGAAGGTTAAACAAAACACAATGAAACTTCCAAGAACGTGAAAAAAAATAAGAAAATTGAAACATTGCTAAAATTATTGACTTAAAAATTCAAAAAAAGAAACAATAATTTGAAACTTAGAAGCGAACATTTCTGACGATTGTCACTCGTTATAACTCTTCATTGAGTAAATACCATCTGTCGCTTGAATATTTAGTAGATATTTTATTTTTGTGCGCATAACTGATATCATTTTTATAGTATAGAAAATAAAGCAACACAATTTTAATGTATATCATTTAATTATATCTTACAGATACAAGTCGAGTCGAGGCCCGGTGCTCAGATCAACTGAACGTCGTCGCCCGCAATCATTATCATCCGTCACAACACAGCCATCGGCATCATCAAGCAATCCACAATCACCGTCATCACAACATCACACAGCACAGCTTCATCCTCAACAGCAAATTGAAAGCCAACAGCAACAACAACCACAACTTATACCGACAACATCATCAACATCAGCTCAAACTCCAACACTCGCCGCACATCATCCGAGTGGTTCACAAGCGATAACACAAACGACATCATCATCACCTCGTGTCATACTCAGTCGCATCGATCAGCGTGAAATTGATCGTTTTCGTGTGTCATATAAGGTCGCCATACGCAATTCACGCACGTCCCGTTTCAGTGGCATGAATATGGGTCAAAAAATTTCAGGCGGAGTTAAATCAGTGACGCGCGATCATCAATCGGCGCCACACAAGCCAATCATTCCCCGTGAGCTCGCTAGTTTCTTTACACGTCCCGCTCGCTTAGATGTGCTTCTCGATATGCCGCCAGTGGCACGTGAAGTGCAAGTTAAACACTCATGGAATGCCGACGATCGAAGTTTGAATGTATTTGTGAAAGAGGATGATAAATTGACATTCCATCGGCATCCAGTTGCACAAAGTACCGACTGTATACGTGGCAAAGTTGGCTTCACGAAAGGCCTCCATGTGTGGGAAGTGAATTGGTCAACACGTCAGCGTGGAACACATGCGGTTGTTGGTGTTGCAACACTTGAAGCTCCACTCCACAGCGTCGGTTATCACAGTCTCGTTGGATCAACAGATCAAAGTTGGGGATGGGATTTAGGACGAAATAAATTGTATCACGATTCAAAGAATGGTACGGGAATTACGTATCCGGCGATTCTCAAACCGGACGAGACATTCCTTGTACCGGATAAGTTTATGGTCGCACTTGATATGGATGAGGGCACGCTTAGCTTCATCGTTGATGGACAATATTTGGGCGTGGCTTTTAGAGGATTAAAAGGAAAGAAATTGTATCCTATTGTTTCGGCGGTCTGGGGACATTGTGAAATATCAATGAAATATATTGGTGGATTAGATCGTGAGTATTCATGCATATTTCTACGATTTTGATTTATTTAAATTCTTCTCATTAATAATCGTTGCTGGTTTGGAATCAAGATTTGTTTTTATAAAAAAAACGAAAAAGCGTTTGTGGATATTCTATCCAAACCAACGTCAAACAATCAGATCATCATCGCTTCTAGAACTTGCTATGATTTATTCAATTGATTGACATTTCAGTCAGCTCTAATTCATATTATTAAAGTTTTTCTATCTTAGAAAATGTTAAAGATCATATTACAAATTAATTAACATTGAAAAGTTCAAGTTTAAAACACAAATAGAAGCAAATTAGATGTTGATGAGAAGATTTCTCACATTTTCTGTTTCAAAGATTTCTAACGTTTTGTTTTTCTTGTTTTAGCCGAGCCACTGCCACTGATGGATTTGTGTCGTCGTGTGATTAGACAAAAAATTGGTCGTAGCCATTTAGAGGAGCACATTAACGAGCTCGCACTGCCGGCATCGATGAAGACGTATCTGATGTATAAGGATCGAAGATAATAGGACAAAAGTATCTTCATAATGTCCAGCAAATAAATTGAAAAAAAAAGTTAAAAGTAACAACAACGGAAACAACAAAACGTGATGTCAGTTTAAACATAACAAAGAAAAGTTCTTCAATCTCATCAATTAACTCATCAGCATTGATTAGACTACAATAATTAAATATTGGAAATACGGCACAAAAATTAAGAAAAAAAAAGAAAATTATTTCTAAAAAGATTAAAAAAATTGTAATTATTTGTTTCGAGAGAACTTTGCGTCGTGTTATTATAAATCTCGTCTTCAAAGTAGCAACAACAACTATTCAATATTAACGACGAAAATTGAGATAAAATTTTCTTTATAACTTATTATTCTTCCAACCAAATAAACGAGTTGAATGTCGCTTATCAAGTTAATTAAGCGATGTGACAAAAACACAAAACGAATGAATTGAAAACTTCCTCAGAAACTTTTAAACTAAAACAACATCAAAAAAAAATTAATTTTACTGTAACTTATTTTCTTAGATTTTGGGTGATTTTATGATTAAGATGAGGAAGGTTCATTCGACGATATTTAATGACGCAATTTAATCTCTTCGAAAAATAACACAAGAAAAATTATTAGAATTCTTTTTTGAAAACAATTTTCCTCTCTTGGCTACGGAATAAAAATTACATAAACATATATTTTTTTACACAAAAGAAAGGTAAAGAAGAAGACGAAATGTTGATGTTCTCGAATAATAATAAACAAACCATACACCCACACAAAAATAAGTAAAAGATTGTAACTGTTAAACAATTGTTTGTTTTTTTGCATCATAAAGACCGCCACACCAGTCTCCCAAAAAAAAGAAAAATTATTAAGAAAAATGAGAGAAAGCATAATAAAAAATAAAGAAAAAACACTTTTTCAACATACATAACATTTGTAATTAAAACAATTAGAGTTTCAAAAGACTATAATTAAATTTAAAAGATGAAGAAGAAGTGAAAGTTTTACTTAAAAGAAATAAATAAAAAGAAGATGTAAGAAGAAGGAAAACCTTAAAAGTTTGCAATAAATTAGTAAATGATGGCTTAAGATAGACGTCGAAAGGCGAATGCAAAAATAACAGAAAGCCTTCGAAATCTTTTTCGTGTAAATATCTAAGAAGTTTTGACAATGGTTTTTTTCTTCTGAATTCTTTATTAAAATTCTTTCGCTCATGATGACTGAGCGCTTAGAATTTAAATAAGAAGTTTGTGAGGTCAACTGATATGGTGACGACAGAATGTATTTTGTAATAATTTTTATTTCTTGTGCGTAAGATAAAAACTGATTGGATAAGATAATAGCGGAAAGTTTGTTTTGAAAAATTTAAAAGGAGTATGAAAAGAAATTGCGAGAGAGAAACTCTAAAAATATCTTTTAGTAACACAAATGTTCTCGACGCGTCACGCTTTATAATTTCCCGTAATATTTTTTTTTCTATTTTAATTTTATTTTCATAATTGATTAAATAGTTTTCTCCGAAATACTTATTTTAGATCAATTTTTTCTGTTATTATTTGTGTAGGAAATTATTAAAATCGCGTCATAAAAACGATTTTGCTGAAAGAAAGAGTCGAGGAAAATTAGGCTTTAAAATCTGTGTAAAGATCTCTTGAGTTGCGCAAGTTTCTTATCAGTCTAAGATGTATGCATAGAAATTCGAAGCCAGTTGAACATGATAACAAATATGGACAGTGTGATGATAAAAGAGAAAGAAGATAAATGCAAATTATCATTAAATTAATATTCGAATTAACTGAAAAAAAAAAATAAAGAAAAACAACAAAAAAGTGGTAAAGAAAACACGTAAATTAAGGATATGGAAATTGAATAAATAAAATAAATAAATAAAAGAAACAACAACAGCAAAATGAATTAAATAAGCGAATAAGTCTAGGCAGAGAAACAAATTTTTTCAAATTTTATTATTATTTTTATACATGAAAAGAAATCTTCTCTTTCAATTTCCTTTTTGTTTAATTTAACATTGTTCGACAAGGATTTAAAAAAATCATTTAATGTATAAGGATAAAAATGCTGTAATAAAAACATAATATAATTAAATTGGATGATTGTTTTCACTTCTTTCTTATCAGCCAGTCAACTGAACGTTTAACACTCCCAAGAAGCATTTTTAAAGTGATTAGATTCGGTAGGATTTTCTGATGACCAAACCTTAATTCTGAGTGACATTTCATGAAGGGCTTGCTTGCTTTACACGCTTCTCACTCCACATGTAATTCAAAGCAACAATAATATTTCAATCATTTTAACTCCCACACATTCAGATATTTATCTACCGTTCGTTACTGAAGCCAATTCAACTAAAAGCATTGAAAAAGTTCCCAAAACGAGCTTTAATAGTTATGAAGTCATCGATTGAAAATCTTCAATAAAAGAATCTACAAGAAGCAATAATTTGTGCGTGAACTTCTCTAAAACTGTGTGAGAAATATCAAGCTTGGAAGTGATCAACACAAATGAATGAATTCCCCAACACTATTAAATTCTTCTCTCTTCCTACCATCGAAATTCATTCTCAGAAATTTCTTTCTTTTCAGTCTCATTTTGTCGGTCGAATATTCAAAACCAAATATCTGTCCACACTTTTAAAAAAAATTATATTCTCAAACCAGTTTGCTTCAATATTTTTATTACGTAGATAATTAAAGGTAAGTTTTCTTCACAATTCTACAAATATAAGTTCTAAGATTAAATTGAAGCCAAACAGTGAATAATTTAGTAGTATTCGAGCTGCTAAACCATAAAAGAGAGACATTTTCAGAAAGCACTGTCAGTATTTTATGTCTTTTCGAGAAGAAGAAGTTCGGGTGTATCGAAATTGGATTCTTTCCAAGTATCATATTTTGTCGGCTAAATTATAAAGTTTAAGAAAATTGATTGTGTTGATGTTACAGAAGGAAATAAGAGATTAGATTGAAAGTAATAAGAAATGGATATGTTTGCTTCCTACTTTCAATATGGAATTGACATTTGAAAAATAATCTTTGAGTTGTTTCTTTGAATTTCTTTCTGTAATCAGAAATGAATGAGACCAAGGAGACTTGCAAATGACTTAATGATTAACGTGACTAAAGTGAAAGATCATTTATTACTCACACCCGCGTTGTTTTATGACTCATGAAGTAGTTTAACAAACTCAATGATGTCATAAATAGATCGGATCGTCATATTGTAATTCTTTCATTTTACAATGTTCGTGGGAAACTAAAATAATCTTCTTTGTGTTGTTCACGATCAACATTTTCAATGACGTGGCATCATCGCCAACAATATGTTTGGACAATTAGCATAGAATATCAAAAAAAAACTTTATTCAAGGTTCTTATTTTTCAATGTTTCTTTTACAGAGATCTTCAAAATATAAAACAGCTTCAACATGTTTCCATTTGTAAGTAAAATCCTCACCATCGATGATTGTCTATTCAATTTAATCAAATGACTCGGAAATTTTCTCATAATTTCTACCTTGAAATTGAAATTAAAATTTTCACAGGGTTCCGGAATGAGATCAACGAATCCACAACAATATCCTTCCCCTTCCGCTCCTCCATCGGTTCAGACTAATCCCGATTATGGTGGCCAACAAATGCAAATGGCACAACCTTTTGGGTCGGGAATTGGTTTTAAACCACAACTGACTAACAATGTTCTTCCTTCCAATTTCCAAAGTCCACCTTCAGGCTTTTCCAACTTTCCTCAAACATCTCATCCTAACCCAAATTATTCACCCAACTATCAATCACCTCAAAACAATTTTCCGATTAATCAAATGGATCAACGTTATCAGAGCACGTCACCACATGTGCCATATGGTCAAGGTGTCCCTCAATACAACTTTTCACAATCTCAAATGCCTCCTAACATTTATCCGAATCTCAATCAATCTGTTCCATTCTCTTATACCCAACAACATCCTTTATCCAATATGCAACGATCGACCAGTGGCTACATGAGAAAGGTAAATTTTTGGTAACATTTGGAGAGATTGAGCTTTGATTGAATTTACAAAGAGATGTGAAAATTCAATGACGATGACTGATTAAAGCTTTCTCATTTCAGGGTACACCAACAATTCTTCCAGCTGAGAACTTTGATCCCCAAGCTGATTCAGAAGTATTGAGAAAAGCAATGAAAGGTTTTGGTTGCGATGGGAATGCTCTGATTGATGTTATTTGTCATCGAAGCAACACACAACGTCAGGTATTCAATTCTTATTCACATCATTTTGCAACATTATTAATATAAAACAATTTTAGGATGTACAAAAAGTCTTCAAGACAAATTATGGAAAAGATTTGATTGAGAATATTAAATCAGAGACTCGTGGGAATTTTGAAAATCTTTTGGTGGCTTTGTTGACACCAATTCTTGATTTCTATTGCAACGAAATCAAAGATGCTTTAAGCGGCATTGGAACCGATGAAACATGTTTGATTGAAATCTTATGTACGTTATCGAATCAAGAGATTCATACAATTAAAGCACATTACAGTCGACTTTATGGACAAGATTTGGAAGAGGCAATTATGGGTGACACGAGTGGTAGCTTCAAGAGACTTCTTGTTTCATTGTGCACGGGAAATCGTGACGAATCAGGCGTTGTCGATCCAGATAAAGCAAAAGCTGATGCAACTGCTTTGTTACGTGCTGGAGAGCTGATGTTTGGAACTGATGAATCTGTCTTCAATTCCATTTTGTGTCAAAGAAATTACGAGCAATTGAAAGTAGTTTTCAGGGAATATCAACAAATGACGGGACATTCCTTTGAACAAGCCATAAAAAATGAATTTAGTGGCGACATTAAAGACGGTTTTCTCGCAATATTCCGATGTGTCAATAACAAAGCTGAATTTTTTGCTCATCAACTTATGAAATCGATGAAAGGTTTAGGTAAGTTTAGTCAGAACATTTCATTGAAAACCAAAAATTAATATTTTGTTTTTATAATTTTAGGAACAAACGATCGTCAGTTGATTCGTTTAATTGTAACACGTTGTGAAATTGATATGACGGAGATCAAAGGTGCTTTTGAACGACTTTTTGGTGAAACTTTGAAGGATTGCATTAAAGGTGATACATCTGGCGACTACAAACACGCTTTGTATGCATTGATTGGAGAAAAGCGGAGCTCATAAGATGTTAATGCTTTAAACTTTGAAAAGTTTTGTCTTCATATACTTCTCATGCATTATTTATAAGAAGTTTTCAGAGTTTTTACAACTCAGCAACATTTAAAAGTAATAAGATACAAATTAAAAACTTAAATAATATTTTCATGCTCAGTTATGCGTTAAATCTCAAAGGTCGTTTCGTAACATTTTAAATTTATGTTTTGATCATAAATTACAGAAACAAATTTTATACAATAAATCAAACAATTCTTACCACCTCATGCTCTTTTGTTTATTTTCAATTAATTAAAATGGAATTGATAAGATTTTTTAAAAGAAGGGAATTGCGTGACGTTGCTTAACGTAACGTATACGTTGAATGATTACACTACGTTTTGTTAACACAAAGAGAGAGCGAATCAATCAAGGGGTAAGTAAACTACATTTTTAACATTTGTTTAACATTCCGGCGCATCTTCTTTATTCCCCTTGAATTCAAGAGAATTTACTTGGCAATAATAACCAAGGCAATAACATTTATGTGAGCAGCTTACTAACACTCAGCAAAACTCGCTCGCGAATCTTCTTTTTCTAACTAACTACATCCAAGTTTTGATAATTCTTATGAACGTACAACTCGCAGTGTTCAGACGCAAATATTGTTTTCTCAAGCTAATCTTTTATTTTCACAACTTATTTTGACAATTTAAATTTAATTAAACATTAATCAATCGAATACAGTGTTGAAATGTATCCTAATGTGAGTGTTTTGTGTAAATTTCTCTTGGAAATGTTTGAAAGTAGTTTTATTTTTGTTTTTATAGTTTCCCAATCAACCACCTTATCCTGGTGGTAATCAAATGCCTGGTTATCCACCAAATCAGCAAGGATTACCTTATCCTGGAGATCAAACAGGATACCCGTCACAACAAATACCTGGATATCCTCCACAACAATATGGAATGCCAGGTCAACAGCCTGCATATCCGCCTCAGCCTGGTTATCCACCTCAGTCTGGTTTTCCATCACAAGGCCAGTCAGGTTACCCATCTATGCAGCAATATCAACAACCACAAGCAAATTACTATCAACAACCGCCAATGATGCAACAACAAACTGTTAGTGCTGTTTATGGTCAACAACCAATGAGATCCCAGGTGAGTTAAACTTTATTGATTTTCCTACTAAAAGTTTTGACGAACCCACATAGAAAACTACGAATAAATTTTCTTGTAATTACATTTACGTGTTGCTTATCTTGATTATCATCTTGTCACTTAACAGGGTAGACCAACAGTTGTTCCACCTCCAAACTTTAATGCATCAAATGACGCAGCTGCTTTACGTAAAGCAATGAAAGGATTTGGAACTGACGAAGATGCAATCATTGAAGTTCTTTGCCGACGAACAAATGCACAACGAATGGAGATCGTTAAAACTTTCAAGACAGCTTATGGAAAAGATTTGATTGATGATATCCAATCAGAGTGTCGAAACAACTTCTTAAGTGTTTTGATTGCATTATTGACACCACTGCATGAGTATTATGCTCGTGAATTGTATGATGCGATGTACGGTGAAGGAACTGACGAAGATGTTTTAATCGAAGTTATGTGTGGTTTGCCAAATCGCGACATAAGAGCGATCAACGCTATGTACGGACGAATTTTTGGTAAAACACTCGAAGATGCATTAAGAGAAGATACTTCGGGATGTTTCAAGAGGATCATGGTGTCATTGTCGACAGGAAATCGTGATGAATCAATGATGACTGATGTCAATGCTGCAAGCATTGATGCTCAGGCATTACGTGATGCTGGCATCGCTAGAATGGGCACTGATGAATCTGAATTTAATCGAATTCTTTGCTTGAGAAATTACGAACAAATTAAATTGATTGCACAGGAATATGAGAAACTTACCGGTCATACCCTGGAGAAGGATATCAAGAAGGAATTCAGTGGTGACATTGAAGATGCGCTTGTTGCTGTTTTAAGAGTCGCTTTAGATCGCTCCGAATTTTTCGCAAGACGTCTTCATAAAGCGATGGCAGGTCTGGGAACAAATGACAGAGATCTGATTCGTTTAGTTGTCACAAGATGTGAAATCGACTTGGTGGACATAAAAGAAGCTTTTCAGAGAAAATATGGAAAAACATTAAAATCATTCATCAAAGGCGACACTTCGGGTGACTACAAACACGCTCTCTATGCTTTGATCGGTGAAAATCGTAGTTAAATTAATTACAGTGCAAAAATTTGAATCTTCATGTACGTTTGAAAATAAATTTATTTCAAATTTTTTGTAAATGTTTTGAAGTAATGAAAAATTTCCAAGAATTTTCTCTGCCAACAATATTTTTACAATGCAAATGTCATTGAATAAATTAATTAACTTTCTAAGTGTAACTTTAATCAATGTACCTTTTCATGTGCCGAAATAAATAAATTTATGAATCTTATTGTGAATTATTCATCTTTTATTAATGATTCAGAATCAATGACGTTAAAGGTTTTTTTCCTTTCACAACAGACGTCATGAGAAATTTGTAAACAAATGACGAAAGTGAAGAATTTAAACTGATGATTCATTTGATGATTTAATTTAATTGTTTCACAATTTGTATTAGTAGGGTACTTAACATAGATTCTCATTGAGAGAAGTTGAAACAACTCGGCGCCTATGTTATCACCACATGACAACAAATGCTGTACATTAAAATTGAATATTCCTGGACAGTTTGGCACCAATGATACTGTGACATGTCATGTCAACGACCGACATGAATGAAGCCTTGAAAAGTAAGAAAAAATCGACTTGTATTTGAATCTAACGCGAAAATATTTCCTTCTCTTCCATAAAAATCTTCGTATTAATTTTCCAAGTAATTTTCATATCATGCGACCAAGTTTATTTCTCTCTCAATGCTTTGCAATACACAAACTTCTGTGTACGTATACACAAAACTCTCTCATTTTGATTTTTATAAGAGGCTTTCGTATTAAAGTATTCATACGAAATGTATTTGTAAAGCGTTTTACTATTCATTCTTTGATCAGACGTCGATGCAGTCGTGTGTAGACACTTAAAACATACAAAGTAGAAGAAGACAAACAGGGCTCCAACAAAAAATAAGTTGTGAAATAGTTGAGTGCAAACTACTTCAAGGACTTTTAGCTTTTCTCGATGTATCCAAATGTAAGTGACAAACGTTTCAATGAGAATGCTTTCAAGTGCAAGCATGAGTGTTGAATATTAATAATTCTGTGCGATTTTTTTACTTTTAGCAAGGTCAACCAAATCCTTATGGCGGTTATCCAAACCAATTTCCTGGAGCGCCACCATTTGGAGCTGGATACCCTCAACAACAACAACCAGTTTTCGGATCTGGTTATCCACAAATGCCAATGCCTGGAATGCAACAACCTGGAATGCCAATGCCAGGAATGACTCAACCTGGAATGCCACAACCAGGTATGCCAGGAATGCAACAACCAGGCATGCCTGGGATGCCTGGAATGCAACAACCTCCATCAATGCCACAACAAGGATATCCTGGTCAACAACCACCACCAATGGGACAACAAGGATATCCAGGCGGTCCACCACAGCAACAACCAGGATATCAATCTTATCCACAGACTTCACAGCCAAACTATCCTCAAATGCCACAAGGAAACTTTGGAATGCCACCTCAAACTACTCCAATGATGCAACAACAATATTCTTATCAAAATGCCTCATCTTATGGTGCACCACCCCCGCAACAACAAATGTATGCCTCGCCAACTTATGGACAACACCAATCGTTATCTCAATCTAAAGTAAAGAGATTTTTTACATCAAAATGGTTTAATAGCAATTGGTTTAAATGAGCCAATCGTGCTTTCATTGTTATCACTTGCTAATCATTTTTGATAATTAACGAAATTATTTATATTATTTTTCATACATACTTTGTTGTTGTATTACCGTGTTGCTCAAACACTAAAAATTCCCTCATAAAAAGAAGAAACGAAATGTTAAAAGTGTTTGTTTGTGTATTCACAATGAAGTGAACAGACCAGATGTGTGTGAAATTAACATTTCCAATAGTAAAAATTTATATTTAGATGTTTGAACAATGCAACAACAACGAAAAAACTAAACTTATTTATATTGAATTCACCTAAAAATAAAACCTAATCTTATTTTTGAATTATTTTAGGGTCGTCCAACAGTTGTGCCAGCTTCAAACTTCAACGCATCTAATGATGCCGGAGCTTTAAGAAAAGCTATGAAAGGATTTGGAACTGACGAAAATGCAATTATTGAAGTTTTATGTCGTCGATCAAATGCACAAAGAGTTGAAATTGTGCAAACATACAAAACAGCTTATGGAAAAGATTTGTTGGATGATATTCGATCGGAAACAACTGGAAACTTTGAAGGAGTTTTAGTTGCACTTCTGACACATTCAACAGAGCTCTATGCTCGTGAATTGTATGAAGCGATGTATGGTGAAGGAACAGATGAAGATGTTTTGATTGAAGTTATGTGCACGATGTCAAATCGTGAGATTCGAGAAATTTGTATGATGTTTCAACGAATGTTTGGCAAGAGTTTAGAACAGGAACTGAGAAGTGACACAAGTGGTCATTTTAAAAGATTGATGACATCACTCTCGACAGGAAATCGAGATGAATCAATGGCGACCGATGTAAATGCTGCAAGGGTTGATGCCTCTGAATTGAAACGTGCTGGAATTGACAAATGGGGAACTGATGAAAGTGTCTTTAATCGCATTTTATGCTTAAGAAATTATGAGCAGATTAAACTAATTGCGCAAGAATATGAAAAGCTTGCAGGGCACCCTCTGGAGAAGGATATTAAACGAGAATTCAGTGGTGACATTGAAGACGGTCTTCTTGCAATTCTTAGAGTTGCACAAAATCGTCCCGAATTCTTCGCAAGACGTCTTCATAAGTCGATGGCAGGTCTGGGAACAAATGATAAATCTCTCATCCGTTTAGTTGTCACAAGATGTGAAAACGACATGATGGACATAAAAGAAGAGTTCCAGCGTTATTATGGAAAAACATTAAAATCTTTCATTAAAGGCGACACTTCAGGAGACTACAAACACGCACTTTATGCGTTGATTGGTGAAAATCGATCTTAAATCGACATATTTTAGAGAAATATTTCTCCTTTTAATGAATCTTTGCTGACACTGCTTTTATCTGCCACATAAATGTCTATTGTTTGAATAAAATTCATAAACGTAATGAAATAAATCGTTGGATGTCATTGAAATTTTAAATGTTAAATAAAGCTTTATTTTAATACCTTCAATATCGTTTGCAATTTCTGTAATCTGTCCACCAGGTTTAGAGATGAGTCTTTTAAGAAATGAGTGCTATTGCTGATGATTCGCCTCAAGTAACAAGTTCAATCATAATGTCTATTTTATTTTATTTTATATTTTTATTTTATTTTGTACAGTTAAAAGAAATAATATTTACAATATCAGAAGAAATGTGTCTAAAGCTCATTTTAATTTCAATAAAGCTGATTTGCAATGATGATGAATGAAAAAATATTTTCATTTACAGTTTTCAAACATAATGTGAAAATGTATGAAGATTGTGAAAAACTCTCGTGAAAAGCTTTTTTCCACTTTTTTCATGATCCAAAATTTTTGTTAAAATAACTTGAGTTAACAGATCATGCACGTATAACGTAGCGTAAACGCAACGCAGTTTAATTGAAATCATCTCCTCAAATTATTCTTACTCTCTTGTCTCTCGGCTTGGAAATGAGCGTAATCTTTTTAAAATCAACAAGTGGGTTTCAAGTTTTCTTGTTTTTGAAAGATTCATACAATAAAACTTTCCAGAGAACAAAGTAATTAAGAGATGTTCGAATGAAGATTTTAGTTTGGATCCGAATCCCTTAGTGATAACAGTGATAATTAATGCAAACGTGTTTGAAAAAATAATTGACCTGAAAATTTTAAAGGCGAAAAGAGATCGCTAATAAAATTCTTACTACACGTGAAATTTATTAAATCGACAAATAAATTTTATCCAGATCTGAAATAATGAGTCCTAATAATAAAATTTTATGGTAAGAAAAAGGTTTTATATAAATTTGCCTTTATTCAGCATAACCATTTACCTATCTAATAATCGAGAATAAAAGAATAACTTTCCACTTTTTTACATAAATATTTTTTTATCCGAACCGGACTTTAACCTTTTATCCGAAAAAGTTTTTCTCTTATGTCACTAGATGGCAGAATGTTAATGTAAACAGAAGAAACTAAAGAAAGTTACAAAAGCATAACAATATCTTGTAAAATATAGAAAACAAATGAGAACAAAAGGATGACGTAGGTTTCAACGATAAGGTTTTCACTCATACAAAATATTTATTGTTTTGCAACTTTCCCGGTCTATTTACGGCAAAACAATCATGATTTTTATATATTTACGCGCATTGCGACCTTTTGTAACTTTAATCAGATATGATATTTGTAAAGTTGTGAAAACAGCAGAATTAAGAATTGGCACAAGATTGGATTTTACTGCAAATTATTCAACTCAGAGTTTTGATAAAAGCAAACAAATGTTCGTATTTAGATGAATATTTCTAAATTCACAAAATCGCTGATTTCATTTTAAATTTTCTTCTTTAATTTCAAGTTCACCGAACGAAGCTCAACTTATTGACGGGAAAAAGATAGCAGAAGATATAAGAGGAGAACTAAGGGAGCAGATCCAAGAATATATGACTAAAGAAGGTCATAGAGCTCCTCAGTTAACTGCTGTATTAGTTGGTGATGATCCTGCAAGCAGAACTTATGTCAACAATAAAATGAAAGTAAGTAACACGAGAAGCTTCTTTTTTTTTTATTCTTATCAGAAGCTGATTAATTGTTTTGATGTTTAAAGGCCGCACGAGATGTTGGAATCAATAGCGTGACGAGGAACTTATCAAAAGAGATCACAGAAGATGAATTGTTATTAATAATTGATGAATTGAACAACGATGAATCAGTCGATGGAATTTTAGTGCAATTGCCATTACCCGATCAGATAAATGAGAGAAAGGTAAGAAAAAATCTTTGGTGGATGTCCGTAATTTAATCATAAATGAAATCATTTAGATTTGTAATTCAATAAGCTGCGGTAAAGATGTTGATGGATTCAACGAAAAGAATGTTGGTCGTTTATGTCTTGACATGAACACGCTCATTCCATGCACTCCTCTGGGTGTACAAGAACTTTTGAAAAGATCGGATGTTGAAACATTCGGCAAACATGCAGTTGTCGTTGGAAGAAGTAAGAACGTTGGAATGCCAATCATGATGTTACTTCATGCTGATGGTCGCAATGATACATGCGCTATGGATGCAACTGTCACAATTTGCCATCGATTCACGCCACCTGATCAATTGAAAAAGTTTTGTCTTATGGCTGACATAATCGTAACAGCAACTGGAGTTCCAAATCTCATTCGTGCAGATATGGTTAAGCCTGGTGCCACCATAATTGATGTTGGAATCACGAGAGTTGTTGACGAAGTCACGGGAAAAAATAAACTTGTTGGTGATGTTGATTTTGAGAATGTTAAAAAGATTGCTGGAAAAATCACTCCCGTTCCAGGTAACAAATCGATACTCAAAGTGGTTGAATAAAATTAACTCCTTTATTAATTTTTTTACAGGGGGAGTTGGACCAATGACAGTTGCTATGTTGATGCGAAACACTTTTATTGCTAGTAAAAAATTAGCAAAATTGAAACGATCCCAAAGTATTAAATGAAGGAATCAATTAAATAATCTTTTTTAACGATACAAACAAATTGTAGATAGTTGAAAATAAAATTAAATTGAATCTTTAATAAGAATAAATCAGGACTAGGAATTAACATTAATTTCGGTTTTTTGTCATCAAAAATTCTAAAATCTATTTCTGATTCCTTCAAAATTAATAATTTTAAATTATTTCGGTTTTCGTTTTCATTGCCAACCTCTGAAATAAAGTTAACAATAATCGACGGATGACACTCCCTCGTCAAGTTCAGCTTATGATAGTGACATCATACCTTCATTAATTATGTATACGAATAAATAGTTTTGATCACTAAACTTGTTTCTTGTTTTTTTTTTCTTTTTTGTTGATGTTGCAAAACCAGCTGCATAGTTTTTTTACAAAAATATTTCGTTTGTCATGTTTAGTTTGTGATAAGACTTTGAAGTTGGAGAATGGACTTTCAGGAACCGACAAAGTCTCACGACAATTTCTTAGGGCGACCAAGTCTTGTAAGAGTCGAGAAGATTGATGTGTCAAGTGATATTCAAATTTTACATAACGCATTAAAGTTTATAACAAGTAAAAGAAAAATCGTCGACGTTTTATGTTCGAGAACAAATCGTCAGAGAATTGAAATTATTAAAGCTTATAAAGCATGTTACGATCGAGATTTGGTTGAAGAATTTCAACGAAAATTTAGTGGAGATTTTCGTGATCTTCTGATTGCAATGTTGACACCAACTTATGAATTTTATTGTCGTGAGTTATTTGATGCATTAAATGGGACAACAGTCAATGAAGATACGGTCATTCAAATTCTGGTTTCACTTTCAAGTCGAGAGATTTATAACGTAATTCAAAAATATGTGAAACTCTACGGAAACCCATTGGAGAAAGATTTAAAGACAGAAACGAGCGGAAATTTCAAAAAATTACTTGTAGCATTAGCAAACGGAACACGAGACGAATCCAATGTCCTTGACCTTTATTCAGCAAGAGTTGATGCGATGGAACTGAAAAGAGCAGGAACTGAAAAGTGGGGGACCGACGCAAGTGTTTTTAATCGCATTTTATGTCTTCGTAACTTCGATCAAGTTCGGTTGATTTCTCAGGAATATGAGTTTGTTACTGGTCACCCACTTGACAAAGATATCAAGAAAGAATTCAGTGGTGACATTTTAGACGGAATTCTGGCGATAATCAGAATATCAGAAAATCGTGCTGAATATTTTGCTCGATGTTTATACAAATCAATGATTGGAATTGGAACTGATGACAGAGGACTCATCCGATTAATTATCACGAGATGTGAACTTGACATGGAAGACATTAAAGGAGAGTTTCAGAGAAAATATGGAAAAACTCTGAAATCAATGATAAAGAAAGACACATCAGGATATTATCGAAAAGCTTTGTTGAAATTGATTGCCGAATAATTATTTCTTCAATTTTTCAATAAAAATAATAAATTGACAATATGTAAAAATAAATTACGAGTTTTGTTACAATGTTTCTTGATTTATGAATATTTTTTTATTGTTTGTTGTTTGCTTATAGAATTGAACAGACAAGTTTATTGGAGGCTAATTATAATCGAATTATGTCCCTTAAAAACGAAACCAGAACGTGATAAAAGTGTAGGACAATGAAAGCTTGAATGATCATTTATTAAACTGCATGTAACGGGGTTTATTGTGTTTTCTAAAACTTCGCGAAGCTTCGTAGTAAAATAAATTAAGTAAAACCTTACAAATGTTTTGACCAAAGCAATGAAAAATCGAAAAGAATTCCAATCTAGGATTGGACTTAGAAGGCATCAAAGAAAATTGAATGAACAGAAAAGAAATGAAATTAAAATTAAAAATGAAGAATGGGAAATGTTAGAAGAAAATCCAATTAAAAAATGGTTCTCAAACTTTTGTAATCACACGACTATTCATGACATAACTTATCTTGGTCAATCGAATCTTCATTGGTCGGAAAGGTAATTGAAATAAATAAATTAACAAATCATGATTTGTTCATGAGAATTTTTTCTGACTCATTTGGGGTTCATCAGTTTTTGCTGCAATATTAGCTGTCATTTACATGTCGTTGTTGATTTCTCATAACTTTTTTAACAGTCCTTTGTCGACTGTTGTTGAAAGCACAATTTTCCCTGTTTCTGAAATATCTTTTCCAGCAATCACGATTTGTAACACCAATAGATTCCATAAGGAACGATTTCTAAAAGCTAAGGACATTTTTCTCCCTGATGCTGATCGGGAAACTCGTGAAGAATTTCAACTTTTTCTCACAAATTTGAATAATTCACAATTTGGTGCTTTCGATGAATTTGATGAAAAAGCTTTCAATCTTACACCAACTATGGAATTAAAATTGAATTCCTTAAATTTGACAGAAGTTTTTAAATTTGTTATGTTAAGTTGTGAAGAAATAATTTTTAACGATAAATGTTGGTGGAGAAATAAATATTTTAATTGTTGTGACAATTTGATTTATCTTCAAAGAAGTGGCTATGGACTTTGTTATAGTTTCAACAATGCGGTTTCTAACATTGGATTAAGAAGAAAAGTAGGTAATTCACTCTAATTGAACCAGTTCGTGTTTTATAATGAAAGAAATTTAAAATAATTTTAAACAGAAAAACTCTTCTGATCACTATCCGATGAGAAGTTCAATTGATGGCTCTTGGAGTGGCTTAAGAATTGATTTAAGCACAAGAACGGACATCGCCTTGAATCTTACAATTGACGGTGTGATTATAATTGTACATGATCCAAATGAATGGCCAAGTTCGGGACGTTTTGTTCCATCATCATCAGAAACTTCAATTGTCATTACACCAACAATTTCGTATACAACCATAGACGTCAACCAAATGTCATCAAATGAAAGAAAATGTCTTAATGTGAGTTGATTAAATTTAAATTCTTAACAAGAATGATAACACGAAAACATGCTTTTTCAGGAAGACGAATCAAAGAAATCTCAGACATTTCCCGGACTAAAATATCTTCAAATGAATTGCATGGATGAACACAAACAACAACTTCTCTTAAAATATTGTAATTGTATGTGGATTTGTTGTTTCCTATTGGTAAGCTGACCTTTAAAGAATTTTATTCATGATTATTTAAAACAGAATTTTCTAATTGAAGGAAATTTCACAAATTGTGGCTTTAAAAACTTTAAATGCTTGAATCGCTACAATTGTAAGTAAATTTAAGTATTCTTTGAAACAATGTAAAACTTTTCATTTATTTCTAAGCTAATTTGAATTCTGGTGGATTTCTTCATGATCTTTTTGAAACTGCAAGTGAAGAGTAAAAAATTTCAATAATTTTTTCAATTCATAACAAATAATATTTTAATTTTATCGTCTTCAGGTCATGTCTGCCAGAATGTAATCATGTTAAATACGCAATTGAAGTTGAAACGAACATTTTAGCGTAGGTTTCAATTCAACTAGTCAAGAAAGAAATTAAAATATTCTTTCTAGTGAGAGTAATATTACAACTTTGGATTTTAATTACCACTCGGCAAGTCTGGTAAGATATCGAACTGATATGACATTTGGATGGTTGGATCTCTTGGTGTCGTTTGGAGGGACTGCATGTATGAAGTGATGAATTAATTTAATTATTAAATTAATCAATCATTTTTTAGGCTTATTTCTTGGATGTTCCGTTCTTAGCGGAGTTGAACTTATTTATCATTGCATCAAAAGTATTTTAATGTTGTTAACTCAACTTCTAAAGAAACTCAAAGAACTATTTCATAGTCAATTGAATTCAGGTCAAGTAAATGTCATCATGATCAAAGAGTTTCAAAAAAGTAACAATCAAGCCACAAATATATAAAACATTTCAATGGAGTTGAAGCTAAAATTACACACAAAGCGAGAAAATTCAATCGGACTCGCTACTGAACTCGTCGTTCTCTCTCTCTCTTCCTTCCAATTTCGCTTTTTTCTTCTTCCCCGAAAATTAGTTTTCGATTTCATTCTGAATTTCTCATAAATTTCTCATCTAGTTAATTGATTTATAATTTAAACACAAAATATTTACGAGTGAAAAGAAAAGAGAAAAAAGGAAAAACTTTGTTTGGGTTGCATTTGGAAGTTACATCCCGCTGAATAATTTTCTTTCTCGGAAAATTTGTGATAAAGTTACTCTAAATGTTAACTGATCTTATTTGCGATTATTTTGTGACATCATGTATCAATATTTCCCAATAAGAAATCTCATAAATTCCACGAAAAAAAGTGAGTTGAAAGCCAAAGCAAACAGACCACCCAACCTTACGAAATCACTCTTCTTCCAGTTTAAATGTTTTATATTTTTTTTTTCTTCCCATCGACCCGATACAGTTCTCTGAGATGTTCTTCGGTCGATTTCATTGATGACTACATCATCACATTCTAGAAAAAAAAATATGTGAAAGAATGAAAACTTAAATTCTCTCTCATGCTTCTTTAACAAGAATCAAATTGTGCATCTAAATTGATGTTACTCCGAAGGTTCAATTTATTTTGGACATCCAACAGTTTCTTTCTTACTGTTAAATTATCTTATCATCCAATTTTCTTTCTTTTATACCTTTTCATTTCATTGTTTGCCTTCGTTTTTTCATTCTTAAAACTAACAACGTTACATTTGACCATTTGCTGAAAGCCGAAAATTGTTTCAGGCTATTCTTGTTGAGAAAACAAATAACAAATACCAAAGTCACTCATTAACGACGAGAAGAAAATAAAATAATAAAAAAGAGGAAGTTTGCTTAAATAATTTCTACCTGAATGATTTAATCCTTGGAGAAATTCATCGTAGATATTCACATCATTAACAATAAACGACATGAAGATTGAGAACATCTCACGATTGTGTTTACAGAATGAACAAGAATAGTGAAGTCATGATAAGACCATTTATAAGAATTCTAGCGCCATGAACCATTCGCCGAAGGAAAGTGTTTGAGTTAATATTTGTTTTTGTTATTTTCAAGCGTCGCTAAAGAAACCACGGGAGAGAGGCGCTCATTGCAATTCGAAAAATTTATGATCCGTCTACACTGACGAGTAGCATTTAACAAGTTATCTGTTCACTTCTTTGAAAAGTAACGTAAGTGAGGGAGTGTGAGTCTTAGGCCGCATAGCTCAAGATATAAAATACTTTAATACAAACAAAATTGAAACTCTGTGAGTAAATACTTCATTTTTACTTTACAACCTGTCCGAAAACCTGTTTTCTCTTCTCTTGTCTTAACAAAACTTTAAATAAATTTAGGAAAAATAAAAAAAAAGTACAGAAGACCTTCTCAAAAACATCTTCAAATGATTCAAAGAAACCGGCAGTGAATGTAGAGATTTCTTGTTTTGTTTTTTATATTGATTTGTATTTCATAATGTCAATGCGATTACAGCAGAAATTTTGTTTTCGTTTTCGCTATCACTCAACTCAATTAACTGAATAATTTCAATCTGTTTGTTTGTGCTCTCGTGAGAAATTAGTTCATGCTATGTACCAGCAAGCATCTCATTGGGATTACCAGTCATTTACACTTAGCTTATCAACTTTGTTATAAATTCTCTCGAACCTTTCTATGTATTTATTGTGGTTGCTTCGAAGTGTACGACAAACTTGTAAAAACATTCATAAATAGTTTTTAAAATTTGGAGTTTTTGAATAAAATTAGAAAATATTTCACGAATTTTGATGATTTCTTTTGAAAGTTAAACTAAATGAAACGTCATAAGAACCTAACTTTTGAAATAACTCCAACAATAATACTAAACAAGATTCAACTTTTACAATTATCGCATTCGACATTCACGCGAGCGAGAATTGTCTCAGTAATTAAATAAGTCTCGTTGAGTGACAATATTTTTCGCGAATAAATATTTTCATGGCTCACGCTTGTTGTCGTTATCAATTAATTATTTCCTTATTACGTACTAAACATTCAAAAGAAGAAAAGAAGAGAAGTTTTGAAGTTTGTAGACAGCTCGACTTCAGCTTATTAGCATGTCATGAAGTTGTTGGAGTTGACCTGTAAAGAGGCGGTGAAGAAAAGAAAAAAATAATCAACACACAGGTACAAAGATATCTTCCACTCTCTCGTTTCCCTCTCACACGTCTTGATGCCTTTTTTTTATTTTTGTATATTTCCAATAACATTCAACAGTTTTTATTGTTTCTTCATTAACGAAAGACGATTTCAAGATGCTCGTAAGCATTTCAGAGTAAATTTTGCTTTAAATCGATCGTGTTTGAAGAATTGTGGAGAATTTCAGTTGATGCCAAGTCGATGTAGACTTTAAGATCATTTTAATCGTAATAAAAGTGCAGTAACAGATTTTAAGTGAAACCCAAAACGACTTTTTTTGTGCTGTTGTGTTGTTAGTGTTTTTCAATTCACATTCTCGAGATCAACTTTTTAGCTCGTGCTTGATGTAGAAAAAAAGAAGAGAGCACAAAAAAAGGAAACAAATATTTTTTATCTGGAGAGAAACAAAATAAAAGTTTTACTTAAGGAAAAAAGAAAGAGAAAGAAAGAAAAGTTTCCAAGAAGTGAAAAGTATTTGGTGGGATAACAAAGTTTAATAATGACTCATAAACTACAAAACATTCTCTTCTTAAATCTCGTGATTTTTATGCTAATTTATTGCGCATATGCATCATTGAGTGGTGTTTATGTCGACAATGGACATCAAACGATCCTCCAGCATCAACTTACAAGAGACGAGACTCAAGAAGTTGAACATGAAATTTTAGATTTACTTGGATTAGCCGATCGACCGAGAAGAAAGCGACATCACATTCATCCTTCCCTAAGGTATTTAATTATGTCGAAAGATTCAGTGGTTCTGTCATGGGCTGTAATGCAGCCTGCAATTGCTATTCCATGAGATAATTTCCATAAGAAATGGAATCATAGTCAGCCTACACATTTATTGCTCTTGTATTTTAATTGCAACATAAATTGATCTTTTATTGGTAAACATTAATAAGCTTTAAATTTATTTACGATAGAAAATCAGCACCGCAGTTCTTATTGGATATTTACAAAAAGTTGAAAACAGCTGAAGATGGGGAAGATGAAAGAGTGAAACGAGAAATTAATGGCAATGAAATTTATCTCAGCCCAGCAGATGAATATGCAATTGATCAGTCGGATATCATCATGACATTTTTAAGCAAAAGTGAGTGAAATTGAAACATTGTTTTATTCGCAAATTATTTTATGTTTATGATTTTAGATCATCATCACGTACAACAAGAAATGCGACACGAACATGGACGTCGTTTGTGGTTTGATATTTCTGAAGTTGGTCGTGATGAAGTCACACTTATGATGGCCGAACTAAGGCTTTATCAAAACTCACTGCTCAGTAAGTTTGATGAAGAAAAGCCATTGACAATCAGCGTTTACATGATTGAGAAAAGACTCGAACAGGATCAAGTAACTTTGAAACTTTTATCGTCTAAGAATGCGACGACACTATCTGATGGTTGGCTTGAGTTGAATGTGACACAAGCAATGAAGCAATGGATAGGCGATAAAGACAGTAATCTTGGACTTATGATTAAAGCAAATTTAAATGAGAGACCAGAGAAAAATTTAAGATTTGATGATTTCGGTTTGATAAGCTCAAGAGGTGATGAAGACACTCAACCGTTCATACCTTTTATGGTTGGATTCTTCAAAGGTCAAGAGGTGAGAATTTTATGTCGAATTGCAGTCATAGGAAATTTAAATTTTATATCTTTTATTAAGATGATTAAACCTAAAAAAGATGTTCATCATCATCAAAGTAAACGATCAAAGAGGCAAACGAATCAGAAGAAAAAGAAGAACAGACATAATTCAGAACATCGAAATCCTTTGATTCATGGAGATCACAATCCCAAAAGTTGTCAAATCCAAACGCTTTATGTGAGCTTTAAGGATCTTAAGTGGCAAGATTGGATAATTGCACCAGATGGTTATGGAGGTAAATTGATTACAATTTTTAAGAAGCCATATTTATAATATTTCTCTTTTTAGCTTTTTATTGTGCTGGTGAATGTAATTTTCCTCTTAATGCACATATGAATGCGACAAATCACGCCATTGTTCAGACTCTCGTACATTTAATGCATCCGACAAAGGTTTGTTAGATTCAAAGTTTCCGAATAAATTTTTATAATGGTTCTTAATTGAAAAATAAATCTATTTTTAGGTTCCTAAACCATGTTGCGCGCCAACAAAACTCAGCGCTATTAGTGTACTTTATTACCTTGATGATTCAAATGTGAACTTAAAAAAATACAAGAATATGGTTGTAAAAAGCTGCGGATGCCATTGATAGAACAAACAACTGGATAGATTTTATAAGATTTTATATTTTAAATGACTTCAAATATGACTATTTCTATTAAGTTGACTAACGAACCCGTGAAAATGTAAATATAATAAAAACAAAATGATAAATTTATTAAAATAAATCAAGGAGCATTTTAACGGTTATTTCAAATATATGCATAGCTGGGAGCATGTTTTGAACTGTGAAAGTTCAAAACTTGAAGTAGAGAAATTCTTCCTCAATAGATGGCTCTGACTTCCATTGTTATTTACACAAATTTTCATATCTTGTTTTATGCAGTTTTTAAGAAATTTATTGTTACCCAGAATTTTTCAAGCTGCAAACACTAATCCTCAACGGAGCCTTACAACGATGAGTGATAATAATAAAGACTCATGGCTGGAAAAGGCGAAGAAAATTGGTAAATATGAATTGGCGGTATGAATTTCAATGTTTTCAACTTAAATATCTTCCTCTCCAGTTCCGCGGCTAACAAATGAAATGCATAAAGGTGAAGCGGGTCGTATTGGAATTATTGGAGGTTCACTAGAATATACTGGAGCTCCATTTTATGCTGGTATGGCTGCTTTGAAAGTTGGCTGTGATTTAGTCCATATTTTTTGCCCGCAAGCTGCTGCACTGCCAATTAAATCATATTCACCAGAACTTATCGTTCATCCTCTGCTAGATGCGTAAGTATTTTATCAGAAACTATAAATGAATTCAAAGTTAATTGCTTGTTTTTAATATTTTAGAGAAAATGCTCTTGATTTGATTGAGCCTTGGCTAAGCCGCCTTCATGTACTTGTAATAGGATCGGGTTTAGGTCGTGACCGAAATATTCTCCATACAGTGTCAGAGCTGATAATTTGTTGCAAGAAATCTCAAAAGCCGCTTGTTATTGATGCCGATGGTCTTTTCTTACTTACACAGAATGTTTCATTACTCCACGATTATAAAAATGTGATACTTACGCCCAATGCAATGGAATTATTCAGACTCATTGGAGATTGTGACGACAAATTACAAGCGTTGGCTGAAAAGGTTGGACGAAATATTATTGTTTTAGAGAAAGCTATGAATGATCGCATTTACGACACGGAAAACCTTGTGAAAGTTGAATGTCCAACTGGTGGGAGTAACAGAAGATGCGGTGGTCAAGGAGATTTACTTGCAGGAGCTCTTGCAACTTTCTACCATTGGTCACTCAACTTTTCTACAAGTGATAATGCTGGTAAAACAATTGCTGATGAAGCACATCCAGCAATCCTTGCATGTTATGCTTCGAGTTTTTTGATCAAATACGTAAATAAATTAGCGTATGAGAAGTATGGAAGAAGTCTCACAGCTCATGATATGCTTCATTGTATTCATGCTGGATTCAATGAACATTTCGAACACGAAGATTTCAAACAATCTTGTTGAACTTGAAATGTTGACAGAAAAGAGTTCTAAAATGTTTTTTTACGGAGCATGAATGCTTGCATGGGGTGTAATAAATTTTGCTATAATCCTTTATAATGACATGGATCAATAAAAAAAGTATATCTAATAAAATATTAACAAAAATGTAGGAAAAATGTTTTTTGGTTTTTCATTAATTATCAAACAAAATTTTTTACGGACTTCTTTGGTGACGCTCTCATGAAAAATCAGTTCAAGTAACAAGTGGAGTCTAAATTATAAACGAGATTTTCATAAACTGTGGAAACATTTTCATTAACATTTTCACAATTTACAGATTTTCTCTAAATTCTGAAATGAAACTTAAAAGTTTTAATTTTATTTCTGATTTGCTGAAAACCATTGAATGCCTACTAAATGAAATTTATAATCTTCCTGATTAAATCTACATAGCTAGAATCACGACGTTAATAATGTCACATAATCAACTTCTCCGATTAAAAAATCATTTTAAATGTTTTTTATTTCAAATTTAAAACATTTTTTTGTAGATAAGTTTTACTTCAAGCTATTGCATGACAAAGTTTTATTTCAACTGTAATGGCATCATTATTTATGATGATGTTGATTATGTAAACATAATCCAATTTAGAATGGCAATCTCCAACTTCAATGAATAATAAATAAATTCTGAAAGGAAAAACTTTTAAAGTTTGCAAATTTGTTAATTTTTTAAAATTTTATTAANTTAATTCAAGCTTCATAGCAATTTCTGATGTTTTATGTTGCTGCAAAATTTAAACAAGGGCGCTGGCTTAGTAAAAATCCACTTAGATAATTGTCAAGAGCATGAAGGGAGCTTGAAATTATTTTTTCTTTTTTCCTCAAGCTAAATAATATCAAAAAATGAAAAGTTCGTGATAATGGGATTTAAACGGATAGAATGGCTTATAAATCATACTCTTCATGGAACTTAAGCGTTATCAATTAGCCGGCAGCAAACAAAATCTTTCCTTCGTGATTTTTGATCGTTTACATTTTTTTGTGTGTGGATTTGTGTGCGTTTGACTTTTAAATATCTTCTGAGTATGCATAAATTTCTGTTAAAACTTTAAAAGAAATGAGAAGAGCTTTTGTCTTCAGATTCATTTTAGTTTATGTTTCGACCTGTTCAGTTGCTCGGCACATTTCTTGAACAACTTGAACTATTTCATTTAAAATGAATACTATTTTGAGTATTAAAAAGTAATCCTTGTCATTTTTCCTTTATTCTTATACAATGCAAACAACTCGTAGAAAAGCATTTTCCTAAAAAAAGTTTAAAACTCATTTGTTGCTTTGCTTACTTATGTCCACATAAGACCTAATAATTGAGTAAATAGAAGCATGTTACGGGAAACGCGCTACCAAGTTATTAACGGGGAATGAAACAAAACAGAAACTTGACTAATTAATGTTTTCATGTTATTTGCTTTAATTCAAGCATTTCGTGCATGACACCGACATGGGAAGCAGAAAGAATATATCGCAACGGGAGAAATTAAAAAAAATCACGAATGCTTTCAACTGGTCTACAACTCGCTACGACAAAATTTTATTTTTGTTTCCAATGCTCTAAAAAAGTTTTATGTTAAATAGAAATCTTGATTTCCATTCCAGAAAAGCAAACAGAAAATAAATTTCTCATGTTCTGCTTTAAATTATTTCAAAATTTTCTTCTTTCCTCACAATAGTTAGAAGAAGAATGAAATTGGTTTTATCTCCACGGAAATTTTCACTAAAAGAAGAAAAAGAAACATCAAGTAAAATATTATTTTCATAAACAATGCTATGACGACAAGTTTTGCGTGGAACAAAACCACAACATGTTGTTTATAAACTAAATTGTGTTATCAGAAAACATAAGAATGTTTAAATAGATATTTTAAATGAACAAACAAGTGTTTGAAGTTTCAACATTTTCCCTTCGACCTCGTGAATCGAATGTAAATTAACATTTGCACTTAAATATTCTATTGTTACAGTCATCGGATACTATCAATTAGATATGATTTTGTTTGACGCTTTATTGTATTCATATTCAACTAAGCAAAGGCAGTAAAGAAAAAAACCAGCATTTCATGTGCGATATCATTGAATGGCGCAGAAAACAACACAAACAATATGTTTACTCTTATAAATGCCTTTGTGCTTTCATCAGCTTCTTTTTTATGGATTGGTGATATGTCTAATAGCGATCTTTATCATATCTATCATAATTATGGGTGAGAAACTAAATTTATAATAATAATCGAATGTTTCCATGTTTATCAAAAGGAATTTATCTAATAGATAATTATTTCAGATTATTTCAAAAAATCATTTCCATTTGTGATTCNTTGAATGCCTACTAAATGAAATTTATAATCTTCCTGATTAAATCTACATAGCTAGAATCACGACGTTAATAATGTCACATAATCAACTTCTCCGATTAAAAAATCATTTTAAATGTTTTTTATTTCAAATTTAAAACATTTTTTTGTAGATAAGTTTTACTTCAAGCTATTGCAATGCAAAGTTTTATTTCAACTGTAATGGCATCATTATTTATGATGATGTTGATGTTGAGCTTTACATAATCCAATTTAGAATGGCAATCTCCAACTTCAATGAATAATAAATAAATTCTGAAAGGAAAAACTTTTAAAGTTTGCAATTTGTTAATTTTTTAAAATTTTATTAAAAAGCTACTTTTTTTAACTTTAACTTCATATTTTTTCCACCTTTACCTACTTTTAGATTTTCTAGCACAGACCAAGGCACTAATAAAGTAAGTAGATACCTATTTAAAGTTATTAATAATAAATTAATAAAAAAAAGCTGTAAAAGAATTAGAAAGCAAAACGTTTCTTGAAGTTTACGATAGAATAAAAGAATGAAACAAAGGAAAATTAATGTTTATAGTCTAAAATAAATAATTTATTTCCATGTCATTTTTCCTTAATCAGAAATGTTAAAACATAAATCAAATGATTTTTTTTGCAGTAATCAAAAGAATATTTGTTTGGTAATGAGAATTTTTAGCTACTTTCTTCAAGAAAAACTCAAATTTGCATCAATCTAAATTTACAATTCCACAACTGTGAGAATTTCAGTTTCACTTAAGATAAGATTTCAATTAAACAATTTTAAAGAGAAAAAAGAAAAATTGGTACAAAACTAACAGACCTTACATTCTGTTTTTCTGCTGCTGTGGAAATTGGAGTGCGGTTTCATCTATTGTTTTAATTTCAACAATCATGCTTGATACTTTCCACTTTATGCAGAAACTATTAAAGATTGCTTTAATGAGATGCTGGTTGTCGTTTTATCTTATTTCTTTCTTCTCTGCAAATTTTTATTATTGCAATAGCATAGACAAAAATAGAATTCCATAGAAGACTTTCAATTTAAAATAAAATTTCATATTTTGTATTAATCTCATTACACATATAAAAGTATATCGTCACAAGTTTAAGCATTTTTCTGATTCTGATAACAGTGTTACGAGTGATACTTAATTTTATGTGGCAACATAGCGCTTATGTATTTCATTATCTTCGACATAATGAGCTGTTCTCGATCGCTTTTATGTCATCTCCAATCAAGTTAAAACTTCCGATTTGTCTTATTTTTAACTGTTTATTACAACTTTACCTACATACATACATAAATTCATGTACATGTAACCGTACCACATAATTAATTCAAGCTTCATAGCAATTTCTGATGTTTTATGTTGCTGCAAAATTTAAACAAGGGCGCTGGCTTAGTAAAAATCCACTTAGATAATTGTCAAGAGCATGAAGGGAGCTTGAAATTATTTTTTCTTTTTTCCTCAAGCTAAATAATATCAAAAAATGAAAAGTTCGTGATAATGGGATTTAAACGGATAGAATGGCTTATAAATCATACTCTTCATGGAACTTAAGCGTTATCAATTAGCCGGCAGCAAACAAAATCTTTCCTTCGTGATTTTTGATCGTTTACATATTTTTGTGTGTGGATTTGTGTGCGTTTGACTTTTAAATATCTTCTGAGTATGCATAAATTTCTGTTAAAACTTTAAAAGAAATGAGAAGAGCTTTTGTCTTCAGATTCATTTTAGTTTATGTTTCGACCTGTTCAGTTGCTCGGCACATTTCTTGAACAACTTGAACTATTTCATTTAAAATGAATACTATTTTGAGTATTAAAAAGTAATCCTTGTCATTTTTCCTTTATTCTTATACAATGCAAACAACTCGTAGAAAAGCATTTTCCTAAAAAAAGTTTAAAACTCATTTGTTGCTTTGCTTACTTATGTCCACATAAGACCTAATAATTGAGTAAATAGAAGCATGTTACGGGAAACGCGCTACCAAGTTATTAACGGGGAATGAAACAAAACAGAAACTTGACTAATTAATGTTTTCATGTTATTTGCTTTAATTCAAGCATTTCGTGCATGACACCGACATGGGAAGCAGAAAGAATATATCGCAACGGGAGAAATTAAAAAAAATCACGAATGCTTTCAACTGGTCTACAACTCGCTATGACAAAATTTTATTTTTGTTTCCAATGCTCTAAAAAAGTTTTATGTTAAATAGAAATCTTGATTTCCATTCCAGAAAAGCAAACAGAAAATAAATTTCTCATGTTCTGCTTTAAATTATTTCAAAATTTTCTTCTTTCCTCACAATAGTTAGAAGAAAAATGAAATTGGTTTTATCTCCACGGAAATTTTCACTAAAAGAAGAAAAAGAAACATCAAGTAAAATATTATTTTCATAAACAATGCTATGACGACAAGTTTTGCGTGGAACAAAACCACAACTTGTTGTTTATAAACTAAGTTGTGTTATCAGAAAACATAAGAATGTTTAAATAGATATTTTAAATGAACAAACAAGTGTTTGAAACTTTCAACATTTTCCCTTCGACCTCGTGAATCGAATGTAAATTAACATTTGCACTTAAATATTCTATTGTTGCAGTCATCGGATACTATCAATTAGATATGATTTTGTTTGACTCTTTATTGTATTCATATTCAACTAAGCAAAGGCAGTAAAGAAAAAAAACCGCATTTCATGTGCGATATCATTGAATGGCGCAGAAAACAACACAAACAATATGTTTACTCTTATAAATGCCTTTGTGCTTTCATCAGCTTCTTTTTTATGGATTGGTGATATGTCTAATAGCGATCTTTATCATATCTATCATAATTATGGGTGAGAAACTAAATTTATAATAATAATCGAATGTTTCCATGTTTATCAAAAGGAATTTATCTAATAGATAATTATTTCAGATTATTTCAAAAAATCATTTCCATTTGTGATTCATTTGAATAGAAAATCTTTTGTTTAGTCAGATATTATTTTGAAAAAGGTTTATCGTTTTCAGCTGCGCGAATGTCACACTTAATGGTCTTTACTTAACGTTTCTGCTTGTTTTCTATTGCTTTTTGACGATTCACGTTTCGAAGTTTTCGTAGTCGGTTGAACACGGGAAGTTAAAATTCTTTGTCGTCATTTCCTTCTTCATGTAAATATTATTTCTGTATTTCATTCTTATTTTATCAAATTTTATCTAAAGTCGGGCAAAACTAATGCGATAATTTTTTGTGATTTTAAGTACGAACGTAAACCTATTTAATTGAAAGAAAAAGACAAAATCTTTTTTGCAACTTCACTACATATGTACCTAAACTTTCATTGCCGCTCATGATCGCTTGATTGGATTTTTTTTCTCCTTCAATTTCAAGTTTTGCCCGTGTTCACTCTCACTCAATATCTTCCGAACTCTTGAGAAAGAAGAAAAAGAAAGAAATGTAAAGAAGGTTCGACATCTTTTCGTATTAATCCAACTGATAGTTTTTCATTTTCTTTACGACTTTCAATCACAGAATTTTTTTATTTTATTTATTTTTGCCTCATAACTTTCTCTTAAACGCTTTTATGTCGTTCGTTCGCTCGTTTACTCGATGGGTCATTTTTTACCTATTTACTCACTTAATTGGCGTTGTACTGACAAAGAAGATATGAATGTTAAAAATCAAATCAACGCTTTTTTAGGTACATGTCAAATTGAATTTAAATTGAAGTCTAAAGTTATATGATTATCTTAAGAAAAAGTTAAAATTTAAAATAATCGGACGCATACAAAATCTTTGGAATTTAGAGTTCGGAAAAGAAGTAGACGAAGACAATAACATTAATTTAAATTAGTTTCACTAAATTGAGTCAAAGTAAGGAAATGGTAAAAGAGGATTAAAGTTTCTTAATAATTCACTAGCATTTGATGCTTCCTTATATCCCCAAAGTCTCATCGCCTCCTTGCAACTGTCTTGAATATATTTTACTTCGTTGTATGGTAATTCCTTCGTCCAATGAAAAGGAGCCGATTTTGAATCACGAAATGTCGATGACACGCCACCAACGTTTGTCTTCGTGTGTGTATCAAGAAATTCAGAAACGCGATCATCAAAGGCCAAACCGTAAAACTGTAGAATTTCTTGTGTAATGTCGTAAGGCGAAAGTGAAAGATCTTCGTAGCGGACGGCTCTGTTTATTGTTGTTGTTGATGTTGTGAAGATTAAGGAAGAAGAAGAAAAAGAAGTAAATTAACATTTTAGTTGTTTTGTTGAACTCGTTGCGTTAAAAGTACGAAGGACGTTGACTTACTTAAAACTCATAGGAAATTTCTTTGCTAGAACAACCGCCGACTTGTAATCGGAGACCATATCCTTACATGCAATATTAGGATTATCACAATCGGGATTGCCCGGACACCAGACACGATGCTTTCGTGATTGAAGGAAACCACGCGGGTCACGAATCAATAAAACTATTCGCACGTTTAAACTGTTGGGTGGATGAATGTGGGAGGAAAAAGAAGAAGAAAGAAAGAATAAGTAAAAAACATGGAAAATCCAATAGTTTTGATTGCATAATGTTTTCTCTTTCTCTCTCTCTCTCTATCACTTTTCTAAATATGTTCAAGCACAACCGACATAAAAAATCGATTCTGTCTGTTTGACGCTCTATTCAACTCCACTCCACCTAAATATAAGCTTCAAGCTACCAAGCATTTTAATTGCCAAGTTTTTGCTAAATCGTGAATAAGTAGTAAAAGCAATTATCAAGTTGAACATTACCTTGTGTCTCGAAGCAGACTTGCTGCAATTTTCATTCTCAGTCTAACAACTTTCATACTCTGCAGCGGAAAGAGCTTACAGAAAGGCTCAAGGAACTTTGGTTGATAACAAAAGCTTGGAAAAAGATGACATTGGTTCCAAAGTCTCGAATTATGAGTGAACAAATAGTTATGATTCTCTCCAAATTCTAAATAGTCATCCAATCCTGTATAATTACATTTAAGTAGTTTTTTTAAGCTCTTTATTGCTGGCCTGTCATGAGGTGGCCCTCGAATTTGCATGATATCGTAGGTGAGCAGTGGCTCGTAGTGATAAAAATTTCCTGGCAATGCATTTAGAATGTCCCCAAGGAAAGTTGATCCACTTCTCCAAGTCGATATGATGATGGATCGCATTGGCATTCCACCCGTTTCAGGTGTCAATTCTTGAAGATTTTTTGCGTCAACGCCGAATCGTCCGTTTGGATATTCATAATACTGCATTTCTTCAGCGATCAGCTGACGTTCATAATTGAGAACGTCTTCAATTGTCACTGAAAGATTCTGTGTGACTTGCTGAGGTTGATCCGATGCATAATAATAGTTCCTATACTTGTTATATTTAAGTGGGTTACTGTTCTCTTTCTTACTGTACTCATCATAGTAGTTGGAGTTTTTTGTAGCAAAAAATAGTAACACAAAGAAAGATATACCAATCGTACATATTCCAATAAGATTCACCCTTCTAGACATTATCCCACTTGCTTTCATTATATCGCGTAACACAAACGGCACATTAGTTTGAAACATTAAAAAATTATTGCTTCGACTTTCGATATTTTCTAAATTATCCAAATTTAAGCAAAAAGAAATATTTTTTCTTTTTCTTTTTCACATTGTCAAAGTTCTACACTTTAATCACACAAAAAAACTTTTCCTCGACAACAAAATAACATTTTATGATAATGGATTACAATTTGAATTTAAAATTGTACGCTTTTTGAGATCATTTTTGATCATCATTCCAGCTGAACTTTCAGAAAAACACTGAAACTTTTCGAGATTAAAAATTATAATTCTGTCGGTCAGGTCGTAGGAAATCCCCTCGAAATGAGTTAGAGGGGCTTTCAACTTTATTCATTCGAACGCAACTATCGAAGGTAATTTTTCCTGATTCTTCAAACATTTTATTTCTCAAATATTCATCAATTTTGTGAGTATATAAACAATTGTAGCGAAGCAGTCAAAACTTTCGTAGTTTACAAAGTGAAAAGTGATTGGTAAAATTCAAAATTGAGCTGAATTGAAAAAATCGATCAAAGTTTGACATTCACAAAAATTGTTATGACATTTTGTTTTTAGAAAACTAGAAAGAATCTCTCAATATCCAATGACGCATTGATATTAAAAACTACATTTCTATTCCATTAGTGAGACATAATTTCTTGAAAAAGCTTTGAAATATCTATATATTACATAAGCCATATTGAGAGGTTTTACCGACAGTTTGATGAAAAAAACATTAGAACCTCTCAAACCCGTTCAAAAGAAGTTTGGAAAAAATTAATTTAATTTAACATTTCCTTTCCACAGATCAGTGTTAGACATTTAAGGTGATACAGAAAAACATTCACAAGATGGCAAGTCGAATGATGGCCATTGCTGTTCGCAATTCAACAAAGACTCAATTGTCTTTGGTTTCAACACGTTCAGCAAGTTCAGGAGGGCAGTATGCTGAGCAATTAGCAAAAATCGGTAATCGTGACATTGTTGGATATGGTTGGAATGGTGAGCTGGTCTATCATGATCGTGTTGACTACCCAATGCCAGCTATTCGCTTTAAGGAAAACACTCCAGATGTCATGGTACAATTTAATTACTTTTTATTTATTTTACTTTGTCGTCATAGATTTTTATATTTTTCAGGCTTTAAGAGAAAAGGAGAAGAGTGATTGGAAGAAGTTATCCATTCAAGAAAAGAAAGCATTGTACCGAGCATCGTTCTGTCAAACTTTCGCTGAAATGAAATACCCGAGCGGTGAATGGAAACAACATATTGGAATGGCATTGATTGCTGCGTCGTTGTCCATTTACGTTTCATTACTTATGGGATTGTTTGGTAATAATTTGATTTCTTGCTTTCTTTACAAAGTGACATGTTCTTCTGCTTTCAGTCTATGATGAAGATCCTATTACGATGGATGAAGAACATCAAAAGGCACAACTGAAACGTATGCTTGACTTAGAAATTAATCCAATCCATGGTCTCTCATCCAAATGGGACTACGAAAACAAGCGATGGAAGAAGTAAAATCTTCGTGTCAGCTGTTTCTCACAACAATAGAATTATTATTATCCTTGAGTCCGACGAAAAATTAAACAAAAAAAAGAAAAACAATCCAAATTTGATTTGAATGTAAAGTTGAATAAAAGAAAATTGTTCACTTGAAGTTAAAGAATGGTTTGCTTAATTATTTATTTAGAAGATAGATTTTTAGAAATTATCTCACGTGTAGAAAGCAGACGGATTGAAGGAAATATCAAAAGTGAACACAAATACATTGACGACAAACTGCATTGTCGTGTGGTGTCAACACATGAATGAAATGCATTTCTCCATCAATGCATCCTATGTAAGCGTCGATGAATAAAAAATTGAGAAGATGAATATAAAGAGAGTGTAAGAACATAAACCAGTGTCTTTATCAACGATTGTGTTGAGAATGAAAACATTTATGAATAACAAACGAAAACAAGTCGTCACTGCAACTTTTCAGTGTCTGTTTACAACTTGTCTGTGAACAACGTTTTTCAAATAAATTAAGTTTTTCTATTCATTGATTTTTTGAATATTTTACAATGGTGCTTAATTTCGCTGCTGGTCCAGCCAAACTTCCAGAAGAGGTACCAAACGATTAAAAATTTAATTAAATCAAAAAGTGAAAAATATTCAACAAGTTATTTTATGTAAATTGTAAACTGTCCACGTAACTAGAAATCGTATGAAAAAATCTAAACTTTTTATTAATGTTTGCAAATTGATCACATGCTATTACAAAGAAATTTTCATGAAATTTTAATTCCTGATTAAAGTTCATTCACTTTGCAAAAACAAATTATAAACGAAAAAAACTAAAGTCTGAAAGACGATTGAAACGTAGATACAAATACACATTCAAAAATACTTTTGTTATCAATTTTATTAGTCTTTCTTCCATCTATGTTTGTACCCTAAAGGTCTTGCTGCAAGTTCAAAATCAATTGTTGGATTATGGAGGAAGTGGAATGTCTGTCATGGAAATGTCCCATCGAGGTGCGACATATTTAAAGATTCATGAAGATGTCATCAAGAGATGTCGAGATATATTGTAAGAATTTGCATACATAAGCATATTAATCTGCAAACATAGATTAATGAAACTATGTATCAATTTCGAACGACCTCATAAAAAACTTTCATTTCTAGAAAAGTTCCAGATAATTATAAAATCTTGTTGATGCCTGGTGGTGGTACTGGACAATTCTCTGCAGTTGCCATGAATCTTATGGGAAAAACCGGTTGTGCTGACTATGCTGTTACTGGAGCCTGGTCAGCTAAAGCTTTCAAAGAAGCTCAAAAATATGGCAAAGCTAATCTTGTCTTCCCAAAAGCTGAAAAATTCACAACCATTCCAAACCAGTCTGAATGGAAATTGGACCCAAATGCTTCGTATGTTTATTATTGCGACAATGAGACTGTTGATGGAGTTGAATTTAATTTCATTCCTGAAACGAATGGTGTGCCAATAGTTTGTGACATGTCATCAAACTTCATGTCACGACCAGTTGATGTGTCAAAGTTTGGAGTCATCTATGCTGGAGCTCAGAAAAATGTCGGACCTGCTGGAATCACGGTGGTGATTGTAAGAGAAGACTTGATTGGACATGCTTTACCGTTCACACCTTCTATCTTGGATTATGCTGCAACAGCCAAAGACAACTCAATTGCTAACACTCCACCAACATTTTGGTATTCAATTCAACTTAACATTAATTCATTTTCAAATAATTAATGACAAATACTATTTCTTTATCTCTTTTAGTATTTACGTCATGGGTCAAGTTTTTGAATGGTTACAACGTAAAGGTGGAATTGAAGGCATGGCCAAACATTCTCAGGAAAAATCTCAGTTGATTTACAAGGCTATCGAAGATTCTAAAGGTTTTTACTTTTGTCCAGTAGATGCTAAATGTCGCAGCAGAATGAACGTCCCATTCAGAATTACTGCAAATGTTGATTATGAAAAAGAATTTCTGGAGAAAGCGGAAAAACAAGGAATGATGCAATTAAAAGGTCATCGATCAGTAGGAGGTATTCGGGCTTCATTGTACAATGCTGTAACTTTAGAAAACACCGAAACTCTCGCTAAATTTATGAGAGAATTTTATGAAAGCAAAAATTGATGAATGAAATTCTACATTTAATCATTTCTCCTGATTCTGGATAAATATCTATTTGAAATGAAAATAAAGCTCTCGAGAAATAGAAAACTTCTTTACTCAAATCAACTAACTGAAATATTTTAATCATTTCAATTATTATTTTTTAACAATTGTTTTCAATTTTAATTATTGAGGAAGGTCAAAAAAAAATTATGCACATCAACTCTTCATTTAACAAGGCAAGCGATAAAAAAACGAGACAAATGAGACCTCAATCATCTCGAAATTTCAGTGAATTTTAAATCTAAAAACCCTTGTTATTAGGTCGAATTTCGAGAGTCTTTATAACTATTGATGCAGAAAACAAAAGTGTTTGCTCCAATGACACTCCATTATGACTGTGCTTTTCAGTTCACGACTGTTTCTTTTTATTTCAATTCAGTACCAACAGTAATAACATCTTTGGCCAAAGGCTTGTTGTTATGTACATTTATGTCAGTTGATTTTAAAAGATTGATAAATTATTTCAGTGAAATTGATATTTAATAAAGGAATCTGCTTCTTCTTACTGTCACTTGTCTTCTTTGCTTTGTTCTCTTTGAAATCAATTCAATTATAAAAGCAATTAATGAACAAATCAAACCATAAATATAAATTGTAAAAATTCCAGAAAAATGTTTTAAAGTGATACTTGAAGCCATATCTTGATCAATCTCACCATCTTCATTAAAATATTTTGAAATCCAAAAATTGATCAATCCGCTTGCTTTAAATTGACTGATCTTTTCATTAAATTCATTTACCATGTAAAAATTCTTAGTGAAGTATGAAACAATTTGATTTGAGACAAGCGGTTCTTGAAGTATGTTGACCGAATATTCTTTGCGATTCAACAAATTTTGATAGGAAATTGTTGAGTGATATCCAAACACTGCACCTTTGAATGATGGGTCCAAAGTCATTCGACAATATTCTTCTACTTTTGAATATGAAATAACTTCTCGTCTGAAATTAAATGATAAATTTTCATTATACTTTCATATAAAATCAAAATAAGGATAACGAACTTCATAAATTTTTTATCATTCAATCTTGCTGCAAGTGTATCGTAAATTATAAATTTATAGTCCATTTGATTCAGCTCTTCAATACTTTTAATTTTCTTAGAGCTAATGTCATTTTTGAGGATATTGAATAAGGAACCAGTGTAGCAGGTGCGCATGATGAGACAAAAAACCATAAATGACATCAAAATGAATCTTGGAAAATTTTTAACAGGAAGTTTCTTCTGACTTTCACCGAAAAGAACTTCCAAGATGTTCAAGTATTGATTTTTGATGTTCTCTCCAATGACTAAGTTGTGATAACTTTTCGGGAGAATCTTTAATATCGTAAGAATTATACTTGATATTAAAAGTATCAATAGCAAAGCAACCCAACAATAAAAATCAAGCGGCATGAAAAGTTTCCTTATCGACGGAATGAGCGGGGGAGGTGGAACCACAAGAATGATATCATCGTGATAAAAAGCTCTTGTTTCACTTAAATATTCCATTCGTATTTGTTGTAATGATAACAAACCGATAATAAGATCAACGTCATTTGAATAAGCCTTTTCCATTAAACCAGTAGCTGTTCCATTTGCAAAAGCTCCAGCTCCGACTGAGTATAAGTGAAAATCAATCTTGAAGTTTAATACTGATGAAAGCATCCTTACAAAGTCAATCATGTTACCACCATAAGTGTTCACTGAAGATTCATTACGATCAATAACTGCTGGGGGATTCGAATGACTTCCGATTCTTATTGGACATTGATTGAGATTTTTGAGCTTTTTAGGAAAATATTCATTTGTTGACCAATCATTATAATTTTCATTGAATTCATTGATAATCACTGGCGAAACATCACCACAAATTGCTCCGTTGAAAGGTAAGAAAGTGAACAAGGAAATATTTTGTAAAACTTTTTCTTTTCCCAAAACATTTATGTTGAAAAAGAAATTTTTCCAGAAAACTTTGAAGATGTTTTTGAGAGATTTCCTATTCTTAATTTCAAGAATAATGACATAATATCCTGATCTGTGGACCTTATCGCTGAGAATTATCTTGTTAATTGAATTTTCTTTTTCCAGGAAAAATATCCCACAATATACTTTAACATTCAATGCTTCAGATGCTAAACTGATAGAAACTGTTGGCCTGGTAAAGTTCAGTAAAACATTCGGCATCAAATGAACTCCAAATCCTTGATTATTTTCAATAAAAAATGCCACATCAAAACATTTCTTTTCGTAAAAGCTTTTAATCAAATTTCGTAAACTTTCTCCAAGTGAGTCTGTTTTATGATTTAGATGAAAATTCAAAATTGCTTGGATTTCTATTAAAAAAATTAGAATTATTGCCAATTTTAACTTCATTCTAAAAGTGACTTAAATTTTTCTGACTGTCAAGTTCAAGTTGATATTTTGACTGTGACTTCCAACCGGTGGTTAATATTTGACAGTCATGGAACGTGTTTATGAGTTTTCTCTTTAATTAGGTTTATAAATATCAGTTATGTTATTCAACTTTTGATTATTTACACTTAATATATTATTGATTAGTTATCTAATTAAAATATTTCTGATTTGAGTAAACCATGAAATATTTTGGATAAAAGTAAGTTTGAAGCAATCTAGGTTTAAATCTATTTCGTTATTCAGTTTTCAATGAATCTCCATAGTCCTCGAGTGAGATGAAACATTATTTGAATGTAAATGTTCAACAACTTTGAAATTTAAATTCAGTTTACTCCTAGGGGAAATATATTTGGTCTCAAAAACGCTATAGAGGCCTCAAGAAAAAATGACACAGCAATAATTTTAAAAGGAATTGATGGCGTTGTGTTAGCACTGCGAAAAAAATCAAAAACTTTTTATTTTAACCAAGAAGTGAAGAGAAGACGAGAGAAATATGAATGTTCAACTCACATCATAGGAAGCACAATTGTTCTTGTTACTAGTGGACTTGTGAAACATTGTAACGCAATAGTAGCAGAAGCGTCTAAAGTTTCAAAAAATTATAATGAAAAATATAACAAATGCATTCCCTTGAAAACTTTAACCGAACAGCTCGCCCACATTATGAACAAACGAACACATTTTTTCTTTAACCATCCATTCTATAGCAAAGCCATTCTTTTCACTTGGAATATTTTTGGATCGGAACTTTACCAAATTGAACCCTCAGGAGAATATTTTGGATATTCAGGTTGTGTAGCTGGGAAATGGGAAAACGAAGTTAAAGAAGTTCTTTTCAACTTAAATTTCAAATCAACCAAAGCGGAAGATTTTTTAGTCATAGCTGCAGGAATAGCGTTGATGACACATAATTTGGAAAAGAAAATAAATCAAAAAGCAAAAAGTTCTTTGACTTTGGTCTGGATTGGAAAGAAAACAAATGGAGAATTGGAAAAATGTTGCGGTGAACATTATAAAACAATTCGCGATCTTGCTCTGACCACCCTGAAAGAGATTGAAGAAAATAAACTGATAACTGCAAATATATCACAAAAATGATTTATTTTGGAAATAAAATTACAAGTAATTTTTTAAAAATGATTTATTTTCAAAACTTTGTCCATTTTCTTGAAGATTGTTTTATCTTCCACTGTCTTCAAATAAGTGTCAAGAGCTTTGTCAGCTTCATCATCGATAGTAAAATTATTTTTCTTCTGATTCCGACATTGAGTAAAATTTCTCTCTTTGAGTTTATTTTCAATTTCATTTAATAAACTGTCGACTTTCTCATACAATTCTTTAATTTTATTGTTGGGAAAGGATGATGTTTGTATATCAGATAGATTTAAGTTGCATTGCGATTGAATTTTAAGAGGTACTAAAATCAAAACCATTATGAATCTCATCTTCTTTAATTCAAACTAAAAATTATTAAAATATAATTTTGAAGCCTCAAAAACATTTGATGAAAAGAAATTTTCCATGCATTAACTAAATGGAAAATCAAATTTGTTTCAGTCTAAAACCAATAATTAAAATCATGGACGGGATATTTGTAAAGTCAAAAGTTATTTCTATTTTAGTTTGAATACTGAACAAACAATCCAAAATAATAATTCAATTTCTAATCAATATTGAATAACCACATCATCAAATAATTACAACATAACCAAACAATGAAAATATTTTTGTTCATACGCATGAAAATAATTCTCTTGCGATTAAATAAATTTTAGTTCTATAGAACAATAATTGAAGCTGTTAGTTTTCATTTCTCATTATGATTACATCAAACTAAACTCGCTCCCAGGTGATTTATAGTTTTCTTTGTAATGATTTTTATTCCCTAACCATACTTAATTTCTCACAAATATGTGTACGAATACTAAACATAAATATTCATTTTTCCAAAATAATTATTCAAGTTCAACATTCCGGAAAACTTTCCCTCTAAGGTTTTCTTTATTAATGTTGGCTTGCTAGTTTTATGACAGTTTTCAAGCATATCAGATCAGTTGGCGTTTCGTGGAATTGAATTTTGGTACATATATTAAAAAAAAGATTGAACATGACAGTTTTCGATGCTCTGAATTATAAAAACGAAGTTTTTCGAGGATACATAACTTGGGGTGGTTTACTGTTGATAAAAATGTTACTAATGTCGTTATATACAGCATTTCAGCGAATTCAAAAGGGTGTAAGAAAATGTTTGCCACTTATAATGCTAAATCTAAATTCATCAATTGTCTAGGCTTATGAAAATTCAGAAGATGTTGGTAGCCACGGTGAATCGGCCATCAAGAAAGACAAAGATGTAGAAAGAGTAAGACGAGCTCATCAGAATGACTTAGAAAATATTCCGGCTTTTCTTATCGCGTCGTTTATGTTTGTCTGCGTTGAACCCGACCCAATTGCTGCCTTTTGGATGATTCGAATAGCTGTTGTTGCAAGATTTCTTCATACAATTGTAAGGAACGTTGATTTATATCGCATGATAGTTATTGAACATTAATAAAATTATTCCACACAGGTTTATGCAATTTATCCCATCCGACAGCCTGTAAGGACATTATGCTTTTCAATATGTCTTGCAATAACACTTGCAATGATCATTTGGTCGATTGTTCTTTTCTGTCACTTTTAAAAATATGAAATGTTGTTGGTGTGACGATTTAAACTTTGCAGAGTTTATGAAATACAATTCGTGTGGATTTTGAAGTGAATAAAGAAGATTTGTCACAATTTCTTACTATCAACTTTAACGAAATAAAATTAAAATGTTTGAGCAATGTCAATGTTGTTTTGCGAACTTTCACAACTACTTGTTCATTGTTTGTCGTTTTTCAAACGTTTTCCAATGTTATACTCAAACATTCGCCTTTTCCTTTTCTTTTCTCTATTTTTCCGTCATTGTATATTCAACTCTTGTGATATTTAAAGACATTTAATATTTTGTTCGAGTTCAGAGTGCTGTTGATATAATTCGTGTAGAAGGGAAATTTCCGGTAACACTACATTAACATTAGAATAACTAAAATTAAGAAAAGTGGATGACATTTTAATTCTCTACGTTATTTTCTTCATTCACACGTTGTTCATGCAGGTGAGGATAAAAATATTTTGACATTCTTTTATTGAGTCATTTTGTCAATATTATATAAAAGCAGTGAAGCCGGTAGAATGTTTAAATACCATTAGTTGATAATGAATAACATAAGATCTACAATTTACTTGATTGTAGCAATGTTCCATCATTGAACTTTCTCAGGAAAATTTATTAGAACTTTATGAAGTTCAAATTACATTCATAATGACTTTCACAGTATAGCTAATGTAAATGAGTGGAAATATATTCATTTAAAAATTATGATGAGTGTTTTTTAATTAATCATCCAGTTTTTATATAAATCTGCATGCATGGAGATTATTCACAACAAATTCGTTGACAAAATTGATGATTTCAAAATGATGATGATATCGATATAATGAATCCAATAAGCTTTAGATGATATTCAAATATTTATTTAATTTCTCTCCCTCCCATATTGACTTTGCTTGCTAATCTTTTTTATTACTCAAAAGTTCACATTCTACACTTATTCAGACAATGTTTTCCATACATGAATCTCCTTTACTCTTTCGAGTTTATTTTGTTTTCTTTTTCCCCTTCGTTGTTGGCAGTTTTTGCGTTTCAAGTTCAAAAGAAGAGCTTTTGAGAGAGAAAATTCCTCTCAGATTTACTCTCTCAATGTCAACTGATTTTCCGGCATCTCTCGTCTGCAAACAATGTTCTAACAATTTTCTCAAGGTTTCATAATGACGCGAATAAATGACGGAAAATATAATACAATGGGTGAAGAGAAAAGAAATCATCGATCATTTTTCAAAACTTTCATGTCTCTCGGAAGACTTCACTTGGTTGACTGAAGAAGGTCATAAAGCTTCACGCAAAGGCTGTTTGGATAATTTCAAACGACTATTCACAAAACAATTTTATGAACAACTCGAAGCTTTTGCCATAAACATAAATATGTAAGCGAATAAGAAATGAGAAGCTATTTTTCCTCGCGCCAAACGTGACGTCACTGAAGCTTTTATTTTTGAAGCCAAGCGATGAACGAAAATACAAACTACAGCTGTATGGGTTGTTTTTTTTTGAAGAGAAAATTCTTGTGTATGCAAAAAAAAAAGAAACAACCAAAGCGAATTTTCATGAACAAAGTTTTCCACAATGAGCAGTTTTTATTTCTTCTCCCTCAGTTGATGTTCGAACGTGCTCAACGGCACATCCATTCTTCCGTTTAAAGTTCCATTTCTCTTGCTTTAAACAATTCACTTTTTTAAAATAATTAAAAATCTATTTTTGTTGATAATTTTGTAATTTTCATATGTTCATAGTGAAATTTCGTAATAAAATTTCTTGTGTTTTTAAATCGTGATAGTTTCGTTGCCAAAGCAAAAGAAAGCAAAACATTTCTATTTCTTTTAATTAAAGTAATAAATCATCGAGAAAGGAAAAGTAAAAGCTGTTTGTTGAATTCTAAGGAAACGATGTCGTCGTGGAGATATTACTCGGTAAGGACAAGATGAGACATTCTGTAGCATCATATTTTAAGAGCAAAGAAGTAAAAGTTTATAAATAGACGAAATTATGTGTAAGGAAAACGGATATGAGGTTGTTAATTACAGGCTTAACATTTTCATGAACACATAATCCTTTCGTAATTTTTCATCTTTACTTGTTGTGTAAAGGTAAATAAGTGTTAACTCCTTTTCATTGTTTTGCTAATTGCCTGAAGACACGTGCGAAATATTTTAATTTCCTTGTTGATTCATTGATAAGATGTCCACGAAATTATCGCATTACTATAAATCGCAAAACGTTTTCACACGAAAAATCCTCACTTTGTCTAATTTATGTATCTACATACATAAAAAGTATTAATGTATTCATTAGAATGTATAATTATAGCTGATAAAACTTACTATAGACAAAACATTCTGACAGCAATGGTGAACAAGATGAATGTTGGTTTATTTATTTATAAATATAGAATAACAAATAAATAGAATAAGAAAATTGGAAGGAAGTTTTGTAATGATTTTATCATTATGGAGACGTCTGCTGATTGCGAATTTATGATAGAAATTTCGCCATTATGCAAAAAGAATTTTTAAAACGCAAATTCCACTTTGATGTTTATAACTACGATTTTGATTTAGTTTAATTATTAAAAACTTTAGTGGATTCCTAATTTAAATTTTTATTTTTAAAGTTTTTCATTTGAAAGAAAAATGAGAATTTAGGTCATTGCTTAACTATTTTCCTTTTCCATCGCGATGCATCGTAATCTCTTTTTTGTCAGCTGATTCTGGCATGCACATAGATAATTTATTTACACAATAATGTTGCAATTCCCTTCATTCTCACTCTTCCTCTATTTATCTTTTTAACGACGTCATATTCTTCATATTTTGTTAAATTGATTAAATAAATTTGATGTAGACAGCGTAAGAAATTGTTTTTGCTCAATGTCTATTCGATGACATTTCTTTGATAATTCTTTTTTGTGATTTCGGATTATCGATTAGGGATGATAGATTGATATTCTCTTCCTTTTTTCCATTGAGGTTTTTGGTCTTGACAAGGAAAATCTTTCAGGTTTCATTAATCACAATCGAAAATTCCATAATATTTGAAGCAATGACTACATAGCAAACATCAATATGAGAAAAAATGTATAAAGTAATTACAAATTTATCTGCACGCTAGTCTGTGAAACGAAAAGCGACTTTGCGATATCACGGATAGTGGAACTTTCAAAAGATATATGGATCAGTCTTATATTGCTAATTTTATGGTTGCCCAACATGAAAATTGCACGATTCTATTCATTGATGATGAGAGAAAACTTAGAATCGTTTTACAAGCTTCTTACATGGAGCATGTTAAAACACTGATTTAGATATATTCAAGTGAATTGGGAAGACAAGAACGAATCAGAAACTTCAATGAAAGTTATATCGATACAAACTTGTAAAATAAGTAAAGAGGGGAAAAAATTCATTATGAGTTCAGGAATAAACTAAACTTTCTTTCCACCCTTCAAGGAAGTGAATTACGCGAAACTTTACTGTTTTATTTACTTTCTTTAAAGAAGAAGAAAATTATCCACACGAAGAGTTTTTCCATTCAAGTAAGAAAATTTGTCGACAGTGAAAGTTGAAGTTTTCAATTCTTTCTAAATGGAGATAGCTTATTTAATGATTCTGAGCACTAATGTTGTTCTTTTAAAGCGAGAGTGATATTGGGAACGTATTTTATTAGATTCTACCACAAAATTGAGTCGCAATACGAAAAAGTTTTTTTTTGCCTTTTATAAAAAAAAAGCGGCGAATGGGATAAAAATAAACTCGGGCCTCTGATGTCGATGATGTGTGAAAATCGCAATGTGAGAAGGCAAATTCCATTCGAGTGATTAATATTATGAGTAAGAAGATGAAATTTTCTCAACGCTGTTTGCGTCTGAAAGAAAAAGTAAAGATATAATTTAATTATAAATGAAATGAACAAATTGTGTGCTACGAAAACTCAGGTGAAGCTTTCAAATGTGACGTGAGGGGGAAGAATCAAGGTTGAGTCTCTTTCGTCGAGATAATTTGTCACATTGCCAGAGGAATTTTCATACAAAATTTGATTCTCTTCTCTTTCTCCATTGATTTCTACAATTTATATTTCAAAAACCTATTTACATCATAAAAAGTGTGCAGAATGCTCTTATACTGTAGGCCAAGGTTTAAGCAAATTATAAAATATTTCAACTTATGTATTGCTACAATGGAATTTTACAATCATCACTCCATTCATTGTTATCGGATTCGCGTTCGAAGAGATTTTAATATTATAAATCCAATAAGATATAAAGCAAACTGTGACAATATGTAACTATAATTAAGTTAGTTTTCAATGCTTGTTTATGTACACGTGATTCGGTTGATTTATTCTTTCGAGTTGTACAATGGCTAATAAAATCACGTTACGGGACCTCACCCACGAATTTAGGGAATGTTAAATAAACTGATATTGTGTTCTCGAATAAGGCAGATGAATTCGATTCCGATGAAAATTTGTTATTTTTATTTCCACGTTTTATCAAAGCTGATGTTCTTGTTTTCATGATCAAGTTTATGTGTCATTTTTGCGACTACGACACGGCTTAATTGAGTAGTTTATTTAAATATGTCGATATTGTTAGATATTTCGTTCATTTTTTGTATCTTCAAGTTTCTCTGTTTTAGTGGTTTTCCCACATCGAACAAACAAATCGATCCAAATTAACATTCACGTGACAATTGTTTTATAATTTAATGACAACTTCCTCGTCTTTATATGGAAGTATCAGCAGTTGGTGCTGTTTTTGTTGAGATAAAAATCGTCCGATGTACACGAGACATAGTTAGAAATCAAGGTCAGATCGAATAACTTTGTGTTTTTACATTTAATAAGTTAAGTTTACTATGTAAAGATAATATTTGTTCGATTCTCATTTGTTTTGATAAAAAGATTTCTCATCGCTTCACTTTTTTGTTTGTTTGTATTATTTAATTAAATAATCCAAAGTAACTTCATTATCGAAGGGTGTAGGCCGCTATTGAACAGTTAAATTACTTATAAATAAGAAAACAAAATCAATCTCACATTTTGCATTCAGTTACAGTTTTGAATCAAGTTTTACGACGTGCAAACCTGTGTTATCAAGTCAACTCGTGATTAAATTTGTTTCGCAATCTCGTCAGAGTTATAAAGTTATTATGACATATTTCTGGAAGACTTCGGTAAATTATTCTATAAATAGATTTTCAGTTATTTATACAAGTGAATGCTTTAATAAATTTTAGTCCTTTCTAAAACGTTATTTATGAAAGGAAAAATAGTTTTAATGATTTTAAAATTCTTTTCTAGTTCTTGCTTCAACTTATCCTCTTGAAGTGTAATTGAAAGTCTTCTGATTGTTTGAAAGTGTCTTACCTTGTTTTGTTTGAAACATTAAGAGTGGTAACGACCACCACATTATCAAGAAAATTAACTTAGCGAACTATCAGAGCTTTTTCTTTTATTACAAATTATTCACGTTATGATAGTTTGAGACATGAACGAATGAATGAAGGAAAAGGTCTCATGCAACGAGGAGACATAAATAAATATTGAGCTTTTAATTCAAAGTCTGACATAAATATCCACATCTATGTCATCCTTCAGAGCAGCCAAAGAGACTAACATGTGTGTATGAACACATTAATGGTGTTTTGTTTTTGTGCCTAATAGATTGAATTTCTTGTCTTCCAATTGGCCTTTTTATATATTGTCGGACACATGAGAAATTGTTTGGACGAAGGGGAACGAAAAAACTCATTTAGTTGAAGTTTGGTTGCACTAGCGGAACAATATCTCTCTAATTTAATAATAGGCATTTTGTTTTATCAAAATCCATAAAAAATATTTAGTTTTGTGATGAATAAAAATTTCAAAAGCAAAAAAAAATCAATCGTGAGAGTGAAAAGTTATAAAAATAAATTTAACTAAAAGAAGAAAAATCTCATTGCAATGAAAACGGAATTTCACATAAATAAAGTTTTACATAAAATAAAATTGAAACTTAATTCATGAAAATATGAAAATTTTATTAATTCATCATTTCATGATTGAGATTAATATTTATTGAAGGATTTCAACGGCAATAAGAAGAAATGAAACATCGAAACAATTAATTTGAAACCACAGAAACTGAAATATTAGAAATTTGAATATTATTTAGATACCTAAATACATAATAAAAATAAATACCGAATGAGCTTTAATGTTGGCCTCGTGGTGGTACTGTCAACTTTTCGTTAATATAATTTTGATTCTATTAATTTAGTGTCGTGACTTGGTGAGGTTCTCGTTAATGTATGTCACACGAACATATTGCGTCTTTTTGTTGATAGATATTAGAAAAAATAATAAAATTCAAATATTCTCAAAACAAAAAAAATAAATGAAAGTAGCAAAAAAAAGTAAGCGAAAAGCATTGAATTAAAGTTGAAAGAGTGAACAGTAGAATAGTGTCGTGTCGTGATCAGTTTTGTGCTGACAATAGAAGAGAAAACTGAGTTTTAGTAATGGGAAATGAACCGTCAAAGTCGAGAAGGAAAAAAGTAATTAAAATCGTTTAATTTTGTTAGATTTATAAGTGTTGAATGAAGATGATTTCGCTAAATTTAGATCGGAGTGATAGGAGATGTTCAAACTTATACCGGCGTCTTATTCACAGACTTGTTAACATTTTATTCCGTTTTCATAAGTATAAATCTTTTCAATTGTTTCTGTCTCACATTTTTCTTTAATGTCATGTAATCTTGTGAGTGAGTTTTAAGAAATACGAACGGCGTGAACATGAAGAAACATGATTTATTCATTTGCTTCTAAATATTTGACAAGCTTATATTCTCTAATGTTATTTACTTCTTCATTTCCATTCTGCTTCTTCGTAAATAATCCATTGTGGTACTAACCCATTCAAGAGTTTCTATGAACATTTGGAATATCTTTCAAAAAGACGGTTTAGCGTACGAGTCTTTGAATTGTGTTGGTGTATCATCCTTTAATTCAATATTTACATCGGGGAATGATAAATAATTGAACCATCTGTTCCCACGCAACGAAACATTTACAAAGATATGTACATCTTGTTTACCTTACGGAAGCAATGACATTAAAGTTCATCATCATCATCATCATTCAACTTTCATCAATTAAATTTCTATTGAACTAGTTTAGTATTTAGTTATCCATTTATAGACTGTTTTCAAGTAAGTTAGCTCCTTAAGTGGAATCATTGTAAAGGCCAAAAAGCATGTTAACCTACAACGTTCGATCTGAGGGCAAATGTTTCATTAAAGGGCTAACAATTATCCAATTAATTTACAATCTTACTTGAGTAATTACTCTTCAAACATAATTATGTATGTTGAACATAAATTCACGTTAACCTTCAGCCATTAATTACATTTTTTTCTCAAAGCAACAAATTTCTCGGTTTTCCTTAAATCATCACGCAAAACTAAAAATACTTTTCAATAGAAAGAAAATATATGCAGAGTTCAAGTTTCCAGTTGAAATTAATATCTTCTTGAGTTGAAAGATATCGATTTGATATTTTGTTTAACTTTGACAACTTGAGCACGCATAAATATTTCATAGATCATGAACGAAGATATCTGATTAAAACTTTTTGTCAACATAAAGATTTCACATTAAAGAAACGAAAGGTTTTATGGATCATCAATTATTCACAATTGCTGAGTTCACAAATCGAGTAAATCACCAACGCACAACTTCAAGAATACGCATCCTAAAAATATCTGCTTATCAATGACTATGCAAAGTTTTCTTAAAAAGAATTTAACGTAAAAATTAAACTTCAGAGATAGTGAAAGTTCTCGTGGGAATTTTACAAAAAGCACTCATCACATTTCTTGGAATTAAAGATAAATCAAGCAGCAATGGTATGAATATAAAAAAAGCTGGGAATGAGAAACAATTTCCTTATTGTTCTTCTCGATGGCATCGGCATCGTTTCAAACGAGTGAATGAGTGAGAGAGAAAGTGGGGGAGGCAAAAAATAAAGTGATGAATAAGTAGAAATGAAAATTGTGTGGGTCAGAAAATAAATAATAAAAATTGATGAAAACAGTAGGGAGCAGTAATTTTTTCGAGTTCATTATTACAGCAAAGGAAGAAACGTAATATGCGAAAATAACTTTCATTATCATCTGAAACGTGAACGCAAAAATCATTTTATTTTAAAAATAAAACTTGAGTGGGGTTGTATGATTATCCTCGTCACGAAAAAAATATAAGATGCTTAAGACAATTTTCATCTCCGATTTCATTAACCTTCTCCAATTTCTTTTTCTTTTTAGTACTCAAACAATTACCGAGACAAAATGTCGGATGTGACGACAGGTGACTTTTTAATATTCCTTTAGGATTTCTTTGACATTTTCCTTTCTCAATAAAAGGCAAACAACTTCAACGAGTTTTACACTATTCCGTAACTCCATGCCGCCCACTTCAATCATGCATTCGCCGTAACGACACAAGCGCAATCTATGACGTCGACTGTGATGAAGTTTACCCAAGAATTTATATTGGAGACGCGTACGTCGATAACAAACTTTCTCTTAACATCTTAGATATTATGATTATTATTTCCTTTTCTTTTCTTCAGCGCTTCGGCTAAGAACAAACAGTATTTAAGATTAATGGGAATCACCCACGTGCTTAATACAGCTGAAGGATCAAGATTTGGTCAAGTTGATACAGGGCATGGTTACTATCGAGATATGCCAAGTCTCAGGTTAGTTACGAACGTTTTATGTTGAATTATTGCACAATCATTAAGCTTTTTCATAGCTTGCACACGATAATTGTCATTGTCACCTCTTTATTTACCAACTTCTTTCGCGAAGATTTATTTTCATCCCCAGAATAATCTTTTTCTTTTAAGCTTAAACATATATTACAAAGAGAGCTAAACGTAGCACAATGACCATGAAACTAAAATAGAATTCAAAGAAAATTCTAATGATTTGAACTCTTTTTGTTTCTTTTTTTTCCGCTTAATTTTCAACTAAGCTTTTAATCTGATTTTATCTCATTCTTTTCATTTATTTCTGCGTATTTTCAACATCATCGCACGTATTAACAGTAATAAAGTATTCAGGTAGCTTAAAATATTCTTTTTTTATTTTGTCCTTGCAATTTGATTTTTCTATTTCTGTCACTTTTACTTAAGTTTCGCTTTCAAATACTTAAAATTTCAATGTTTTTTTTGTAGATATATGGGATTTCCTTTAATTGATCAACCGAGCACAGACATCTCACGTTACTTTTATATTGCGTCGAAATTCATTGAAAATGGCATAAACAGTGGAGGTAAGAAAATACAAAAAACAAAGTTTAAACAAGTATTCAATAAAAAAGTTTCTTTGATTTTTCTTTTCAGGAAAAGTTCTTGTGCATTGCATGGTTGGAATGTCGCGTTCAGCAACATGTGTACTTGCTTACTTAATGATAGTACGTAAGATGTCAGCTACCGAAGCAATTAGAACTGTTCGTATGCACAGAGATATTCATCCAAACGAAGGTTTCATCCAACAATTGGCTGATCTTGATAATGAGCTTAAGAGAGAACGTTCATATTATTGATTATGTGCTTTTGGTTACTGCCAAAAAAATACTTTTGATTACATTTGAAAAACAAATTTTCCTTGCTGAATTTGCTGGAGATCTTCCAAATTTTGAAGGGAATTAATTGTGTAACCAAATATAACATCGCACACAAATAAGATAACTAATATTGAGATTCCAGCAAAAAGATTAAAAAACCTTAACAGAACACTTTGAAAAAATTAGGTTCATCACAATGAATATTAAATTGATTATTAATAATTGACACTTTTAATGAGATAGATAGAAATGTATGGTAGACAAAAGATGAATATCTATTAAGATTAAACGTAAAACCGAAATTAAGGAAAATTGAATTGTTTCAAGGTTTATCGTAGAAATTTCTACCATGATGATGAATGAACAAAAATGCTATCAATAGACAAGATTGATGACATTTCTAATATCAAATGATGTTTATAAGTATCTACTCGAGGATCCTTGTATTATGTAGAAACGTAGGTTTCAAAGAAAAGGAAACTCGAATGAAATGTTTGTTTCCAAAGCTTTTTCCTGACAGTGCTTTTCACCACTTCTCTTTGGTGAAAGCTTTTTTAAATTTTAAAAGTTCGTTAAAAGCAACCAAATGTTTCAAGGGAAATCATTTTTGTCAAGAAAGTAAAATAAATTAAGGATAGCAGCTACCATATTACAAAAAAAGATCAGAAAATTCGAATTCAATAAGGAAATATCCAATAAATTTGAACTTCATTCTTTCTTTTTCCTTGTCATTGAAATATTTTTCTTCCCAACAATAGTTTGTAAATTATTTTGTAATGTCACATGTTTACACAGTAATGTCTTCTGAAAGAATTCCCTATTCTCTTTCAGGTAAACAATAGTAAAGAAAAATCTAAAGAAAATGTTTTTCATACAGCATGAAACCAAAGCAAGAGAAAAAGAAGCGTTTCTTCCAACATCTTATATAGATACCAACTTATGTTTGTCATCACATTTTTAATCTTATGTTAATAGTTCTTTTACTAAAACAATGACCTTCTTTTGAAGTCGTAATTTTTAAGAAGCTTTACGAGATCAAAATTTTAAAAAGGTGTAAAAAAAATTGTAAAATTGAGGCTACTTTTAAAAATAATTAAAATTTTATGTAAAAAAATTGCATTGAGGCATTTTTAAAATATTTGTTTTGATAGTTGATGCCAATAAGAAGTTTGATTTTAGCAAAAAAAAAAAAATGAGGCTACTTGGAAAGTTAAATTAAATATGTTGTAGTTAATTTTATGTCAAATCTGTGATGGATTTTTTAATGAAATGTGCAAAACATAGAAAATATTTTTAACATCTTCGTTCGCTCATTTTCTTTCATTTATTATTCCATTCAACTTGTTGCATGAATCATACTTACTTATCAGCATTGCTCGAAATATCAACAACAGTTTAATCCGAAAATAAAAAAAATAATATAAGAAAAAAACTTAATGAAGAATAAATTAAAATAATTTTCAAATAGTTGTGTTGGGTTTCAAATAGCTATAGCTAAAATAAGTTTCAGTTGATGAAATTTATGTTGTCGTAAATGTAGATATCAAAATTCTGAAGGAGATGTTTGAAACATGAGACAAGAAGGATGTCTAAAATCATCAAGAACTAAACATGAAAAAAAAATATTGTTTTACGGTTTTTATCCATTTTTTGTTTATTTTTTGTTTCTTAATGTTTTTTTTCTCCAATACAAATCTCTTCCTCCCACACAATGTTTGATACCATAGTTTTACAAATGCTTTTCCCTTTCCACTTGTATTCTCACAATAACATTGTTAAATCGTGAAAAACAGTATAAGAGGTACATAAGAAGGATAAAATAAAATGATAAATGTTTATTTTTATTTTAAGTTTCTTAATTACTCCCCACTGCTCTTTAAAGGTATATTTTTTTAGTAAGGTAATTGTTTTAGACTTTTCATTTTGCTAGACAAAATTGATATAATAATTTCCTTTTTCATTCATTTCGTTTCATTAATTGCCTTTGATGTTCCTCTACAGATCCAATCATCTTCATCATTTCTTTCTTCCTTCTCTCAAATCGTGTAGAAGACGCCAATTTTACGATAAAAATTCTTTGCCTATCCAAAGTACGCTGATTTAATGTTTGTTTTTTTTTAATAAGGATATGACAACTGACATCTCTGAATATATTTTTATAATTTTGCTTTTATTAAAACTTTCACTGAGCTTAATATGTCAAAGTACAAATATTCGTTCGATTTATTCAAGGGAAAAAACATGATGACTTTTAAATTAAATCTTACGAAACTTTATCACTTTAAACCTAAGAAACCATCGGAATGAATAGAAAACTCTTTCAATATTTCATATTTATCATGCATTGTTAAAATTTAAGCTAAAAAGACAAATACTAGCTGCAACTTAAAGTCATTTTTGTCTGTTTATGTAGCGTAAATATAAAAATTAAACAAATTAAATCACTTAAAAAGTCGAACATGTCTTGAAAACAGAGAAAATTTCTACAACTCGTGTTTCTTCCCTTAAAATTGTTTATCCTCTGTTTTTGAGTTTATTTACGATCCCGTTTTATTATTTTTGTCTAATTTGGTCATTAAAGTTATCAACCAGAACTGAAAATCTTTAATTTTTCAAGCATTTCTCTTTCTAATACTTTTTTTGTTATTTATTTAAGGTAAATTGATTATCAGGTTTTTATTTAATAAAATGGAATAAATGGTGGTAGACGTGGAAGTTTTGGTAAGTGAGAGCTGACAAAGTGAAGTTTGGTTCCGTGAACTTCACAGTGCAGAGTTTCATTTACCTTTGTTTCTGTCATTGACAGCACCACATTTTACTAATAAGTATTCCCAAATTGATCTAATTTTTTCTCATCTTGAAAATGAAAACCGGTTCGATAAACTTTCATTTGTCTAAGATTCTTCTTCGGTTTACATAGTCAGAAGCTTTTTTCTTATTTTTCTTTTTAAACAGAAATAGGTATCTTCAATCTTAACGATAAAGTTTCAATGACTTACAAAACATTCTTCTTCTTCTTCTTCCTCTCTTTAATCAACTTGATTTTAGTCTTCTTATACAAACCACTCATCTTTGGTTGTCGGGTTGGTTTGTGGTAATAAATCTTGTCCCATCAGTGACTTTAAGTTCGGTGATGCTCCGTCAATTGACGTCGTTTCTAAGCACAAGTTAAAGTTTCTTGGAATTGTATGATTTCCATTAATTCCATTTTCGCCCATCATCATTTTTTCTGATGGCAAACGCGTCGTCTGATCACGAGGCAATGTCGAATGCTTCGAACCATTTGTTGCGTTAATGTTTGTTTGATACACTTTACAAGAAAAACACCGAGAATAACAAGAATCAAATAATTATTTAAAAATAAAAATAAATTTCATTCTTAATCTTACATTGAACTTGATTGAAACCATTTCCATTTGTGTTTTGATTGTTATTTTGGTTTGCGCCATTATTGACAGCATTTCGACGGCAAATGCAAATCGTAATGCCGACGAGAAAAGCGAAAATTATTAGCATACTGCACATCGTGATTAAGACAATCCATGTAAGCTCCATGCCAAAAATTTGGTTTTCGGTAGGATCTGGAAAGAAAATCCATCATGAGTTATGCACATAAATCTTAGTTTTAATGTTATAAGACTGACTTTGACATTTTGCGTTAACTGACTCATCAGAGCCATCGGAACAGTGGTTGACACTGTCGCATAGCAGTTCAGGGTGGATACAAAAGCCATTTGCAACACATTTAAAATCTCGACACTCGTGTTTCGGATCTTTGATAGCCGTTATCTGAAGTAGAAGATCTCAATTTAATTGACTGTACATTCACATGAATTCTATAAAAGAAAGAACAAACCACAAGCTTAAATCCGTTTGAATCAGTTCCCCAACCATCTGTGACATATTTCAATGTGATATGATTTGTGTTTGTGAACAAAACGCCCACCGATTGCTTTGTATTACGACACGAGATGTCAATCTAAAAAGAAATTATAATCAAACATTGATAATTGGGTGGTGAAGCTTTGAGCTTTAGTTACTTTTGGAGTTCCAGCAGCATGCCCTCCATCATATACAAACAGGTGATCGTTACAGTCTAATGAGAGCGTGTCAAATCTAAAATATTTATATGGAGATGAGAGATGAAAAATTGAATAGAAGTCATGATTACCTTAACATAAATCTTTGTAATATTGAATGAGTCTGAAATGTTATTTCACAATCAAGATTCCTTTCATTTTGACTCATCAACGTTGCACCATCGACCTTTCTATAAAGTTGCCTTAAAAATGTATTTTTACACAATTGATTTATGTGATCTAGTAAATGTATGTATCGTTGCGAAAACGAACGTTGGTTGCAGGATTTTTCAACAGCAGGAAAAGAAATAAAAAGGAGCAGAACGGTTACGGATCATAAATTAAATTTCTTCTCTGTTAATATCGATAATGTTCGATGAAAATCGATTTCCTTTACTCACAATTCTTATTGAGCTCACAACATACATCCGTTACTGATATGACAATTATCCATACGAAAAGAAGAAATTTACATGTTGATGTAAATGCTGAAGTCGCTGAAGACAGCGGCAGATAATCGAAAAGCTTAGACCCCGCTGAAGCTGGTGACATCACTGATAATTGATATGAGTTAAAGGGTAAAATTCCTTTAATTCTTTTCCTTAGTTTCTTTACAAACTGAAACGACGGATTTGTAAAGGATTTTTCTTCTTCTTTTGCTTATGACACACTGCACTGATGTAAAAACTCTTTACTGCTTTCTAAACCCATTAAACTTAGTTTTGTTTATTCTTTTCTATTTTTAATTTCACTATGCTGACTCTTATCATCAAACATCAAATTTTATGTTGCTGCATTTCGCCATCTCTTACACATATCTAAGATTAAAGGAAATTGAAAATGCAATTTAATAATCCAGAAGTTGAAATGAAAATATCATTGCAAAGAAGTTTATTAAAAATTAATTGAATTCAATTACATATAAATCAATGATTGTTGATCTTAAGTTCTGTTATTTCATTTTCTTTACTCCCAATTTCAATGAAATTTTAATACTTTGATTGGCTTTGATGACAACAAGACAAAATGGGAAAATAAAGAAGCTTATAAAACTCAACATCAACGACGATTCAATTTCGCGTTGTTATCTTTTCGCCATCACCGGATGCTTTTGTCCCAAAAAAGAAAATCAAATATCTTAGGAAAAATCTTCTATCTCAAGACATTGAATAGCAATGCCCCATTTATAGTTGGAAATGAACGGAAAACAGAAAAAAAATGTATAAAGATGGGGAACATCGTCAAAGAAAAGAGAATCTTGCGGGTGAAAAAAGAAAATGAAAATCGGAAAGATAAACAATCCGGCATTGAGTGGGCTTAAAGCAAAGGGAAGAAAATCGTTTAGCAACAAGCGGATTACTTTCTCGTCTTTCTTCATCTCAAGTAGTAGATCGTTAACTATCCTTTTGCAATATTTTCCATTCGTCTCATCGGTCTCATCTCAAACTTCATTTATTATTCTAGCTAATTTCACCATGATAACATCTATCAATCGCACACTATTTTCATGACATTCCTAAAGCTTACATTCCTTTCTGAAAGACTCTTATTATCGCCGAGCGCGCTTTACATGAAAAGTGTCGCACAAATCACAGACTTATTTCGCTTATCATCATCCAAATCCCGAAATGTCTTACTTCAATAGCATTTTTTTATGATATTTGAACCTAACTTTAGCCTCCCTTGATTACTCTGTCTCTCTCTCCTTCTCTCTTGACACTGTCAACGTCCTCTCTTTCTCACGTAAATCTCACAAACACACACTTCCAATGTCACCCGCAATGGTCGTCCCGCGAAAAAGATAATAACAACAACGAATCAACCCTTCACAAGAAACTTATGTATTTCAGTTCTCATGTCGCTGAGTTTTCATTCTTCTTCTTTTTTCTTTCATTCATTGTTTATTAAAACTTTAACTACCTAATATCGAAATAAACACAAATTTTCTGCAACTTAATATCCGCGAACGGAAGCGAACACATAACGGAGTCAATCAATTATTGACTTATTAGAAAAAGGAGAAAAAAGGTTAAAAAGTTGAAAAGAAAAAAAGCACGATAGATTGAGAATTCATGTCTTTAAATTGGCATTTGGATCGGCAACCCATAAATTACTTCGAAAGCGAATGAGAAAAAGGTTGGAACGGGTAAAGAAAGAAGACGAAGATAATCAAAATCGATTGTTGGGGATTCATTACTATCTTCCATTAATTGTTCACTGCACTTGCTTACACTTATCTGTCACAAACCTCTAAGTCTTAAGTCTTAAGAAAAGTCTTTCAATTGAAGCAACCATAAATCTGACACTATGCTTTCATTCTCAACAAGAACAGGAATATTTGTGTTGGTGTGTGTCCATTTGTAGAAATTTTTTTTCTTTTCACGAAAGAAAAAAAGTTTTCACTCTAAAATTTGACGGATTTATAAAACTTTCACATCAAATTTTATTTCACAATTCATTTAAATATTCACTTTATTGTATAAAATCAATTATTTCAATTTTTAATTCACTATTTTTCTTTTCTAATATTTTGATAATTTTCTTCTTTTCCTAAACTTTAACCATTCAAAGAACGGAGCAAAAGAAGACTGACTCGCTTTTCCAACATCGAACTCTCACTTTTCTTGCTTTTCCTTCTCTCTCTCGTGAACAAAAAAAATCACCAACACAGGGAAATGTTCTAAGGGAATAAATTCATCGACTCGATGGTAAGGGGCGAGGGTGGAACTGTAAAGATTCTCTCTTTTGTGTATTCGTTTCGCCCATCAACCATTTATGATTCAGTAATGATGTGAGAGCGACAACATTTTCAAATTCTAAAAATCAAAATCTTTCACCATTCATTTTGCTATCGGACCTGAATGTGCTTCGAATAAATTTACATCATCTATTGAGAATTCAACTGCCGGAAGGTGCGATGAAACGTCAATCTTGAGCAATAAATCTCGTTCCGCGTGCGAATGTCTTTTATTTTTATGGCTTTATGAGATAAAAACAATTTTAAATTTCCGTTACAACGTGCTTCTTTAACATCGCGCATGTGCGATTAAACTTCGACAGGATAACACTCAAGTAATACGAGACCGACAAAAAGCAAAGAAAAATCGATATTGATTTTTCTGCTCTGTGTTGATGGGGATAACAATCGTGATTCGTGAATATTTTTTGTTTTGATTGTTATGTTGAATAGAAAAGTCTACGCTATATTTTTTTATTCTTTATGGTGGATAGAAAATTATGCGAATTCTTTCAATAGTAAATTACTGCAATATGAAGCTTTCTGTTTTGTCTCTTATCAATTTATAAAATGACGTTGAATAAGAAAGTGCGAAAACTGCATTTCACTGTTATCATAAATTGTGAAGTTTATGCTTTAAAATTGCATGTTTTGCAAAGTCTTATCGCTTTTGAATGAGTCTCGATGCCAAGTTCGTATGCATTTCAATCGTTTTGTTGCAAATTATTTGTCGGCAATGCATTTGCTTCGAGACCATTTGAAAGTTTTAAGAGAATTTCTAAAGATATGCAAATTTGATTGAAATTTTTATGTTTGTTTTACATTTTTATATTTTTATTATTGTTAATAAAGAAAATTAAATGAATACAAGAAAATAATTATTTGATGTATTTCTCCATAAACTTTTTGTGGAATTCAGAACGAAGAGAATCATTGATAAAAGTTTCACCTTTGTCGACTTCTGTTCTAGCGCAGTTTTTAAATACGACATCATCATTCCAACGACGTTTAACTTTTGTGTTAGCAGGAGCAGCTGATGTGTAATTAAGCAAAGGATTTCCCGATAAAATATTTTCCATTCTGATTCGTTCTTCTTCTTGCGCTTTTTCAGCTTCTTTCTTTGCATTTTCTTGTGATCGTTCACGTTTAATTTTATTTAATTCAGCCAAAAGAGCAGCAGTATCATCATCAGAATCTTCATCATCAGAACGATCACTGTCAACAGGGTCATCAGCATCTGGGTTTTGCTCCAACTTTTGTCTTTTCACGTTGGCTTCAATTGCTCGTCTCACCACTGTTGGATGTTTCGAAGATTTGCTTGAGGCATCACGTTCACGTTCTTCTAGTTCTTTACGTAAGTCACGGCTACGGATTTCATCACTTGTTCCTTGTCCAGTTTCTCTATAATGACAATAAAAAACATCCAGTAAAGTTTTTTTTTCATTTTCAATTTATCTTACATTCTTACCTGTATTTTAATTTTGTATGAGCTGTTAAATCACGAGATGAGTACTGTTTTGATAGTGCTGAAAGATCTTTTTCCCCTCTGCCAGATCCTCCACGAGCTGTATCAAAAGTTGGACGGGCTGCAGTAGTCATTTTCTTCTAGTTTCAAGTTCTCGTGAATTTTTGTTTTATTTTTAATTATTTCGGTGTCAAATGTTATAATTTCTTTTATTTATAAACTGAGGAAAATTATTACAGCAAAAAGAAGACAATAAACTATAGCGTAGATGAATAAAATGAATTTAAAGAAAATTTATTTCTAATCGTTTGTTTATTTTTTACGACGAAATAAAGAAGCTTCATTGAAACCTTTCTAATATGTATGAAATAAATTTGAATTTCGAAAACGTTTTATTTTGTATATTGAATTGCCTACTTTCAGGGAAAGCCTTTGTATGAAAAAGGATGCGAAATACCAGTATTTGTTTGAACCTACCTATGTCTTCATGAATATCTCGGAAACGCCTACGTTAATTAAATATATGTGAATACAAATCGATATAAGAGATAAAACTTTATAAATTTTAAGAAAAAAATATATTTAAAAAGCGTGTAATTAGGGAGTTATTAAGGTAAATTTAAACTTTTCATACATGCGTGAATGTGTTCAAATTTTTGAATTTTAAATTCATGAAATAAGAAACTACCTACCTAATTAAGTTTTAAAAAGAACGAACCGAGCTATTAATTCAATGTTAAAGAAAGTCACAAAAATATTTTTTAATTTATTTTCTTATCTTTTACATATTTACATAAAAAATTGTACAATTAATTTTAATTCCTTCATGACGTTCTGCATTGACGTTCTCACTTCATATTCCTTTTAAAAAAACAAAACTTGTAAAACTATGCAGTTTCATTGTTATTTGATCGTTATCAGGTTTTTATCAGTTTCAACTTTAAACTATCAGGCAATTGTTTCTGTATCATTTCAAGCATTTTTTCTCTCATTTGTGGTGAAACTGAAATATTATTTTAGTCTTTATCTTGAAGTCGTGTCTGCAGCACATGCTTCATGAAAAAGAGGTACATTGATTTAATTATTTCTACTCGCTGAAATGAAAAGTAAAGATTTTGTTATCTTTTTTTAAGAGACATCATAGGTTTGCAATTTTATTTATTTATTTATGCATCAAATTATATTAATTTATTTACACTTAATTAGATAAGAAATTTGTGTCAAACGAAGCGATGGCGATTGGAAACCATGTTGTTCCCGAATTTACGATCATTATAATTCAGAATGATGTTAACTTCAACATCTTTATCCTTGCTACTTAGTAGGTAAGAAATGATTCTCTAGAAAATATATTTCATTTAATTAGCTTTACAACTAAATAAATAATTTTGTAGACATCCCGTAATTCTGAAAAAATTCGATATGCTTTAGATGACATCTTAACCTAGTGCAGTCTCAAAGAAAGGTACCTATAAATTATAATTTTATTTAAAAAAAACAAGTTATAAGTAAAATTAATTTTTTTCTAATTATGCATGAAACTTCAGAACTCAAAATGCGCTTCAACATCACTTTGAAATTGATCGCTTAATCACTTTTAAGATCGCTATGCCACTCAATAATTGTTCTCGAGAAATTGAAATATTTTTGATTTCTTATATATAGTTCCAGACAATGTTCGAAAAGGATATATCTATATTCATCAACAGTTGGAATAAAATATATAATGAACATTGACGATTATATATTTTAACAAGATGTTCATCTCTGCGCACAATGAAATTTACCTTATTTCTCATTCCCTTACTTTCAATGTCTTTCAAATAGGGTCTTTCAAATCTAAGGTAGATTATTACCTACCTACTTTCCACCGAAGCGGATGTATTTTGTTGTTGTCACTGTCAATGTTAAATATTAAATATTATTAAATGATTTAAAAGTGTGTTCCTCTCAAAATTTGGAATTGGACATGAAGAATTGATAGTCATACACTCCGCGAAGACCGTATAAAACCACTCGTTTTTCTTGTATAATTAAAGCATAAAGACTTTAGAAATATTTAAATAAATCATATTATAAAGATAAAACACCTTAATCTTTCACTTTTTCGCTTTACACAATATTTTTGCATTATTTAATATTTTGGCCATTTTCGCATATTGTTGACTTGAGTTATTGAAGTGTTATTCTTAGGAACAGTTAATTAAAAATTTTTAATGATGTTTTTCGTAATTATCAAAGTATCTTTAGTGTAAAAAACCTCTTTTCAGGATTTTAATCATAGTTATTCAAAAGAAAAACTAATTTTTCTCCGAAATGGACCTCAATTTTAGGCATTTCTCAGTCGAAAACGTGAGATATTTTTCAGGAAGTCGATTCAAGTTATTTATATAAGACTTTAATTGACTAAAAGGCATCTAATTATTTAAATTCAATTAATATTTTGCATAGTCTACCAGCATAAAATTACAAAACTCATTGAAATAATAAAATAATTAAAATATTAATATTTATAAGCGATTATAAAAGATGTTCATTTACATATTTGCATAATGATAAGGATTCGCAATCATGATTACAGAAGTTTAGTAAAGCCAAAAGATTATTCAGTAAGGCAGTAGTGTACTAGTCTCAGTTTAAATATATTTCTGGAGCTACTTTTATTTTTAACTTAATAATAAGTGACTTATCTCTGAAAAAATTGTTGACAAGAAAAAATCTCAGCAAAATTTGATAGCCTTGAAAACAGAAGAAAAAAAAGCTTGCAAACGTCATGGAAAAATATTTGATCACCCAAAAGAAGTACAAACGTGACAAAGCCTCACTCATGGGCGAAGTAAACAATCCCAAATACTCTAGAGTGTTATCATTTTTCTATCATTGACCAGAAAAACTATGCGGCTCTCGATCTTTTCATGTTGTTTTCTTTTCTTTAAAGTTAAACTTTATTTTCACAAATGCATCAAGTGAAATAAAAGTTTAATTGTTGTTCGTATGCTTGGGTCAAACATTGATAACTAAAGTAAATTTGTCTTGTACTTTCTCTTGTTTTGCTCTTTTTTCTTCTTTTTTCTGTATTGTACTTGTGTCATTTAAGATTAGGTAGTTAAAGTAGGTGTAGAATAGAAAATATGTAGTTCAATCTATTCTGACAAGAACTAGAAAGATTTGCCATGATGTGTTGATGTAGTGTGAAAATCTAATGTGCATGTTTATTTTCTACTTAACTGTAATTGTCAAAGATCAAGTGTTAAGTCAACAGTAGATTAAAAAAAAGTGACTTTATAAAGTGACCTGAAAACGAGTGAAATTATTAACTAGAAATTAAATTTAATTAGGAAAATGTTAATACGAATATTTGTTATGGAAATTAAAGCATCAAAAATCTTTTAATTCTCATATAAATCATCTTTATTTAATGCTTAATAGAAATTTTAATTTCTTTTTCACTAATGATCTCCCGTAATAACCACCACATTGATTATTCATTCCCGTCTCTCAACCGCTACACAAATGAAAATCTTACTCAAAATTGATAACGCAAACGATCATTTATTTATTTGTGAATAAATGAAGATCCTTCAAATATTATGGAACAGATTCGAATTATTCTCAGTCTTCATTAAATCTTCGCTTTCATCACATCACCAGCTTCTCAACGTTGTCAAGTTGTGTGCTATCAAAAGAAAGTTTAAAAGAACATACACATAATTAATAATTATTTATTTCAAATTTATGAAACGAATTGAAATTAATTGATTAATAAACAAAAAAAATATTATCAGAAATTAATCGATTTTATTTTATTTAAAAAATGGATAAAATTAAACATATCATTAAGAATGGCAATGGCAAGTGTGACACTGAAATAACAGTAACATCAGCGGAAGCAAATGTTAAAAGTAGTTTAATTGTTGTGTCGAATCGTTTACCTTTTGTGCTGAAACAAGATGACCAGGGTGGAATGATTCGTCAAGCCAGGTGAGTTAACATTACGAGAAATCAATCGAATTTTCAATTTATGAGACTCAATAAGCATTTATGAGCTCAATGGCCGCATTGAAGTGAGAAAAGAAGTTGATAAGTAAGAGTCTGTATTTTTTGTCCAATCAAATAAGAAAAATTCAAAGTCCAATTGATTGGAAATGAATGTTCTGGTTTATAGAGGAAAAAACAATTTCCTTGTGACATAGTGAGAAGTGCATAGCATAGATTGCGTTTTTTTCTTTTCATTTCATTGAAAAATTATTGCTGTCAAATCAAAGTGAGTGATGATGTTCACGTGTAAATAATTTTTTCCCAGGACTATTTATCATTTTGTTTGCCTTTTAGATGATTCTAATCTCACTCATTCATTATCGACGCCTATCAAGTTATTGAAGGTCAAATAATAATTTATGAAAGCTTCCTTCCCTTGAATGATAGTCGCGACTTGAGCCACGTTCCATCAAGAAAATAAGTGAACCATTAAAATCACATCAAAAGTCGTGCGAGATATTTTTAAATATTGACAGACGTCATAAGTAATCTTTTGCTATTATTATGTCTTTGTTTTTATTTTTTCTTAACGTTTCTTAACGTAAAAATGATTTCGCACTTTCGATTGATAAAGCTTTATTAATTATTTATTCAATGATTCTTTCCATTTACTTTTTCTTATTTAATTAAACAAAAATTTATAAAATAAAGCGCTGGAGGTTTGGTTACCGCTGTAGCTCCTGTTGTTATCAAAGGCAAAGGTTTATGGGTTGGTTGGCCTGGTCTTCATCTTCCCTCTGACTTCAGTGACACACAAATTCCAGAATCTGATCCAACAGATCAAACTCCAACTGCAGGTTTGAAGTCTGATCAAGTGGTGACAGTAAACTGTGACCCTGACTTGTTTGAAATGTATTACAACGGATGCTGTAATGGAACGCATTGGCCTTTGTTTCATTCTATGCCGGGTATGTTTATAAAGATGATGCATTTGATAAGAGCTTATCAGTAGTAACCTTCATGTAGGTCGTGCAATCTTTTCCGCTGATCACTGGCGCGCTTATGTCGCCGTAAATAAACTTTTTGCTGAGAAAACAATCGAAGCTTTGGAACGTTGTTACAAGAACTCAACAAACAAAGGCATTCCAATTGTTTGGGTTCATGATTATCATCTTATGCTCTGTGCCAATTACATTCGTGAAATGGCGGAAGAAAAAGATCTCAAATTTCATCTTGCTTTCTTCTTACACATTCCATTTCCACCCTGGGATATCTTCCGTTTGTTTCCATGGTCCGATGAAATCTTACAAGGAATGTTAGCTTGTGATATGGTGGGATTTCATATTCGTGACTATTGCTTAAACTTTGTTGATTGCTGTCAAAGAAATTTGGGCTGTCGTGTCGACAGGAAAAATCTTTTAGTTGAACACGGTGGAAGATCGGTGAGAGTACGACCATTACCGATTGGAATTCCTTTTGATCGTTTCGTTGAACTCGCAAAAGGTGCAAAGAAAATCATTAAGACCAAGCAGAAAGTTATACTTGGTGTTGATCGTCTTGACTATACGAAAGGTCTTGTGAATCGTTTAAAAGCTTTTGAATTATTCCTTGAACGTCATCCTGAATATATTGGACTTGTAAACTTTCTTCAGATTTCTGTACCATCTCGTACTGATGTTACTGAATATCAACAGTTGAAAGAAGAAATGGATCAACTTGTTGGACGTATAAATGGTCGTTTTTCAACAGCAATTTGGTCACCAATTCGTTACATCTTTGGATGTGTTGGTCAAAGTGAGCTTGCAGCTTATTATCGCGATGCAGCTGTTGCTATGGTGACACCACTTCGCGATGGAATGAACTTAGTTGCAAAAGAATTTGTTGCTTGTCAGATCAATGAACCACCAGGTGTGCTGATTGTTAGTCCCTTTGCGGGTGCTGGTGAAACAATGCACGAAGCTTTGCTCTGCAATCCTTATGAACTTGGTGCTGCTGCTGATGTTATCTATCGTGCCTTAACAATGCCAGAAGATGAAAGATCTTTAAGAATGTCACGACTAAGAAGACGTGAAATGGATACAGATGTTAATCATTGGATGAGATCATTTATGAAAGCAATGGGATCAGGTGTAGAAGAGGATGACATTGGATCAACTCAACTTCGTCCAGTGACAATCGACGACTTTGATGATTATCTGCTAAAGTAATTTCATTTCTTTTTTCCTTGACTCTTAATTTTTTTATTATACAACTTTCAGCTATATTGGATATTCTCATAAATTGGCACTTCTCCTTGATTATGATGGAACTTTAGCTCCAATTGCACCACATCCAAGTTTGGCACATCTTCCAAATGAGACAAAGAGTGTCCTTCAAAGGTTGTCAAATATTTCTGGTATGTTATGGAATAGATTCAAATATCGAAGTTTTTATTTTAATTTCTCAATTCAAAGATGTCTACATTGCAATCATATCGGGACGTGATGTTGAAAATGTTAAGAACATGGTGGGAATTGAAGACATCACTTATGCTGGTAATCATGGTTTGGAGATTCTTCATCCTGATGGAAGCAAATTTGTTCATCCAATGCCAATTGAATATGCTGAGAAATGCAGCGGACTTTTAAAAGCTCTCCAAGATTCTGTGAGATTCAAGCAATATTGAAGCTTTTGTATTTTTGAAATTTCATTTGAATATTTAGGTTTGTCGCGATGGTGCTTGGGTGGAGAATAAAGGAGCTATATTGACCTTCCATTATCGTGAAACTCCACATGAACTCAGACCCGCAATGTTATCAAAAACTCGTTATTTAATGGAAAGTTTTGGATTTAAAGCAACTGAAGCGCAATGCGCAATTGAAGCGAAACCACCTGTGCAGTGGGATCAAGGACGAGCTTCTATTTATATTCTGCGAACAGCTTTTGGTGTTGATTGGAGTGAAAGAATTAAAATCATTTATGCTGGCGATGATTCTACAGATGAAGACGCAATGACTGTAAGAATTCTTTAGCTTTGGATTATTTTTCAATATTAAATTTTTGATATTTTTATCACTTAAAAGGCACTTCGTGGCATGGCTGCTACTTTCCGTATTGCTAGCTCAAACATCATTAAAACAGCAGCTGAACGTCGTTTGCCATCAACTGATTCAGTTCTAACAATGCTTAAATGGGTTGAACGTCACTTCATGAATAAGAAACCGAAAGATCCATGCAGCACTCGAATGAAGAAACATTCATTTAAGGAAAGTGTCGGATTTCCAATTCATATGTCATTTGACTTGACAACCAGCCCTGCTAGAAGTCCGTTGAGCAGTCCCGTCCCTTCCCCAACATGCTTATCTGCTGATCAAAGTTCCGATGAGTTATAATTGTTGTTATTAACATGAAAGAGTTTACATAAATAGATAAAAATTTCTTACTTTCTACATATTTCAGAAGCATTTAATTATTGAATTAAATTCTCATTTAAATTTAAATAAAAAAAATACTTTTTCTTGCTGCAGCGCTGTTAAAATATTTTTGACCGAAGAGAAAATAAAAATTGGAAGCCCAGTAATAAGGTTGATTTTATTTCTTTTTACATTCTCATATCATTTATTTTCTTTTTTATAATAAAATTCGGTATAATAAGCTGAAAGTAATTTTTAAGATTTTTTTCATTTAATAAGATTTTTTTAATAAATTGTGTGCGACACGACAAGCCATGAGATGATGAAATAAAAGAGAAAAATTGGATAAACAGCGAGAGCTTTTCTGTTAGCTGGTTGACTATCACCCATGAAAATGATTGAGGCTGAAACAAAAATATTAATTATGAGTCTCAAAAAGATTTTAGTATTCCTTACCGTAAGTTGCCCAAATAAAGCCACAAGTTGAAGACAGAAGTCTTAAGAAGAATGTTAAATTTGTTTGTTGTACAATTAAGATTGCTCTGCAGACACAAAGCGATAACGCTAAAGGTGTTAAACAATATCCAAGAACGCAAACTGATTGGAAAAATGATCTAAAATGAGAAAACCAAAAATTAGTTAAGAAATTATTCAAGAACATGAAAAGTTTTCATCTTACATATTTCCTCCCAATAATTTTGAGTTTAATGTTACAACCATAGCTCCAATCCATACAATAACAAACACTTCAGCAAACTCAGGACCTCCATCGTTGCTGTAGCCATCAGATGATCCTTGAAGAATTGTTGCCATGAATGTACACAAAACAAGCGGTCCCCAGAGATCCCATTCTTTTAATAAATTGTTTTTCTCTTTTGGATAGAGAACATGTTTGAACTTACTACCAACTGCACGAACATCTCGAAGCTGAAAATAAAAGTCAAGATAATGTTGCCGATTTTTGCCAGCTCATCTGCCGGATCATCAATTTATTTACTTACGAATGTTTCCTTGATAGGTTCATCTAATGTGTTGAAATCTGATTGCCCTGGTGTGCCTCTATTTATTTTACCACTTGAGCTGACTGTCATTTCACCCTCAACAAGCGTTGGATCATCATCAAACATCTTTTGTTATCAGCAAGAAACAAACGACAAACAAAAATCAATTTTTGGATTATTTCAAATTCGAGTTTTTCTTACATCTAATCTTGCATCCTGTGCTGTCATTGCGAATTATGGGGAAAGTATTTTCCCTTGATTAAGTGATATATTTTAGGAAGTATTTATCTCTTTTCAAACGAAGCAGAATTTTTATTAAAATTCTTTATTTACAATGAAGAAAGTTCGAATTTTTCGAAATTTGAAGAATTTGAATTTCAAAATTACGTTAATTTCTGTTCTTGTAAATTATAAGTAACAATTAGTAATTATGGATGAAATATGCTTGCTTTATCTTTCTACCTACCCATAAAATGTAAAGCTAATATCCTTGAAAAGCTGCAAGCATTTTTATTATTTGAAAATAATGAGAGCAATTAAAATAGAAAAATATTCACAGATTAGAACAAAATTAATTTATTAGATTAATGAATGTGCAGAACATAAACTTGCTATTTAGTTATTTTCATTCTATTAAAAAGGTGTTCATTTATATTGCATAACAATCCATTCCAAGAATGTTGTAACCGAATCAGTCGTCGGAATTTTATATGTTGCTTTTGTAATAAGCTCGCTATCTCTTGTTACTCGGAATGTAACGCCGATATTCTTGAGAAGCTCAAAAACATCTTCATCAGTTGTATCATCACCAGCAAACACAACTTTAACATTGTTTCTCCAATCTTTTCCAAAACTGTGATCAAGAATGTATTCAGCAGCTTTTCCTTTATTCCACTGAACAGGAGGTTTAGCTTCTATAGCACAATGAGCTTGATTTGCTCTATAACCAAAACTTTCAATAATTTCTCTTGCTTCCTTCAGTATACTTTCTTGTTCCTCTAGTGGCATTGCACGGTAATGAAAAGTTAGAGAAACTCCTTTATTTTCTATCCACGAACCATTCCTTGTGATCTTAATAATAAAAAAGAAGGTTGCAATAAACACTAACAATATGGATTAAAATGTTTCAATACCTTATCTAAAGCTGCTATCATTTTATCATAATTTCCACTGATATTTGCAGGTATCTGATGATTGTATTTAGTACCGTTTGGATAAAGAATTTCCAAACCATGATTGCCAGCATAAGTAAGTCCATGAATTTCAATTTTTCCTTTTGCATCGTTGACACCTCGACCTGAGATTATCGCAGTGAAAATCTTTGAATTGACAGCAATCTCACTCAAGGCTCTTTTAGTTTTTTCCGTCATGGCTGTGAGATTAGGATGTGATGCGATTGGTGCTAAAGTTCCATCGTAATCAAGTAATAATGCCAGTTCTTTTTTATCACCAACATAATCACTCAAATATTTATTGAAATCTTCCATTGTTGGCTCCATTTTTAGACTTGTTTGCTGAACACTTTCAGGGAAAGTGAAGATAGGAATAATCAGAGTAGCACTTATAAAGAGAAGCCTCCATTCGAAATGTACAATAGTCAAAGTATGATAATCTAGAAAAATATAATATAATAAGGCAGAGAATCAAGCACACAAAAGCGTCAAATTACAACGAATAATCTCGATTTTTCTAATTAAAAATATTATTATACATCTTCTCGTATCACAGTCGATTGTATGCTGAACACGTGAGAAGAATTGATAAGAGATGAAATATAAAACTTGGATGTAGAAGTAGAAAAAATATAAAACTGACTTAGTGCGGTTCTTTTAGATGCCATATCTTGTTTCGGAATATTAGAACAATTAAAAGAGACTGCACATGAATTTGCTGTCCAATACAAACTGATGTATTTTCAGAGATTTATTAAATGGACAGAGAATATTTATTTTTTCACAAGCTTGGAGAATATTTTATATTCATTACTCTGATGTTCCTTTTATTTCTCTCAATTTTTTAAGACAACAAAGATAATCAAATGAAATGGGTGAATGAGTGTGAAGAGAATAAAAATCTTCGCTTAAATTTTGTGTGTTTGCATACTAATTAATTAAATCAAAGATAAAGAAAATTGCTGAAATTTAAGAAATACAAACTCTTTCGAAATCATTCGTATCTAAATAAATTGAACTTTTATTTTCAGAATCATAAACATACAAATAAATTTTTACATCTTTTTAAGCGTTGAAATTTGATTAGCATTAAGCAATATTTAATTTTATTATAATAGGTAAAATTTTCAAAAGGAATTTATTGCTTCGTGCAAAAAATTGAAGGTTTTGGAGAAAATCTAATTTTAAAGAGATTTAAAGAAACAAAAAAAAATAAAAAGAAACAACAAACAAATAAAAGAAAATTAAAGATTTGAACATAAATACCACATCATCGTAGAGATAACAAGTATCTACTAATAAATTGCAGCAAATCCATTAAATTGGCTTATAAAGCAGTGTCGTAACATATTTCTTTCTATATCTATGAGTGGCGGAAAGAACCATTACACCGTCCTTAATTGACAGCGCATACAAATGATTCAACATGACGTGGTTTGGTTCAGGCAGAAGAGTTGGTTCACACGATAATGGCGTATCTTTGTTAAGAATAACTTGAAGAAGATGGGGTGGAAGTATCGGAGGTCCATTTACCTTTTCCCATGGCTTTATTTGTGGGATATCTTGAGAATACTCTTTTTGTTCTGAATTTCCAGTGTCTTCAGAATCTTTTGCCAAGGCTTGAAAAACTTCAAAATCACTTTGACGAACACTTACCGTATTATTTTTACTCCCAACCTCGTTTTCGATATTTTTAAGCTTTGGATCATGTCTCCATTCGCCATCAACGTAAAACTTGAACTGATGTTCACCCTCAGGCAAATCAATAATTGTGACAAAATCACCATGCGATTTGACCATAGGCAAAGCTTTCCAGTCACTGAAAGTTCCACTAATATATACTTGCTTTCCACCACCATCCCATTTGAACACAGTCGGAAGTGCAGGCTTCTCAATGCTGATCTTTTCTGATCCAGTTTCGGTCATTGTGTTGGCTCTTTGCCTTGGAGCTCGAGACAAGAATTCGTTGTCGTGGGGAAGTGATTTAGAATAAAGCGACTCATCATCCTCAATCCCTAGCCTGTTTTGATTTATCGGACGTTTATTAAATACAAACGCTTGTCCATCTGGAATATAAGGAATTAAAATTATGCATAAAGTTCGATGAATTAAAAACCAGAAATGATAGAATTGCGTTTCAAGGAAAATATTTTTATAACTTTTCGAATGTGTACCTCGTAAGGGTGAACCTGGAATCATGTCTTGTGAGCCCGACTTATTTCGTTCTCGTGTAACTGCTGACTGTTGATTTCCCATGTTTTAAAATTTATATACATATATATTTTTATTTTCAATTGTTTTTTCTTCAAAGTTGAAAGTCATTCGAACTTCTCACTTTGTTGTTTTTATTTTTCGAGAATAAAATGATCCGAAGTTTATGTGTGATAAGTGATTTTCGAAAACGACACTTGTCATAGTTTAACACAAATATGACACAAGAAACAAACAACGATATTTAATCAATTGATTTTTCTTTATTAATAGTTTTCCAATATTCTCACATATGTACCACAATTGGCTTGTTATTTAACATGAAAGTAAAAGTGAAGAGTAAGTTTTTCAAAAATAAAAATTAAATTATGTGTCGATTTTCTTTCATCTAAGCGAAATAATTTTTCTGCTATCAATTCCATTTACTGAAAGAAAGAAATTCAAACTAACGATAAGAATCGTCTTCAGATTACGAAAGATATTCAATTTCAGTGGAATCTTTTGATAATAAAATGAATATCAACCAAAAGTGATTTTTTTCTCATACAAAACCCTTGAAGGAATCAATAAAAATTATTGAATTTTAATCATTTGTATTTGTATGTGAATTTCTGTAGGCTGGACTGGTGTAGCAGTTTGGAAATGGATTGCAAATGATGAAAATTGTGGAATTTGTCGTATGGCATTTGAAGCTTGCTGTCCTGATTGTTCGTATGGTGAGGACAATATTTGAAACTGTTTTAAATCGATAAATTATTTTAAAGCTTTTATACAGCCGGTGATGACTGCCCTCTCGTTTGGGGAAATTGCTCTCACGTGTTTCACATTCATTGCATCGTAAAATGGTTGAATTCTCAATTGAATCAACAACTATGTCCAATGTGTAGACAAACATGGAAGTTTAATGATAAATAAACAAGAAACTAACGAAAAGATTTAAAAATAATTTGAAGACAATATTTTGGAATGAGTTCAATTTACATTGAGCGTGAAATTTAAATTTGAGAAACAAAAAACAGAAAAGAATTAAAATTGTGAAATTCAGTTGTTAATTTGACATAAAACAAAGGATTCATATTGAAGGAGCTGAAATTCGCAATAAATAGGTGAGCGAAAATTCGTTTTTTATCATTTATAATAACAATTAAAGTCATTTCCGTCACAAATAATTATTCAAAAACTTTTCAATTCCTTCTTGGCACAAATTTAGTATTCTTAATTTAACTGGAGGCCTCAGATATAAAAATGGAAAATTTAGTAAATAATCTGAATAATTCTAATTATTAAGTTTGATAAATATCAAGTTTGTTTTTGCAAAAATCGAGGAAAAACAAACAACGAACTTGTAAATTCGCTGTGTGAATGTTTACGCGATCAAACGTTTGATTGTGTTGATGTTTCATGCTTGCTGGTTTTGCAACAACTTCGTTTTCATTGAAATGAAGTAATGTTGAGTTAGTCTTTGACCGATTTTCTTAAAGCTCGGTTCGTTTTCGGATATATTTACCAGAATAATTACATATCTAAGTTGTTATTATTCTCTAAGAATATTCATGTTCAACACGATAACTATCTTTATTCAGATGATGTGAAATTTTCACGCTTCGTGTCGTATTTAAAGTTCGCTGTAGGTGACTTTTTAGAGAAACATAAATAACATTTAAATGCAGTGAAAGAAACATTTTTGGATTAACCTCGATTTCATGGAGTTGAAGTACAAAGGTTCACATGAAAGCCAGATTTGACATTTCTAAAATCAATTAACAGTTCATTTGTTATCATTAAAAATAAATCAAGCAAGTTATTGAAATATTTGTTAAGAAAATTTTGGAAGAGCTGTAAAGAGATATTTTTTTCGTGATTATTTTGATTGCATAATGAAAAATGGACAAAAACAAAAGCATCTTGCATAGTACCACAGGTAAAAAGGTTGGGCCTCCAGTTCCACCCCGTCCTTCATCTATAGCAGTTCAAAAGGCTCTCGAGAAGACAAGAAATCAATCAACATTTTTACAAAACTATCGTCAAATCAGTTCCCCATTCCTTCAAGGTAGTACCGTAATTGTTGACTCATCAAGAGCGAGTGTTGAACATGTTAGCCATCAGTCTCAAAAAATCAACAATAGTAGTTGTGAATATAAATATTTTGACTGTGAGATTGATGAATCATCATCGGATTTTAACGCAACGACTCAGAAAAATGGCAACAACGCACGTAATTGTGGAAGTTTAAGTAATCGAGTTGTTGCTACAAAATCGGATGTTACATCGAGAAATAAAATTATTGATAAACATTCTTTCAACTCGAAAGCTCAGATAAAAGTCTCAACAGTTCTGGTCAATGCTTCAGCATCAGCATCATCATCGTCAGTAGACAATTTTCACCAGCAAAGCAGTTACGCAAAATCATCGATGCAAAACAAAAATTTTCAATCAGCTGATGTAAGCGTAAAGAGTCGTAACGACGAATTAAAAGAGAAACTGTTAGATGAAATCTTAAGCCAATCAAATACAGTTGAAACGTCAACAAAACAAGTCAAGTACAATGGATCGAATCTTAAACGATCATCATCATTCGATGTTCTGAATGAATTGTTTGGTGATAAAACTAAGAGTGATAAGAAAGTCATCTTCCATGAGATGCTCATATCGGAATTGTCTGAAATGCGTAAAGAATCAAATCCACGCTTAAGTTCAGCAAAGTCATCGCCCGATATTTCATCAGAAGGAAATTTAAATGTTTTTGAGTTAGACGAAAAGAAGTTTAACACTTTTGTAAGCTTAGACGATTCAGGTGTTGAAGATGAAGGGAAAATGGACGACTGTTCGTCGTCTGGTGTTGGGGATTCATGGGATAGCTCAAAGGAAACAGAAAACTGGTAAGAAAGAAAATAAAATTTGTGCAATTGAAAGAAGTTTTTAATCGTGACGGAAATGATCATAAAAAATATTTTCTATTCAATTTCTAATCCATTTTCTATTTTTAATCTCAATTCAGTATCATCATGTCACTTCCTGGCTTACCTCCATTACCAAAAAGTTTAAGCGGTATTGAACTTACCCAAGAACAACTACAAATTCAACAACACCAAACGAATCAACTTAATAACTATCATAATGAACTTCAAAAACAACAGCAACAGTCAAGTCAATTGAATTCATTTGACTCTCAACGTAGTTTAACTTCGTCATCTTCATCGTCCATCACTCGAAAAAGCAACTTAACCTTAGATAATCAGCTTGCAATTTTGAGAAGGGAAATGGTAAGTTTATGATTTTTTTATCCTGAAAAAAGTTTCCACGCATCATAGAATCATTTGTTACACTTTTACTTTTTTATTTAGTAATTTTAAATGAGTAAAAACTTCCTAGATAGTTAGATGCATCATTTTCCATTTGACTGCCGTTGTAGATGGTCAGGAAATACTTAAAATAAAAAAAAGATGAAACTTCGTGTTTATGGACCGTGAATAAATTAAGATAAAAAAGAGCTTTACTATGATCCAACTGAAATTTAATTAATATCATAAGCCAAACAGATGCAATATCCGTTATGATTCTCATGGAAAAACATCAACAACAAAAATTATTCTTTACTATTTAAATATAAATCATCATCGCGACCTCGAGTCAAAATAATCAAAATAACAATGAAAATTCCTTGAACCACTAAAAACAAACGAGAGCTTCATACACCGATGCTGGTCTCTAAAATTATTACATAAAAAAATTTTTAAAGGTGTCAGCATTACAAGCAGCTTAAATAATGAACAGAGAAAATCCTTGGATAAAATAAATTCGCATATTTTGCTATGATTATGCTCCATTCGACTAAGTAATTATTATCAACGCTAAAGATAAATTAATTGCAATTCAGATAGCTTGAGCTTAAAATTTTATTTGATGAAATTAAACATTTCGAAATTCAAATTCCAATTCTTGCTCTGCTGCGATAAAAAGTAAAACACAAAATAATTTGTAACCGAAATAATCGATTCGACCTGAAAATGTTCACATTGCATCATCGACCTACCTCCGAGTAATGATTTCAAACAACTTGAAAGATATGTAAAGTTAGTTGAGTATTTTGGTTGTTAATTTTGCATAACATTCTCTTCACTTTATTCAGTTATTAATTCAATTAATCAAAGAAAACGAGAAGTTCATATCTAAATGCAAAATTATTTAAGGTCAGATTTTATTTTATATTTATTTCTCAAGAGATTTTCATGATCACTGTGAAAGTTTTTATTCTCCACTATGTTACTGTAGCAAGCACTTTGAAGTCAAGCCTCTGGCTATAGCTGCAAACTTACATAATTTCTCTTGGTTAATTTTTCTATTTTCTTTGATTATAATTTCTATAACAATTTCACTTTATTGATGGCGTAAAATATGTTTTAACTGCTACAAATAAACAATTTAATGTGCTTAAAAGTAGTGACGGTAGTAAAAAAATATTTTATAATCAATTATGATGTTTGTTTAATGAGTAGGTAACAAGTTGATATTTTATTAATGACGAAACGCATTGTTTGATGTCCACAAATGTAGGACAAAATAAATCTGGGATTAGCAATTTATTGGCTGTTATTATAATATTTAATTGATATTTCTCATCGATAACTGTAACATTTGATCGTGCATATATTTTTATGGTTTTTAAGAATTATCGATTCTTCAGCAGATATTTACATAAAAAGTTGGTGATTGATTTTTCATATGCACAATGAAATATTTGCATATCGAATATCAAAGCATAATATTCTTAATAAGACTATCAAGTTTCGAGGCACCAAGCAGACTAAGGTGTGCAAATGTTATTTGAAAGACAGCGTTAAATGCTACTTTGAGCAATAATCCGATAATTGGATTTAAAACTAATCACGAGTACATTTTGAGGTTGAACTGGAAGGTGCAGTGTTTTCTAAGAAAACATTTAAATGTTTGAAACGCTTGTGAAATGTAAATTATTAGAAATGTTTCAACTTAGATATTTAGCTCATTTAAAAAAATTAAATGTTTCTTAAGAATGAAATTTTTATTTAATTAAAGCGATTTAGTTCCAAAGATTCCCACGATGTGATTATTGTGACTAACACTAAATTATCGCAAGAGAATTTATGAAATCGACGATATGAGGCATCAAATAAATTTTCTGTGCTTGAAGAATATCTTCATTGTTGCTAATTCTCAAGTATTGGCATGTGAGTCATGCGATTCTAAATAAACTTTCAACCGGTTTAAGATAAGCAAATTAAAGTTTCGTGTGATTCACACAAATTAATGTGGGCAAGAAAAAAAGGTTCTTGGACTTCTAAAAAGCTATCAAAATTTTATTTCGTTACTCACTTCTACAATCTTAATTGCATTGATCAACTTTCTCGATTAAAAACTAAAATTCTTTTGACAATCAAATTGGTCCACTTAACAAGTTTCGTTATCAATCACACATCATGTGTCAATGGCACAGTAAAAAAAAGTTGATAAACCTTTTACGGGCATTTAAGGTTTCACATTTAAGTATGTTTAAACTTATTTTTATTTATTTCAACATTCTCGGCACGTATTTTGATCGCACTCAAATGATATATAGAGCAGGTTAATTGTCTCTTCTATTGTGGAATTGTAATCGAGAAAGGAATAAATGATAAGAATATAAAATTATAAAAATAATAACAAAAAAAAAAAAAAAATTTAAAGGCATAAAATTCTATAATATTGATATCTACTTACATGTATTCGTAAGCTAATTTAATATGCTTCACGACTATCGACATTTCTTTTTACGCATTTATTCGATGATATCATCTTCGTTGTATGAAATGTGTTGCTAATTTTAAACTTTATTGAGATGAAATATTAAGTAAACTTGGAAACGATCCACAATTTTTTCCAACCATTAATTAACATCCGATTTATGTTTTCTGTCTCATTGCAGTACGGCTTGCGACAACTTGATCTTAGTCTTTTATCGCAATTATGGGCATTGAACGAATCCATCCAAGAATTCCGCACAATGCTTGAAGAAAATGAAAATTTATCCCCACACTCTCCATCACCGTCAAACTCTGATCTCAATTCATTGGCATCCGACGACGAGGAAGGAGTGAATGAAGACAATAATAATAATTTAACCATAAACGGTAATGCACCAGCAGTTGCAACTAATAAAGCAAGCAAAAAACAGGAAAATGATTTTATTGAGGACATGCATCAGAAATTAGAAAAACAAATACAACGAATGAGAATTGCACCACCAGCTCCGCCAAATAGGAAACCAGCTAAAAGCTCACAGTCGCCTTCGCGACCTGTCTGAGCACTTTCTTTAATATATCTCATGTAAATAAACACATAAAATAAATCAATGAATTCAAATCGATTTTCCTCTGTCCATTTAATGGACAAAAATTAGTTTTCAAATTAAATCTTTGTGCTCGAATGAAGTTTAAATAAATATTTGATGTTCTCAATTTATTCTCATATTGTCCATTAATTGATTGACCTTTTCCAAGTAAAATTCCTTCGAAAAGAATGAAATTTCTAAATTAAAATATCACTTCACAGTTGTCCATGACATTTAATCAACAAAAAATAGCAATTGAAGCTAATTATGTAAGGAATCTCGATGCTACTACCTAAATAATGTAAATGTGATTAAATATTCTTAGTTGTTTACTTAAGAAGTGAAAACTGTTTCAATTATAAAATAAATAAGTAGATAATAAAAAGAATGAAATGGAAAACAATTTTTTTGATTATTCATAAATTTAAATATTTTATTGATCAAGACGGGAAAGGATAGCGAAAGTTATTCGAATAGTCTGGAACATGTTTCAAATAGCCTTATTCATAAGGAACGAGATCAATATTGGTTTCAAACCAGTTTAACCGCTAAATAAATGTTAAGCGAACGTGACAGTAGTTGCAAATATTCATTAAAATATCAAATAGCTTTTTGAATAGTTTCTTCGGATCGCAAACATGTTTATATTATTGCATATTTAATTTAAAGTCAGTAATTTCTTTAACGAGTTGAATGGTGAAATGGAAATTAGAAATTTTCTATTCTGAGACATTTTCAATAAACTTTCTATTCCTGTTATGGCTTTACTCGACTTGATTGTTACAAAATCCCCGATGATATTGAGATTTATATCATGAACGATGTCTTCAATGTGGGATGTTAATATGTTAATCTAAAACTACTTAAAAATACAAACAGATTGAGAGTTCAATTCCGACATTGAGATTAGCACATTTTATCACTTGCGAATAAAGAAATTAAAAATTAGATCATTTAAAGCATAAAACATCAGTTCAAAAAAATTACAAAAAGCTGTTTTGGTTCAAGTTTTTATATAAGTAAGTACATAATTTCATTTTTTTTTTCTGATCAATTAACGTTGAACATACATAATAAACGATAGTGATAACAGCAAACGTTTCAATACACAAAAGAAAAAAGACAAAACAGTCAAAACTTAAAAACCAGTTTAGCAAGTTATAAATAAATCATTGTGGGAACTTTTAATATTGGATCACAACATAAACAACTTCCAAATATGGGTCTGAATTCACACTGACATAGTTTGCAGGTGAAATTGCAGTAAGTCTTTTTTAAATTCTTTAACCATACTTCCATGTTCCAAGGTGTGACGTTGTGTACCCATTGACATGTTTGATGTAAAAGTTATTAAAAGAAAATTAGAGTTATGTGTCACTTCAAACTACTCACAACCAAATGTCCATACAACAAATCTTTTGAGATAAAAATTAAATGTTTCTTTGTTTCAACGCGTTGGAATATGCGTTGTAACTGCTTATAAAATTAAAATTATGTTGAATTGAATCGCAATGAACACATGATAAGAAATCGGATATGAAAAGTAATAATAATTTAATATTTTAATAAATGTCGACAAGCATGATTCGCAATCGAGGAACTCTACTTAGTTTGCGCTATATTTCTCAAATGCAAAAGTGTTACGTATGGTTTTCTCTTTCTCCTAACCATTTTGTAGCTAAATTCGTAGTCAATGTTGAAAAACAATTAGGTATTCACATTACCTACATATTTATTTCTTAATATTTTAATTGAAAAGAAAATTCGCCTAAATGGATAAATAATTATTTGTTCATAATATTTAATTTATTCTGCTTAAAAGTATGCTTTCCTGACATTTTAATAAATCGTTGAAACATACAAAAATATTCGGCAAAACTCATCATAATCATTGATTTTAACGGAAAATGTATTTTCAAATTTGAACTGCTATAATTGCAATAAATCTGATGTCAGCATATGAACTTGCATTTAATAAAGAAAACTAATACAATTGATAAAAGATCTTTGAAAAACATCAAATCCAAGCAATATGAAAGGAAAGCAATTATTGAAGAAATTCTTTAATGAATATCATTCGTATATTCCAAAAGACAAGTTGCAAAAATGTTAAAAGCGCCTTTTCAGAAGCTGTCAATAAATTCGTCTTAAGCAATTCTCTTAAAATGTCTATCCTGCTACTATCATGATCATCAGAACAGTGCTTTTATTTTTGAAATAATATTTATAAAAAGAATTTAGCCTTATACTTATAAATCTATAGATATATGAAGCACCGACAATCATGGACAGAAAGACAAGCTAACATTTTAAAAGAACTTTTCGTCACAAAGCAAAAAAACTTTCCTTTTGTTCTTAAAAAAATAAAATTCGACTAAAATTTTTGTACACAATGGAAGCAGTGGAGAAAGTATCTTCCGAAGTAGATAAAGTTATAACTAAGTTCACCGCCATCTCCGAACACTCATCAAAGCTTATTAGCAATGAGATTTCATCGTTAGAGCTGCTGAAGTCTTCCTTGCTTGACCGTAAATAAACTTTCAGTGGATAATTTTTCAATTTCATTTACGAGATTTCCTTTTTAGAACCTGCTGACAGTTCTCTAACATCTCAACAAGTTACACTTGTCAAAAATTCTCTTTCACGCACAAAAGAGCGACTTCAACGCCTTGGAATCGATCACAGAGATTTACATGTAAATATTAAAAGAATTTTGGATTTAAACAGTTAAATTTAATAAAATTATTTATTTTAGGGCACCGTAAGTAAAGTTGGAAAAGCGATCGAGAGAAACTTCACTGCAGAATATACGTCAATTACGAGGCAGGATTTATTTCAAAATAAAAGGAACATCGAACTGCTTGACAAGAACATTGTGCAGCATTTCTACAGGTAAACATTTCCATTTTCATTTAATTAAAATTAAAAATGAATTTTTTTTTTTCTAGACAAGGAATGGATGATGTTGCAGAATCTCTTGTTAAAGAAGCTAAATTGCCGAAAGAAGAGATAAGTGAAGAACCTTATGCAGAACTGCACAGAATTTTTGAAGATATTCATCAACGAAACTTGACTTTGGCTATTCAATGGGCAACAAAATATTCCAATGAGCTTGATGAGAAAAACAGTCCACTTCTGTTTAAACTTCATCGACTACAATTCTTGCAAATCCTGATGAATGGACTTCCGAGTCAAAATGAAGCGATCAATTATGCTAGAAACAACATATCACATTTTGTATCAAAATACCCAAAAGATTTCCAAGCTTTGATGGGTTGTTTGTTGTATTTAAAGACTGGACTCGAAAATTCACCTTACAAATATCTGGTGCGCGATGAAATGTGGATTGAAGCTGCTGATTTGTTTCTGAAAGATGCTTGTGCACTTGCAGCTATCGCTAAAGAGTCTCCATTGTCGGTCATTATTAATGCTGGATGTGTAGCATTGCCAGCTTTATTGAATTTGAAACAAGTTATGAATCGTCAAGTCCAAGGGATTTGGTCAGGAAGAGATGAACTTCCAGTGAGTATAATTAAGTTCAATGTATTTTCAAAGTGATAATTTATGAAAATTATTTGTTGTTTAGATTGAGATTGAAGTTGAACGATACCACTCAATTTTCGCATGTCCGATACTTCGACAACAATCAACTGATGAGAATCCGCCAATGAGATTACGTTGCGGTCATGTTATAAGTCGTGATGCTCTCAACAAATTGAGCAGTGCATCAATGTAAGTTTTTCTTCAATTAAAAAAAAACTTTTGAAATTTCTAATAATAACAATTCATTCACAAGAATGAATAATAATCATTACAGGAGCCTCAAATGTCCTTACTGTCCAATGGAGCAGAGTATTAACGACGCAAAACAAATAAACTTTTGATGTGACTAGATCCTCGATTAAATCGATGGACTTTAACAAATCACAAAAGAAAAAGAAATTTTATCTTTAATAATATGAATCATCGATTATTTAATTAATGCATATTATTGTTTCATCTCTACAGATTTATTTAGATATTTCATAAAACAGAAATCACAATCAATCTAAATATTCTCCGTTTTAGAACAACAATTGAAGAAATACAAAAGCTTGTAATAAAATTAAAGAAAAATGACTATCTAAATATTCACATAACTATAATAGAAATACTCTTTCGATGTTGAATAAATGAATATAGATTTAGATTAAGACATTTAATTGGATGATTTTCGATTAAAAAATGATAACTAATAAAAATTAGAATTATGATAATTCTCGATGTGAGTACACAATTAAACTGAAACTGTTTTCTTCTTTAAATTCGACTCAATTACAGATAATTGACTCATAAAATGTAACTTTATCACGATGACGAAAAATGTTAAATTCATAAGTTCATTCAAATATTTGTCAATGTTTTCATTCTATTCGCAGCATGAGACGCGACAGTATCTACTTATGCAATGAATAAAACAATTTATCAATATGAAAAATGACATCAAATTTTCTCAAACACCAAAATATTTGTTCATTCTCGCAAGTTTATCAACAAGCAGGTTTGAGTCGTTATTGATGTTTGTAGTCTTTTTCTATTTCTAGGTTTTAGATTTATTTTATTAACATGACCTCGATTTATTTCGACTTTATATCAAACTAACCGTTATTGAAATGAAAATTATCATCTTTTTAACTTATCACGATACGTAAGGTTTATAGATCCTAAATTTATGAGATTTAAAGAACGAAATAAGAAGAGAATTTTTCCTAGTTTTCTTAATCGCTTAAGTGTACTGACCAATACACTCCCATAATGACCATAATGACCATGATGATGATGATGATGATGATGATCAAATTAATTATTCAATAATTCTTGATGAAAAGAAAGCTTCATAACTAATTCACTTGTTAACAAAACAAAATTGTTATCTCGAAGATGACCAAAAGCTGTGATAATATAAAATATAAAAGTTATTAAGTTTTATAATCGTCATTCATCTATATAAGGATAAATATAAGCTTGAGGAGAAATTGCAATAACATGAGATTAAAATGAATTTTCCTCATTGCAATGATATAAAATTCATAATCTTTTGCTTGAATTCTTATTATTCTATATTCTTATTTCTGAAAAAAAGGAAAAATATTTTAAACGTCTGCAGTAAATATGCTGGAAAAAGTTGAAATTTTCATGATGTGTATGTACATTCGATTTTATTTTCATGGATTATCATGAATTGAGATTTTCTTTACTCTTTCCTTGAAAATTTCCTTGTTTAACAAAAAGGATAAAATTTTACTCCTTGAATGCAGGAAGACTGAAACTAGTCTATTGTGAGAATTCACTTGTTTGCTTCATTGAAACTGATACCCATCAAATAAATATTATTTTAAAGTTCTTTTTTTCTTGGTTAAAAACTATAAATTTCTGATAATTTTCCTTAATTTCCTATAAAAACCATTCTTTTCAAACTATCCGGAAATGAATAAAAATTGATTTCGATTCATGACACAACATCTGCAAACCCACAAGAGCCTAAATTGATAAATACACCTACATCAATTTTTTGTAATCTTAACAAAGAGCAAAGAATTTCTGAACAAGATAAAATGAAAAAGAATTTAAAAGCAACAAAAATATTTGAGGGAATCTCATGTTTAATGATGAGGGAAGCAATGAAAAGAAATGTAAACAAGATAAACATTAAATTTATTTTGCTGTGTTGGTAAATCTGCTTCAAAGCTTTTCTTGTAACAGTTTGTTGGGAAACTTTACAAAAAAAAAATCATTTATTAGTGCTCGTATGGTTCTAATAAAAAAAATTTAGAGTGGAAGACTTTTATAAATAATTCTTAAAATTACACGAATGTATGTAAACATATCTACAATGACGAAGGTAATGTCTTCAACATTGATTCATATAAATAATTAGCATAATTTTAGTTACATTTTCTCAACTATCTAGCATGAAGGAAAATAGTTTTCTTATTACAAAAGTCACATGTGTCAAGTCATAACAGGAAAACATAGAAACTTCTTACAGTTAAATGCCACAAAGATTATAAATAATTTAAACTTTTAATTGCAATTTTCATCTCAACATTCATTTGACTTTTGGAATAGTTTAGTTTCACTAAATTAAAATGAAGTTAGTTAGGGAAAATATTATTGATTTCATAATGCTTTCCACAGTTCCGATGGTAGTTCATGAAATTGTTGATGGAGTTTAAGTTAAACTCCCCCAATAAATTTGAAGTAACTCACACGTATCTGTGATTTTACATAGTGGAAATTTCAGTACTCGCAAACTAAGTTAACGCAATCGTTTGTAATAAATAAAATAGAAAAAGGTGAGGATAAAACAAAAACATTTCATCGACTAAACTTCCATCAATATAGGTACTTATTGATAACTTCGAAGTACGTCAACAATTTAATTATTTAACTTGCCTCTTTTCAATTCTTGAATTATTGAAATTACCTAAAAAAATTAAGGAAACTTGTTGATTGGTTAATTAATAAAGGTAAATCCGTTATCTCTCTCCTATTCAAAGCTTTTATGCAGAAGTAAAAGTTATTTAAATGAAAATCTTTAGGCTTTTTCTATTTCCACTGGAGACCAGAAAAATAATCAAGCTTGGGTTTTTTTCAAGGATCATTTCATCAGCATTTAAGATGGCCAGTAGTGTCAGTTCCATCGAGAAACAAATGTAATCTCAACAGATGTTATCTGTATGTTCTAAAACTGAAACGTGATTTGAAAACAAATCTGTTGAGATCGTATGAAGAAATTCAGAAAATTTTTCAATTTTTTTTAAGGCGATTCCTTATGTTTGCTTTTAGATTAATGAAAAAGTTATAATTTGAGTTTTAATTTTTGTTTACTTGGATATTTGTTAATTTTATGAAGCATTATTAAAGAGAATTAGATTCGACTTTAGGCCACCAAAAAGTTATCTGTTTAGGATAAATTATTCATCCAACAACACCAGAAAACTTATCGAGAGATTCAAAGTTATTGTTCCTGAATCTTTGGAATTCATCGTTATGTCTTTTTGAAAATGATGAGAAAAAAATAATTTCATGAATTCAAATATTTTATTTATGAGATCAAGAGAAGCACAATTTACATTTTATTTATATCCAGCCATGTCTTAAATCGATATGGTAAACGAAAAGTATGATGAATTTATATTGGAATTGCTTTCTTTTCAAGTATTTGAACTCTGTGTCATGATATTTCATGTGCTGCTTGTTGGCAACTCTTTAGAGATTGAATAAAATCGCTACAAAACCATCATATTCATTCTCCAGATGTTTGCGTACTTTCTTTCCTTCATGTTGTACAATTTATATTTATTATCTTGCTGATTCATGTGAGCAGTAAAATGATGAACTGCTTGTGAGTTCTTTCTGTTTGATCACCTTACCTCGTTCTATCAGACAAAATGAATTTTCCGAGTACTTTCAATGATTTCTATCTTCTCTGAAATGAACAGAAGCAAATAATGTTCTTTTTTGTTTTTCGCCTTTGGGAATTTTCATAAATGATTGATTGTATGTAGGAAATTGAAAATATTTCCCGATGCTGAATCTAACTTCATGAATAAAAAACATTTCAAGTTGAGTTGAGTAAATGACATAAGTTGAAAGCTTGAAGCTGTTAGGAGTTGAGAGAAAATGTTGGTAGAAGCATTTAAATATCATTCAGGTAAAAATTTCATTAGAGAAAAATTGTAATAAATATTTAAATATTTACACATTATTGCATACATATGGAGTATGTTAATTGATATAAAGAAGTTAGATTTGAATGAAGCATGAGATAGGAAAATTTGTTTGTTTTTAAGAAACTTGGTTCAGAGAACAGAATTTATCAGTGATTGTAATGAATGTTTTTGCATATATTTTGATACTAGCTTTAAGTTGATGTTATAAAGGAGAATATTAGAAGTAAATTGCAGGAAAAGTTTTCCAAATATTCCCAGAAAGATGACAAATAAGTATGATATTAATAAAAGATTAGGAGAAGGAAGACGATCCACATGCTTTCCTAGCAAAGATCAGAAAATAAGCTACAGTAGATATCTTCTTTAATTAAACGAAAATTTATGCTTCAGAGTTCAATTATTTATTATTATAACATAATAACTTCTTCGTCCTTCTTAGATTTGGTTTGAAATATCAGTAGAATTTATTATCCAATCGCAGAGTATTCAGACGTTGTCCGTTGTACCATCACTTATTAGATTATAAACATAAGCTTCTGGCAAGATAAAAATGCGATGATTTTTTTCCTTTTATGACTCAATAAAATAAATTGAATTTAGGGAAAAATACTGAAGAAATGATATCGGAAAGGTTTTCCTATCAATTCGAAAATGACGAGAGGAGAAATAGGATGCTATCGAGTTTCATTTGAAGAGTACTTAATTCCTATCGTATCAATATAAATTTTGCTCATGTTTGAATTGTTATGATATAAACATGTAATGTCAGGAAGTTTGCCAGGATCATGACAAACGAAACTAGCAATCATAATCTAATGATTGCGATTTTCTTGCGGATTTTAAATAAATCTAAAACGATTCGTAATGGTTTCAATATTTTTCCTTCTTTTTATGATAAAAACGATTATTTATGATACGAGAAAGTCTTCGGGATAATGCAGCACCAATGCAAGCTCTAATTCATGCAGTAGAAGCTTCAAATATTCAAAAGGATAAAATCATATAGTCTTGTGAGAGAAACCTGAACATCTTTAACAGTCTTCATTCCCATCAGGATTTAAAGTTGCCTCACAATGGAGTGAATATAATCCCTCGAGTTTCTTGTAGAGCTCAAAAACTTTCTCATTTTATCATAACCGTAAGCTTTGAGAGAGTTTTCAATTTTCATCTTTTATATTTCTTGAAAGAAAAAAGAAAAGAACAAAAATTTAGAGAAGTGGCGGGGGNGCCCGTGTCACCAATGTTCCGGTAGTAAAACACTATAACTAACGTTATAAATCTTATATTTTATTCTGGTGCGTCCTCCCAGTCTGCCGTCTGAACGTAAACTAAACTGAACCGGTTCTAACCGGTACAACAGGGATCAGGGATCGATGATTTTCTACTAGATATCGACTTTTTTTAAAAGAAAAAACTGCATTAACGTAATGTTCTGACATAGAAAACACTAAACAATCCATCTTTATAGGAAAAATTAAGCGATTTCTAGTAGAAATTTGACGATTTCTTTTTCCCTATTCCCTAAAAATAGGGATTTTGAGAAACACTAGTTAATTGATATAAAGAAGTTAGATTTGAATGAAGCATGAGATAGGAAAATTTGTTTGTTTTTAAGAAACTTGGTTCAGAGAACAGAATTTATCAGTGATTGTAATGAATGTTTTTGCATATATTTTGATACTAGCTTTAAGTTGATGTTATAAAGGAGAATATTAGAAGTAAATTGCAGGAAAAGTTTTCCAAATATTCCCAGAAAGATGACAAATAAGTATGATATTAATAAAAGATTAGGAGAAGGAAGACGATCCACATGCTTTCCTAGCAAAGATCAGAAAATAAGCTACAGTAGATATCTTCTTTAATTAAACGAAAATTTATGCTTCAGAGTTCAATTATTTATTATTATAACATAATAACTTCTTCGTCCTTCTTAGATTTGGTTTGAAATATCAGTAGAATTTATTATCCAATCGCAGAGTATTCAGACGTTGTCCGTTGTACCATCACTTATTAGATTATAAACATAAGCTTCTGGCAAGATAAAAATGCGATGATTTTTTTCCTTTTATGACTCAATAAAATAAATTGAATTTAGGGAAAAATACTGAAGAAATGATATCGGAAAGGTTTTCCTATCAATTCGAAAATGACGAGAGGAGAAATAGGATGCTATCGAGTTTCATTTGAAGAGTACTTAATTCCTATCGTATCAATATAAATTTTGCTCATGTTTGAATTGTTATGATATAAACATGTAATGTCAGGAAGTTTGCCAGGATCATGACAAACGAAACTAGCAATCATAATCTAATGATTGCGATTTTCTTGCGGATTTTAAATAAATCTAAAACGATTCGTAATGGTTTCAATATTTTTCCTTCTTTTTATGATAAAAACGATTATTTATGATACGAGAAAGTCTTCGGGATAATGCAGCACCAATGCAAGCTCTAATTCATGCAGTAGAAGCTTCAAATATTCAAAAGGATAAAATCATATAGTCTTGTGAGAGAAACCTGAACATCTTTAACAGTCTTCATTCCCATCAGGATTTAAAGTTGCCTCACAATGGAGTGAATATAATCCCTCGAGTTTCTTGTAGAGCTCAAAAACTTTCTCATTTTATCATAACCGTAAGCTTTGAGAGAGTTTTCAATTTTCATCTTTTATATTTCTTGAAAGAAAAAAGAAAAGAACAAAAATTTAGAGAAGTGGCGGNAACTTCCATCAATATAGGTACTTATTGATAACTTCGAAGTACGTCAACAATTTAATTATTTAACTTGCCTCTTTTCAATTCTTGAATTATTGAAATTACCTAAAAAAATTAAGGAAACTTGTTGATTGGTTAATTAATAAAGGTAAATCCGTTATCTCTCTCCTATTCAAAGCTTTTATGCAGAAGTAAAAGTTATTTAAATGAAAATCTTTAGGCTTTTTCTATTTCCACTGGAGACCAGAAAAATAATCAAGCTTGGGTTTTTTTCAAGGATCATTTCATCAGCATTTAAGATGGCCAGTAGTGTCAGTTCCATCGAGAAACAAATGTAATCTCAACAGATGTTATCTGTATGTTCTAAAACTGAAACGTGATTTGAAAACAAATCTGTTGAGATCGTATGAAGAAATTCAGAAAATTTTTCAATTTTTTTTAAGGCGATTCCTTATGTTTGCTTTTAGATTAATGAAAAAGTTATAATTTGAGTTTTAATTTTTGTTTACTTGGATATTTGTTAATTTTATGAAGCATTATTAAAGAGAATTAGATTCGACTTTAGGCCACCAAAAAGTTATCTGTTTAGGATAAATTATTCATCCAACAACACCAGAAAACTTATCGAGAGATTCAAAGTTATTGTTCCTGAATCTTTGGAATTCATCGTTATGTCTTTTTGAAAATGATGAGAAAAAAATAATTTCATGAATTCAAATATTTTATTTATGAGATCAAGAGAAGCACAATTTACATTTTATTTATATCCAGCCATGTCTTAAATCGATATGGTAAACGAAAAGTATGATGAATTTATATTGGAATTGCTTTCTTTTCAAGTATTTGAACTCTGTGTCATGATATTTCATGTGCTGCTTGTTGGCAACTCTTTAGAGATTGAATAAAATCGCTACAAAACCATCATATTCATTCTCCAGATGTTTGCGTACTTTCTTTCCTTCATGTTGTACAATTTATATTTATTATCTTGCTGATTCATGTGAGCAGTAAAATGATGAACTGCTTGTGAGTTCTTTCTGTTTGATCACCTTACCTCGTTCTATCAGACAAAATGAATTTTCCGAGTACTTTCAATGATTTCTATCTTCTCTGAAATGAACAGAAGCAAATAATGTTCTTTTTTGTTTTTCGCCTTTGGGAATTTTCATAAATGATTGATTGTATGTAGGAAATTGAAAATATTTCCCGATGCTGAATCTAACTTCATGAATAAAAAACATTTCAAGTTGAGTTGAGTAAATGACATAAGTTGAAAGCTTGAAGCTGTTAGGAGTTGAGAGAAAATGTTGGTAGAAGCATTTAAATACCATTCAGGTAAAAATTTCATTAGAGAAAAATTGTATTAAATATTTAAATATTTACACATTATTGCATACATATGGAGTAAATAATGTTAATTGATATAAAGAAGTTAGATTTGAATGAAGCATGAGAAAGGAAAATTTATTTGTTTTTAAGAAACTTCAAGTTTAGAGAACAGAATTTATCAGTGATTGTAATGAATGTTTTTGCATATATTTTGATACTAGCTTTAAGTTGATGTTATAAAGGAGAATATTAGAAGTAAATTGCAGGAAAAGTTTTCCAAATATTCCCAGAAAGATGACAAATAAGTATGATATTAATAAAAGATTAGGAGAAGGAAGACGATCCACATGCTTTCCTAGCAAAGATCAGAAAATAAGCTACAGTAGATATCTTCTTTAATTAAACGAAAATTTATGCTTCAGAGTTCAATTATTTATTATTATAACATAATAACTTCTTCGTCCTTCTTAGATTTGGTTTGAAATATCAGTAGAATTTATTATCCAATCGCAGAGTATTCAGACGTTGTCCGTTGTACCATCACTTATTAGATTATAAACATAAGCTTCTGGCAAGATAAAAATGCGATGATTTTTTTCCTTTTATGACTCAATAAAATAAATTGAATTTAGGGAAAAATACTGAAGAAATGATATCGGAAAGGTTTTCCTATCAATTCGAAAATGACGAGAGGAGAAATAGGATGCTATCGAGTTTCATTTGAAGAGTACTTAATTCCTATCGTATCAATATAAATTTTGCTCATGTTTGAATTGTTATGATATAAACATGTAATGTCAGGAAGTTTGCCAGGATCATGACAAACGAAACTAGCAATCATAATCTAATGATTGCGATTTTCTTGCGGATTTTAAATAAATCTAAAACGATTCGTAATGGTTTCAATATTTTTCCTTCTTTTTATGATAAAAACGATTATTTATGATACGAGAAAGTCTTCGGGATAATGCAGCACCAATGCAAGCTCTAATTCATGCAGTAGAAGCTTCAAATATTCAAAAGGATAAAATCATATAGTCTTGTGAGAGAAACCTGAACATCTTTAACAGTCTTCATTCCCATCAGGATTTAAAGTTGCCTCACAATGGAGTGAATATAATCCCTCGAGTTTCTTGTAGAGCTCAAAAACTTTCTCATTTTATCATAACCGTAAGCTTTGAGAGAGTTTTCAATTTTCATCTTTTATATTTCTTGAAAGAAAAAAGAAAAGAACAAAAATTTAGAGAAGTGGCGGGAAAAGTTTAAATTGAATTATAATGTTAAACATTCTATGTAACACATTAGACTTCACCCTCATCTTGTTGATCTCTGAGAAAAAGAATTGGAATGCGCTTTAATTTTTAACCTTGTTTTGTGCTACCAGATATGGAATTGCATTTCGACATCGTCAAATTTGTTCTGCATTTAAATGTCAATGAATTTTTATTTGCATGAAAATACTTTTAAAGACTTGAAAATTTTCATGCAAGAATCAAGTGAATGTACAAAGAGAGTAATTATTTTATACAAAGTTTAATTCAATGCATTGAAATATAATAAGGAATAATAACTACCAATTATTGTCGAGATTCCGAAAGTAAGGAGAGTTGTTACTTTGCGTACTTTAAGATCTTAAATATCCTTGTTAAAAGCAAACATTGAAGAGTTCGTTATATCAAGCTCAATCTCATAGTCCAAAAGTCAAAAGTTAAATGTTTCAAAGTTCACTGTAGGTTTCTTGTATTATTAAGTCAAGCACGTCATTAAATATTTGGAATTTCTTGAGTTGTTATGAAGTCATTAAGTCAACGACAATCGAGAATTGTATTTCCTGATATTATTTGTGAAATTCAAAAATTGTCCGAACTGAGCTTATAATTTTATGGAAAATTCAATTCTTATGAATAACATTTGAAGCTTGCAATAGAAGCAATAAAGATTTGTTTTAATTTCAATAAATTCTAATTGATTTTTGATGTTTTTTCATCATGCGGTTCTTTGATTCATCTTTTTACTCACAAGAAAATTTTAATTTCAGAACAATATTTTCCCATCATAAATTTAATGATTTCTTATGAAAGGAAATATTCTCCTATGATTAATTAAAGAATATTCTGTGAAGATAAGAAGGAAAAGTTTCTTTAATTAAAACTAGTAATAAACTAATGTTGCAGTTTGATGATTAAGTGTGATATAATCTCACTTCCTTCCAATTCTGTTCATGGAACATGTGAGAGTTTGGATAAGATATTAATTCAGTCATTCACATTATTTATAATATTTCCTTAGGTATTTTAGATGCTAAATTTGTGTGACCAAATTTAATACTTGCTGAAACTGGCAGACGATGAAATAATTTCAAGTTTAAATTAAAAAGAGAAACTTTGAAGATCGGAAACATTAAACATGTTTCGTAAATGCTGATTCATTCTACATATTCTCTTAACTCAATTTTCTTCTTACATTGAAACATTAGATGCGTCAACTTTGTTGGTTACTTCTTCAGTAGACCCTGATTTTTCTTTATGACTCAATAAAATAAATTGAATTGTGAAGAAGTAGTAAATGTTGTACAAGTTTTGATGGTCACTTGATAAGTTTATCTATCAATTTTGAAATGACGATATTTCTTTTCTCCTTAAGTGCACTTAAAAGCAATTGAATCGATATCGATTGAGTTGGTAATTGTTCCGATGAGTAGCCATAACATTGATTGAATTGCCGGATGCACATCACCTTCGAGATTAACAGAAAGTTTCAAATTGTTTTCTTTTTCACACTTTTCTTTCTTACTCTCTCTTAATATTTATGCAAATTTTTAATTTCATTCTTTTCAATGTCAATGAAAATTTATTAAATAAATAACTGAGTTATGAAGATTAAACACAGATTGTGATGAAGGCATGTTCATAGTTTTGCTAAATGTTTTCCCACACTCCTTTCCACATTATGTCATTTAAGAAAATTTAATGAGACGAGGATGAGACATGAAATGGATTAATTTTGAAAGGTGGGATTTTTGAGCTTAAGGCGAAAATCAACCTCCGATCATTCGTTTTTCCTTACACAAAAAAACGTTGATTTTCATGGTATTTTCTTTTTTTCACGCAATGTCTTTTTTCTGTCTTTCCAATGACGTTGAGATCCTGTTTAGGTTAGCAGACCTTGTCAGTAAAGTTTTGTACACAAAGAGTGAATTTCTTTATAAAGTGTGACTGTGGGAGCTTTCCAGATTTTCCAAGAAATAACCTGGAAAATGCAATAATTTCCAGCGAAGATTCTTTGGAAGGCAAGCAAGGCATCAGACACTATATGCTCAGTGAAGATACATTTTCTCATCAGTAGGTTATCGACTTGAATTCAGACATGTTTAATGTTGTTAAGCATTCTAGCGTTAATTCTTACAATATTTTGAAATGAAAAATTTATAATAAACAAAAAATATTTACGATATTAAAAAGCATCGCTGGAATAACAAATTTAAATAAAAGAAAATATTAAATTTCCAAATTTAACGGATTAGAAGCAGATATCATCACTTACCTAGGAATGTTGTATAGGATTACATAAAACGACATACTAGAAAAAAAGATATTCAATCAGTGAACTAGAATTGGATCTCATGCAATCCATACATTGTACTGCATTCAATTAAATTCTCTTAAATTCGTTGTTAAAAATTTAAAATGACTGTCGCTTTTCCATGAAATTAATTGCGCTCGATTTTTTATTGCATAAAAAGGTGAAAAGAAAATAAAATAGAAATGCATTTGGAAGTGAAGCAAAAGTTGTGCTGAAATTAATGACACATAATAAAATGTGATGCAATAAGTAATTATAGTGAAAATATTTTTTATCAGCAAAATAAAAATCAGTGTTAGTTGCCGTCGTAAATAAATACAAAAAAATATTGAAACACATATTTCGTGATTAATCATATCATGATGCTTCTGTTGAATACTGTGAAATTAGTGCTAATTGCACTTAATATTCTACCGAATCGAATGAAGCACAAAAAAATAATGTTCTTTATCTACATGGGAACACTTGTTACACATGGTAAGAAACAAAACTTTTTTATGTTCTTCCACCCCCGTCTATGATAAATTATGAAGCTATAAATTATTGTGTGAGAAAAAAGTCAAAACAAGCGCCGAAAGTTGTGCTAATGAAAAGCTAACTTCTACGAAACAACTTTTCTATTGTGAAATCAATAACTGCTGTCAGTAATCAGGCATCAGAGTAAAATGAGCATTTTTTTATTAAAAATATGAAAATTGGAAAATGGTGTAACGAAGAAAGCTTCTAATCAGACCCTTGCAGCAAATGAGTAATTTCAATGATGGAAAACTGCGAAACTTTTTTTATGATTACGAATGATTACGATTTTTGCAAAGGCTGAGTAAATGACCTTTGATTAAATATTGGAGAATTAATATCGATATTAAAAAAATTCAATTAAAAGTTAAAAAAAAATTCTAACAATGTTTTCCCATCCAAATTGATTTTAAATTTTGACCTGATTTCAAATACATTTTTCAAATCATTAAACACCTTTCATTAACTTCATTAAAAATATTACATTCTTGCCAACCACAACAACATCAATTCAAAACAATATTGCATGCATTTCATAACTTTTTTTTACGATGTGATTCCAAGTGAACAGCTGCGCTTATTTACACGAAAGGATGCTTCGGGAACATTCACAATTCACGTTTAGAATTTAAGGGGAAGCAGGAGGTATGATATCAAGCGTTGCAAAAACGCGAGAGAGAGAAAACCATGTATAATTTTATTGCGAAATATCTTTTTACGATTGCATCCATATGAGGCAGAAGGCTGTAAGTTTAAGCAATCCTTTTTTATTATATAATGTGGCAAAGTAAGTAGGAAGAAGCTAGAAAAAATGGAATATACGTGGTTTGAATACTCAGGAACGAATGCAAGATTATGTCTTATATATTTCATGCTTATCGAGAACTTTCAATAACGGGAAGAAAAAAATTGTCACTTAACTGAAAAAAGGATGTGAAAATTTATGAATGAACTTCTACGGTAGAGAATAAAGATATTTGCTTTCAAAGTGGAACCTAATTTAGATATTGTTCACTTTGAAGTTTGACTTTACCTGCAAATAGTTTTTAAATATATTTTAAACATTGTGCTTTTTATAACTTAAATAAAATATTCCGACTTCTATTACAAATTAAAATTCAAATTAAAGTTTCATTTCCTTTTCGCTTCAGGAAACAGAAAGTAAACTCATTAAAGTTAAATATGAAAAATTCAAGTAAAACTTCAATCATCGTTTCGACTGATGCTTCGATAGTGAAAAAGAAAAGTTTTACATAAGATAAATAGAATAGAGCTTTCGATGATCCGTTTGCATAAATTGATGACGGAAAATGATTACACAATATTCTCACACTGCTATCTATAAATATTCTCATCTGTTACAAAACTAAAATAAGTTCAACAGAATTTCCTAATTTAATTTTTCTCCAAATTGCATTATAATGACAGAAATTATTTTCAATACAGATATTTTGGGAAACAGATAGATAAACCAAATTTCATTAAAATTACTAGAAAAAGAAACATGCTTTGAGTGAAAATTCCTGAAAATGCATTTAGAGGAAAATTTAATTTGAAAACTTTCTTCAGAAAGAGAAACAAAAACTCTGAAGTTGAAACTTCTGTTAGACATTTTAATGGAAGTTGGTTGGTTTTGCATTTTCTAAAATTTTCTACTACTCCCTACATACTTATGTACGAAAAGTGATTTCTATAGTTTCATTACGATATTTTTCGCCCTCAGCTCGTTCCATTCCTTCGGAAAATATTTTTAATGAAATCACGAGTGTGTCAGTCATTTACTTAAGTATTAATGACTAAAGAAAGAAAGAATTATTAAACAATAAATTATTTCAAATTTTATTTAACAGTCATGATGGATGAGCCAAAGTTTGCACAGCCCATTCCGAACGTGACCGTTGCAGGTACGAACGATACACAATATGCTCGAAATTTTGATATTCCATGAGTTTTCAAGCATTTGTAATCGATTTCTTTTTACGAAATTTATTCCACAACAGTTGGACGAGATGCGAACTTGCCATGTGTTGTAGAACATTTGGGAACATATAAGGTAAGCATAAAATAAAATCAGCATAAAAAATTCAAAACATATTTATGTCACAGCAAACAAAGACTTGCAGATTTTTGTGATTTTAAATTTCTTTATTCTAAGTAAAAGTTTCGTTAAGTTTGTATTTTGTTACCTTCCTTCAAAAAGCTCATCAAATTGATTAAAGCACAAGAAAATTTATGTGTTTCTTTGATGTGATGCAAGAAGTAAACAAACAATAAAGGATTACGATTTCAAGACAGAAGGATCGTCCCCGCAACAAGACGCTGGAAAAATTTATTATCACATAAATTTCCTGTGCGATGATTCTGAAACAAGCCACAATAGAGACATTAAAATTTTGTCGTTTTTCTGCTTACGGAATAAATATCAGAGAAAATCTGAAAAGAAACGACACATGAACGCTTACGAGACAATTTTTTTTCCTCTTGTTTTCGTTTTGATTTATTTATCGAGAAAACCTTTAAGATGGCATAAATTTTGTATCTACGGACATGAGAAGAAAAAAAGTTTTCCCATCTCTCCGTTTTATTTTATAGTTGACTCACTTTTAAATGCCCATTTATCCCTTTTAGTCTTCTTTTTCTTTATTCCTCGCAAAATTCGATCGATGTTTTTTTTGTTTCATAGAGGGTTATCCTTCATTTTTATGACGTCAACTTAAATTAGTTTCGAAGACTGAATTTGACATGAACGACAAAACATGAAAAAGGTTTTAAAATTGAATTTTCTTGCTCTCGTGTTGCTTTTATGAAACTTCTAGGTTGCTTGGATTCACATAGATAGGCAAATGATTCTTACGATACATCGACATGTCATTTCGCGTATACCACGTTATTCAGTAACCTACGATAATTCAAATACCTGGTTGCTTCATGTAAATCAAGCACAACAAGAAGATCGAGGGTAAGATGGAGATACTTACACAGGTTGAGAAACGAAAGAAAACTTTTTAATTAAAATCTTTCTCAGGTATTACATGTGTCAAGTGAACACTAATCCGATGATCAGCCAAGTTGGCTACTTACAAGTTGTTGGTGAGTTTCTCAATTTATCAACTCGCCTAGTTCTGGTTACGCCAGTTTAAGTTGAAAACTTTTTCTTTCGATAGCGATGTCAAATGTAATTATCCGATAATACCCAGAAAATTAAACTCTTTTAGTTTTCTCTAAAGATTTTTTTTTCTCTTATCCATTTGTGAAAGCGACGAGAATGGAAAACTTTGGACGAGCTTAACAAAAATGTCAAGTGACTAAATATTTTGTTGTTTTTGAAATTACTCGCTTTTATGAACTTAAGAACGAAGCTCTTTGAATAGTTAAATAAGCTACATGACGTACATGACACAATCTCCCCTAGAAAACTTTTCCCAGCCTCATGAAATTGACAAAAACAAAAATCCAACAATGTTTTTTTGTTGCTGGGTTTGAGTTCATAGCAAGAGATCATTTAAAAGATCTCAATTCAGGAAGTGTCATTGACAATTTTCTAAGTTTTCAATCTTTTTTTCTACCAGCATACAAGTGTAAAAAAGAAGTTTTTATACCCATTTTCATCCTTATGTCGGTCACAGAGAAGAGAAGTTTTACTTGATTTCAAATTAATGAAACTCTGCTTTCTTTCTCTTCATACTTTCACCTTTAAATATTTGATCAACGTAATCAATCATATGTGAAAGATATACAATGTTAAGTTAACGTAATCCCGAGTCGCATTTATATGATGTGGCTGCATATTTTATGAAGGGCAAACAAACACACACACAGGTTACCTTCTGACAAGAATTTATTTTCTAATTTATTGCTTAACTTTATTTACTTTCTCCATCGATGCATGAAGTTCCACCGAACATATTGGATATTGAAAGCACTCCATCATCGGTGGCAGTTCGGGAGAATCAAAATATAAATATGACGTGTCGTGCTGATGGATTCCCAACGCCCAAAATTATTTGGAGGCGAGAAGACGGACAAAGTATCACAGTCGAGCGTAAGAAGAAAGTTATGGTGTACGACGGTGAGGTTCTTCATCTCACAAAGCTCAGCCGAAACGAGGTAAGAAAACTTATTCATCAGCACTCTTTCAACTTCTCTTTTACTAACTGTAAAAAATTTAATTAGATATTCTCAGCATAATTTCTTTTAATGTTTCAATACAAATTTAATTGGTTTCAGATTAACATAAATTTTCGATTTACGTTTTCTATTTTTCATTGCTTCTCTCTCGTGTCTACTACGTCATGTCTTGAAGATGGGTGCTTATCTTTGTATAGCAACGGTAATTAACACGCCTGATTTCAATGTTCTTTGAATGGTTATGATACTTTTGCTGCTGACAAAAAGAAATTAATTTTCTATCGTTTTCACAGAATGGTGTACCGCCTTCGGTGTCGAAACGAATAATTTTGGATGTTGAATGTAAGTTTTCTTCCCCAGAATTATGCTTTCTAAATTTCTTTTAATAATTTATCATAATCCGAGTACTGTTGTTGCACTCTACGATTCAAAACCAAAGTTTCTCCAATGATTTGGGGTGAGTACATATTTGAAGTTTCTAAGGAAGTTGCAAAAATCTTTATTACTTCCTTATTTAGTTCCCAATCAACTTGTTGGAGCTCCATCTGGCACAGATGTCACTATCGATTGCCACACTGAAGCACATCCAAGGTAATAAACATCTCATAATTTCAAAATAATTTAACAACATTTTCTATTGTGCAGAGCAATCATTTACTGGGTTTATAATCAAGGTAAATAAAACATCTTAATGATTACAAGAAAAGTTCTTTCATTGACGATTAAATAATTGCAGTGATGGTGCTGCCAAGCAAAAAGTACATCATTGATTACAATGAAAACTCGTATCGGTAAGCAGTTTATTTTTAATTACTTCATTCTATTAGCATTGAATGATTTGTGGAAATCAATTAGAGCACACATGAAGTTGACTATCAAGAGTTTGTCGATGGGTGACTTTGGAAACTATCGATGCATATCGAAGAACTCACTTGGGGAAACTGAAGGTTCCATTCGAGTTTATGGTAAGATGAAAACAGCCAACAATTTAATGAATTAAACTCACGAAGCTTTTCAAATTTTTATTATTCGCAGAAATTCCATTACCAGCAACTCCATCAAAGCAAGTAATTATTGCTGAACCCAAAGAAAGTAAGAGTCAAGAAATAAAATCAATAGAAATATTGCATCATCGAAACAGTTGTCGAAACGAATGAAAAACAAATTTTCCTATCATATGTTGAAGGAAAAGAAAAATGGGAAATATTTTTTATTTATTTTTGTTTCCCTTGGATGTAACACATTAAATTAATGTTTTGTAAATCACTCATCCCTCATCTTTGTCTACTTAACAGCATCACGTGTCAATGATACAACAACAAAAATTGTTCAACCCGAAATTGTCTTCTCATCGAAAAGCGAGAACAGCAATATTCATCCTGAGCGTGAAAGACCGAACAGCATTTCCATGGACAGAGGAAAGGCGACGATGGCTTTTTCTTTCACCGACTCACCACCAAATGAATATGGAATCATATCTGAAGGTACCATCCTCATAAATGAAACACAAATCTGTTAACAACATATGTTCTTAAAAATGATTTTCATGTAATTCTCGTTTTTCCTTCTTTCTTTCCCCATTTTATGTCGGTCATCATAGCCAACAAACTGAGTCATCATCGTTACATATTACAAAACAAAAGTGCCATAATCCTCTTGATTTTCATAATATTATATGCATATCATTAGAATACGTAGCTCTCATGTTAAATGTTATCATCAAGATGATAATGAACCATACGTTATGTAAATAAATGTAGTTTGTAGAAGACAAAAATAATTAAAAAACAAATCTCTACTCTGCTCATGTCTTTTTTTTTAATCAAAAACTTTAGTTAACAATATTGAGAATTTTGTAACGAAATTATGTCTTCTTCTTCCTCTGTGTTGATTAATTACTTTAATTAAAGCCATTCACATCGAATTTGAACGAAATAGAAAACTTTTTTGGTTGTTATAAAATTTACATCCAAACTGAGGTCATTTTGAAAATTTTAAATGAAAATGTAGAAGAGCATATTCTTATTGTTTCATGAGAAAAAAGATCAGGGAATTTAAATAGGTAATTAAGAGATGGGAATGCGTTCGTTCTCATGTAAAATGCACAACTTTTCCCTTCCAAGCTTCATTCTCAACAACCTCAAGAGAAAAGAAATCATTTTTGTCTATTTTTTTAATTTATTTTACTGAAACCTTTCGTTTTCCTGAAGATTTTAGAATAAAAATAAAAATAAAAAAATTAAATGAAGGGGATGTTAGACAAAGTCGGTGAGAACTTTTCACAAGCACCTTTTTATGCTATCTAACAGACAAAAATTCTCTAAGGAGCAAACAAAAACATTTATAAAATAACATAAATTTTCCCTCTTAAAATTAACTAAAAAAAGTTTTTCTTTCTGGACTACATACAGATCTCTTGAGAGAGTGGAAATATAAAATGTTAATTAGACATTCTCAACACAGCTGTGTTTCTGACATTTTTCCTTCTTTACGTTCGTTTCTTTCTACACTAAATATCAAGAGACGTCGCTGGCTTGAAATAAATAAATTCAAACTTCTAGAGAAAAAATAATAAAAGGCTTCATAAGTAATGATAAAGAAACTATAAGACATATATTCGTCATTAAAAGGAATTAATATAAAATTAAGAAACGAGTTGGAAACAATAAGAAAAAAAATATCTTCATAGAAAAATCGAAAAAAAAAGATGATTGTTCAGTACTGAAAAACTGTCGCGACACTTGACAGAAGCAAAATATCAAACAAAGAGAAAATCTTGTAAAAATAATTAATAAAAGAAAAAAATGTAAAGAAAAGAAAAATGAAGTGTTTTAGATATGAATCTAAGAGAAGTTTTTAATTATCTTTTCAGTGACTTTTAAATTGTTGAGATAATGTTCTTTGATGCAATTTATTTCATCTTAAATTTTTGATGAAAGTTCAAGACACGGATGTGACGAATGACGATGAATCATCTTCTAATGAAAAGTCCATGTTACGCGAATGTTGATGAGAATTAAGAGGTAAATGAAATTGAGAGAGTGCTGAATGTTTGATTAAAGCGATGCGTCTTTCGTTATTCATGTTTTCTCGTCTCTTATTCAACTTCAGTTCCAAACTCGTAGTGGAAAACAAACTAAACCAACGAGAACAAAAGCGTAGAAACTTTCAACTTGAAAGGAGTAGATGCTTGTGACACGTTTAATGATGAACACATAATAAATTTGAGAGAGAAAGAGTCCCACAACATTAACGACATTCATTATTTTATTCTCTCTTGAATCAATATTTAACAAGCAATTGATGAATAAGAAATATAATGACAATAGAGACGAGGAAAATATACGAAATATGACGAATATTCAGCTACCTCTTATTGTTGCATTGTTTTTCATTCAATGACAGAAAACATTTATGGCATTTGTAAAGCAATTGACCCACATGAAGAGAATCCTACAAAATTTTCAAGTGTTCACTTATTAAAATTTTCATGTTGTTCATTAAAAATGATGCTTTTAGTCGAGACCTCCTTGAAAATTTCTGGTGATGATTGAGAAGGAAGTAGGATTTGGCAGAAGACCCTCATCAGTCATAGATAGCATGAGATGATCTTTTCAGCATTTCATCCTCGCATCCTCATCTCATTTAATTCCTTCCAAATTAATGTGGCTGAAATAATGTGTTGCCATTGGTGTTTCTGCTTTCTACCTTCACGTCATTTACGTTGAATTTATGGTTTCTCGTGAGCCTTGTGCGTATCATCTTCGCAAGAACGACACAAGAAAATCCCAAACGTCATTGAGTTGCAACCCGTAAAGAGAAGAAATGAAGAGAAAGAGAAGGAGAAATGAAAAATGTGATATGTTTTCTAATGTTTAATGTAGTGAAATTCACGTTTTTCTTTTCGTCTCTGCTTTTCTTTTTTGTCTTTCTTTTTCACTTTTTGCGATACAAATTTTTTTATTTAGACACTCAAGAGAGATAAGACATTCAGAGTGTTCCCATTAATCATCAGCGACAGGAGAGCACTGGAAACTGAGAAACTGTCATTAGACCAAACACATGCCATAAAGCAAACAGAAGACATGAAAAGAAAAATAGAATGTGAAATGTGAACATGGATTAAAATTTCTGCACTGCGAATACAAATCGTAGCATGTACATATGTTAGAAATTTACATCAAATTTCTTATTCTATTCATTCATTTTGTTTCTTTTTTTTTCATCAATTTCAAAACGTAAAATATCGTGATGAGTTCGGTGTTGAAATGCCAACATGTTCTTATCTCAATTTTTGATCAAATTTACTCAACTTTGCATATAAATTCAACATAAGAATTTTTTTCGTTTTTCTATTTTTGAATGTCGAGTTTTGTCAAAAGATTTTTCTTTTCATTTCACTGAAGACAGCGATGAATTCTCGTGATGATTTCATAAGAAGTTTTAGGAGAGAGAAAGAAAAGGAGCATGTGGGAAAGGAGAAAGAGATGGAGAGAGAGAGAGGTAAAACGAAGTAAGTGTTAAATTTAATACATTACGTATGCACGCCGTGTGTAAACATAAATATATGAAAAATATTCAAATGAAGCGAACATTGAAAATCCTTGGGGAAGGAGGGTGATAGAAAGCATCAGCTATCATCCCTCCTACAGTAAGCACAGGAAAAAAAATCCTGACAGTGAGAAAAGAGAGGAAAATCGTCGCGAACGTGACAAACGGAAGACGAAGCTTGAAGCAGAAGAAAACAAAAAAAAACGAAAAGCTTGGCAGAAGCAAATGTGTTTTCAATGTAGTTGCCAGCTGGTGTAAGTTGTCACACAATGCTGCACGAAACAAATCCATTTATTAAAATGTAAAAGAATTAACAGAAGGCAAAGAATGAGAATTTAGCAAAGAGAATTGAAATGTATCTGAGGGAAATCGATTTCCGGTAATCGTGAATTTTGGTTCAAGTACGAAAGGAAGCTGCGTGCTTTAGAAAATAAATGAGAAAAATTTTCCAAACTAAAAAAATTGTCTACAAAGTTTTTCTGATGCTCTACGCTTCTTCGATGTATGACATGATTAAATTTATTTAGTTTCCAAAAGTATCATAACTTTTTTTATTTTCTTTTGTCTTCTACTAAAGCTTTCTTCCTCTTCCTCCTTTTCATTTTTATATTTACGAGAATAAATTTAAAATTCATCGAGTGTAGTCTCCACCATTCAAAGAATGAAGAGTATCGGGGAACAGAGAGAATGTTGGGCAAATATGCTTAAATAATCCTATAATAGGTAACGGCATCAAAATCAGCTTACGTAAGAATTCTTTTTATAAAAGCTCTCTTCATCTCCTAAAAGGGGAAAAAGAACGATCCATAGCTTTGAATAATGCCTTTTCCGTGTTAAAAATTATATTTTGGATATCACAGAAGAATTTCAACTCTTTTAAATATTTCGATTAGACTTTAAAAGTTGAAACTTTAAAGTTTGTTTCTCACTGTGAATGCTTACATTTGCAAAATTTATTCACTTTTAATGTTGTAATATTTTGTATAATTTTATGTTTCTCGTGTATCATATTGACGTTTTGATCATAAAAATACATTTTGAAGCAAAAGAGTCTCATCCTTTCACTCGTTAGCATACGATATGTACAAGACTATCATACATTTTTCATTTGAAATTCATGAGCCAACCGATATCTGGAAGGAGACGAAACGATATGTATAAGAATTATGTTTTACTCTTCAACCACGTTCATACATACTCGTACTCATACTCTCAATTCATGAACTTTTCTTTTTCTTTTCTTGTTTTCTCATTTTCTTATTTTATTATTCAAAGCCTCTCAAGTGTCGGAAATATTTTTTCAAATTTATTGGTAAAATTCTTTTTTCGTCGGCGGGTTATAAAAAATTCCGAACAAGCACCGAAACATATTTTACTTTTTATAAGCGGCATGAATTCAAAGAAATTTCACATGAAAAATTAATGTTTCACAAGTAAAACGTGATTGTTGCATAGGTTAAGTTCATGCGGAATGTTAAGGATCATTAAACATCATTGAAGCTTTTAAATAGATTTCCTTCTTTATGAAAACATCTAACGATCTTTTACATCATTCATATTTCTCCTCTCAAACGAATTATTTGGATTTCATGTTGGTTTCCTAATGCTTTGAAATCTTCTTCTCCCATGCAGTGATCAGAATTTGAAATGAAATTTATGAAACCAGTGAAGAAAAATAAAATTAAATTTTTTTCCGACTTCGCGTATCAATTAAGTTACTCATATGCAAAATAAAAATTACATTTCATGCTTTAATCTTCAAATCAAATGAGATTCATTCAAATAAAATGTCGAGACACCCGCTGTTTTATCAAATGACAGAAGCTGTATGAGTAATGATATCGCATAATTGTTTTACACAAAATTAACCAGCATTTATATAAAAAAGGGGAGAGAAAAAGTAATTAAAAGAAACTTTTGGATAATGATGCACGTAATTCTTAGTGATAAATGTTAATCGGATGGAGACATTCTCAACATACATGACTACCTATCTAGTTAGCTAGGTCTGTAAAGTAATAGAAGAAGACTATTTTCATAAAGAGGAAGTTTAATAATGATATCATTTTAATTAATGACGAGGTTGTCTGAGAAATACTATTCAAATGCCACAACTATAAGAATTAAAAGGTTCAGCCTTAAATTCTGTTTAGAAATTGAAATTTCTATCTTCAACTATCTTGAAGATTATTCAAAAGAGTTGAAAAGTTCTTCCAACAAAATTTTCAATATTCAAGGGTGAAACTAACAATTCACATTTTATAAAATTAAAAAATTATTGAAACTCAAATAGAAACGACTTCTCGTCCTAATCAAGATCGCTTGTCTTAATCTTCTCACTTTCAAAAGAAGTTATTCTAATTAAACTTAATAGAATTAACACGAGTGAAATTAAAATTCAAATGAAAAGTATGTAAATAAGTTGTGTGCCGAGGGAATTTCTAATTAGGCGATGAGTGAAAAAATAAAGAAAAATTTCTCTCCCTTCAATTGTTTCTTTTTTGTTTTTGCTCCCCGACAATATAAATTGTATTGAAAGCATGCAAAGATTTTCTCCTTCCCCTGCGAATAAATTAAATAAAAATAAAGCGAAAAAAAAGAAAGTTTTGCGATGTCATGTCGAACTCAAGTTGAAGGTGGTTGAAAGTAAGAAAAAGTAAATTTGCTCCCATCAAATGAAGTCGTTTTCTTTGTGAGTTATAGTTAATTTTAGGGGCGATAAAACTTTAATACAATACGATTACCCAACGACATTGGGCTGTAAAAACGTCGCCTTAAGCTTTAATGTTGCTTGAACACAAAATGGGACACAAATGTGTCATTTCGCATTCTCTCACCGATGCTTAACGAAAGTTTACAATTTGCTTATCACTGACAACATTTTCTCAACCCTCATCACATCGTCGAAAAGATATGTTGCTAAATTCTTTTCACCTGTCTCTGGAATCCATTAATTTTAGAAAAGAAATTCATTTTTTTCTTTATATATGAAAGAAATGCCAAAAGAAATCTCTTGTCTCCTTTAAGCTGCTTTCATCCGTTTTGGATTTTGATTTGTTGTGTTGTGAACGCAAAGTAATGTTTACAAATGTTTGATAGCTAGAATATTCATTAAGATTTATGGGAAATTGAATAGATACCCAAATGGGACAATAAAAACTTTGGGTTAAATTTTGTTTTTTTTTCTCTTTACGATGTAAGTTTGAAATTATGTAGCAACCAACAAACATAGATGTTTAATAAGCATGTCAGTTATGAATAAATGGACTGTTTTAAAGAATAAATGGACTGTTGCACGTTATAAAAAATCGATAACTCTTTAAGCTTTCTTTATTGATATTAAATTTTGAATTATTCCAAATGTCAGAGAAGTACAGAAAATTTATTATTTGACATCGCACAAAAGGGCAACACCACGCAATATCCAATGATCGGGAGGCTTAGCTGTTGGCAAATATAAAGTTGTGATGTAATTGAGATCAGTTCGATTTATCTTCTTATAGACGGGACATTCATACAGTCGCATTCCTTTAGCATCGAAAACAATGTTTGCATAAATTCGTATGACTGGCATTGGACAGTAAAGAATTTTATTGGCGGCTTCTGTCAATTTCATATCACGACGACTCCAAGCAGCTCCATCAAGATACAAGCCGTAAACATAAACACCCGATTTTGGTGGTTCTTTGCAATCTTCAAGATTAAATTTCATGACTTCATTCTGCAAAATGACTTTATTTAAAGGCCATCCATTTTGCGCTCGTGCTGTTTCTTGTCGCATCGCTGTCAAGAATCCCTGTGGGTTGAAGAAACCAGTCATCCAAAAAGCATTTGGTCGTCCTTTAAAGCACCATGTTGAAAATTGAATATTTCGTTGAATTAATTCAGTAAACCAAAAGCCTAAAGTTGAAGCAGCCCAACTTCCACGTAACCACACTTTCGGTACACGAGCATCATAAATATTATCAAAAGCATCACGACATTGATCGTTCATAATGATTGTACCTTCAATTGCCAGCAATAAATCACTAAGCGTTGATTTTACTAACAAAATAATGCTTTGAATTCTATCAATCTCTTGACGTAGGAAAATATTCATCGGAGTGATGTCTTTGGTCAAACTTTTCTTCACTTCAAATTCATCGTAAGGTTGTGGAATTCTCGTCAACATTTCTTCAACTTGTCTTGTGACTACAGATTCACGAGTTTCTCCTCCAGACCCTGAAGATTCCTTAGGTTGAACAGAGATGATTGTATCTAATATTTGATTTGTTTTATTAGTTTGATAAGTAATATCAGCATTTGGATGAAGCCCATAAACATTTGGTGGGTCTGTTGATGGCATCGTGTCAAAGTAATCAAGATAATCTTCCGCTGTTTTTTGAACTACAATTTTGTAACTAAATTTATCCTTTTCACTGTAATATGCGAAAGTATCTTTGAACATTTCATCACTAAAGTATGCCTTTGCAAAGCAGTTAAGTAGCCGCTTATCGAAGTTATCTGTGACTCGTCCACCATACTGCACTTCACCAATCATGTAATTTACGGTTTTCCAACTTATTGATTGATTTGTTTGCAAATAATCGAGATGATTTTGAATGAAATAACAGCTAGCAAGCCAGTCTGACGTGTTAAACTCATAGCTGAAAGAATGAATGTTGGATTAGTCGAAATAAATTTACTTGTATTCGATGAAAAGCTTACGGAATATTCCAACCGAGTGCTCCAAACTTCCTTCGCTCTTGAACGATGGTGTGGAAAAATGAAATTGAATAAATTAATGGCATGTAGAACTTTGAGTCGCTATGATCAAGCATATCATCACTCATTGAACTATAAGTTCGTTTCAAACCAGCTCGAACACCAGAAGGTGGTTCATTTGTATATTTCACTGACATTTGAAGCATTGAAACTGGAAATTTCGGATGAACTTCTGTCGTTATCCATAGCCGAAAGTTTTCGTTGTATCCTTCGCCTGACAATTTTAGTTCCAACAATTGCAACGTCACTTCATCCATATATTCCAATCCAAGATGACAGTTTTGAAGCAAAACCCAATAACCTTTATCAAGCGATTCTTTTATCAATTTTCTTGCATGCACTTCTTGTCCTTGACCCATTGAAATTGCATCAACTTTCATTTGATTTTTCTTCGCCAAGCTTTCAATACTTGGAGTTGGATCGGAACCCATGGAAAGGAAGCAAACAATTGGTGTATAAACTTGACTTTCTTCAAGCATACTTTCATAATTCAGCAGAACTGGGTCAGCAAATCTTGCACCCAATGACAATGAAATGTATTTTGTGCATTGAGATAAAGCACGATCGATACAAAACGATCGTATAATGAGAAGTTTACGAAAGTCATCTAAACGATCGTAACCACTGGGAAATTCTTCTTCCTCAGGTGCTGCTTTATCATACCATTGCTTCCATTCTTTTTCATTTGTCTTTATTTGATTGATGATTTTTTTAAATTGAGCAAGATTTGAAAGCTGGACGATGTTCAACCATGTCGAGTCGCTGATCCATTTACCTGATTTCGGTGGACATGTGTTGATATCTAAAGCAGCTCCACCTTTTATAAAGTTTTGAAACTCTTCGAATGTGATAAATCCACGTTCCAAATCAATATCGAGTGCTATAAGAAGAACGAATAAGAGTTTGTCAGTCTCATAAAGTCCACGAGATTTGTATTTGAAGATATCGTAAGTAAGAAATTCAGTAATATTTTTAATACGTTTGATTGTCATTGGAGTTTTGACAGAATTCCGAAGTGAATAATCGAAACGTTCTAAGAATTGAACGAGAGATGTTTGGTACATGTTGTTAACTAAAGTCATTTTCACAATGGAAAAATATAAAACACTTCCACGTGTTGCAACTGAACGAAACTGTTCTCGCGCTTGATTTATCATAACTTTCGCTACTTCAGCTGACTCCAACTTTTCTCTTATCTCAATTGCTTTTGCTTTGCTGGTGTTTAAAACTTCCATTACACTCAAATCATCAAGTAAACTTCCTTGAGTTGTTGATAGTTTGTAAAGTAAGTTATTCTCCAGTTCCTTACTAAGTTTTTTGTTCATTGTTACATCAGTTTCAAGTTGCATTCTTTCAGTCTCAATGTCGTTACGCTCTGAAAGAATAACTCGACCAAGCAATTGATCTTCGAGTCCTTTTATTGTTACAGTGAAGTCAATTATCATCGTTCTTGCGGTTATTTCCGGTGTATACATTGGATTCGGAAGCTTAGTTGTAACGTACAATCTGAAGTCAGGATGAGTGTCGACTTCTTTATCGCCAATTTTAACTTTATAAGAATTTCCCATCTTCACATAGTTTTTCTCTAAAATATTATCTAAACATGGGTCAAGCTCTTCTCCAACATCTTCAATTAACAAAGGCAATCCTTGACTGACTGCATCTTCGAGATGATTTCGGAAATATTTATTAACAAGTGATGTCACAATTAATCCATTTTCTTTATCTTTTTGTTTTATCCAAAACTTTCCCTGTGCTTGTGGATCAATTAAAAGCGGATATCGTGGACCTTGTGTCACAATTATTCCATTTTGAATTGAAAGTTCATCATTTGGGAGACCTTGAAGATTCCACTCACCAATCATTGAAGTATCAGCAAGTCTTGTCACAACATCTAATCCCGTCGTGTATGGAATTCGTCGACTTCCAAGTTCTCGTTGCCAATTTAATTGCATTGAAGCTCGAAACTCTTGATTGAATGGACCAGTGTATGATAAAAATCCAGTAAGAATTAATACATCACCAACAAGTGCTCCGATTTCATCGCTAAATTGTTCAATCTGATGAGTCCATCTCTCTCTTTCATCTACTAACCCTGTGATCATAGCATGGGCAGCATCTAACTTACTTTGAAGCAAAGCTGCTTCATTTTTGACATTCTGAAGTCCTTTATTAGCCGTTTCCAATTCTTCTTCAGCACTTTCCAATTCCTTTTCTTTCATTGCAAGTGATTCTTCTAATTTCTGCAACTCTTCTGTCGCCTTCTCTGATTGTGCTTGTTTTACAGCCAACTCAGCTTTTAATGGAAGAACATCTTTATTTACCAAATAAAATTCTGCCATTGCTTTCGTCCATTTTAAAAGACCAGCAACATTTCCACATGCAAGCTTTGCTGCTTCTTCTGAATAATTTGGAAAATTGAAATACGGTTCCATTAAATCGATACATTCAGCATCGATTGTATCACGTTTGAATTCAATAATTTTCTTTAAGAAGTTTGTATCTGCCATCATTTTTACTGCTTGTTCCCATGACGTTTGAAGGAAATATTTTTCAGGATCAATTTTAATTGAATCTAAACGTTTGCAAAACAAAACCATAACAACATCCATGATAACAGTGATGAGATGTGGTGGCTTTCCGAGTCTCCTAACTGTCGCAATATCTTGACTTTTGACAGTTTTCAAAGCTGCTTCAGCCATCAACAACTGTGGCATTGTTTTCTCTAATTCTTTCTCAGTTATTTTCTGTGCTGTTATGATTTTTTCAACAAGTGCAGCTTGTGCTATTTGCTTCACTGCAACTTCTTTCTTTGCTTCTTCTGCCGTCTCTCTTGTGACTTCAACAGTTTCTATCACTTTTTGTGCTGACACTTCTGCTTTAGTTATTTCATTTACTTTCACTTGAAATTGTACTTTTAATATGTCAATAGATTCAGCAGCTTCACGTAATTTTTCCAATCCATTTGTCATCTTTTGTGATTGGTCAACGATTGTCACAAGATTTTCTGTGTAAATCTTTTTGTAGCCTTCAAGAAAAGATAAAAATGATTTTGGTGTAACAAAAGTTTGTCGACGAAATCTGTGAAAATTTAAAGGCTTTAAAATTTTATTCATTAAAATTATAAGTGAGAGAGAAACCTTTCAAAATAATCGACACAAACATCAGAGACATTGTCCTGAACATACGCCATCATTTTAATTAATTCTTCTTTGACACTCGGTGAACATTCAATATTGTAATCGGCTAAAAAGAAGTGAGAAACTTCGACCAGAGCATCCATTGGCCACTTTTGAAACCAATCAATAACACAACCAGATATAAGGCCAGGGAATTTAAGTGACCGATTACGAAATTTCTCTCCAACTGGTGAAAAGCACAACACGACATGAAGATTGCTACGAGCTCGAGAAATGAAAAAGTCATAAAGATTGTCTTGTGTTGGTATTCGCTTCGGATCAACTTTCTTCATTATCGGAATTAATTCGCTTGTAATTTCGTCAATCTCATCTTTTGCAAAGAGATTTGCAATCTCACCAGAACTTAGAACATTGTTGAGATACTCCAAAAAGCTTTCATCTTTGATGTCGTTATCAGTGAAAATAAAAGAAATTCCTTGTCCCTCTAAACCAGCAACACGATACAAATATTTAAACTCGTCGGCAAAATTTGTAATGTTATATGAACGTGTTATAGTAATTTGATGAATTCTATAACCAGCAATGAATGAAGCTAATCTTGTTAAGCTCTGTTTCCCACTTCCGCCAACACCAACAAGAAGCGCGTTGCCTCTGAAATGAAAATTATTGAATTAAAATAAATTTTTATCAATTATTTATGACAAACCTCTGAGTGCGAATAATTCTAGAAATAATCATGAGATGTATAAGAGCATCTTGGAAAAATACCAAGTTGAGTTTCCCTCCACGCACTTCCACGTTGTATGTTTCCATGAAATTTAAAATTTTCTGCCTGACTTCTTCAAAACTTGGAATTTCTTCGTATAAATAATATTGGCCTGATGAATCATCAGCATCTTCTTCCAAATGGTCAGGATCTACGTCTGGTGCATCTCGCAAGAAATCCACGAAATAAACTTCGTCTTTTGGATAATCTTCATAATATTCAGGAATTTCTGACTTCACAATTTTTGTCATTGTCTTCTTAAACCATTCTCGATCATCAACGTTAGTAAAACGGTCAGCAATTGTTCGTGTGCATTCATGTTGCCAAAGTTTCAAAATACTTTTAACATCCTGGCATTGCTCCCTTTCGATCTTTAACATGCCACCCCAAATTCGTGATAAATCTCGAAGATTAAAAATGTAATGAAACTTTGCAGGTGTGGGAAGCATTTGAATTTTGGTTTGCTGCCATACTTTTCTCGTTAATGGAATGAGAAGACTCACAAATTCAACTATTTTTTTATTAAAACGAGTTCCACAAAAGTATCCATTTCCGATGACTCCAAATATTTTATCCATTGATTTATTGCTGGGAAGAGTACAATTAAAAATGCAAAGTTGTCGTTTGAGTCTCATTGGAATATCGTTTCGTCCACCACCAGGATGGATCATTGCTGCAAGCAATTGAATGTCTTGAATTGTACAGAAGTCTCCAGGTCGTTCAAGTGAATAAAATCCTGAATATTCCATCAATTGTCTCACAATCTCATTCGTTACTTGGTCACCCCATTCGTTGACTAATGGCATGTTAATGTCATCAATAAAAATCGTCATTCGTCGATGTTGTGGTGGCCCATAAGTCAATCCAACTCGTTTCTCAACATAAGATTCGATGATTCTTTGGAACATATTTGGAGTTGTAGCAGACGAAAAGTTGAAGCTTTTTGTAAGATGATATTCCGGATCATATTTAGACATAAATCCTTTGATGATTGCGGTTTTCGCTGTTCCTTGTTCACCTATTAACATCACAGACTTATGCTGTTTTGCAATTGTTTCAATAAGAAAAGCAGTTCTAATATTATCGACATTCGGTACGAGAATACTTGAGTAGTCAGGAATTGAGTCGCTTGGATAAATAAATTCTTCAATTTGAGAGTTCCAATGCTCCCATTTACCTGAAACATCGACAAGATACTCAAAAATTGATTCACCAACTTCGAGTTTCGGCCATTTCATCTTTGAGGGATGATTCAGAACAAAATTTTCCATTTTATCGCGATCTTCAAATTCAAGTGCAGCGCCAAGTGACCACATCAATGCAAACAAAAATAATCGTTCGAGATGATAATCAGACAACTTTGAATCTTCAGGAAGTAAACCAGTGAGAATGTCACATATCTGACGAATATAAATAGCTTCGAGAATTTTCATTTTAGCTTCGAGTTTTGTCTGAACAAATAAATTGACATCGCCATAAATCTTGTTAAAGAACTTTCTGAAAGATTTTGCATCATCATTTGTAAGTTTCAAGAGCCAACCTTCAAGGATTGCATTCCATGGCATCACTGAAGAACTCATAAACACCATTCCCATGCGACTCACTGTAGCTGGTGATGCATTGTCAATAGCGTCAGGTTCAAAGACTAATTTACAGTTTGGACTCATCAAAATACGATCGCCATTGGCAAGAGTTAAAGTTTTATTATCGTCAAGGACTGAATTTAAGTTTTCAATCCAAACTGCATCAACGGGACCGTCAAGAACAAGCCAGACAAAGTCTGTTTTAAATTTTAATGTTCGTCGCCATAAGACTGAAAAGATTCCATCAGTCCAATCATTTGTTGTTACATCTAAACGTCCAAACATTTGTGGAGCTGTAATTGCTTTAGGATTCATTCGAATCTCTCTATGAGGAAGTCCCATGATTGTTAAGCTTTGGTATAATGCATTCATGCAATTTGTTTTCCCTGCACCTGTTGGTCCTAGAACCATCAAACCATGACGAACCAGAGACGTCTCATAAAGCTGAACAATCTTAAGATTCCAAGCCGTTTCGTTAATAAGCGACAAATTTTGAACCGCTTCGCTTATAGCATCTTGAAGTTCTTTATGTGATGCCGTACGAAGCTTAAGTCCAGGAAAGAGATCCGAGATTAATGACAAGAATAAAGGCTCGTCTTCATCAACAAGTTTCGATAAATTCATATCTCTTAAAACTTGCATTAATATGTCTTCTTCTTGAAACTTTCCTGTTGCTGCACGCTTCACAGCGCCAAGAGTTCTCAAACATGACAAAATGTTTCTTAATCCAAAATCATAATGGACTTGCTTTGAAAGTTGTTCTTCGCAAAGCTTATAAAGTGTGAAAAATTTCGCTGAAAGTTTCAAATTATCACGAAAGCCGCAACTAGCAAGTTTCACACGCATAATAATTTGTCGATCAGGAACCATCATCGCAACGGTTCTAAATTGAATTTTTAAATTTTCAGGAAGTTCCTGACGACCAGCATAACCAGGATTCATTGTTATGAAAATACCAAATTCAGGGTTTAGTTTCACTTTGTCGCCATCACTGAATATGAAAACTTTCTTCTTCTCTCTTTTAGCATTCAACACAATGTAAATTTGTTGTGCTGCAACCGATAAAACTGGAAGTTCAATTCGATTGAACTCATCAAAACAACCCCAACTTCCTGATTGTGCAAGACCTTTGTAAATTCTTCCTAAACCACGAAAATCCATTTGATCCGAACAATTGAAGACGACAACAAGTTTACCCAAAGCACGTCCCATATCTTTGGTGGTTTCAGTTTTTCCTGTTCCTGCGGGTCTAAATAAATTCAAGAAAATTATTTAATCAAATTAATATCAAGAAATTATTTATTCTTACCCAGCTGGTGCACCTCCCATATGCATTCCAATGGCTTGTGCCCATGTAATGTAACAACGATCTGTTAATGGTGTAATGACAAGTCTTTCTTTCACACCAAGATATTCATTTTGATACACGAAATCAATGTCAGTAATTTTCACGATTGTTTCTTCTTGATTTAAATCGAAATAGAATCGAGCTTGCTTCTGCCATTCAAAATCGTCAACTGATTTAATCTTCAATCTTACGAGTTCATCAAAGATATCTTTTTGATGTACATGAATTGTTACAAGAGTTTCAACTGTCACACGTTCAAGTTTAGTTAAATTTTTCACTGTGAGATCAAGGAAGAAGTCGAGCATATCTTGAAAGCCTAAAAGAGTTTTTTGGAGAATCTTCCGATCGATTTTGCAAAAACTTAAAGCATATTCAGCATCTTTTGTCCACAAAAGTTGAATGCAAATTAATTGGCCTTGTCCACACAAGCTTTCAAGTTTATCTTTGTAATTAAATTTGTCATTGCCCATTTGAAGTCCAATATCAGCAAGAATCATTCTCACAGTGTCTTGAACCATCTCAAGCAATCTTCCAATCCAGATTTCAACATTCCCTGAACATTTTACGGGACTTAAGAGTGGAACACGTTCACCATTGTCTGAACACATTCCAACAATCATATCGTTTCTTCCCTCTTGGAACTCAACATGATCTACGCCATCAAAAATACTCGGCAAATGCGGTTGAATTGATCGTGGATCTGAAGCTTGTCCAAGAATTTCTAACAAAACGGGATCAGAAACGAAGAAAAATCGTGGAAAAACTAAACGTTTCGTCTCCAAATATCCCGTCAAAGATTTTTGTGACACTTCAAGTTGTTCTAAGAGATATTTCAAAGTTTTGTCAACCACATCATCGCCTGTGCAGAGATCTACGACGTTTGGATTATTTCGTGCTTTATACATAATTCTCACCCACTCTTTATCAATTGCTGAAAAACGCTTGGCTTCCAATGGAAGTTGTCGAGCAATGTCACCACTCACAAAAACAACCTCAAGATACATCCAAAGAAATTGAACTTGAAGCCAACGTTCAAGAATGTCACTTGTGCTTGACAATCGTTGAAGCATCAACATAATTTCTTTTTTGAAAGGTCCATTAAAGCGATTTGAAGCAAGTGAACCCATCGTCATTAAAGAATCTTCTAATTTAGTGATGATATCTTGAACATCACCAGCTTTGATGAGTAGATCGCCGCGATTCTTAAAAGGTGCAAGTGGTAGGTCAACATCTTTCCATTCCCTGATAACACTTTGAAATTTGGTTTCAATTTCTTGTTCTTTAATTGCACCAACACAAACATCTTCGATATCATCTTTGAACTCCAACAAAGGCGCACTCAAAACAACACCAAGCGTAAAAATTGGCGAATGAATATCAAACTTAAATTTCATAATATTTTCCAGCATTTGCCAATGTCGTTCTTTCATTCCCTCGCGTGCCATTAAATCAATCAATGGACAACTGTCATTAAAATCATCAATTTTCTGCTTTAAGTCTATGAATGCTGGCCAATCTTTCATTCCACGTGGAAGTTTTCGACATCGATTGACAAAGTCTTGAATTTCCTGCGTTATTTTTATCATGTCGATTTCTTTGAATTGTGTTTCTGAATAATTATCGATGCTTCTCATAACATCTAAATATAACTTATACAATCGATTAAGAAAGTTGATATCCTTTTTACGTTTTTGTAGCACAGGATATTCGTTGACTGGAAGTCCGAAAAGTTTCTCTCCATTTGCATGAATTTCATTACGCCTGGTTAACTCTTGCAGTCGAGTTTCAAACAGCAGAACTCGATCACTCGCTTCCTTTGCTGGAATTCCTTGCACCATAGGACCACGTTGAACAAAATCTTCATCAAATGTCTTAAGATCTTTAGTAAATTGTTCAACACCAGCTTCAAGTTCATTTTGTAAAGGAATTTGCAGTCTCATAACTTCTTTATTAACAGCATCGGCTGTTTTCATCATTGTATTGAACATGTAACGAAGTCCATCAACACGTTCTGTGTCTTCTGGTGAGATATTTATATGAAAAGCTGCAAACATTGCGTAAGTGTCTTCCATAAGTGCTAAACTGTCATCAATTCGAAAGAAATTTTCTCTAATTTCCTTCAAGCAATTCATTGCAATTTGACAATCATCGAGATCAGCAAGAGGCCTGGCTAAGACTTTTTGTTGCACTTGAATAAATTGAACCATTTCACTAAGAATCGATCGATAGAAGTTGCTTAGTTTTGAGCCTAAAATTAATTTCCATGCTGCTGACTCTTCCACCAAAGCGTTGATCATTTTTTCACAATTTATTCTAATTGCTCGAACACAAATCACTTTACTGAGATTTTTGATTTCTTCTGTGATCTTATCATAGTGCAACAATTTGTCACGAATGTCTGCTGTCAATGGATTCCCCATAACAAATGCTTCAATGATACTTTCACGTTTATCATCCCATAAAAATTTGTAGTTTTGATAAAGGTCGTCAAGAATTGAATTGATTTTTGATTCCAATTGCATGACTCCATTTTCAAAACTCATTTTGTATCTTGAGACTTCTTTATGATTGAGAATTGTGATAAAGAAATGAGTATCATATCTCTTTTCTTCCAACAACGGGTTTCGTTTCTTTCGCTCTTCAGTCTTTGCATGTTGTCCCCATCTTGTCACAGCATAATGTGTTCCAACAATGTTTGATAATGTTCCATCGTAATACTTCTGAATTTCACTTAAACTTGGCACTAAGACAAATGATGGAACCTTCAGATGAATTTCAGCTTTTAATAATGCTTCTTCTCTGTTTGAACTACAAAGTAATGAATAAATTTGACCAGTAATGTTTGATCGTTTCTTGAACAATTCCATACTAAGTCTCGTCGTTCTGGCAAGTGCAGAAATTATTTTGTGATTATAATAAGCAAACAATTCGACACAATCAATGTGAAGTAAAGTCACATCGTAATTTAGTCCATCGTAATCTTTAAAGCATAATATTTCATTCTCTTCCGGTGTTGCAAAGCCAATAGACTTGTAAAGCTTTTCAAATGATAACCAATCATAAACATCGATTGGTTTTAACTCTTCAACTCGCCAGTTAGTTTCGTTGATCTCTTCAAGAGGTAGTTGATATTTTCCTGATCTTTCATATAAAGGAATTTTCGATTTAGATACAAATTTATTAATTAAATCAACAGCAGCTTTCTCGGCTGCTTGTGACTTCATCTCAATCTTTCTTTCTATTTCTGACCGATACTCAACATTCATGTCTAGAAGTTCTTCTGGATCAACTGCTTTCTCGGGAAGAGTAACAAGAATAGATTTCTTTATGGATTCCAAAGTTCGGTCAATTTGATCATTGATATCTGAAACTTCTTTCAGAAAATTCTCTATTGGAGTTAAAACCTCAGAAATATTTTTGAAATATTCATCAAGATTCACATTCAACCACGTTACTGTCGAGATCATCGGAGTAAAGACTCGTTCAAGTTTAATTAGCTGAATTCTCATGAGTGGAACAAATTGAGGGTAAATCGTCCGTCTTAATTTATTGTTGCGTTGAATAAGATCAATTGCAGTTGCATGAGCTTCAATAATTATCTCTTTACAATATGCCAACGTGTTTGCAGTTTCAGGAACTTCCAAGCCAAGTTTCAGCATTGATTCAGTCTCTTTGATTACTTGAATAACTGTACGATCAAGATTCACTTCGTAATGATTAGTTTTTTTATCCTTTCTTATGACTGGCATTTCAAGTTGTTTACGAACCTTTTCAGCATAAATAAACCAAGCTTTATGTTCTGTCAGTTCGTATTGAAGGAAAATTCCAGTGAGAAAATTATAAAACTTAACACATGGTTGAGCTCGCTTATGAGTAAGTACACATTCACGAGCCTTTAAAGCATTCAAGGGAACTTCCATTTTCTGCCGAAGCATTCGAATCCACATTATCCGACCAATTACTTCGGGAATATTTCTTGGAATTGGTGGATCTCCGCGTTTCTCGTTATATGTGTCTTTAAGCTCTTCAAATTCAACTTCAAGCATCTCAGCAACATCCAAATATCGTCGATCTAACCGTAAGCAATCAAGATTCAATCGATCAAAACGAGCTAGTGTCAGTATTCGCATTTCAGCAAGTTCAATATCTTTGACATAATTTTTAACAAAAACTTGCATTTCTTTTTCAACTGAACAGATTTTTTCCTGGAACGTTTGATAATCATCATCGAACTCTTTCACACGATGAGCTAGTGGATCGAAAGGCTTTTGTGATATGGCATTAAAAGCAGATTTAATTTTTTCAGAAAATGGTTCCATGCCACCGATTCTGATTCGATCCAATACTTGATATTGGAGACAAATTTCCATAATTTCACAAATTTTTCTTAAACGTGTTTCAAAAGAATCAAAACGTTCAAAAAGATATTTATCAGAACAAAAAAAGGTTCTCTCTCCATCCTCCTTCATTTCATTCAACATTTTCGTATAATTAAGTCGAAATGCTTCTTTCATTTTCTTACATTCTTCAATTTTCTTCACAAACTCATTCATGTTTTGTTCCCAAACTGAGTTCTTGTAATTATTTGTGAGATATTTTTGTGACGCGATGATCAATTGGTTGACAACTTTTGATAGCAAACCCGTGATTCGTACATCGCTGTAGTAGAAATTTGAGTTTTTATAAACAGAGCGAATTGCTTGCAATAACTGTGAAAGACAATCAGCTATTTCTAATGGTGGACAACGATAAAGTGGATCCCAAAAGGTTTCAATTGATGTCATAAATCGAACGTTGTCTTTAGCTTCATTCAACAATATTATCAGAGTATCTTCAATTTGTTTCCATGGCTGAATAAAAAACAATTAATTGAATGAAAGTGAAGAATTATTTCATTATTCACCTCTATAAGTTTTGATCTTGAAATCTTTAAACATTTCAAATAATTTTTGAAAGGCTTCGAATCAGTAAACTCTACAGCTTTGTTAAACTTTGTCAACATATTCCGCCATAGTTCTAATTCTTTATTGGGACCGGATTCAGTTGTATCTTTAGTGAGTTGACCTCCTTGAACAACAACACATTCGACTTGTTTCATCCAATGACAAAATTCTTTCTCAACTTCAGCAACTTTATCACGGCGTTTACTTGTCTCTTCAATTTGATGAGAAGCGAGAAGAAAACCTTTGAACAGATCATTGTTCACTTTCAAATCGATTGAACAAGACACGATATCATTTTTTGTACCTGGAAAACCATTAGTAGTTTGCTTCAAAATGTTTTCATTTTCAAATAAGTAAATTACTATTTAATATTCCAAGAAAATGATCAACTCCGTAAAGAAAATCTAATTTCTGTGAATGTGAACAATTCCCGTAATCTTTCATTGCTTCAAGAGCAGGACGAAGTGTTTTTGATAAACTTTGTGCGATTGACGCAATGACATTTTCACCCTCCGGTATTAAAGTAAAAAATATATCCTGCAGATAAGATTAAATGAATCTCAGAAATCTATTAATAAATTTATTTCAATTTACTTCAGCTACTGATTTTGCTTCAATAGTTGTTAAATTTTGAAGTCGATAAGCAACGACACATGGGCCAATGATTTCTACTCCGTTTCCTGTGGAGAAAAGCACAACATCGACCTTGTCTTTCAATTTTGGATCATATCGTCCACTGGCTAGTAAAGAAAAAGTCAATTGAATCATTTCTGTGAATTCCGTTAATAATCTTACTCATGCTTGGTGGATCGTGAGATTGAAACTGGAATAAAATCATTCGTGAACCGTGAATTTCAAAGAAGTTGCATAAAACTGTTGTATTTTCTAAAGAATCAATAGCAAAATTCAGAGTATCATCGTCTTGAATCCCAAGGACATGAGACACATTTTCAATGACGAAGCGTTCATTGACTCCAATTCTAATATTTCTTCCAGTCCTATCAAGTTTTGCTGCTTTCTGTTAATTGACGTAAGGAAATCTCATTTGAATATGACTTAAGAGCAATGCATTTGGATGTAAACTTACCATAATCTTTTCATTCTTTTCCTCCCTCGTTTCAATTCTCACCGATTTCCGTTTTTTCATAGCCAATGCTTGAACACGAGTAGAAATTCCTATAATTGCTGACAAGCGCCTCAAATGGCGGTCAGGATCATCCGGATGATATTTGTTCGTATCCATTTTATAAATTTGAAGTTTTTCGTTTCTTTGATGAAACTTATTTGATTTCTCTCCAAAATCAAAATTAAATTGCCTTCTTAGATGAAGAAATCTTTAAAAGTAAAGTTGATAGCTACTGAGAAATATCCATAAAGATTATCGATTTTTATTCGAAATCTTTCAAACTGGTGAAAAGAATAAAAAAGAAATTATATAAAGCACTTCTTCTACCTAAAGGTAAATAAACAAAGCTTGAAAAGAAAATTCTTCGACTTACAAACATCGAAAATAAATTGTTGAACTTCTCAACTTTCTCGCACATAAATCTTTTGAAAGCTTTAAAAACAAAAGCTTATTCTAATAACAATTTGAAATCAATTTGTTTCGATTAAAAAGATTTGGTAAAGTAAAATTTATGTGTTTTCAAAAAAAGTAAACCGATTCTACGAATCATGACAGTTAAGCCAAATGACACATTTAATTGAAAAGAATTGTATCGAAATAAGATATAAGCATGGGGGAAAAAAATAAGAACGAAAGATTTATTTCTGTAGACAACTTGTGATAAATCTTAAAAAAGTCCCTCGAGAGAATGAAACTTGTCGTCTTATAATTCTTAAATTTCATTGAAAAGGTAGAATGGAAATTCTACCAGTAACAAGTTCCACTTGATTTCATATTTAAGTGAAGATTATTAGATTTGCATTCAAACTTGCACGGATTTAAATGGGTAAATATTATTTGGCAACACAACAATGTTGTTTTATATATTAATCAATCGATGATGATATTGTTGTCATTTTTCATAATGAGATTAAAAATTCATTGCAATAATAATTTATTGGCCTTTTGAAATTTTTACGACAAATGCAGTTGCGCAGGATAATAAATTTTATGGTCAAACTAAATCATATGGAGTTATCAATAATCGATAATCTTGCTTCTCTACTGAATAAAGTGGGTTCGTTTGAATGAAACCGAGATGAAAAAGTGCTCCCATGAGTAGAAAAATATTAATATTGATGATGTTTTTTTGTTATGCAGAAACTTTTCTATAAGAAGAGTTATTCAAAAGAATAATAGATAAATAATATTATTAGGCAGCGTAAAATTCCAACGCATAGCATTCATTCAATCTTTGGAGGGAACTTAAATAACTTAATATTATTTTTGCATGTCATAAATGGATGCTTGTATCATAAGTATGCCAATGAAAAAAAAATTTCTAAAGCACATGGCATAGATCTAATCTTTATTCCATAATTGAGTGAAAACGTCTTTTAAAATGATGTAGGGTAAATGTCTGTAAACGGAATCTTCTGTCGATATGAAGATTTTGTTATCTTTATTGTTGATTTAACGGTATATAATCGAGGGAAAGAAAAGGAAGAGAAAAATATCTTCAATTTTTTTTCTCTATTGACATGTATTTTAAAAAGCGATGAAATGGAGCAGACACCAAACATTCCAAACGACGCTGCTTTAGATCTCAACTTCAATAAAAGAAATTGATTTGGGATCAATGGAGCGTGTCGAGAATTTTCCTTCACACTCTATGTCGAGTTTTATGAAATTCAATAAACAATGATAGAAGTATCTTAATTGAGTCTAGAAACGACAGTTTGAAAGAATTGAAACCTTAAAATGGGTGAAATGAAACCTTAAATATTAAAAAAAGTTCTTTTTTGTAAAATTTTACATCTATGACATTCCAAGCTGAAGAAAAAAAGGTGAAAATTACTTTGAATAATTTTAATTTTCCGATCCTAAGTCAACACAGCATGGTGAAAGTAAGAGATAAAAAAATAATTATTCTCTACAGATCCTTGTCGGTGCAGACACGAAGGGATGGTAAACGGGAGAATGAGAGGAAAAAACCTTTAGTTACAGAAGCCCCGAAACTTTTCACTGAAATGGTTGAGAGTTCCTCGCTTAAACTCATCAGTTTTTGGTTGTTGCTAAGGAAGCTTACAAAAATTTAGTTTAGTTTTTCTGCTGTCGTTTCTCGTATAGGAAAGCTTAGAGGATAGAAAATGTTTTAATAATGACATCACAAACGTTTTCTTTTCATGCAAGCAAAATAAATTATTCAGAGAGTCATGTGAACGTCGAGATGGAAGTAGTGCTTTAAGTGAGACAAGTTTAAACTATTTCCATTCTTCTTTGTAACAGAAATAAAAAAGTTTTTTATTTTATGTTTTGTTGCCGTTGCCTGATACATGTGCGATAACAAAACCATTTGGTCTCATACTACTGAAACTGCAGTTGAACTGACTCTTACAGGCAATCACTGTTGATTCTTTTCCAACTTTGTTTGAGAGATATAAAAGCAGTTAAAAAAGCCTCGGAAGGCATTTCATGCATATACATATAGCATTGAAGAGCTCATTTTAACAAACATTAGCGATGTTCATCTTGTCTACATCTGTCTTCATGTTATTTTGTTTACATTTCTTCCCTCATCATCAAACATGAGATTTCTTTTTCATCGTTTTTCATTCTTATTCCCCCGTTCATTCTTTTATTCTCTTAAAATCTTTTGAATCGTTCAGTTTTCAATTTTGTAAAGAAAAAACTTTAAAATTAAATTGTACATTTTTCTTTTCCCAGTAAACGGCATGACAGGAAGATGTAAGAAGCGTAAGAACATAAATAATGGATATAAGTTTCGATTCTTTGAAAATCCGATTATTTAGAATTATTTCAGATGAACGATGTGAAGATTGTAGATAAGTTGCTACCTACTATCATTTCAAATGAAATCAACATAGCAGAAAATTTATGTATTATAATGATATGCAAGGAAATCAAGAGGATTATGGCACTTTTGTTTTGTAATATGTAACGATGATGACTCAGTTTGTTGGCTATGATGGCCGACATAAAATGGGGAAAGAAAGAAGGAAAAACGAAAATTACATGAAAATCATTTTTAAGAACATATGTTAACAGATTTGTGTTTCATTTATGAGGATGGTACCTTCAGATATGATTCCATATTCATTTGGTGGTGAGTCGGTGAAAGAAAAAGCCATCGTCGCCTTTCCTCTGTCCATGGAAATGCTGTTCGGTCTTTCACGCTCAGGATGAATATTGCTGTTCTCGCTTTTCGATGAGAAGACAATTTCGGGTTGAACAATTTTTGTTGTTGTATCATTGACACGTGATGCTGTTAAGTAGACAAAGATGAGGGATGAGTGATTTACAAAACATTAATTTAATGTGTTACATCCAAGGGAAACAAAAATAAATAAAAAATATTTCCCATTTTTCTTTTCCTTCAACATATGATAGGAAAATTTGTTTTTCATTCGTTTCGACAACTGTTTCGATGATGCAATATTTCTATTGATTTTATTTCTTGACTCTTACTTTCTTTGGGTTCAGCAATAATTACTTGCTTTGATGGAGTTGCTGGTAATGGAATTTCTGCGAATAATAAAAATTTGAAAAGCTTCGTGAGTTTAATTCATTAAATTGTTGGCTGTTTATCTTACCATAAACTCGAATGGAACCTTCAGTTTCCCCAAGTGAGTTCTTCGATATGCATCGATAGTTTCCAAAGTCACCCATCGACAAACTCTTGATAGTCAACTTCATGTGTGCTCTAATTGATTGCCACAAATCATTCAATGTTAATAGAATGAAGTAATTAAAAATAAACTGCTTACCGATACGAGTTTTCATTGTAATCAATGATGTACTTTTTGCTTGGCAGCACCATCACTGCAATTATTTAATCGTCAATGAAAGAACTTTTCTTGTAATCATTAAGATGTTTTATTTACCTTGATTATAAACCCAGTAAATGATTGCTCTGCACAATAGAAAATGTTGTTAAATTATGTTGAAATTATGAGATGTTTATTACCTTGGATGTGCTTCAGTGTGGCAATCGATAGTGACATCTGTGCCAGATGGAGCTCCAACAAGTTGATTGGGAACTAAATAAGGAAGTAATAAAGATTTTTGCAACTTCCTTAGAAACTTCAAATATGTACTCACCCCAAATTATTGGAGAAACTTTGGTTTGGAATCGTAGAGTGCAACAACAGTACTCGGATTATGATAAATTATTAAAAGAAATTTAGAAAGCATAATTCTGGGGAAGAAAACTTACATTCAACATCCAAAATTATTCGTTTCGACACCGAAGGCGGTACACCATTCTGTGAAAACGATAGAAAATTAATTTCTTTTTGTCAACAGCAAAAGTATCATAACTATTCAAAGAACATTGAAATCAGGCGTGTTAATTACCGTTGCTATACAAAGATAAGCACCCATCTTCAAGACATGACGTAGTAGACACGAGAGAGAAGCAATGAAAAATAGAAAACGTAAATCGAAAATTTATGTTAATCTGAAACCAATTAAATTTGTATTGAAACATTAAAGAAATTATGCTGAGAATATCTAATTAAATTTTTTACAGTTAGTAAAAGAGAAGTTGGAAGAGTGCTGATGAATAAGTTTTTTTACCTCGTTTCGGCTGAGCTTTGTGAGATGAAGAACCTCACCGTCGTACACCATAACTTTCTTCTTACGCTCGACTGTGATACTTTGTCCGTCTTCTCGCCTCCAAATAATTTTGGGCGTTGGGAATCCATCAGCACGACACGTCATATTTATATTTTGATTCTCCCGAACTGCCACCGATGATGGAGTGCTTTCAATATCCAATATGTTCGGTGGAACTTCATGCATCGATGGAGAAAGTAAATAAAGTTAAGCAATAAATTAGAAAATAAATTCTTGTCAGAAGGTAACCTGTGTGTGTGTTTGTTTGCCCTTCATAAAATATGCAGCCACATCATACTAATGTGACCTGGGATTATGTTAACTTAACATTACTTCTCGTTGTATATTTTTTGTATGATTGATTACTAAGATCCAATATTTGAAAGTGACAGTATCAAGAAAGGGAAAATCGAGCTTAATTTACTATTTCCTTCTTAAAACAGAATTATGAAACTTTATTTTCTATTCAGAGCTGTAATTTGTTTGAAGTCCAATTTATGTCACAAGTAAACATGGAACAGCTTAAGTAAAAACACCCAAGAAAGATAGAACGATGGACATATTTAAATAATTTTGAGTTCTTTCAGAAATATTTACAATACCAGAGGCTATTCTAAATATACCACAAATATAGATATACAAGTGAACAGATGAAATTGAAGATTTTTCCTTTGCCCGAAGCAAAAGCTTCAACATTTCAAGTATCCAAATAAGGTTAAAGGCTGAATGAAACTCTGAAACATTCTCAAGATGTTTTATGTTTATTAACTGTATATGAAAAGGACATCCGCGTATTATTTGCTCATCCAAAAATAATCCATAAAATTATCATGCTTTTCGGTCTAAAAGGTCGTTAAACATAAATAAACAGAATAAACTTTCTTGAAGTTTATTTCTTCATTGTTGCGGTTGTCTCCTAAAGAAAGCAAACCCGCAGTGTTCCTTCTCAAAAACCGTGATGCATGAAATAATTTATTAGACGGCAAGAATCCTTTTTTTGTATTTCTTTCTCTGGACTTTTAAAGTTTATCACTTAGAATTGTGAACATTTTTATTTGAAAAGATTTTTTCTTTCTTCAAAAGATGAAATTTTGTGCTTTTTAAATGGTTTTGTCATCATTCGACAAATTTCGGATTATCATAATCTGAATATCTATCGAACTATTTTTGAAAACATAAATTTTTATTATCAAATCTACTTTAATTAGGTTAAGCTTTTCAAAATTCTAGCTTGGATTCAAAAACTAGAAAGGATATTTCACCACTTCGAATTTTCGCTTATTTTCGTTAATAATTAAATTATAAATTATAGAATTGCGTTTATCGAAATATCTATGCAGCAAAATTAACTGAAATTGGTTATCTAATTGGTTAGAATTGAATTGATTCTGGCTTTATCTGAAATTTAGGATTATAGAGTTTTTTTACCGCACGTGTGTTTGTTCTTGTTAAACAATTATATAACCAGTGACTCCCTCACATGGGCCTACAGAATTGAATTTTGGAAGAAAATTTATGGAATCGTTCATTCACACCTCACTGAAACGTTTAAACATTAAAACTTTAAAGTTTCCTTATTATTAAAAATGTTAAAGCTTATCTTTGAGCTTATTGAGCATCATTCCCGTAAATCACACTTAAAAAAGGCTTTTCATTCATGGTAACAATCGCGTATAACAATAGCGAATTCTGGTTAACATCAACGATTTTATGACGCCTGAAAATTTATATTTTAATTGGATTCTGAGTGGCTGCTCTCGCTGTTTCGCATTTTATTAGGTTCATGATGAAACAGTCATGAAAGTTGAAAACATCAGTGTTATCTCGTTTAAGTTCGACGTTTGAATTGAGAACAACAGTTGCAGGGAGTGAAACTCTAAACATGATGGAAAGGGAAAAACGAAATGTGCATTTAATGACTGTGGTAGATTAATCAAATAATGGAAAATGTTTTCAAAGGATGCGATGAGATGGTAATTTATTTAGGAAAATCAATAATTAGTAAAATAATCTAATTCATCCTCAAACACGTGAACGTGTACATGTTAATGATGATGATGATGATGATGATGATGATGTTGCTGATGCTACTGCAGGTGATACTGCAATATTTCATATCCTTTCTACACACTTTATCTTGTAAATGTAATACTTTTTCCTCCAGCTGAGTCTTTTATTAACAGATATCAAGTAAAAAAGAAAAAGTAGATTGAACTTTGCATGTAGTATTTGTTCAAATATATGTACATTAATGTATTATATACATATCTATGCTGAATATAAAATCGTTGAAACAAAAAACTATCTACTTTCGTCCTTACCTCCTTAAAACTGGAATTTTTAAAATTCAGGTGAGAAAAAAATGTCTTAAAAGGGAAGAAGATTGGAAGAATCAAAAGTTGGTTTAAAAAGAAAGTTTCAAGCAAAGTTATTAGATATAGTTTTTGAAAGAATGGAGGAAAAATATTCTGACAACATTTCTCAATATAAGTGACCGATGATTTTTCTTTACATTTGACATAAACACATATGTGAAGATATTTGTTTTTTGTACAACAAAAGATATGAAGGAATTGGGAAAAGTTTATTTTCCTCTTTGCTGCATCATGACACTCTCACAGAGAGTGTTTTTATGAGCATCAACAATTTCCATTTTATACATTCTTCCTTTTTTATTTAATTCACGTTTGTTTGGATTTCATTTTTTATTCTCTTTCTATCGCAAAGTTGCATGGTTAAGAAAGGGATTGGATGAAAGGCTCAAACGCTTCACAAGTGTCAATTTGAAATTTTAAAAAGATAATCAGCGATAAAAGCTAAAATTTATGAAGATATTTTTCACAAACGAACCACGTCGTTTGCATATAGATTTTTGTGAAAGCCTGTTAGCATAAATTCTTTTGAAATCAACAAAGTCGAGCAAATATATGTCGGCTTGTATGATACAAATATTCAAAGTTTAACCCAATTTGAAAGAGTTTAGAAAAATTTAATTTTAGAATTCATACATAATATGAAAAATATTTGAAATAGAAAACTTCCCTAAAATACCTTCGTAATCTGAGGAAAACGTTAAAAATGTCTTCATTCATGTTTCCTGTAATATTTATGAACGAGCTACAATGAAGCTTTTTATTATTATAAAAGATGTGAGACTTTTGAAAAATGTTTCTTTCATCATCATGACTTTCATACGTCTTAAGTATTTTAAGTCAACATGATCTAATTAAGTGCTGTAATTTAAGAAGGAAAAATAATCTTTTTTGAAATCAAGAATTAAATTTCAATTTTTTCCGACATATCTTCAAAGAAAAGGAAAAATAATTTCCTTTTATTTAGAGTCAGCATTACACATATTTTTAATTAAAGACGATGCAAAAAGCAAAGCAATTTTTAGCACATGTTATACTAGACTAAGTGTCGATAACCTACTAATGGGAAAATTTATCATGAATGCGGTTAAAACGGCTCTTCCTAGCTTCCTTCCATTGTCTCTCTGTGGAAGTCAACGTACGTTTGACGATGAGATAGCACTGAATATAAAATTGTGAAGAGTTTTCCAGTAAGCTTTCCAATTATTTTCATGTGCAAAATGGAAAATTCCAGTTGCAAATGTCATCAAATATTCATGCTGATTCGCTACTTTATTGACTGCTCTTAAGAAAGAAAAATTGTGAGAGGATGGGAAAGTTTGTCTTCATTAATATTGCTCACTTCATGAATATTCTCAGGATATTTTTTTCTTTCTTTTTTTTGAAAAGGAGGCATAATGAAACTCAGTATCAATAAAGACATCAACATTGAAAAAAGGAGAAAAGAAAATCCATAAATCTCCTTTAAGTAAAAATGAATGATCGGGGGTTGTTTCATGCACAAAGAACGGAAATCCCACCTTTCAAACATAATCCATTTTATGTCTCATCCTCGTCTCATTTAATTTCCCTCAGAAAACGCAATGCGCCAGAAGTAACACGATGATTTTCGCTTACCTTCCTTTTTTTTCCTCTCTTTTCTGTTATGTTACATTTGTAAAATGAATTTCGTGTTTCTGTTTCTTTTTTCTGATGACAAACAATCGGAGATGGAAATTCACTTAATTCTTGATACTCAGTGATGGGAAAAAATTTGTTTATAAAAAGTCGGGGAAGATTTTAAATTGAGTTTTCAGTCTAAACCAATTTTCAAACATATTTGATACCATTTATAAAAGATACAACTTTACGGATGTATTGAATCATCTTTTAGTTTTAATAAAAATTAAATTTTCTCTTTATGTTTTGTGGCATTTATAAATTTATTATTAAGCATACTTAGCCACATAGCCTATAAATGTTTGGGAGATTTAAAAAGCAAAATCGACAAAAAAACGAAAAGGTTTTTAATCCGAACACAAAGTTCATTAAATTTTCAACAAGTAGAAAACCATAAAATTGAAATTGTTCTTTAGAAATTTTTATCTCATGTGGGACAAGATAAAATGGTAGTAGCATGAAGGGGGATAGCTTAAACTTTGTCATTGTTTTCCTATCTATTGGAACGCTTTTCACCCAAAGCAAAATAGTTTTAATAGTTTTTCAACGCTTATGCTTCTTCTTTCATACAACCACAAAGTCCATTTAAAACTCAAAAACAGTTTTCGAGTTGACGAAGACAAGATATACGTACAGATGTATAAAACTGTGAATGGTAGTAAAGACTAAAAATTTAAATGCAGTTTAATTTATCATTTGAGTGCTACTGAGACATGAAGAAGCTCAACATAAATTATTAATTTTAATTTATTTTCAAGGAATATCTGAACAAAATTTGTTAGAAAGTTGAATTACATGCAATGAGTTAGAATCATTAAATTTTTGTGGTCATAAAAGTTACAAGACTCTTTCAGTTTATGAAACTTCCATACTTTTATTGTGCCAAACAATGTTTTCGATCCAGTCAAGGTAATGATAGACGTTTGCATAGACACCAGCAGTTCCAATCGTTCCACATTTCCTTAAACCGAAACTTACAAGACCGATTTGTGTGTAGGTGCAGTATGGATCGTTGTTATATATTTGAAGAGGTCCACCTATCGATAAAATTCTTTTTTTAGAACAAATTTATTATCTAACAAATTCTATTCTGACCTGAATCACCATTACAAGAATCTTTACTTTCTGAATGATGTCCATAACAAATCATTGAGTCATTTGTTATTGTAACCCTTGTACCGAAAGGTTCTTGACAAGCTTCTTGTGAAAATCTGTCCAAAGTCACTTTCAACAGATCTTGTGAAGCTGATTCTGTCGCACCTGTCTTACCAAACCCACTCGCTACAGCTTTAGCTGGTGTTAAAGACAGCTGTGGCAAACAAATTGGTAATATTCTCTCACTTAAGGGAACAAAGGTATCAAGTTTCAGTAATCCAATGTCATTTGTTAGCTTTTTTGGATCGTATTCTGGATGTTTGAATATTTGATCCACATTGAATAAATGTGAGTTGCCATCGTTTTGCAATCTGGAAATGATTCCCATTTTGACGAACTTAACAGCACCATAGCCCCGGGGGTAAAGACAATGAGCTGCTGTAAGAACAAATTGAGGTGAAACCAAAGAACCTCCACAAGCATAGTCTCTTGGCTCTCCATCAGCGTAACCTAATAATGCCATGTGGGGAAATTCTCCGTCCTTGTAACAACATAACGAAATGAAAAATATGTAAATTCAAGAAAAGAATCGAAGAAGACGAAAGAAAAGATTTCGAACCGTTACACGTTCACCACCCACTATCAGTGATACAGCTTTGTGCATACACTTATCAATTCTCTTAATTGTTGGTTTCTCTCCAAAGACATACGATGGTACTGTCACATCATCATAAACATGTTTTCCATATTCTCGACATTCTAAAAGCAAACATACGAAAATCATTATTGTGTGAGGTTGCAACTGAACGGGCAAAGTTCAAACTCGCTTATTTCACTGATTCTCGTTTCCCTTGGAGATTTTGTTGCCGTTGTTGTGTCCATTTGATCTGAAGTTACTTCATTTAGAGGACAGCAAACTGTCCTTTCTCGAGCTACACAAATTGTTGGAGGATTCGAACGAAGCTTCCTGCTAACATACAAATTCCAGATTGAATGACAATCACGAATATTTATGCAGATGCCTGGGCTATTGTTTTCTCTTATTGTGCAAGATAAACCTACGGAAAATTCAATTTAAACAAAACATTTGATTGGTTGCTTTTATTCACCTAAAGAACTTAACGAAGCCCTGTCAACTCCAACAAAAAATAAAAGCGTCAAAATATTGACGCGTAGAATCATGTTGAAGTGATGCTATGAAATGAATCTGTTAGAAAACATTAATGTTATCAGCCCATAAATTTTATATTTCATCAAAATTCTCCATAATAAAGAGATTGTCGTTGTAAAACTTTAAAAGCTTTTTACATGTGTATTCAGTTATTGATTTCAAATATACGTAAATGAAACTGAAAAACTGAAAGAAAATATTTTATTGAAACAAATCAAAAATGTTTTGACACATCTATTTGTATTGAAATGAAATTTCTGTAGTTTTTCGAGCAATTCTCATTAATCTAAACACTTTTATCAATTCTCGTGTTGATGACTTTTTACCCTTTCATGTGCAAGTTTTAATAGAAATTTAAATGATTTTTCGTATTGAACCTTTTTTGTTTTTCCTTTTTACTTCGTGATGTTTCAGTGATGGAAAAGTCTATTTTATCCAACATAAGAAGTCCATTTTTTCTAAATCAATTTTGAGATAATGAAATGTGATGAATACTGAAATTTAATGAAAGTTTTATGCAAATAAGCTTACGAACGTTGTCATGCCTCATGTGTCATGTGGCTTCATTTTGTAGCAAATTTCTTAAGATACTTCTTGATTGTTTGTGTACACAGAAGGATTAACTTTAATAATGCAGAAGATAATTTTCTTCGTTTATAAAATATTTACATTCGCATGATATAATTTATGCAAAGGAAAATATGTTTCTGGAATATTCATGAGAATTTTTCGCAAGCGCCGTATGAACACTTTACCACGAAAAAGATGGGAAAATATTTCTGTCTGAAAGTTTTCTTTTCGCGAAAGATTACCGCTTGAGTCTTTAACATAAGAAAGTAATTTAGTCGTATAATGAGATTAGAAGACTTGATAAATATCATTTGAGTTCATTTCGTGCTGTTCTACATTTTCACCCAGCTTTTCCTTAAACTCACTCTCAAGTGTTATTTGATGGTTCAAAAGACATTTTCTCGCGGCATTATGAATATTCGTGTAACACGTAATACATTGGCGCTAAGCATCAAGTTTAACAACATCAAACCCTACAACATCGTCATCAACACATTTTCCTCCAACGACAGATTAAAACGTATTTTGAGGATTATAGGATAATATGCAAATGATGTTGGTGACGAAATTATTCGCATTCGCTTATGTTTGTCATACTGGGTATGTTCTTAGTTAAAACTTTTGTCGAAAAATTAATTTTCTCGGTAATCAAATTTCCACAACGAAAAAGTTTCAAAAGCAATTTCTTTTATCACGTTGAACTCAATTAACGCAGCAACTTAAGCACCATAATTTATATGTAATGACTTTGTATAAAATTTATTCTCTTCTTCTTTTAAATAAGATGTTCACTTTGTTCGCTCCGCTCGCTTCCACCATTGTCACTTAAGTGTGAAAATGTTTGCTGTAATTGTCATTAAATTTATCTCTTAATTGAATTTTTGTTAGCACTTAACGATGTCATTTTGACTTTGCTTTGCTTTAGGCAGTGAATTGTATATTTTCGCAGATGATTAAAAATCATCAGAAAATTCTTCCTAAAATGCTGAAAGTGTGAAATACCAACACAACATGCACGTGCGGCAGGATGAAAACACAACAAACATCACAAGTTTTGTCATTTGATGTTTGCTTAAGGTTCAAATTCCGTTGTTATTCAAATTGTCTTTATGCAAATATTTAAGGCCACAAAACTGAAACTTTTATCCCTTTAAAAGTAAACTTTTCACACTTAAACAACATGGACACTGCCAGTCTAAACAAAGTGCTTTTGAAATTTCACCCTCTTTCGCAACGAACGAATCCCTTCATTTAAATATTTATGAATACATACTTCCCCAGTCGACATTAGTAGAAAATGGGTATACTGAAGAGAAGCATTAAATTTCAAACTTCATGTCATGGCTGTTAACAGATGACTTAAGAATTATTCCGAAACTTTCTCACAAATAAACAACCGCCATTCACAGAGATCTTGCTGTTCTAACTAAGAAATGAATCTTTTTATTCTTGATGAAATTTTTTTGCCTTCAGAGGTTTGCTAAAAGACCTTAGAGAGAAAGCTTTTTGTTTTCAAATTGCTTTATTTTCACAAGAAACCAGAAAAAAAATTTTGTTCTCAAGAATGCAAACCACACAGATATTTTTAATTTATTCTAAATCATTTACCGTTAAATTATTAATTGAAAAGGCGCTCATCAAAGATCTACGAAACATTTGAATGAAGAAAATTTGTTTTTGATCGCAAATTTAGAGTTTTCTTTCTGAAATCATCTATAAAAGTTTATCTTTTTGCTTTTTCGTACGTATGTGAAATAAAATATTATTATTTGCATTCATAAAATCATCATTTTTCTTTTTGTAAAATTCATGATACAAACGAGAGCTGAAAGTAAAAGCAATCAAGATGAAAAACTCATGTAACATTTCAGTACTTTATCAAACAGCCGCAAGTTTCTTGCATGAATTTTCTCATCAATTTATTGGAGGGAAACTCAAAAGCAATAAAAATTCAAATGTAAAGCTTTTAGGCGTTCATGCGGCATACAACATAGAGAAAAGGAATTCAAGCGTTTTGAAAAAGAAGTCTTTTTCTTTTCTTAGGGATCAAAATATTGATAAATGTTTGGAAAATTTCATATTTCTGCCTTCGAGGGTTCTTCATATTGCACATCACGTTTTCATTCACGAACAACCCGAAAACATACGTTGAGATTACATTTTGTTTCTTTCTCGACCTGACACTGCTGGTCATCTTGAAACGTGAACGAAATGTAGCATGAAAAGGTTGAATTTGTATATTTTTTCTATGTTTTGGTTTTTCATTAAATCGATTTGTATTGTTCTAGATTTAAACGTGGCAAACGAGACATTATTGCATAAGAGAGACTTTAAATAAATGTGTTTAGTTTCAGGAAAAGATTCAACTCGTTTCATATTATTAATAATAAATAATGAATGTCTTTCTACTTTCAAAATACGAAATACAATTGAAAATGAAAAATTTATTTCTGAAAAGGTTAGATGGCAATTTACATGAAGATGAAGATAAGAGACGAGAATTGCTCAAAAAAATCTTATTTGTGAAAAAGACAGAGTGATGGAATCGTATGCGGTAAATTGATTCAAAATCTCTTAAGAACTTTTATTGAGAGCATTTGAGATATATCTACAAATATCCCAATGGATTGTCGAGTGCGTCGTATCTTTTTTTCTCGTTGAAAATATTCCACAAGTGTTGAAGCAAGCAACAGGAAAGCAAAATTGCGCCACGATAATCTTTATTGGCTTGCGTTCAAATATCATCACTTCATGATACACAATGACGCTTCATGGAGATATTTCATCTTTATTAGCTTTCAAGCATCTTCAACAATGGAAAGTCTGCTCTCAGCTTTTTGAGATGATGATTCTTCTTTTTTCTTTCCCTTTCCATGCTACTTGTTTAAGAGAACGAACTTTTTTATTATGTTCTAGCAACAAAATACGAAATTTTTCATTCTTTACTCACTTTAATGATTCAAATTTGTTTTGATTTCGAAATGAGAAAAACAGGAAACGATTTAAATCGACATAAAAAGCTAATTATTGATTGATTGTAATTTATATTATTGAACGAATGTCAAGCCGATTAGCATAATTCAAGTATATAAATAAATTTATCAAAAATATCACAAATTTCTAAGTGGAATTGAATTATTTTAATATTATGTAAGTATAAGCTACATATAGTTTGAACTAAAATTTTTTGATTTATTTTGCAGAAAATTGTTCAGATTTCAATGAAAACTAATGCAGGATTATTGTAGATTAATATTCGTTCTCAGTATTTATTTTAAAGTTCTATTTCCATAGAATGAAATTTTTCCAACTAAATACTTAATGAAGGAAATAGATTTATTTTTCAATTCTTAAAGAATGGAACTGGCTTTTATCGTAAATTTTCCCATCATTTATTGGATATAATTATCGATGAAATACAGAAGACTTAAATAAATATGCTTCGATAAACATTTCGAATTGTTTATATTTATACTGTGATCAAATAGCAATTTCTAAATTAATTTAATCGAAAATATCGTTCATTCTGTCGTCCTTAAAAACGAATTATCTCATGAAAGACAATCATTTAGTTTTATACGAGAGTTGCGCAAACATGTTCTCGTTGGCTTTGGATTCTATTCAACCTTTACTTATTCTAACAAAGTTATTCGGTTTTAGCTTTTTCACTTTGGATGAAGATACTTTTGAAGTGAAATTTGCTAAAGTTGACGTCTTGTGTGTACTTTTTAATCTGGTGATAGAAGGAATTATTCACATTAATTATTGGGGAGCATATTTTTATCTGCCGAATACATCAGAAATTGTCAACATCGTTCTTCCTTCAGTTGCTTACCTGAATTGTTGTGTGTTGCTTTTCTCAAAAGTTTGGCTATTTTGTAATCGACACAAAATCAAAGTTTTCTTAAGGCTTTTGTGTGGTATTGACAGTGATTTCGAAAACTTAAACTTCAAATTTGATTATAAAAAGCAACGCCATTTTGTCATTAAATTGATGGTTCTTGTCATCTTCATTTGGACAGTGTTAAGTCTATCAACTTTGATTTTTCATTCATATTATCACTACATGGAAGTGAAAACTTACAATTGCTTCATTCTCTTTATGTGGGCATTTTTTCTTAACATGGTTTTGATAAGTCAATTCTTAGTTTTTATTTTTGCGATCAGAGATAGATTTATAGCAATAAATCACATGATCAGGTGAGTTTATTAATAATAATCTTCCATAAATTCTACTCAATGATTTTAATAAATGTTTGCAATATTAAAGGTCACAAGGTGCAAAACAAAAGTTGATTGTGCAACTTGCAGAAATTCGGATCAAACTTTTTAAAACTTGCACTCTCATTAATGAAGTTTTTTCACCCACAATGATCTACCCGTTAGCTATGAATGTTTGCTTGGTGTGCCTATTTATATTCAATACGTTCGTGAGCTTTAAAGATATTTGGAGGAATGAAATTTTGTTTATTGCAAGCGCGAGTTGCCTTAAACTTCATCAGACAGTTTCAATTGTTTGTCTTATGTGGGTTTGTGAAGCTACGCTAAAGGAAGACCAGAAAATTCTCTACAATCTCTTTGAAAATCTAGTGAAGACGCAGGAATGCGAGAAAAGTCAAAAGGTAACAAATTTACAACATAAGATTATTATATTAATTATTAAAATTATTTTCATAGCAAATTCTACAATTTACTCATCAAATTAGCAACATGAAAATTAAATTCTCTTGTGGCCTTTTCGAGTTCAATTGGAGACTTTGCTTTCAGGTTCATAAATTCTCAAAAATTGATTATCTTTTAAATTTTTTTAATTTGATTTCATCAATAATGTTTACATATGTAGATGATCAGCGCAGTTGCGATGTATTTCTTCATTTTGATACAATTGGAAAATGCAATACCAAAGAATGTTTAAATAATAAAATATTTTATGAGCTTTTGAAGATAATCAAATTGTAATTCCTAGGAGAAACATCATCAAATCGAATGTCAATCAATAAACATGTGTCTATATTTATTAATCAATTTAAACGATTAAAGTCACTTAGATAATCAGTCAGCTGTCAACTTAGGAAGAATGTTCTGAAAGACAAAAGGTAAACAAGGACAGACAAGGTGGCTAGACAAACTTTAACTACATTCCTTTTATAAAACCACATTCATAGATACCTTTTTCATAGTCTTATTTATTAAGTAAACATTAAAAAGCAAAAGAAAATTGATTTTTAAACAAGCAAATAGAAAACGACAGCCGTCACATTAGAAATAATCATTCATAAACAAATTTACTGTCATCTCAAGGTTAGCGGCTGTTTATAATTGTCTAGTTGCGAAGGAAGAATCATGTGAATCGAAATCGAAATTTCGATTGAAACAAATCACAACTTTAGAGGGAAGAGCTCCATGAATTCGTCTGATGAGAAAGCGCGAACATTTTTTCCAAATTTGCCATTGACCTTTGTGTTCACATAATAAATTGGATAACTTCTTGATAGCTTTTTTGGCTTTTCGTCTTTACTTTTTTCCTCTTCTTTTGGTTTTGGTTCAACTGTTAAAAATATTTGAAGAGAAACATTAGGAAATGTCTACTTGCAGTTTATATTTACAAAGCTAAATATGATGTTTTTAATGTGCTTGAAGGCCTTCGTCCTCCCCCTCAAGAAACAACAAACGATTAAAAGTCAGTTTTCAAATATCCAACAATAAATTTTAAGCTTTATAAATAAACTATTTGCTTTACTCATCCTTCTTTGTTTTACCTAACAAATGTTCATTGAGTTGTTGAATTTTCATGTTTATCTCCGAACTATCACTTTCCAAAGCTTTGGAGATGACTTCAGTAGCCACAAATGCAATAATGAAGAAGCAAACGAGTGTGGTCTGTAAATTATGTCGAACATATAATTAAAGTTATCGTGCAGATATAAAACATTTATGACTTACTTTTGAATTCATATTGAGTTGATTTATATTCCCAAAAAAATATCTCGAAGAAGTTTGAAACTTTTTTTAATCACTTCAGAATTTATTATCTCTTAAAAATCAAAACCTGTCAATTGATGATCTTTAAATTTTTGAAAACGGCAACACATGGACGACCGACTATCTTGAGGACTAAATTAAGACTGTTAAGATTTGGAGAATGAAACTGAATGCTTTGTTGTTCTCTTTAAACAATCTTAAATCTTACGACACCTGTTTGAGTGTAAATCAAAAGCGAAAATATAAAACGAAACATTTATGGCAATCATTTGACGCAGATCGATGCTGAAATTTAAACAGTGAACAACAACAAAATATGAAAAATGACAAAGCAGCAAAATTGTATCCATCACTTTTGTGAAACTTGTGTGCTTCATCAACGCGTGTTTGTTTTTGTATTCTCAGTATCGTTCACCATATGATTTAAGAAAAGAACGCCTCCGTGTGCATAGCATTGTTGACCGCAAATAGTTTTAAAATTAAAAGTTTAAATTTTACAACGTTTAAAGTTATAAATTATTATACTGCTTGGCCTTGTAATGCCACATCTGATAATATCCGTAACTTTGGTGATGTCTGTGGTCAAAAGAAGAATTTAACTTGAAGCTTTTAAAAGATTTTAATTTAAAAACTTTGGTCAGTAAATTGTTTAGTTAAAGAATATTCTGACTTAACAGTCTGCACACACTGAATGATTAACACAAATATTTGGTCTTTTGTTTCATTTGATTTTATTTGGATCGCATGCAATATTTTTAATAATCAACTACAAAGTTTTTATTCAAAACTTTAGCACAAAATCTTCTATTTAAAGACATAATAATATTGAGGTTCTACTAAATCAGCATCACTATATTGAATATAATAAACAGGTTGAGCACTAATAGGCGCTACTTGTCTTGCACCATTAAATGCTTGCAATTTTTGAGAACGAATTAATTTAGAATTCTTACGACGGAATTGAGTTGCTTGAAGTGATCGTAACTCTTCAGCATCTGAGTTGATGGTCGTTGGTTCGTCAGTTGGTTCTTCAGTTGTGATTTCTTCAACATCTTCAGTAGTTTCTTCTTCAGGTGGACCATAGCTATCAGTCGGCTTAGGATAATCGTATCCATTTGAAGCTTGATCTTCTTGTCTAGCAAATTGTCGGAATCTCACCGGAACTGGTAATCTCAATCGTTCTCCAGCTGGTGGATCATAATTGTAGCCTTGGCTAGATTCTGGTTGTTCTTCTACCTCTTGTCTAGCAAATTGTCTGAAGCTGCTTCGTCTTCTTGGTGGTTCAGCATTGATACAGCTGACAATATAAGCAAAAGCGATCATTTTAATTACAAACATTTTGATATTATTAGTTGTATCGTTATTCTTAATGAAACAAAAACTGATGGCTTCTTATCACTTACAGTGCGTTTTATACCAAAACACTTTGACTATTTTACTATTCGATCAACGTCCAATACAATTTTGACGAAACGTTTTTATTGACTATGCATTTTAAAATTATTAATCGTGACTGTGGCATTGGAAGAATTAAAAAGGCAATCACATATATTTTGCTCTTGATTTTTCGCTTTTAGAACTGACCAACGACAAAAGACAATACCGGCATGCACATAATTTGTTGACCTTTAATTATTTGTGTTCATATTGAAAAAGTAAATTGTCTTCATGTTGCCACGGATAATGTAAAGAACAACTGAGAACCAACATATTTTTATTTGGCACCTGAAAAGTAGTTAAAAATACTACAAAGTATAAGAGTCAATGACATTCAAAACTGTTAATGATATTCAAGATTCGTGCTTGATATTTTAATGAAGTCATATCTATTTTATTCATGTTTCACTACACCTACAACTGAACATAAGTATTTTTCAATTCATTCATTTAATCATCTCAGGTGTTTGAACATTCAAACAGTTAAATTGCCATTAAAGGAGAAATGAATGACCATGACAATGATTTCAAATAAATCTTAAAAGTTTCAACTATTTATGAAATAGAATTGTTCAAATTGATTAATTTCTTAATATATTTATTTCTATTTTTAAGGAATGCTTCAGGTTAATGTTGACGAAAACGCACGTCATCTTCATGAAGGATTTTAATCTTCTTGTTTCTGTCGTCTTCTTACACGACACAAAAATTTTTCATGTTTACAGATGCACGTCATGTCTAAGTTAAATCAAAATTTTGACATTTATGACATTATTTCAAAGCTTCAAGCAAATGAAAGTAATTCCTTACATCCTTCTCATAGTTAAACGCATGATGGAGAATTATTAGGGCCTACCACAGTAGTGTCCCAGAAGACAGTCGCACTTCTGAAATTATATTTGAAATTGTTTTTAACCGAAGAGAATGAAGAGAAGAATTGTAGAAAGAAATTTTGTTAAGATTCCAGAATTATTGCACGAATCTTTACTCATGTCATTCAATCAGTTCAGATAATTGGACAGACAACAGGCAACTGAGAATTCCCTTAACGTATAAAATATTAAAAAGTAGAAATAACATTTCGAAGAATTTCTTTTAATGTTTTTGCAATAAGAATTTGCATTAAATGTATGGAAGCTTTAAACACATCCCAAAGTTTGACAGACAACATCAACCATATCCTGTCACTACAAGCTCAATAATCCTTTGGGAAATTTTTTCGTTTCCGTCCTTTCTTTCCAAGCAAGAGAAGGAAAACTTCAGGAAATCAATATCTTTGCTTATCGCATAGCAAAATCGTTTTTGAAATAAAATCTATGGGAAAAAATTCTAATCTCCATGTTTCTCATTATTCTTTGAGATTTTTTCAGGAGACTGAAAAATTCTTTTCTCATCTCCATAGCATATTCTGCATACAAATATCTATCAGTAGATGCTTTTTATTCTTTCGTCTGCCAAATGAAATATTTCAGTAATCATCATAAGATGAAAAGATAACAAAAAAAAAGGAAAAACCAGTAAAAAATGTGGCAAAACAAAAAAAAAATGAATCGGTTTAAGCAAATCGTGTATTCATGTTGTGTAAACTCATGTATGGGAATCGGGGAATGAACACGAACATATTCAAATGCAAACCCTTCATTTAGCTGAAGGCTCTCAATTTAATCCGTGCGATCAAGGAGAGAAATTGCAAATGACAGACAAGCGACGATGAAAATTATTTACGAGTTGATATTGTTCCATTAAGAGTTCGAGTCACGAGCGAAATTCGTTTTGTAAGCTTAGCTTAACTCTGGCGAGACAATGGGAAAAAAATGAAAGACGAAAAAATAACTAAAAGCGATAAAGTGTAGAGAGAATATTCCATCAGACATCACAAGTGTAAATACATTTTTAACATTAAGGATAGCAATTTTAACCTGCCAGTTGGATGTCCATATCACATATTTGTAATTTTTAACGATTATTTATGAGAACTCTCTAAGTGAAATGTTTGGAAGAGTAAAGCCACATAGATATTCAATAAGCTTCTTCGTGTCCTTTCCATCTTTTGTGCGAGAGGCACCATTGGAATTCTATAAGCAGCTTTTCTTGTATGAAACATCCATTTATCATGCTGTTCCCTTTCACATCCAACATTCCCGCTCTAGAGACTTAATTTGTATTTTGTGTATTATTTGTCGGATGTTGTTTTCGCCGGTTCGTGCTGTTCACATTTTTCCATGTCTTCGTCTTTCGATTTCTTAACTGTGACTATTTTCAAACGACTAAATTTTTCCGGAAAATATCCTTTTTGTGTCTTGTAGAATAAAAAATTCATGTTCAGCTATCAATGCTGTCTCTGGAGGTAAATAAGTAAAGCCAAATATTGATAACAATTCAGAAAATGGCAATCACTCATTATTTATTTCTACGACATGTTAGACAATTCAATTAAAACATTAAACTCAATTCTATTTTGAATTTGATATAAAATTTAAATTTTCCATTATTTTGCATAAACACATTAAAAATGGAATAATTGAAGTTAATTTTACGAGATTACTTCGCAAGTTGAGCATTATTTATAACAGCAATTAGACTTAAGAGTTTTCTATCAACAATTTATATTCAAGACATGAAATGGATAAACATATTAATGTTAACTAAGTAGTTGCTTAAAGCTTCAGTCTCCATTCTTCTTTTTTGAGTGTTGATAAAACACTAATGGAATGTAAACTCGTCTTATCTTGTATAAAAATAAAGTGTTTAGTATTTGAAAGCGAAGATGGACACGTAAGCCATTCGGGGTATGTTTGTGTTGCGATTATACCATAATCTCTAAATGGATCATTCTGTCAACAATCTTCCATTATTGAGGGACCAAAAATACTGAAATTTTCTTCTGAATAAGAGTAATTTATTGAGAAGAATAAAGAAATTTATAGTTCCATTGTAAACAGTAAAAGTCAGGATTAAAATTCAAAACTTATCTATTATTATGCTTCTAATAGAATGAATGGATGGATAAACCGAAACAATTTTCTTTTCGAATAAAAAGTTGACGTGTCGATATCAATTACATCTCCGATAAAAGTTAATTGAATTTGACATGACTTATAAATCACTTCGGCTTTTTTTTTCGTTTGCCCCCAGAAGTAATCAGAAATTGATGGTGTTTTCCCCTAACACATAATGTGCAATATAATTTAATTTTCTCTTCTATTTAGCAGAAAAGGAGAAGAAAAGTTCAGACTTTAGTCAAGTGTTCGAATTGGCAGTCGACCGGAGAAAGAAAGCGTCATCAATTATTCATTGTCTGATTTTTTCTAACCCGGTAATTTGGTTTTAAGTTAATTAATTAGCAGCAGTGTTTGAAACGTTCAGTGAGATTTTGTTGACTCTTAATCTTCGGAGATTCGTAACAAATTGGTAATTAGAAGAAGAAAAACGATTAGTTTTAGTTCTACTTTTATCTTACCCTTATCTGTACATAGTCACGCAGTGTTTAGATATCAAATCGTTATCTATTTCATCACAACTTTCTATGAAAAGGGAAATAGACACTTCTAATTGAAGTATAAATATAGGAGTAATTATTACTTTTTTATTTAGAACTAAAATCCTTTTTTCATTACACATAAGGAGCAGCATGATTGTCAGGAATTTCGCCATTATTTTCTTGAGCAATTTCATTTTTATCTGATGGATCAATATGAGTGTTTGTACCACTAAAAGCTGATATAAGAAAATTTGTAATTGTTATCATAAATACGCCATACATGCTGACGTTATTGCATTTTGTTGCTGAAGCCATGTCAGACCTTCTCTTTAAACTGTGACTGTTTGAATAGAGTAGAATTAGTCCTACAAACATCTGCAGTAATAAAGAACTCATAATTAAAGCAATGCAGGTGTAATAATAAGGATGAATATTATTCATGTCCAAAACGTAACGTAATTGATTGCAATTGGCAGAAACCAAAGCCAAATCCATCATTCCTTGTGCAAGATTTTTCTTTTGAACAAAACTTTGAACTTCTCCACTGTTGACTTTCGTACGATCATAATGAGGAAAATTGCGGTTGTTCATTTCAACTTTATCGTCTGACAAAGATGATAATTTGGATAATTTATAACTTTCAAGAATAGTTTTATTCTATGTACCGTCATCACTCTCATCTCCAGTCAACCATATCCCTTCAGCTTTTATATCATCCGCTTTTGTGACTCCATCATCAGGTGGAAGGAAAGGAAATTCCTTTTTCAGCATCTCACAATATTCCTCACTATTAGTCACTTCAACTTTCTGTGAATTGTCTTTATTTTTAAAAACCTTTGAACTTAAGCTCGAATACAGACTCGAGTAAACTTTTTTCATATCGTCTTTATCAATTTTTAAAGATTTAGCTATTTTTTCACTTGTAGGATAAAACATTCTTGACTGCATTCTTTCTCAATTGAGTAACTTAGGTAATGACAATTTCAAAGCTAAACCTTAACTGTGGAAAGCAAACAAATGATAATGACGATTGATAAAAATCTTTTTTTTTATCGATTTATTTTCTTATCTTAACGTTGAATTCTTATCAAGTAAATCTTCTTGTATTTAAAGAAGTTTTTAAGAAATTAAAAAATATCTAAATAAAATCTCTGTCAGTGTGTTGAGTATGATAAAATAAAATATTTGATGAATAATCTTCAGACATTCTCTTCGAAATGATCAATTATTGAGATTGCTTCATAACATAAAAATCCAAGTAAAATTCCAAAACTTATGAAGAATGACAAGCAATGTTTTCGGTTAATTGTTTCCTGATTCAATTTACAACAGCAGTTAATCACCAATAGCATTTTGACAATGAATTGCAGGATAAATCCAACGATAATGAATGATAAGCTCAGGTATAAGAATTGTCGTTCTTCTTTTGAGGCCAACAATCGAATTAAATCTTTAATATTGAAAGCCAAAAGAGCAAAATTCATCAATGCATGTGAAATATCCATAAAATGATGACATGTTCCGATATTCTGCATTGGACATACTAACTCTTGACTCGGAAATTGGTTGGAAAAAGGCTGAAATTAGGAGTTTTATGAAAAATCTTTTTGGTGGTTTAAAATTATCAAAATTTACCATCGTCTGAGTATGAGTTAAAGGATCGTCTCCTACAATAATTTCTAGAGCATCTCCACCATTTAAGTAATTATGTATGGGGTGTTCACATCGAATGTCTGTTGGGGACCTTTGATAACGATATCTTCGGTCATTGTCAGATAAGTTTGAAATATCTGACAAAGTTCCATTCACAAATGAACTTAAATATTCACTTGATGATGAACTGCAGCTTGAGTCACTTTCAATAACATTTTCCAAATGAGATTCTTCGATTGGTGAAAGTTCACCAGAAGTTGTATCAGGAAGAAATGGTCGAATGTCATCATCACTAGACGAAGAGCCGCTGTCATTACAAATCACCACTCGCATTCTTCTGATTGAGAGTTTATTCACTAAATTTTCACGACATTAAATATTTAATGTTTAATTATAGCATAAAAATATGATTCTCACCTAATCTTCTTCTCCTTGAATTTAAAGTTGGCTTAATTATTTTCATTTCACTGAATATTGTAATCGTCTAGTCACAAGAAACTTCTAAACATGAATGACTTAAATTTGAAGCAAGCAATGAGATATTTTTTAAATAATTTTGAATGTTTATCTGCAATCGTTATGTACTTTAAGATTTTGTTATCTCTTTCTGAATAACTACAAAACTAGTCAGAGAAGTGGGAAAGGTTCTTAAGACTGTTATCACTTGGTAGACAAACAAACTTCTTAAGATTTACAACATTTTTCAAAAATGAGCACTACACAATTCTTATTTAGCAGCTCTGACTTCGGCTACACCAAAAGCTGATATAAAAACGTTAATTATAGTAATGAGAAGAATGGCGATTGTGATGAGATTGTTAATTCGATCAGCCTTACAAATATCTTCTTTATCCTTCACATTATATCTGGAGTTGAGGACGAGGCCGATTCCTACAAGAACTTGGAAAATGAGACTCGTAACTATAAAAGTGACACTGAAGTAGTAATACGGATGTCGATCATAAGATTCAAGAACGTATCTGAAAATGAAAAATAAAAAATAATTTTCGTATAAAAATTCTTTTAAGATTTTTACCTCAGTTGATTTGCATTTGCTGATAAAAGTGCCAGATCCATCATGCCTTGAGCTAAGGTTTTTTTATGTTGGTAGACGTTAATATCAGGAATGACTCGAGGTTGGTCAGAAGGTAATGTCACCTGAAAAATTTAATTTGAAGTTGATGTGCGTGATTATAATAAGAAAAAATTTTACAACTCCAGGTCCGCCATAATCAGGTGGCGCATGTGGAAACACTCCTGGGATAGATCCTCGATGAGGCTTTTCACCATTTGTTTTCGGTGTTTCTGGCAAAGGATTTTTTTCTTTTCTTCCTTCAGAGACATTTCCTTCGTCAAAGAATCCGTCATCTATGCCATGAGTTGGCAAAACATTTTCTCTGTCATTCTCATCATCATCTATTTCCGGACCTTGATTATTTAATACAATGTCATTTAAAGTTATTTGAAGCACATTGTTGTTCAGATTTTACCAGCTTTAGGTGGTTTTTGTCGTGGCAGAGCAGCTTCAGGTATTAATGGAATCGCATCACGACTTGCTGCATCAATATCGCGCGTCGTTCGATTTCTCTGAATTCAATTCAATAAATTTCTTTCTTATTTTTTCGTACATAATTTTTATACTCACCGACGGAGATCGACTTTTAGGTGAAGGAGATCGTCTTCTATTTCTAGGTCTATTCTGATTGTTTCTATCAGATGATTTATTTGACTCCTTCTTCATATTAATTGTAACGTGACCGTCTTTCTCCATTGTTATAAAATCGCTAACTAAACAAGTTTGAAGTCAATAGGAAGTTGATGAGTAAATTTCTTTCTGCTTCAGTTCATCAACCTTGAACGCAGTGTAATAAACGCAATAAGTACCACAACAAGAATTGAAAATTCACCGATCTTATTCGGGAGAAAATCTGACAAAATGATCTGATACTTGTTTATTTTTGTGTCTGAAACTCAAGTTTCTCTTTTTCTGCTGAACTTTGAAGTCATTCTCTTTGCATGACGTCATGAAAAAAACATTTTGTAAACACAAAGGAGTAAAAGAAATCAATATTCGTTCACTGAAACTTTATTTGGAACAGATTTTTAGTCATTCAAAGACAAGTTAAAAACAGATGTTGGAATTGTTTATTGAATTGTCTAAACTAAACTTTTACATTGATGAAAATTTCAAATACTTTTAATTTCTATCTTCACTTTTCCAAAATATTTATGATTGAAACTTATTGCCGGAATATTTTCATAAAAATATATTACAGAAGTGAGAATGTTTTCGCGGACATAGAGAGACTGAATAAGTAAAACCTTGAAATATAAACAAGTTAGAAACATAAAAAATAAGTCAACGAGAGACTCAAGAAACTCAAACACGCGAACTCAAACAAAACAACTCTCAAATGAGCATCAAATTGAGAATTAAAATGTAAAGTATTTTAAGTGGGAGATGCTTAATCGATAAAAACTTCTAGTAGATATTTGTATAAAGAAGAATTGTTGGAATGTTTGACTCATGTTTAAAGATTAAAAAAAATTTAATTTGGAAGTCCAAACCCTGGAATAGCAACATTGACAGCTGTGATAATGAAAGTTAAAACAGTAATACGATCATTGATTTTATCAGCCTTCCGAACGTCATCACCATCCATGATGTCGTAGCGACTGTTGAGTGCCAACATGATTCCCAAAACTAATTGTAGAAGAATACTGATTATCACCATCGTTAAGGTCACGTAAAAACTCGGACTTCCTGATGATATCATTGAAATGATATGCTTAAGTTGGTTAACATTCGTGACCAACAACGCAAAGTCCATCATTCCAGTGCCAATTGTCTTTTTATTTTGATACATGTTAATGTCTGGTGCGTTTTTTGAAGAGAATTCAGATGATTTTTTCTGTAAAATATTCTCCGATTAAATATTTACACTATAAATTTAGCAGAACGCTCTGAATGTAAACAGCTTACTCCTGCTTCATTTTTCACAACTTCGCTATCTCCGGAAACATCGATAACTGCTGGATTAGCTTCTGAAGACTCGCTAAGTAAAGGTTCTAAGTTTATGTTGCCACTTTTCTTTCTTCCAGAATCCTCCTATTTTTATGAATTACGACCAAGAACTCAATTTTAGAAACTATAAACTTAACTCTGATAACTTTTACCTGCTGAGAGTTTTTCGCGATTGTCTCGGGCAAATTCGAAGATTCTCCTTCCATTTTTATTTTTCTTAGCTTTCCGTATGAAAAATATTGCCTTGAAAAACTTTCGTAAACGGGAAGTCATAAACAATTACACGAAAGTTTTAAGAAAATGTGTTTACAAACCAGAGGAAAATATTATCTCAGGTAGAAATCAAACTAATTAATCTTTTCGATTCAAAGATCTTGATGTAACTAAATTAAAAGTCGCGAAAAAGTGCAATAAAATGATTTCTCAACCTATTCGAACTTTGAACAATTTCCTTAAATGTTTAGCGATCATAAAAAATGCAATTCAGATAGGCAATGCGATGTCAAGAATTTTTGCGTTCGCTGAGGTATTTTTAATTTCATTCATGATGCTGATATTGAGATTGAGTTCCACATTTGTTTTTCATTGAGGATTTGATGCTGTTCAAACTATTTCTAAACATGTAGAAGCACGAAATGACTCAAAATTGAAACAATCGACACATAATTATTTTTTTAAAACTATTTTAATGTGTAAATATAACTAACAAGTCACATGATAAGTATTCGATTGTTTGAAATTCACACAAATTTATCACTTTTTAATATCATCGCTAGAATCTACCCTGAAATAAGTAATTGGAGTATAATTGGAGCATTATTTAAATGTTAGTAGGACCCGCAGGTGCAAATGCAGATGAAACAACATTTGAAATTGTTATTAGTAAAATTCCTATCATAATAAAATTATTTATTTTATCAGATGCTTCGTAGTCTTGAACGTTTTCCATGTTATAACGACTTTTAAATACGAGTGCAATTGCGACAAGAACTTGAAGTACCAAACTCATACTTATCAAAGACAAACTGACATAAAAGTAATGATTTCGTTCGTTTGAATCTAAAATGTAACGTAGCTGATTGGCATTTGCTGACAAAAGCGCTAAATCAAGCATTCCTTGTGCCATTGATTTCTTTTGCTGGTAAAGATTTAAATTTGGCACATTTTCATCTTTGAGATTAACATCTGAGTAGAAAGTTGGCCATTGTGGGAAGAAACCTGACGGAACTATTTTTCTATTTGGCCCTTTCCGTGCCACTAAAATTCCTTCCTCAACTCCATTTGTAAGTGGCGTAAGTTCTCCATCTACTTCATCATAATCTAAAACGTCGCTAAAATCTTCATATTCTAAAAGAATGAGAAAATTATTTGTTTTTGTTTGTAAGCAGATATTTCTCTATAAATAGAAATATTTACCGGCTAATGGTGGCTCCTTCCCTTCTTTATTATTTAAAAATTCGTTTTTGATTGTGTACCTAACAACAGGTTCATCATTCGGCATCTTGTGTTAAGAATTCAATGTATCAATATTACGTTGATAAATAGTTGTTCGATGTTTGCCAAATAGTTTTTTATTTGGAATTATTGAAAACGAGTTTGTGATGTCAGAAATCTTAAGTACATGTCACATTATAATTGCGCAATATAAGAAAATATTTTTTATATTTAATAATAATTATAATCTGCTACTTTATAAGGAACACATTTGTTGACACTCAAAAATTGTGATAAAATACAAAAAAACGTGAACAAAATAAAACTTAATTTATATTCTCGTGTTGCGTTGAGACTAAAAGTTTTTTCAAACTATTCTACTTAAAGCCGAAAGAATGATTGTCGAAATCTCTCAAAATTTGAAGATTTTTCACTCAGATTTATGAGCAACTCAGAGTAAGAAGAATATTTCTGGAGCCATGAGAGTGATGATGTAAGAAGTGATAAAACAGGTCACATAACTTGGATTTTGAAGGCGTTTAAGATGGTAATGATATCACATACATTCCAGGAGTATTGCTTCAGATTACATATTTTTAATTTCTATAATGATTTAAATTAATAGATAATTAGATTTTATGGATATTGACAGATTCCTGAATGAATTTTTTTATTAATCTTTTTTCAAAAAATCAAAAGTTTTAGTAAGTTTTTATCGAAATTGATCCTTCAAATTATATTTCAAGAATTATGGAAAGTTAAAAGACATATTAAGTTTCGAAAATTTCTATTAGGAATAAAGATAAATTGTGAAGGTTTCAAAATATCTAGATAAATAGGTATATCTTAAGAAAATTTAATAAGGATTATTATTTGCATAAGTAGTAATATTTGATATTAATAAGGATTTTGTCAACTGAAGTTATCTTTGACTAAGGGTTGATTTGGCCATAACAACTATCATCGCGTCATTCTTCCGAATGATGCTGGTTCAATTCTAAGAAATTTTCTTATTCCAAATATATATTTTTAAATATGAAAATTAATTTTCGCTATGATGGTCATTATCGGGTAATTTACGACTGATGTCTATGACGATATCATTGATAACTGAGCGATTACTTTTTTGTTTCATTTTTCTTCTGTTTCAATACTGTCTGAAAACCTTTCCATACTTTACTGTCTATTTTCTCATCTTATAAACAACAATTTAAAATGGTAAACACTCTTCGTCCAACACTCTTATGAATGAAGGATAAAAATAAAAATACCTAATTGTTTCAGTCAATTTTTTTCATCTTTTCATATGTCAGAAATTTTAAATTAATGCTGTTATCTAAATAAAGAAGATTAATTAATACACCTGTTGCTTCACAAGCTTTCCATATTGTTCCAGTCCATATGACAAATCCCGAGTGACACATAAACCCTCACTTCTGTTTTGCAAAACTTTTTAAAATGCGTTCAAAACAAGAGAAAAAATTGGAATCCGAATTGAGGCGCATTGTTTACACGATGGCAAAGCATTGAGAATATGAAAATCAAAAGACTGAAAAAGAGAAACTTTTAGTAGTAGTTTCTCTTTCGTGACGAAAAGTTACTTAATAAGTTTATTTAAGAAATTTTGATAAAATTTAATTAAAATGTTTACATTAAGGAGAGTTATTCGTTATGGATTTATTGGTGGCAGTATTTTGGGGACAGGAATAAGTTTACATCATAATAATTATGATATCAGTGGTATTGGAGTTGTTCGATTCGCGCGAGCTGGTGTAGCCTTGGTAGAAATAGCGACAATTTATAGACGTGATCTTTATTATCGTGAATGGGATAAATCCACAAAAGAGTATCGGGATCAGCGTAGTAAAGCACATCAGAAAGCAGCCGATCGTATCCTTGAACTTTGTTGTCTTAATCGTGGTGTGTACATTAAAGTAGGTCAACACATTGGCGCCCTTGAATACCTGTTGCCAATTGAATTTGTGAACACCATGAAAATTCTCCACAGTCAAGCACCTTCAAATACTCTCGAAGAGATCTATAAAGTTATCCGACAGGATCTTAGGCGTGACGTAAGTTTCCAAAAATCATTTTACATTAGTAGTAAAAAGTAAAAATCGGAAATGAGCGGAGTTTGCAACAAGTAACACAACATTTGATCATTCTTCAAGATCGAGTTTTACAGTTTTTTTGAGTTTTATATTAAATATTATCTCACGTGTGCGTCTCGAGTTAAGATTTTTCATTTTGGCCAGTTTAGTCTTAAAAAACTGGTTTATCACTGTTTGTCTCAAGTTTTATTGAAATGCATAAATTTTTTGAGCGGGAAAAGTTTGTGAGTGATGAAACATCTCAAAATCTTTTGAAATCCTGAAAGAATCAGAAATTAAATCAATAATTTGATGGAAAAGACAGTTTAAAGTACAAATGATAATGAAGAGATGCAATTTCCAATTATTTCATCACTGTTAAATATGAATTCTTCTTCCTCTTCTTCTTTTGTCGCACACTCATAAAGTTTTTGGTTTACAACATCGCAATGTTTAGTTTTACATGAATGACGTTAAAAATTCCCAATCCTACCGCATGATTCACTTGAATACAACTTTCCCTTGCATAATGTCAGCAGCGTGATATCTTAATTAAATTCACAGCCTTCCGAGCTTTTTGACTCCTTTGATCCGGAACCACTCGGAGTTGCAAGCTTGGCTCAAGTACATCGGGCGACCTTGAAAAACGGAAAGGAGGTTGCCGTGAAAGTTCAGCATCATTACGTTCGTGGAAATGCTAAAGTCGATATGCATACCATGGAATATTGCATAAAGATTATGGGATGGCTTTTTTCAGACTTCAAATTCCAATGGTTGGTTGATGAATCAAAAAAGAATCTCCCAATCGAACTTGACTTTCTCCATGAGGGTAAAAACACAGAAAAGGTGAATTTATAGAAATTACTTTAATCAAATGTTTTGCTAATCGCACTTCGCTTTGTCAATATTTTAGGTTCGCAGACATTTTGAACATGTGAAATGGTTAAAAATTCCAAAAATCTTTTGGGAATTATCGACAGATCGCGTTTTAGTGATGGAGTATTGTGAAGGTGGACAAGTTAATGACCTTAAATATTTAAAAGCACACAATATTGATCCTATGGATGTTTCAAATAAACTCGGGATTCTCTATTCAAATATGATATTTTTAAACGGGTTAGTTAAAGTATAATTTGATAAACTTTGATGTTAGAATAAATTTTTTCTTGCAGTTATGTTCATTCCGATCCACATCCAGGTAATATTCTCGTCCATAAAAATAAGAAAGGCGGCACAGATATCGTACTACTTGACCATGGATTGTATGCTGTATGTGGAAGTGTTAATAATAAACATTTTGATTCCATAATTAATATTTTTAATTTTTCTAGACGCTTACGAATCGTTTCCGTTATGAATACGCTCAACTTTGGTTGAGTATTCTTCGGATTGATAGAAAAGCAATGCGACATCATGCATACAATTTGGGCATCAAAGGTGATCTCTATGGTGTGTTTGCTTGCATGGTAACGGGAAGAGCGTGGGAAGCAATTATGGCTGGTATCAGTAAGAAGAAGCCTGATAACTACGAAAGAGAACTACTGTTAACTGGTGGTGCTTTGGTTCTTCCTGACATCGCTGATATCCTTGAGAAAGTTGATCGTCAAATGCTTTTAGTACTTAAAACAAATGACTTGATTCGTGGTATTGAAACGACACTCCAGACCCATGATCGCATGACAGCTTTTTGGGTAATGTCTAAATGTTGCATTAAAACAGTACGAAATGAAGAAATATCGAAGACAGATTCTTATTGGAGAAAATTTGCATTAGTAATGCGTTCCAGCTGGTCGCTTTTCAAAATCAACTTCTTTTATGTTTATATGGGCTTCGCACAAGGAAGTTTTTATACAACAATGAAACAACTTTTCATATAGATAACGGGTTTTAATTTTATGAATACATAACTAGTTTAATTTTAAAGTTCTTCTAAAAGACAAATTAAAAAATGAAGACGCCATACCTCCTAACAAAATTCTAACTCCAAATACCTGAGAACATTTTTTCATCTTTAGAAAAACTTTTTATCCTCGAAAATTCGTGATCAATGAAAATTCGTGGCCTGATGTCTATTTGTGAAGTTTAAATTAGGTGAGAACAACGAATTCGAATGTTTATTGCTAGATTATAAATAAAAAAAATTATTTTATTCAGTTTCAATTGTTTTAATTAATATTGTTTAAAATATTTAAAATTTTGATATATTTGATGTTTATGATGATCAATGCTTTCTTTTACAGATGTAACTTATATATTCTAACACTGTATATCACCGTTATAAAATTAATATGATCAAATTTGTTTATACAAATTACGTACAGATGCATCAAAAGTACAATTTCCTGTCAAAAGATGTCGCTACCTTCACTGTTTCATGAGCAAATTCAATATTGTCAGTTGATAGCTTTATTCAAACAAAGTTGTAATTTTTTATGACAGACATAAACGTTTACTAATTTATAAATACAAAAATGAACAGAATGGATTCATCAAGGGTCAAATTTTTAAAATTGAATGTAAATTTATTCCATTTCCTCAAATAAGGTTTTTATCTAATTTCATGACAAATTTGAAATTATTTGTAGCTTTAGACTTCAAATTAGATTTAACATCACTTAGTGAAAATGTAAATCTTAAAGCTCTTTAAATAGTTTTCTTTCATTAAAGTATGAATAATCTACTTAATGCACACGAGCATTAGATTTTTTTATAGAAATTCTCTCATAAGTTATCACCTTTGAAATCATAAAATAGAATATTTATAGCTATGCAAATGATATATTGTTAGAAAAAACGGTCTCGCATGATTTGAAGTCAATTTTGGAACGAAAAAATATTATTGATGAAGGTCTGGTTAAATTACCCACTTCAAGCTCCTTTTCTTTTCAACTAATTGAAAGTGTTCTTATCTAATCGGTAAAAAATATTTGGTATGTCTATTAAGAAAACATTATTTCACCTGTTAAACGACTTACTCAATTATTCGGAAAAACAATTCACGGTTGAGTAAAAACCAAAACAAGTTACAAAATTTTGAAACTTATTGTGAAGATTTTAAGAAGCAAATGAACAAATTTTAAGTTGTAATCAAAATTTACACTTTTGAGGAATCAAAACCGAAAAATAAAAGATAAGAGAATAATATAACAAAACAATCGTCAAAGTATTCTTGACGACGACACACAAAACAGAACAATCATGAAAATTTTGAAAGATGCAAGAATAAAGAAATAACAAAGGAACACCGAACATTTAAACATAATTGCTAACCTAATTTTCTTGCTTCATTCAGCATCGGTTCGCCCTTGAAACTCTTTTTCTCTCTCAAGAAATGTTGCATAAAAATACTGCGCAAATAAAGTCACAACATTGCAAATCATAAGAAAGCAGCCGGCTTGAGGTCGTTTAACATTTCAAAATATTGATTTATGAATTGAGAGAATAAAGAACTTTCAATTGAAATAAATTAGAAAGGTATTAAAACAGTTCAATATACTGTAAGCATTGTTGATTAATTACATATGTACATAACTTCCGCCACACTTATTATTTGTGTGCTAAACAAAATATTTTTTAATTAGAATCGACACTGCAATTTGTATTTAAACTGATTTTCTAAACTGATGTGAATCACTAATAAATATCTATCTAATTAAATTATTTTGCTTCTAGAAAATGAGAATTTCTATTATTATTGACTCATTACATTACGGGAATATCAAGTCAGATATCATTACACTTTTCCATAACATCTCAGAAGTTTATAGACGAACAGTTTGAATAAAATTAACAGAAATGCATTTGCTACATTTTTATTACATTTTCTTCCGTTTTAGTCATCATTGTTTTAACCTTTTTCAGGAACAAAAACAATTCTTCTCAATTTTGTTTATCGATGAAGCAAAAAAAAAAATGATGCAAATCAACTCTTCATTTAACAAGGCAAGCGATAAAAAAAACGAGACAAATGATAAGTCCCGTCTCAAAATTTCAGTGAATTTCAAAGTCAAAACCCTTGTTAATAGGTCGAATTTTGAGAGTCTTCATAACTATTAATGCAGAAAACAAAAGTGTTTGCTCCAATCACTCTCCATTATGACAGTGCTTTTCAGTTCACGATTGTTTCTGCTATCGTTATTAATTCTTTTCGCTTTATTTGTCGGGGTGCAAGCTCTCAAACACTCGCTCGCTCTCTCAGTCACTGTTTGAGACTCTAAGTGTTAAGTTGTGGCAAGGCAATCAAAAGCGTTGATTTTTTTTCTTTTCATTTTTATTTAAAAAAATCAACTTCTTGTCTCAATTAAAAAATTCTAATTAATCAGTTGGTTGTGTGCCAGTATCAAGGTGATTTATCAGGTTTTTAAACATGCATAAATAATTAAACATTGAATTTCATATTTCTCTCAATTCTCATCATGATTGATCGTGTGTTGAGTGAATTCAAAAGAAAAAAGAAACTTTGCTGACTTGTCGTCGACAAATTGCAAGCAAAATTTCCATGTGCAAATTCTAAAAAAAAATTTCTTGGTTTATAATAACATTCCAGGTGTTCAGTGACTTGTAGAAATAAATACATATTAAAAGAAAAAGGCTGACAATAGCGAAAGTGAAAACGAATCGAAAGAAGAAAAGTTCTACTTAATTATATATCTTCATCGTCAAAATGTCAAGTATAGATAAAGAAAATCAACAAGGGAATCAACCGCCAGTGATTCTTCCAATTGGAGTGAATCCAGAGAAGGCTGCTAATGTCAATGATTTCAATTCAACGTAAGTGATATCAGCTCTTAAAAACATTTACAAAGCAAAGCTTGCTACTTGAAAAATAAACTTTTCTTTCAGTTTTTTATTTATTATTGTAGGGTTGTTCATTTATTAATTTATTATGGCAATCAGTCACAAAATTACTTTAAAAAATATCAAATAACAATAAGTAGGATTATACTGAAGTAGTTAAAATTGAAGTTTTATTAATTTACAGCTCGAAGTTAACACCTTATGTGTATGACGATTCTTACAACCCTTTTGAACATCGACAGATTGAAAAACCTAACACGTAATTTTATTAATTTCGTTATTTCTTTCCTCTTCATTGAAAGTCTGCTAACAATTTCTATTATTCAACAGCACTCTCGGAGCATTACTTCATTTACTTAAAAGTTCACTGGGAACTGGGATTCTTGCAATGCCTAATGCATTCAGTAATGCCGGACTTCTGTTTGGATCGTTGATGACAGTAATTGTCGGTTTTCTTTGTGGACACTGTGTTTGGATTTTGGTAAGTTGACATATTTTAAATATCATTTTACTTAAATATTTCCTATTTTCGTGTATGATTTTCTTCATGTACTACAATATCGTTATAACGGGAATCCAAAACTGTTGAGAATCAAAATCTTTCTATAGTAAAAGAATGAATGCAGCAATTAATCTGTTAAAATTGCGATTGTTATAAAGTTTTGTAATGAATATGTTCTTGTCGAATAGAGTAAATCATAACGTATGACTTGATAGTATTAATTACTTACATGCCACTTATCGAAATACTTATATGACATATGAAAAATTTATTGCCGTTTGATAAGTCAATATTGAAGTAGGTATTATTGATAACAAAATTAATTACAAAAAAGATTTTTTCTTACATATTGAATAGATTTTCGATTTAAAGAAATTCACATGAAAGATTACGCGAAAGTTATTGATACGGAAAAACGGATTTTTTTGACGAAATTGAAGTGTCAACGTGTTCTTTGTCCAATATAAGATATACTTTTGCGACATAACTAATTATATGACAAAAGGAAATTGTAAATGATCACTTGAAATTTTTTTCCTCTCGTGATGATGAGATCGTTCACAAATTATGTCACCTCGCGTCACATCTTGTTAATAAATATTCTTCTTATCGTTTTCATTGATGCGCTCTACCTTGAGTACATAAAAAAGATAATTGTTAATGTTTTTGCTTGATCTTTACAACTACCATTCTTCAATATTCGTTTTTTTCTCTCTTTTCCTGCTTTTATGTATCAATCATCTTCTTGAAAATTTTCTTTCTTGAGCTTATGCTTGCTTTGCTCTGCTGCACATTCTTTGTAGCTTCAATTGCCTTTTATGCATGCCGCATGATAAAAAAAAGAATAGCTCTATGTAAGTATTTCATGTTCCCTAACGTTGTAGTGGACATAATGCTATACTGGAGCGAAAAATTTGTAATGTCGTAGCAGGTAGCTTTTAACTTGAAGTCTCGCAGACTTCGAGACTCTCATCGACTTTCAGGTTTGATGTGAAATTAAGTCTTTTGCGATTTTTTTTATTAACTTTCCACTTACTTCCTTTCGTGTTCATTTCTCATCAGCCAAGTCGTTTTATTTTTGATAATGAGTAGAATAATTATTGTCAGTGAAAAAAAGCTGTGTGAGTGTACTAAATGCAAACATCAAGAGATTTTATTGAAAAGTGCAAATAACTATAAGGATTTTTTATTTAAACAAGAATTTAATAATTTTGATTCATCTGCTTAATGAGATGTCTAATGGAATGGAAGAATATTTATTGATTCAAATCAAATAAGCTTCAAAAATAAACTTTTTTGTTTGCTTTTCGATATTTTATAGTTATGTACGTCTTTCATTTGAAAAAAAAATGAAAATTTGAGGTAGATAAGTAATCTTTCGTTTCTTGTTGTTGAGTTGCCGTGAAAGTAATCAAAATAAGACTCAAAAATTAAGATGCCATTGCTAAAAAGTATTGTTCAGAGTTACTTGCTTTTGAAGTATGTTTAATTTTAGAATTCCTTCACAAGAATTGGCCAAGAAATAATATTTTTGTCATCATTTTTAAGTGCTATTTGAACAATGAACTCATTTAGGAAGGAAGGCTTTATTTATATATAATCGTAATCAGCCCAATGAAGGAGATTTGAAAATCTGTAAGAAAATGAAACGACATTGAGTGTTATCAATTTAATCGATTGAAGTTACTTGTTCTTATTAAGAGCCAATATAAATACCACCCGTACTTCAGGTTGTAAAATAAATTTAAAGTCTTTTAATCTTTTAATACAAAAATAAAGTAAAATACTCACAACACGTTAATTCGACTTTGTATCAGATTATAAAATAGTGAATTACTGTGAAAGATTAAATTAGGCAGAAAAAACTTTGTCATCGATATGTACACAATGCCAATTGAAGTTTATCTGATTACCACTCTGATAATTTAATTAATTTATTATTTCGAAAAGCTTAACAATCTGTGGTATTGCAAGAATTTTTCGAAAATTTAAATGATTTTGCATTATTTATTCCCACTCTTGAAGTTCAATAACTTTTTAATAGAGTGAGTATTGATTACTAATAATTTGTAGAATTAAAAAGCTTCAGGTTGTTGAAATAAATATACGTATCAATTTGCATTGGTGTTAAAAAAGTTATTATGAACTTTGTTTTCACAACACAAATGAGAATTTTCTAATTTTCTATTAAAATATTCACTTTATTAATTAAAAAAATCTACAAAACGCATTGTTGTTTTAGTTTATGGGAATTAAATTTACATATTGGATTTAAATAACAATGTTGGTAGATTTTCTTTTCATAGTAAAGTGATGCAGTTATTTAAAAGCGACATGATGAACTTGACTTTGAAATTTACGTGTACAAAATATTTTTTTCTTTTTATTTGAATTTTAACTTCTTTTGCGGTTAATGCATGATATTAACAATCAAATCACGAGCTTACATTTATATATTCAGTTTACAACTTCATTAATTTGTTTCCTTGTTTTTTAGGTTTCAGTATCACATAAAATCTGTCGAATATCTAAAACGCCTGTACTTGATTTTGCCGGAACAGCAGAGAAAGTTTTTGAGTATGGACCGCCATGGGCAAAGCGATGCTCAAAATTTGCAGGACATACAGTTGATTATGCTTTAATGGCGACATATTATTCAGCTGGATGTGTTTACATTGTATTCATTGCAAATACCTTCCACGATGTTTGTAATGCTCTATTTGGATGGAACTTGAGTGTGAGAACATACATTTTACTTGTTCTCATACCAGTATATTTCATGGGACAGATAAGGTCGCTTAAATTCCTCGTTCCTTTCTCAGGAACAGCGAATGTATTCATCGTTGCAGCATTTGGAATTGTTTTATTTTATATTTTCAAGGAACCGCTGAATTTTGAGGATAAGCCTTTAATTGTGTCGTGGACGAAATGGCCCGTCTTCTTCAGGTACGTAAATGACTTCATATGTGTAATGAAAAACATAATTTTTGTATTTCTAAATTATAGCACGGTTATATTCGCTATGGAAGGCATTGGCGTAGTTATGCCAGTTGAAAATTCTATGGAAAAGCCAAAGGAGTTCTTGGGCTATCCCAGCGTTCTTATAATTGCAATGGTCATAGTTACTGTGCTTTATAGTGTCATCGGTTTTCTTGGATATGTACGGTTTGGTAGTGAGATTCGTGGCAGCGTCACTCTCAACCTTGATCCCGATGAATGGACTGCTGTTATCGGTCAAGTGTTTATTGGCTTCGCAATTCTCTTTACATTCGGCCTTCAATTTTACATTCCCATGGAAATTTTATTAAAAAAATTACAAAACAGACTTGGCAAGAATCGCAATGTTTCCGAAACCATTTTAAGATCATTCGTCATGGTGGTGATGGGTGGCATATCAGTGGCTGTTCCTAATCTTGAACCTTTCATAAGTTTAGTTGGTGCTGTATTCTTTGGAACTTTGGGTATTTTTATTCCGGCTTTAGTAGAAATCGTCTTCCTTCAAACCAACGAAAATTTTGGTAAATTCAACTGGAAATTGTGGAAAAATCTTTTTCTAATGCTTTTCGCATTGATTGCGATGTTCTCTGGAGCCTTTGTCAGCATTAGAGATATCATAGAAATATATACAGGTCACGATGAAGAGGCGAAATTTTCAAGCTCAAGAGCTTTTTAAAACATTTTCAAGCTTTTTTATTTAGAGACAGTTTTTCGTTGTTTTTTCCTTTCATTTTTATAAAGATTAAGAATTAGTTTTAGAAGATAAAAATAGAAATTCATAAAGCATTTCTTTTTAATTGTTTTTAATTCCATATATAAAATGTATCGTTTTTAAACATGAAAAATCTGATCCATTAAATGGAGTGAATTCCGTCTTGTTTTGTGTTTTTAACACAATAAATGCTGTGATTTTAAAAATCATTTGCACTAGGGATATGTTTGTGTAATGAATCATAGAACAAAATTTTAACACTAAAATTACAATTTCTGCCAAGAATTTTTTTTAATAGATAGGCAAATGAAAACATAAAGACAATCAAGAATTATAAAAAATTGTAAAAGTACAACCTTTGCTTCAAAATTGAAAGGTTGATAGCAAGGCTGATTTTTTTAATGTCAAAAAGTAAATTTAATCATTGAATATCTAATTTAATGTTTTTTTTTACTCATATGACAAAGCAGGAATTTCTAGTAAAAATAAATTTTAAAAAGTGTTTTACAGAAAATTAATGTCGCTAATAAAATATATTTAAATAAACATTCCTAATTATTAAAAAATATTGACTATAAATTTTAACTGTCGATTATCCGGAGGTTCTCAAACTTTTTATGTTCTTAAGCGGTTTCTAGTTTTTTGTTTCATTTTCCATACCGTTTCAGAGTATGTGAAAGCTTTTTGATAATTTTCCTTGTAATTTTCCTTTCTCTCTTTCATGTCATGTTAGAATTTTCCAATGACTAATATTCAAAAGTTTTCGGAAGAAATATTCGAAATCCAATGGAAAAAGTGGTTAATACTTCAGTTTATATTTTTCCCTGTCACACATCGAACGTGAAAAGAGTACCAGCAGTTATTCAATTAATAAATATTTATTTTAAATTTTTTTGTGAAAGTTCCTGGAAAAATTCTGTGTTTTGGTATTTTTTTACATACACAATATAAGATAAATTAAATGAAGCGATTGCTTGTAATAAATTGAATCCTAAATGCAGATTGTTTTTCTAAATTATCTAAGAAATGATGAATAGAAAAAATGTCTGAATNTTGCTTAGTGTAAATGAAAAAGGATTACATATATCTTGATCCCCTAAGGTCCTTTTAAATCACACAATGGTGAATAATTTTTTTTCCGTTTATGTATGATTTAAATTAACTCAAAACTTGTTTCAAAATAATCGAAAATCTTTTTGCGCAGTAAGTCCTATTTAAATTAAAAATAGGTTTTTTTATACCTTTTAAAATTGATATTGAACATGCATTATATGAAGTGCTAATAGATTCATCATTAGATTGCTTACTTTTAACTTTCATGAAACTCTACGATTCTTTGAGTTTTAACATTTTTCAACAGTTTTGATTCGATGTTATTAAAAATAAATATGAAATATTAATATGAAAATGTTAAGAAAATCTAGAATGCAAGTTATCACAAAAATAGAAAATTCAAGTCACGCACTGAAATTGATTCAATAATTCATTCCACTCATGTTTTATAACAAAAAATTTCAACAAAGATATTGAAGATTTAAGTGGTAAAACATTTTAAAAGCACACAAATCTTGTTGCTAATACGATGCAATTATTAAAATTTCCATAAAGTTAACAAATGGTGGTTAAACTTAAATGAATAAATTCACTAAGCAGTCACATAGTAAGCTTTCCTTGCGCGACGCTTCTGACATTTTTCATATGCAATGTAAATAAGTGCTATTGTGATTAGTATTGCGATGATTATTGCCATTCTATGAAAGAAAACAAAGATTAAAGATTTAAGACGAGATGATGACTTCACAATTTAATAGACTCTAGATTACCCTATGCTGATGTACATGATATTCTCATTGATTCCAGCATATGATTGGCCTTAAAACAGATAAATGAGTTAAATATGTGAAATAAAAATATTTTTAATTAAATAGCACACACCTGTATTGGTCAAATGACCACCATAATAATTTCCTCCTGCAACTCTACCAACCTAAAAAAAATTAATTATATTTTTATGTCTAGAAAACATGGCACAAAATGGAAAATTTACCGGCATTTTGAAGATGGTTTTCTAAACCTTTATTGAGATTCGAAGGGTTGAATTAATTTCACTGTAATCCGCTTAAGTTAATTGATTCCTAACTCAAACGAATTTTCTATTTGAGAAAATAAAAAAATATTTGAGAATTGCAATTAAATTTCCACCTAACAAAAATGACTAATTAACGATGTTTTACTTTTCATAAATATTTTAATAATTAACACAACAGAATAAGAAAGTAAGAAATTGAATATTTTTAACATTTCATAAGAAATTGGAATTTAATTTTTCTACCTGATATTCTTCTTCCAATTTTCCAACACACACCCAAAAACAAACAAAAGCTTTCGCGTTTCTTAAAGTGCAAAGAAAATATCTAAACAAAAAGTAAATTTCCTTTTTTTATCACAATTTTCTGATAGAAGGCTTTAATGTACCCACATTAATATTTCATTATCAAAAAGCTATTTTCCCTAAAAGCTTCAAATTTTGATTGAATATTATAAGGCAGTGAAAGTTTATTATAAAGAATAAAACATTTATGACTTGAGCAATAAAGAATGGGAGAGGAAAACTAAAGATGGATGTTGTAGCAAAAAGTTCTCCCTGGACATAACTGTGAATGAAGGAATACTGAAGAAAAATCACTTCAACTTATATCTACGTGGAATATGTTGCGAAATCAACTTCAATTCTCTTTATTAAAATTATTTGCTGAAGTTTTAATACAATTAATACTTTTAAGAACAATCAACGTACCATGAAATCCTCTTAATGTAAAAATAATCCACTGATATGATTGAATAATCTGAATATTCCAAAAGTCATTCGAAATGTAAACATTTTCTTCCAAAAGATTTAAAATGACTGAGTTTTTCTGTGTTTTTCCTTTTGCAGTTTCATTGTAAATCTTGTAGCGAAGATGAAAATTCTCTCAGAGAGGAAAATCTCATTCAGGGATCCTTGCAGGGATCGATAGATGAAAACACGGGCGGAGGGAGAAAACATCAACGTGGAAAATGTCGAAAAAGAAAAGCAAGAAAATTTATAATTCGTTATTCGTGTTTGAAAGTATTCACTCAAAGAAAAGCTTTTAATAATTTTATTGATATTTATTATAATTAATGTTTGGTTGGTATCACATAAAAATTCATCTATTACATGACAAATTCGACATTTCTATTATTCCACAAATTACAATTATTTAATACAAATATTAATTTAATTATATGAAACTAACATTGAAGGTTTTCGAATAATTTTAAATGATTTTTTTTCTAACATAATTTTTCCATTTTTTCCTTTTAAAATTCTTATTAAATTAGATATGTTCTGAAAACTTGTTCCTTGATTCTTAATAGTTGATATCCGATGATAAATATCTAAATAAAAATAATTTTAAATCATTTGTAAGAAATCCGGTTCGTAGAATGAATCAAAAATTTCTTCAGTTTCTATTGACAAGAGTTGTTGGCTGGCAGATTGTATTGTCTCGTGACCGTGTAACCAGAATGTTTCCATGTCACCCTTTCCCTATTATTTATTTAAAGTTGCAGTAATAAGTAAAGAATTAATCAAATACTGTTGAACTCACTTTTACTTGTATGCTTCCACGTTTTTCACAAATGAATCCTCCATATTCGTCTAAGAACTTTTTTGTGTTCTCAGAAACATGAATTTTCATAGCTTCAAGAAAATTGCAACATCAGAGAGAATCATCGATAATTATGAAGAAAACTTAAAATTTCATGAATATAATAATCAATTTATTTAAACAATACAATAATAATTTTGTAATTTGGAAGAAGGATACAAAATCAAAATGACATTTCTTACAAATTTATAAATTATATTTTCAAACCTTCTCCAGTGCTTTCCATCCGTGAAGCAACATTGATGGTGTCGCCTGAAATTCTCAAGCACAATCAAGTATTTTTTGAATACAATTGACATTATTAGCATACCAAACAAACAGTAACGAGGCATACTCGTTCCAACAACACCTGAAATTAGTAAATGAAAATGAAAATCAATAATAAAATTAACACTCAATTGAATTCTGTTCTTGATTACCTGCAACGCAGCTTCCTGAATTTATTCCAATTCTAATTTTTATATTTTCATGAGGACGATGTGGAATAAAAAATGTTGAAACTCCAATCAACAGGTCTAAAGACATGAATGCAATTTCTGATGCATGTTTTGATCCTAGAATATGTTTAATTTAATTAATATTTAAGTTATGTTTAAAATCGCAGTTGCTTTCACAAACCTGGTAGAATATTTGGTAAACCTGACACTACCTAAATGTTATAAATATTTACAAAGGAATCTGAAATTAATTTACTAATCTTAGCAAAGCACTTAGCTCACCATATAAGCATCTCCTATTGTTTCAACCTTATAAACGTTTGGAAACTTCTGAATTCTTAAGTCAAATAAGCGATAAAGTGTATTGAGTAATGTTACAACTTCCTATTGAATTATATTTGAAAAAAAGGTTTTCATTAAAAAAAACAACTACAGACCATTGGAGATGAATTTGATGAAATGTTTGTAAATCCTACAATGTCGGAGAAGAAAATTGTGACACAATCGAAGCTTTCAGCAATCACCTTTTTATAAAAACAAAAGAAAACAATTAATTTCTATTATAAATGAAATTAGCAAATTAATTGATTGATGATTTAATTGAAAAATTGTAATTTGTAAAATAATGAAAATTTTCTTATGCTAGAAATTTAATTCTTTGATCAACATAAAATTTTTATGCTCCTTGAAGATCAAAAAACCATTAAAATATTGTTTCATTTTTCATTTATTAAAGCTTGCAATGCAAAAAAGATGTTTATTTAAATTCATGTGATGTAAAATAAAGCGAAATGTACAAAAGATTGAGAATTTACTGTAATGAGAATCTGATATTGACTTTCATTTGACTATTAAATTTTCCAAACAATTACCTAAATGACTTTCCTTCTAGAAATGAAAGTTTTTGCTTTCTCACATTTCCTTCATTAAATAAATCAATCCGCAAATAAAAGAATGAAATGAAGCAAACCTGTCGTTGTTGTTTTAGCTGTTGAATGACTGTTTTTGGAAGCATTTGGCGTAGCAATTTGTCTGACTTATTCTTCTCGATTCGTAATTGATTCGTCTTCTCCACCAGAATGTGTGAATAGGTCTGCAAAAGATTCTATTAATAATCGTAAGAAAATCTACTAAATAATAAACACAAAGCTGTGACACCGCAAACAATATTTTTATTTAGTAGAGTGGAAAAACCGACGTCAGACAGTGAATGGAAAAAACACATTAGACCTGCCTTTATATTCACGTCATTCTGATTTCAAGGAATTGATAATATTAAGAAAGTAAAGTTAAATATTGAAAAAATGGATATCTTTGATTTTATCTGTCGTATTAAGCAAGTGTTACACGAATACTTAGCTTTGAAATTCTGGGAAAAATAGATTACCTGAATTATGTCTGTAGCTCTTTTGACTATATGTAAAGAAATATTTAAATTTTCCTTCAACTCATGAAATCAGACGTAATAATCACCTAGAAACATGATCAAAGGTGAAATGCATGCCACAAGCAGAAGCAACACAAGTGACGTTGTTTCCAAAAATTTAGCTTTCATCATGTCCTTCTCTAGATTAGAACTGCGATAAAATAAAATAAACATTAGAAGAAATACGTTTTGAAATATTTCAGATAGAAAATAAATTAAAGTACAATCAAATAAAAAATAAGAATCGAAAATTTTCACATCTGTAGACAGCAACATAACATATCAAGGATTATCCAACCTGATATCTTCTCTTATCATCATCTTACAATCTTCAAGTTTCGGTAGAATAATTTCTTCCATGAACTTCATATATTTTCTATCGTTGCCTTGATCTTGACTTTTGTTGCTCATTTGGTCAACAATGACATGTTCGTGCCTGTTTTCGAAATATTTTCCTTTGAAAACTGTTTTCATAACGAAAGTTGAATATTCTGAATACCATTGTGCTAATTCATTTTCGATACTCTCAGAAAATAAATCGCGTTGTAGGAAGTGTTTCGCCGACAAGAGATGCTCTTGTGATATTGAAATTGTTCGAATAAATTCACGATAATCATTTGGCGAAAGTGTTCCAGTAGCATAAAATGTAAAGGCGAAAATCATCGCAACATTGATGTTCTCGGAAGCTTCGATGATATTTTTATATGCAATGATTTGTCTACGAAATTAAATTGGCATTATCAAACCCACGGTACATTTTCTCAATCTTTTTTAATTTATCTCCACGGGAAATAATTTTAACTCTACCTCCAAACAGTTTTAGCCACCGATATTCCAATACGCTGCGATAATCGCCTAATTAAATGTTCATTTAAGAGATTATACCACTTGATGTAGTAAGAAATTTCATGATGATCCCCTGAATAATTTCCACTGGAAATGTTTTTTATAAGTAAGTTACTTAAAGAACAAGAACGACAAATTTAACTCACTTCAAAATGCTTGCTCTGGAAAAACTTATGTATGTAAGCGAATGGAAACAATACAGAAAAGGAGATAAGAAAGTCAGTAAATGTCAACTTACAAAAGCATCAAATTAAAATATTACGATAGATTTGACGAAACAGATTCCTTCAGATTATCTCCGTATTCAGTTGCCCATGTTGTATTACTCATCTCGCTTAATGTTAAATCAGTTATCGTAAATGAATTTTCCATTTCATTTCTTTATTGTTTTTCAAAAATAAATCCAAATTGTTATAAAAAATTTTAATTTAAACTTCTTGAAAATCATCTTTGAAAGTAGAATGAAAAACTTGCCTTTTTGAATTTGTAAGAAGAAACCAAATTGACATTGAACGTTCTTCCTTAATAGCATTTAGAAGCTTTGAGACGTTAACCTTAAAAAAGATCTCGGAAATACAATCCCCAATCAAAGGATTGATAAAATTATCTACTTACGGTAAGGGAAATCTTTTTTATCAAAAAAATTAAATTTAATTTCAGATATCAGTTAGCAAAGAATGGAATGAAAACAAACCTGTTGATTGATTGAGAGGGTTTCGCTGTATGCGTTAGTTTGTTCCACAAAAATCGAAATATTTTGAATAAACAGAGCCAGAATAGGAATAAAAGGGAAGCATATTAACTGCAAAAGGTGAAATCTTTTATATGAAACCGTTCCAGATTTAATTGATAAGTATCCAAATAATGACGAAGTTTTTTGTTCCACTGATTCCTGTTCATTCGGAGGTTTCGATGAGGATGTGTCTGGTGATGATTTAATTGACGCTTTCATTTTAACATTACACGATCAAGCATATTTGTCACACTATCTATTACTTCAATTTAATTATTGTTTAAAGTTTGTGATTTTCTTTAGAAAAAAATTAATTGAAATAAGATTCAAAATATATGGAAAACTAGAATATTTATTAAAATTAAAAACTTGTTTCGTTTATTTATTTATTTTTCGGTGTAGGAAAATAGCATTTTGATGTTTTTGTTACATTTGGTAGAAAGAAATAGGAAAGCGTTCCATTAGTAATTAATTTTAAATAAATACTCCTAAACTTTATTATTCGCTCGGGTTATTCACATCCTGTTAAATTCTTAAGTAAACACTCAACTCCAAAGATAGATTAGAATCTATAGTTTCACTTTCTAACTAACTTTAATGAATTCCTAGTTAGAACAGGAAATTTTCATCATTAACTTTAATTGGCGGTATTTTATTTTATTTCTGGTGAAATAAATTTTTAAGAGATGGATAAATATTCCGTATTTGTATAAATTATTAATTCAAACAAAAATTAATAAAATATCATGTTGTATAAAGAAGCATAAAAAAATTTAATAAGGAAAAAAGAAATCATCACAAAAAAAAAAGCTGGTTCTAAAATAAACTTTTTACTTAAACATCAATGAAGAAAATATTTTTTTTAGTTTTATTTATTTGTCAGATTAAAAGCTTTTCCATAAAACTTTTCACCTGCACTATGTTTTCATTATAATTCTCAAGCTTTTAGAAAAACAAAATGAAATCAACCACCAAAACAAATTCACTCTGAATTAAAACAATTTTTTAGAATAATAAACTTTTGAACTTCTCACAACACAGCACTTGCAATTTTTTGTTTTGAATAATTTATTCATTTTATTTGTTCTTTTCAATTTCCATCATTTAATCTCAACAGTCAGCAGAATACTGAAGTAGATTATGAAACATGACTGATATTTATACATGTCAATTCTATCTATGAGTAATATTTATTTTTTGACAGTTTTGCCTGCTGATACGGTGGCTTGATGTTGAATGAAATGTTATTGACAAAAGCATAATAAAAGTGCATTGAGAGTATCCTTTGCTGTCTCTCTCCTTCATCTCTTCTCTCTCAGCATCAATTAGAGAGAATAAAATTCTGCCGCATGCAAAGCTTTTTCGCTCATCCTTAGTATCTTTTTTGAAAGCTTCATGAGAAGATTTAAATAAGAGACAAATTAAGGATGAAATAAAAATCTCATCACGATCATATGATTAATTTATTTATATGATAAATTCATGTTTAACATACATCTTTACAAAAAATGCATAATATATTTTGTAAATTAAAAGTTTATAACAAACTACACATTTTCAGATAATTTACAAAGCTTTCCTTTTACCACGATGATTTTTTTCTTTTTAGAAAAAATAAAAATATATTTACTTTAATTTCAGAGGTTCTGCGGAATATTTTATGGCTTTAACATTTTTTACGATTAGATTTTTTTCAAAAATACGGGCTGAATTTCTGCAAACCATTCCATGTCTTTGTTGAAGCATATTATTGGCGCCTCACGACAAGTCAGCCAATACGTTTCCATTAATCCTTTTCCCTAGAATAAGAAAAGAAAAACAAGAGCGTAAATAACTGTTATTAGAGTTGCCAAATGTTGATAGTCAAGTGTCTGTTGTGTCAATTCCGAAAATTGACCTTTCATTTTGAGTTTTACCACAAACACAAGCGTTAGTCTTATGAGTATCTTAAATAATTGGCAGGCCGACATCCCTGTCAAATGTGGCGAGGGAAAAAAAGATACAGCTCAAATGATAACCGATTTATTCATGAACAACAATATCAACGCTAGGGCAAATATTTAACTTATAAGCATTGAGACCAAAATACTAAAATACATGAAATGAGTCCAGGACTCGGAATCAGAACATGAATTTATCGTCATATTTAAAAGATTGTTCCTTAGATCTCTAGTAAAATATTCAAATATATCTGAATATCTTCTACAACTGTGTTTGTCAAATGATAAATAAAAACAAAAGGAAATGAAAAAAAACCAGACAGAACAGAAATTTTTTTGTTATAGTTATGAAAAGTGTTTTCAAGACATGTTAGCATGATACAATAAATCATAAAATTGTTCAACTACATGGGTAAATAAAAGACAATAAAATGTTTAACTCTCTTTGATGTAGAAATAAAGCTATTCTTATTTTATTCTAAATATATGAAATATAATTTTATTCTCACTTTAACGTCAATTAATCCACGAGCTTCAGTTTTAAAACCACCAATAAGTTGCCTGAAATTTTTAAGAAATTGAAATTCTCAGTTTATTCTTAAAAAGTAATTAAATAACAAATTCTTACAGTTCATCATTCACTTCAGAGGTGATATGAATTTTTGAAGCTATAAAAGGAATGTTTATGGTTTATGGTTTGACATTCTCAAAAGAGTTTTATATCTAATTGAAGAGTTTAATTCTTATTTTACCTTCCCCTGTAGATTCCATCCTGCTCGCTACGTTTACTGTATCGCCTGTTAGTAAATGAAAAATGATGATTTAATGTACATAAACAATATCAACATCAACATCACTGACCGAACAGGCAATAACGTGGCATTTTCGTCCCTACGATACCTAAAAGCGTAAAAGGAGATTATTAAACTTATTTCTTTTTATGCTTGGATAGGATAAGAGATTTTCTTACCCGCTCCTACACTTCCAGTATGAATACCGATACGAATCTGAAGCTTCTCATTAGGTGAATGGGGGATTTTAAAATAACTTGACGCATGTAACAAGTCTAAAGCCATGGTTGCTATTTCTGACACGTGTTTCTTGCTGTGGCTCCTTTCCGGTAATCCACTAGCCACCTGACATGGAATGATAAACAAAATCATTAAAAATCATTTGGTTTCATAATGGTTTTCACTGACCATGTAGGCGTCACCACAAGTTTCCACCTTATACACGTCATAGCATTCAATTCGTTCGTCAAACAATTTATAAATTGAATTGAGAAACGAACAAACTTCTAGTGGTGAACATGTCGATGCAATCTCGGTAAATCCGACAATGTCTGAAAAGTAAATCGTGGCAGATTCGAAAAATTCGGCTGGTACCTGTTTTAAAGACGATAAAACTTATTAATAAGGAATGTCAAAAATAAGATATAATTTATTGTTAATTTTCTTGGGAAATCACCCTTCGCGTTTGTTTCAGTCTAATGGCAACACTCGTGGGAAGCATTTGAAATAAAAGTGCGTCACTTTTCTTCTGCTCCAACTTAAGCTCCCTCGCTTTTTGAACGAGATTCATCGAGTAAACCTATGGGAAAATAAAAATACAAATATGACGATTGTATTCATAAATCCTGTCATAATCAATCATGATTAAAGATGACACCTGAATGGTGGCGACAGCATTTCTCAGGAAAATTATAATTATTGGCGAAACTATCAACACCGTAACAAGAATAGCGATGCCAATTGCTTCCTTATCACTTGCTTCTTTCAACAACGAACGAACTTCTTGTCTGAAAGCACATGACGTGGGATTGTGAATAATTTGAATTTTTATAGAAGAGACATTTTTTCATACTTGATTCTTCTCCTTAAATTTGAATGCATATTTCGTAGTCGTTCGACGTAGAATGTCATTGTTCCGTAATATTTAATTGCATCTTCAATGCTTGGGTTGATTTTCCGGTTAAGAGAAATAGTTCTGCTTCTATAATTGAATAATCAAGTAATTGATTGCGATACATTTTAATGATTGAGATGATGAATTGTTCAACAAACCGATTCTTGATGCTTCCATATTCAGGGAAATTTGTAAGATTTCTGTAGTCTCTTCTTAATGATGCAACATAAGTAAATGAACTATTTAGCAGATCTCTGCCAAGAGCATCATATTTGATGTAATTGACATATGCATCGGTACTAAGATGACCTCGACCATAATAGTTGATCCCATACACAGCAGCTACACCAATATTTTCGATGCTTCGGATGAGATTTTTAAAGCCAATCAAATATCTGTTAAAATTACGTATTTCGATGACAAAATCACATTCCAAAAGTCACTAAACTCACCGCCATATACCACTTTTGTCTGACTCTTTAATTTGGTTAGTTAAATGACCGAGCATAGCATTGTTAACAGCCATGTACCACAACATCGCCTAATTGGATGTCATGAGAAATTAATTCATTTTCCGTCATGTTAAATTTACTCGTTTAGTTGATTTTACCTCAAACACGGTGTTGTTATTTTCTTCAGAATGTATTTGAGTGCGAAAATCGTTTAATCTCATTTGGAAGCTCGTTTTGTTAAGCATCACTTCGCCTACTTCATCGTTTGTATTTGACGACGCCGGCAAAATGATTTGCGTCCATGTTGTCATATTATTGATCGCCTCGTCAGTTGTCGCATAGCGCTGTGTTAAGTTTGATTTCAATATGCTGCCATTTGTATAGATATAAAAGGCAACTTCCCCTCTCTCTAACTGTAAGCGTGTCACAACTTTTCCTAAATCAGTTGCCATTACAACCTTTTGATGTTGGGAAAAATTTATATTTTCATAAATCGTGAAATAAAGAATCAATCATTCACCATTTATTTAAAAATCAGAAAAAAATCGATTTCGATCTCGAAAATATTTACTTGCGATTCGATTTCATTCACTTCGTTGCGATATTGAATAATGTCATAGAGTGAGAACGATGTCTGAATAAGAAGAGCCAATATGGGAATGAACGGAAGTATTATCATCTGCAAAAATGTCACATATGTGTAATTAGATAAGAAGAACTAAGGGAAACAATATGATGGAAAGTTCTGAGAGCTTTTAATGATTTCATGTTTGCGTCTCGTCCATGATATTTGTGCTTAGCAATGTTATATGGTCATTAAGTATGTAAAGCGAAAGTTTTTACAGATTAAAAAAAATTAAATTACTTTAAATAACTGAAACTGTCGGTCACGTTTAATAGCTGGGTTACGTGAATTGACTCGGAAACAGCAAATAGGATTCTCAGAAATCTTTAAATCCTCGCAACTCGACAAAACTGATTCGGCATCTGTAGAAATAATTTTTCAATAAAAGTAATTAATTGAAAATGTCTCACATGATTTGAATTCTAATTTGAATTATTTAAATGAAAACCTCACCGTTTAAGTTTAAAGTCATTTTCATCAGCATTTAATTGACAAACAGTAAGAGATGAAACTTGCTAAAAGCAAATTGTTTACTCAATTAGAATTTATGAGATTTATTGTTCAACAAAATTTCACTTTTACTGTTACAACAATGTTGTGAACAGCAACCTTTAAAAGGATGATAATCTCAATGAATAAAAACCACTTGTTAGATATGTTTTCAGAAACTTCTATGTTTTTAACTTCACTTTTTGAAAAATATGTTTGTTTTAATTCCTAACAAACAAACTGTAATTGAATCAGATTCCTCCTGCAAACAATTTTTAATATTTTTAATGTGAATTTTAACTTGATTTCCAATTACAAATTCGCTTGAAATTTCATTTCATTTGTACACAAATAAAGAATTTCAATTTTCTTCACCTTTTTATATCTTTTCTTATCACTTTCAAATCCTCCGGGGATATTAAAAAATATTAAATAATATTGTTTAATGTTTTAGAAACGATTAAAATTTATTTTCATAAATATTTTTTTAGGAGAGTTCTGAATATAGCGATCATAACACGAAGACTGGAGAAAAATTAAAATATTAGGAACTTATATCCTTTTTCTTTGCTCTCCTCTTGAACGAACGACAACGATGTCTACGAAGTGGTAAGATTATCGATTTTGCGCATTCATTCTCCGGTTTGTATTGTTGGCACATTGTACGAGATGTCAAGAGAATGCGATGATAATATTTCTCTAGATAACAGAATACAAAAGATAGAAGAAAACAAAACTATGCTGTGTCTTAAAAGGATTTTTGTTAAATTTGTCGTGAAAAACAAACATAATAAAAAAGCGAGAATATTTTTATATATTTTGTCTTTTAGTAAAGGTTTTTAGAAATTGTTAGTTTTTGATATCTGAAATCTAATATGATAACTTTATAAAGCAAAGTGTGTTAACAATCGTTCTTACTCATGTTTCTTTCAGTTTACTTATGTTAATATGTAGGTCTATTGAGAAAATATGTACATGACAAGAGAAAAAATATGGACCGAAACATAAGAAAACATAAATACGAATATCTGTTTCTCAACTTCAAAAGAAACGTCAGAGTTGTTTGATAAAAAAAGACTCTCCTTTTAATTTAAAATATTTGTGAAAATTCACTTGGGAGCAAAGGGATTCTCTAAATAAAAGGAAACTCAAAATATTCTTTAAGCAAATTTTTTCTCTTCTCAATGAAATATATTCTCGATTGTTTTAATTAAATACAATTGAAATAGATTGTAATTAATCTCCTGGCTGTGAACGATGTACAGTAAGGTGTGGCAATAAAAGTTATTGCACTTTCTTTTTTCACAGAGTTTGTTGTCGATCTCGCCTGTTACAGTTTGTTTGAATACTGAGTCGCTTTATTTCTTTCCAAATCAGTTAAAATTCGACACGATTTCAGAAATGATAAGGATAAAAAAAAACTTCAAAGAATTTAAATTGAATGGGAAATGACCGAGAGCTGTCATTAATTGAGATTTTCATCAATTTTCAACCCAAAGTTTTCTTACCCTTGCATATCGGTGGAAATTCTATTCTTATTTTAATATACCTGCTTGTGAAAATTCTGAAACATAAATAATTTCAATATAATTTATAAAGTTCACACAGAGAAACATTCAAAAAACATCCCAGTTGACTGCTTGGAGTAATTAGAAATTGTTGTTTCTTTTTTAATTATCAATGCTATTGCTCGGAATGTGAGCAAATAATCTACACATTTTAGATTAATTAAATATCGCATTAAATGGAAGCTTCGGTAGATAATCTTTTGATTAATATTTATGGGAAACAAAATTCTGTAAAGATTTCCTTTCTTTGCCACGTTTGATGGAAGATAATTTTAGATAATACCTAACCATGAACACGCAACAAGTGTCAGTAGAAATGCTCACTTCCTGGCGTTAAATATAAGTTTGTACACCAAATAATTTTTAAAGCTCATAAATTTTGAATTGAAGAAAAAGTGGAACTTAAATTTCTTTCATTTAAAATTTAGCCCATTGTTTGTGAGAAGGAAGAAAACTTATCAGTGCAAAATAAAAATTGGTAAACTTTGATTAACCTTATGAAATTGAACTTGAACGAAATTTCACTATTTATCAAAAGATTTTTATGACAAAAAATGTAACGGCTAAAGAGAATTTGAAATGAGCTTTCACGGAGCTTTCAGTATTTAAATTTGTTGATTCATTTTATTCCTGAAAACACTTCGTTTTATTCTCCAAACATTGCAAATTCTTCAGCTCGCAATGCTAGTTCTCTAATGTTCTTCAAACAACCAGCTGAAGCTTCTTGAAGATCTTTGTCATCAGATCCAATAGTTTTCAGTAAAAAGGGAACAACACCACTCTGGAAAACGTAAAGATGAAATTAATTAAAAATCGTTAACTGAATGTGAATATTAATTATTACTGCATGCATTGTTATGCAATTTTGCGGATCTTCAGAGAGTTTTTGTAATGCCATCGCTGTTGTACGATGCACCTTCGAGTTTTCACTAACCATATAACCAACTATGGGTGTGACAGTTTTTAGACGTTCAAGCTCTTGGGTATTATTTCCATAAGGTGCACAACTTGCAATCGCACTTGCTAAATGTTCACGTAGCAAATCATCAGTTGTGTAAACTAAACTTGCAAGCATTTGAATAACTTTATGATCAGTTAGAACTGCTAAATTCTCTTTATCTTTTGCAATAATAGAAATTGCAGCACAAACAGCAGAAAGAACTAAATTGTCACGTGACTTTAAAAGGCCAACGACAAGTTCCAAAGCACCTACAAAGCTTCGAACTAGTTCCCCCGAGTTTTTAGCATTTCTTATACAAGGGCAAAGAGCAAGAGCTGCATAAGCCTGAACTTTTGTATTAGAGTTTTTCAAAAGCGACCAAATTAAGCGAATAGCATCGAGTTCTTCCATAACTGCCATGCTTTCGAGGTCGTTAGCACATTCCGTTAGAGCTTTCGTAATATTCTCTAGCAATGGTGGATGAGTTCCATTGAGTAGATTCACCATTAAAGCTAAGCCACCATTTTGTCGAAGTGAATCACGATTGTTTTGAGATTTTACACATTCACTGATGACACCAGCAGTATTCGTTAAGACTTCATCATTCTCATCACTCAACAATTGCACAAGAATGTTCATGATCTTCAATTGATCTAATCGTTTAACATTTGCAGCAGAACCTGAACATTTCCATATTGCACCAGTTGCTGCAGCTAGCAATGCTTTATTTTCACGAATCGATTTATCTTTTATTATCGCCACTAGTGATTCCAATCCACCCGCTTCACGAACAATATCTCGAGCAGTTTTATCGCTTGCACATTTGAAAATAGCTGAACTACATTGCATCTTTAGTTCAAAGTTTTCAGATGAAAGGTGAATGACAATGTTGTGGATCATTCCTTCGGTTGCAATTGCCAATTGGTAGATACCCTGAAAAATTATTTATTAACTATTTAAACCACTAATTCAATAATAAAAATAAACTTTACTTGTGAAGCACATTGCTGTACACAACCCATAATTGGAACAGCAACGTCAATATGTGTGCTTTTCAAAAGCCGAGCCATTAACGGAACAACGCCGCTTATTCTCATAATTTCTTTGTTATGACGTGACTCTGACAATGACCACAAAGCTCTTGCACCGGCCACTGCCATATCTAATTGTTCTTTTTGTATTTGTGTTAAATTTTCACGTGGAGTTATAAGAGAAGCAAGAGGGACATCTAGTAAGTCAACAACTATTGGAATTCCACCAAATTTTCTGACGAGTTTTCGAGCTAAGCGAATCTTAGCAACATTAGCAATCGTCTCTGCTGCTAAGATCTTTAAATCTTTCGAAGATTCTGAGAGAATATTGACAAGTAAAGGAATTCCACCGAGATCAACTACACAACGTCGAATATCCAAGTTCGTTGATATCGCAGAAAGAACTGTCAAAGCTCCAAAACGACACTTCAGGTCGTTGCTTTCCAAAAGATTTACAAGCACTTCAAGTCCACCAATTTCTTGAATAGCAATTTGATTTATTTGTGTCGTCAAATCGTGATCTTTTAAGCAGCATAAAGCGACGATTGTTGCAGTTTGATTACCAGCTTTCATATACTTTACCAGCTTTTGAATGTGCCAATATTCAGATGGCAAATCTGATTGTTTAAGATTTCTTTCCTTCCATCGCTCCTCTTCATCAGATGACGAGATAACATCAGTTGAATCTGACGAATCACTTTGATGTCCTTTTCCACGTTCACTTGCTTTAATAGAACTTCCGTCGTTGCTTTTGCGACGCATTGAGCTTGAAGAACTTCGACGATCACCAATTGAAGGTGGTGCAAGATTTTTTTCACTATTTTCTGGTTGTTTCTCCACTTTCTCCTTTTCTTTGCGATTCTTCTTCCCGTCTTTTATCTTTTTAGCTTTGGCTGGTGGCATTTTCTAATCAAAATTAATTCAGATGAATTTTCAATTGAATTGAAAAATAAATTTCGATGCAAAGAAATTTTTGTGTAAAAGAATTTTCAAAATTTTGCTTCGTTATAAAAGTAAACAAATTTGAATGATTCTATGGAAACGCAATGAAGAAATACGCAACAAGTTTTAGTTTTCAGTTTTCACTCAGCTGATTTTGTTTCACTTTCAAAGACCTTTGTAGAGTGCGTTGGACATTACGTGAAAGAACGTGGAGGATAAAATAGATAAATTTATTTATTTTTAAATGTTTCTTTTTATTTATTATTCAATTTAGGAAAAGTGATAAGTCTGAGGTGACCTCAGATATAATTCCGAGGAATTGTTGTTTCAACATAAGAAAATTTATGGTCTTCGTTTTAATTATCATGGCTTTCTGTTTATATTTTACTAAAGAATTTATCAGAGTAAGATAGTTTAGATGAGAAAGTTCTTGAAGTTTTCAACTGGGAAGTTGAGACTTTCACGAGTATAACAAACAAGAAGCATACAAGTACACTTATTGGTTCATAAATCTCGTTCTGTTTTTATTTAAATGTATCTTTTCATGCAACTCATGATATCCATCTTTACTGTGCATGTTGTGCAGATTTTCTTCATCTTTTTACGTCTTTTCATTCATTTAACTCAATTCAATTCATAAAAACGCTTATCTTTTGATAGATAATTGCTGATATCGTTGACTTCTTTGTACTTTGATTCATGATTTAAAATCTGAGTAGATACTTGAACAATGTCGTTTCTCTCTTTTCAAATAAAAAAAAAAGTTCAAAGCATCATCACTAGAATTCCAATGCAAAAAGAAACCCATGAATCGTTTTATTTAAACGGCTGACTGTAAAGAAGAAGCATAAAACAACAAAAAGTAAGTATGTGCATCTACATTGGAAGATTTTTTTTTTCAACTTTAATGCGACCCGAACATAATAAAAAGCGATACAAGACAAAGCAAAGAAGCAAGTAAGCAGAAGACAAGACAAAAACCAGTTTTCTTCACTCATTGTTGATGATAAAAGGAAAAGAGAAAAAAAATCAACTTTACAGCATCAGCTTCGCTGCCACAAAGTTCTATTTTTATAATGACAACGATTAATAAAAATGAAAGAGAGAGAGAGAGATAGAGAGAGAGAGAGAGAGAGAGAGAGAGAGAGAGAAAGAAGCCCATTAAGAAGTCAGCAGGGAAGGAAAATTGCGACTGAATGGGTTATTGTGTGAGAACTTTTCCTATTATCTTTAACAGATTTATTTTTATTGAACATAATTTTCAGTTAATTGTAGTTGTAAGAATATTTAAGAATTTCGTGATTGATTAAATTTAAAGTTGTAATTGGAAATCCTTTCAAATTTTACAAAATGCGATGATTTCCTTTCATTTCAATTTGATTTCGATAATATGGAAAGAAGTTGAAATATCTAAGTAAAGTGGGTAAATATCCACGCTTGTCAATCCAAATACATGATTCAGAAGAAGAAAAATATATTTTTCCATTCAATGTCGAAGATTAAATTTATATCGGCGCGATTGAATATAAAGTGGAGTAATCGGATAATTTATGACTGTCGTTCTTCATGTAAACGCTTCAATATATTTCATCATTAACCAGCTTTCAACTCGATTCATATGCCAGTAAAATTTCGACCAAAATTCGTACATATATGATTGTAGATATTTGAAAAGCAAATTTCCTTTCGCGCTTTAAGTGCTAAATTAAAACCAGTGTCATCGAATTCCACCGAAAAGAAGTGTTGGCAAAAAAAATTATATTCAGTGCGTGATTTCAATTTATTCAAATAACTTTTTGGTGATTTTTCCTTCTCTAACTTTGTCGGTGGCACTGACGCGTCAATTTACAATGTTGAAAAAAAAATATCACGTGCGTGTATGTGTCTTTCTCATTTGAGATTTACTTTTTCCCATTGTCTGAATAGTGCCAGGGATGAAAATTGAGCAGAATTAATGTAAAGCAAGTTGCGAAAAAATTCGACTTTATGAATTGACAAAGAATTTATTTGCAAATCAAGTAATTGTAAATTGAGGTTATGCACATCCCTGTTTGTACATGACACTGCCGTACTTTAAATTGAGTAAAGAAATGTAGATTCAAAAGTCTTTCAACAGAAAAACTAGAAACCGCAACCGTTCTTTTGCATACAAAAATGGCAATCGAGTGTTGTTGGAGGAGGCGCGCTCTGAATAAACATTACAAAATGAAACTTCAACTCTCAATACCCTTGAATGATGGCATCAAATTTCTGAGAAAGTCTTCTGTTACGAGTGACTTTTATTTTCTGCAGCTTGTGTTACGTGAAAAGAATGAAACACCGCACCGCCCTAACTTTGATTTATTCGTTGAATTCCCAAATTGGTTTTTTTCATTTCGCACAACATCCTGGACATTGGTTTGATATTTTTGTACAAGTTTATAGCTTATTTTTATATTTTATAAATGTTTATTAATATTTATGGTCATTGGAAAGGTGTAGCAAACAATAGTTTAATTTCAATGACTTTAACATGATCGAAAGTTTAAGTGAGTCATGACTCAAATTATCGGTGTGAATACATCAAGTTGCAGCTGAAAAGTACTGGGAAATAAACGTACATATTTATTATATTGTTTCTGTCTTTACCATGTTTTGTTCTTTACTGGGATTTGTTTCTTTCTTACTCATTTATTTCTTTTCACGCGCCAAACTCGAAACAATAAGCCTCCAGAAACTTATTTTACTTCTTTTCATACTCCGACAATGGCCTTCAACTTTAAACTCGCAAGCAGTATCTCTTCATGTTATACTTAAAACTCGATTTCTTGTGCTCCACACACGAAGCTGTTTAATGAATACATAGTGGAAAATCACTCGGCATTTTAATATCTCCACATAACGAATATTTATCGATTCAATGAATTTCATGGTGTACGCTTTGGAACGGCAAACAGCAAAAAGGAAATGAAAGATTCTTGGTACTGGTTTCGTTTTTCTTCTTATTATTCTTAAGGTTTACAAATAATTCTTAAGCACTTGAAAGTTGTTTTTAGATAGATATTTAGGAGATGACGGGATTAAAAGCATCAAAAAAATGTTTTTGTGCCACGCAATAATCTTCAATATTGCTCGCGATCAAAGTTTAAAGTTTTTTATCATTTCACTCGATTGTTTCAATTGTTGGACGATGCAAAACAATTTATTAAAAAAGTATTAATGATAAATCACTTACTGAATTCTTTGATAAATTTTAATCTAAGGTCTTAAACAAATCTGCTTTTATAAGTGGAGAATCAACACTCTCAATCAACACAATTGTTCAGCATTAAAATGGAATTGCAATTCAAACACCATTAAAGTTTATTTCAGTTTTATATCAAATATTTTACGATCATAAGTTGCAGATGATGCTAATACGATAATGAAATTTTAACATAGTAAGAGTTAATTTGACTATAGATTACCAATTTATCTTCTCAATCATTAAACATCTTTAATTTTGTTATCTGGCTTAAAAGTCATTAAATGTTGCATTAATTTCCTTGCAAAAAAGCAACTTTCTCGTATTACATGTTGAATCGGAATACGAACATAATTGTATAGTTGGAATCAATTAACATTTTTTATTATTCCAATAAATTTTGACATAATAACAGCTCATGAATATCGAAGTATTCCCAGAAATACTTTAAAAGCATCTCAGCTGAAGTCTTCCGCAACTTTCAATTTATTTTACTGAAGAAGCCAAACATACATGAATAGAAGATGCTTAAATGGAATTTTCTTAATTAAGAATGTATCCCTCATTCGATATTCGTTTTTCTATTCTACTTCATCGATGACACTGCAGAAATTGTTTCAAAGAGTCTGAAATGCTTCTAAATGGGAGGTAAAACATACACAACATGATACAAATTCCGACTTCTCGTGACGCACTTAAAATATTCTAATGTGTAGTTATGATTTGAAATGAAATTAATATTTAACTTCTCTAAGAGATAAGAAAAACAACTTCTGAAGATGTTAAAGAAATTAGTGAAAACTTGCAATTTTTGATGGTTCCAAACGTGATCAGAAACTTTTTGTATTGCTTGACCATTTTTGATGATAAAATCCATAGCCGTTAAAAAGTATTTAATTTAACATCTGTTTCGACAACTCCTTCCAAGATTAATTCAATGATTATTCATTTTTTCTCGTTTTTACTCTAGCAAAACATAAAATTTCGTGTTATAAAATGCTTTATTCTTGTATCAAAGTGAAAACAGTAGAATACAAGAGAGTAAAGAAAGAAAGAAAAAAATTCAAACCGCATTTTACAATGTAATCCGTTTTAATGATCCCCCGAAAAAAAAGAAATAAAAACATATCGAAAGATGTCGAAGCTATTCATTTTGAGATCAACAAAAAATGAAGGCACGGGTAGACGAGAAAAAGTAAAAACAAAATCTGGGCATGTCATGCTGTTTTTTTATCATCAATACTAAACAAAAATGTCTCAAAAGAATTTCTTTCTTTTACATTTAAATATCTACTTTGTATTTTCTATTAATTATAATGCATCAAATACCCGACAAATGCTATTCAAGTATTCAGGAACCTCACGAAGATTTTAATTTGAAAATTTATCTTCATACTGATTAACATGAATTTATTTAAAATATTTTATAATTCTACGTGAATTGCTTCTGTGGTAAAGATTTTAATTATTTATTGATAAGTAGATATTTAAATATTTATTAACGATTAGCTTCATCTTTGTTCACTTAAAACTAACTAACTTGGCTTAAGGTTAAGCACACTTAATTGCTTGTATCAGGTGTCGGTTCCGTTAGGCGTAAGAAGGAAACATTATTTAAATTTTTATGCATCAATAAATTAGTTGATTTGAAGAAACAGTAGAAGTCTTGTAATTATCGGGTGCTGCTGTTATTTTCAGACCTCTATATGGGTGTCGCTTGAAAGCGAGTCGACTAGGTAGCTCACTTTGTAATTTATATCATAATAAGATGTTAATTCCTTTTCATGTGGTGCTGAAGAAGGAAAAAATGGTCAAATTGATTCCAAATTAAGAGTGTTACGACCTAGAAATCTGACTACCATTACGTCACCTCTACCAAGCCTTGCAAAACATCCAGTTTTGACCACATTTATTCACATCTTGTGTTCCCTTCAAAGCTTTTTTCTTCTTTCACTTCGTTTTTTTATTAAGAGATCACTGTGCGATCAAAAACAAAGAAGAAAAAGTAAAATTTTAATTTAAAAACGCTGTAAGAAGGTTTCAATCTCCTCGACGTCGTTTGTTGCCTTCAATTACCATTTCTTTCTCCCTCTCTCTGTTGTTCGCTTTGATACAGATTTCTTCATAAGTACATCTATATAGATATTTATTTATCTTTTTAATTTTTTTGCTCTTTGTCAAATTTAAATTAATGAATGTAATTTTTAGTTTGAGGACTGATGAGGATGTGTGTTCAATCTTTAAAGTTATTCACTAACTGATGCCGCGGCTTGAAATGTTTCTTTTTTCCAAAATCGACTTGCTATCGTTCAGTTGCTGCCTGTAAGCTTTCTAAAATAATAAATGATGATGTTGAAAATAAATTGGATTCTAGTTTATGAGAATAATTTATTAAACAAAATAAAAAAAATAAAGTAGAAGTCTTGACGTGTTGAACAAATATTAAACAGGATCCGTTCTGTTGGTGGTTCGTTTCAATTTAAATCTTTTTTTTAATATTTTAAAGATTTCTATTAATTGATATCAAATATGTATATTTGTGGATGTGGCATTAATTCAATAAATAGTATTAGTAAGCTTAATTAACTCCTACACCAAGCTCAATAAAAGGAGAAACATTAGAGATAAATAATTCCTGATTTTTTACTTACAATTAAAGCTTCTTAATAAAATCATAAAGAAGCAAAAGAAATCTTAAGCTGATTGTTATCGAAGAAAGAGAAAAAAAAACCAATTTAAGAAAAATAATTCAAGTCCATGTGACGCTTATCGCTTTTATTCTCTCTACAGTATTATTTTTCGCCATCAACTTTTTTTTCTCAATTTTATTATCTTTTAAAATGAACGAATGAAGAAGTTGAGGGAAAAAAAATTAAAAACGAGTTTAAAAGTAATCTCAATGTAAAATTTTTCTTAATGTTGTTGCACGAGAAGAAGGAAGAAACATATTTTAATGGCTTGCTTAACAGTGTTAAAATGTTTCTATAGAATATGTGAAGCGAATAATTTAAGAGCAGGAAAAAAATCTTCATTAAAAGGGTAGCTCAGATGATTTTGTCACTGCATATGCTTACAGCTTTAACATGTCTCTTCACATGTGAGAAAGTCTGTACAACTTGTAGACAGTACCCAAGTTAAGGAATTTAAAGTTCAAAATATTCCTAAACTTTAAACAAAACAAATTCTTGTCCAAAAATTTCTGTTGTACGTGATTTGCATGCTCGTATAATGGACTTATAAAGGAATTTAGAACATCGTTTTGTGATAATAAAATGACTACAAACAACCCACTTAAATATACATACAGTAAAGTTTGAAACATAACGAATTGTTATTGGAAATGGCTACGATCACATTTTAAATATTCTAAAGTCGAAAAAAGATACCAACAAACATCATTTCTTGTGCTTTATATTTTTTTATTATCACTTCTTAAATAGTCAAAGTAGAAACGTGAAATAGAAAACAATTTGAAATATGAAATCGTTTCAATAGTTTGACTTTGATTGAAAACTTTTCAAATATAAAGTATTCCAATATTCTGTCTGCTCGCAGTAAGTATGCAACATTCATTTATCTGCCAGCATCAAAACTTAAAAAAGTTTACATAACTTATAAAGTTGTCCAATCCACTATATAATATTAAATGGGAGTCCATCGTACCTACGGTCGCTTTACATCAATTAATTTCCACTTCTTACAAAATGATCTAAAAGTCTCCACAGTCTCTCAGTATGTCTTCGATTTATCAGAAATCGTTTGTGATAAAGAAAAAAAAAGAATGTTGGCTTTTGTGTTTGTGAGTATTTTGTTTGTGACTGAGAGTGACTGTGAAACAACGAAGGTAATCATTCTATTACAATCTCTCTTATGCTGTTACTGGTTCCCGCTCATATAGAGTGATCTCGGGCAGCGCAAAGAATAAGAAAGCAAAGGCAAATTAATGATCCCTCATGTAAGCATCATTAATTTAATTTGAGATTTTTTCTCCTTCTTACTCGGCCTGGAATTATTCACAATGTGTGTTCAGCATACAGATTTTACATTTTATTTTTTGTTTCTCGAACCACACTGCTATCCATCCACAAAGATTGCGCATTAACTTCAAGTATGATCTCAACTTTCAGTCAATTATGATTTAAGTTTTTTTTTCTCTTCTCCTAAAGTAACTCGATCATGAGTCACTTGTCCATACATTAAGAAGTAAGAATTATTTGATAGTTTAAATTTAGATTTATGTGCCTAGATATTTGTGGCTAATTAGTCTGAACCAAAATCAGCTTCTTTAAATGGAATGCGTCGTTACATACACCAAGTTATTGTGAAACATGAATAAGTAAGTATGCATGTGCCATTGTAAAAGAGATTATGATTAAGATTTGATTATTGAATTTTTGAAGACTAAGCGAAATTTCCTCTAAACTCATATCTGATGCCAACGAATTTTTATATGATTTATATTCCTGATAAAGTTTCTATCATATTAACATGAATAATATAATAATTAATTATTTAAATTTAATAAAAATCCATACAACTTTTCATAATAAATCATGAAACAAATTTTAAATGATTTCTAAAACCAACAACAAAGTTTAATTATGCCTCAAAAATGTTTGATTTTTCTTCACCGATTTTGATTAATGTGCTCACGGTTTATGATTTTTCTTCCTTCTCATCAAAGTATCATAAAGATATAAAGCAAGAAAGTTTATTAGAACAGTTTGGAGAGCTCATTTTTATTTTCTTAATTTTTTCGTTGTCACAATTTGGTCTGCTCAACAAAGATAAATAGCAACGGAAACGTTGATTTGAAGTAGATACTTTGGTAAATTTAGCAAATTACTAAATAATTAATTGTTCTGTTTACTTTTCCTTCCTTATAAAATGCCAGTTCAAAACTCTTGGAATAAGAGAAGGAAATGGAAGATTAAATGAATGGCTATTAGTCCTAGATAGCATGTATGAATTATTTATGTCGTCGTATATATTTAAGCTCATTCGTGATAAAACTTTGTTATCCAAACAATATTCAAGTCTTTAAAATATTCAGATCCTCGTGAATGAAATCAATTTTAGAGAAGCAACAGAAAACAAAGATAAAAAGCAAGCTTTATTGGGCTTAATTAATAGCGCAAATTAAATTCATTAAAGTTCATCGTAGCAACAAAACTTTTATTGACTTTCCTACATTTCTAAAATTATCTGACAACGACTTTTTCGAGCTTGCGAATAAGAATTTGAGTTAAGTTATGGTAATCGGTACAATCACTATAAAGAGAATCGATCGTCATTATGATAATTAAAGATTTTTCTGAGAATAGTCAACAGCTACTTAAGCAAAGGAAGGAGTTCAAACTGAAAAAGAAAAGTTATTAAAAAAAATATGAAAATGAAAGAAAAAAAATTATCTTCGCCATCTAAAGATACTTTTAATCCGATTATAGTCATAAACTATTGCTCAATCCTCCTCTAATCGACGAACCGTCTGTGTCGGATGTCTCGAAGCTGAACCTTAATTCAAATATATACTCAAACGGTTGAAAAACCAAAATTAAAATTTAACTTCTCTTTTGAAATGAAACCCAAACAATAAATCGAGGTTTACCACGAGAAAGTCAGTGTCTTCAACTCCAAATTTATCTTTATTCATTTTTAATCAGTTTTGTTTGAAAGAAAAGAAAAAAAAAATTTTCTCTCTTTTCATTCTACGCTTACATCATAAAGTCTTAAGCTTAATTAAAATTTTCTTCTGGGTCAATACACATACGAGTATGTAGACAACTGTGGAAAGATATTCAAAAATAATGAAAAATTCGAGAGATCGCTTTGTACGCTTGCAACAATCCACCATTATTTAATAGTCTTAAATCTTATTTGTCGATTGAAATTAACTTAAAAGTTCACATAAAAGATTCTTAATCTTAACATTAATTAAAATGTATTAAAAATTAATATGGCATAACACTTTGTGTCATACTCTTAAAATGCTTTCTCATCTTTTTTTTCAGAAATTTACAAATCAAACTTAAATGTCTATAAAGTCTCAAAAATTATATTTTACAATCACGTTGAAATCTCTTTTATGGGAGAAATATTTGAAAAGATTTCCCTCGACTTCTCTGATATTTAATATTTTCATCATTAAAGATAAACCTTTTCTTCAATAATATTGCGCGCATTTTAAGTTTTATGCAAAGATTAAAAAAGATTTTCATGTTTAAAAGTGTGTGGGTGTATGTGCACTCAATAAAGTTCATCTATCGTCTCATGATATCTTCTATACTAAATCCAGTTCTTTTAGGCTGTATTGTCGTAGTTGATTGCTGTTGTAATGATGGTGATGACACTTGTGTTGCTGGTGGTTGAGATGGCGAACCAATCAGTTGTGGGAGATTACCAGGAACGCCAGATGAATGTAATGGCAACGGTTCATGATTTAAATTGCCAACTTCTGGCGATAAAATTTGAGGCATCATAACATCTTCGCTGGGTTTCATTTGTGGAAGGTTTCTTTGCAAGCCGTAAAGACCAATATTGCGTGACAATGATGGCAAATATGGTTCACCATCGCTACCAATCAGTCTTTTTCTGAGAGGAATGGAGCTTAAGAAGTTCGAGGTTGGATGGTCGATTAATCCACTCGTTACCGTTGACGTTCTATTGGATGCTCCCATTTTATGATGCAAATCACGTCGAACATGTAACATCGGCATAAACATGTCTGAACGACTCGGTGTTGTTTGAATGTGATTTGAATTTAATGATTCTTGATATTGTAATGAAACGCCGTTGGTGCCTGGTGTTGGTGACCGATGGCGAGGGTCACGATCATAGCTGTTGGTGGGTCGCATTGTATATGGCGATCGAGATCCAAATGGACGTTCGTGATGACAATGAGTCACTGGAAGAATGTCATTTTCAGGCTTCTCTGGGGCTGGTGTCGATGGCGGTTCCGGCTCAACATTTCCCCGCTCAAACTCTTCACTCTCGTCATGATTCTCATCTTGAAGTTCTGCTGATACTGGCATATGTAATGGTGAAGGTGAACGTCCACTATTGTTGGGCGAATTAAGTGGCGAATCGACTTCAAGTACTGTATCGTCTTCACCATCACTGATATTCTGAATATCATCATGATTAACTTCACTCTGTTCAAGTCCAGGAACATCACCAACTGCGTGAGTCAAAGCGTGTCGACGTAAATCACAATTTCGTCTGAACACTTTGCCGCATGAGCATTCATAAGGTTTATGATCGGTGTGAGTTAAAAGATGAGTTTTGAGATTCGACCTTTGATTAAAACTGCGGTTACAGACTGGACATTTGTGCGGTGACTCTTCCATGTGCAGAATCTTGTGAACAGCCAAAGTGCGACTTTGACAAAAACCTTTCCCGCATTCGATGCATTTAAATGGCTTCTCTTTCGAATGAATGTATCTGTGAAATGAGAAAAAAAGAAAATTAGTTCAATGAACATCATTTAAAGTTCGTCTTTGTCTCCATTCATCAATGCCATAAAAATCTTTTCGTTTTTTTTCATTTAGAAATTGCAAAAAAAAAACTGTCGCGTCTCGACTACTTAAATCCATTAATTATAATCTCATGAATGATTCTCGAGCAACTGATTGAAATATTTTACTCAAAGTTCATCTGAATTTTTTATCAATCTCATAAATATTTTAATAATGATTTGGAGAAACGAAGCGAATTAAAAATATTAAATTACTTCACAGAAGAGTGCTTTTATAAATCTAATTAACTTTTGAACTTTGTTTGCATGTACTGTACATACTTAAAAGTTTTCATTTGCAAATTTTTGCTCGAATAAATAAAATGAATGACAGCTTAGTGAGTTGCTCGACGCATTGTGTTCAACTCGAATTTATGTTTCAGTTCCGTTTGACGAAACAATTACAAATGCTTCATTTTCTTTACTTTTTTCTGCTTCGTTAAATGAATTGAAGGATTAACAAAAAAAAAAGAATCCTTTCGTCTGATAATTAAAAGCATTCCTTTCTAATTCGTGCACCCGTGAAATGATGATAGATGAACCTTCAATTTCTATTGGATCAATTAGGCAGAGGGATTAAAAGGTTGTTATCAACAAAGAAATCCGCTTCTGAGGTCAATGAAAAGTCTTTAATCGTTGGGAACTTTTCGGTTGCTTAAACTTTTTTTGTTCTTCATGAAGCTTTAATGGCATCAACATTAAGCACACAGATTTTAATTAAATGAAACGATTAAGCAGTTTTTTGTTCACTAAAGCTGGCGGCTTTTGCCTTTTACAGCTTCTGAAGAAAGACATTTAAGCAACAAAATTCCACTAATTAAAAGTCATATTTTCCTTTTTTTTGGTTGTTGTATGCTTAATCACAAAAATGAAATCTTTTTCTCGCACGATTTAAAAAAGGAAGACAAAAACGCTTTTTTAATTAATGATGGTTAAGAGAAGGGATATGAAATGAACAAATCTGCAACAGAAATTCCTTTTTTTTTGGCTGGCAGAAATCCAGAGAGAAACAAAAGGTATCATTAATGGTTTTTATTACTTATGCGGTTTTTTGCGACTGAGAGGTTGTAATATGCTTGAGGTTTTTCCTCACGATAATTTTGTGAAGAAATGACATTACGTTATTTATTTTTATTCTTCAAATAACTTCCATTATTTAAGATTGCTAAAAAAAAAGAACTTTTCTTCGTAAAACTTCATCATTTAAATATAAAAAAAATCAAAATGTATATAATTAAAGTTTTTTATAGTGCTGAAAAATAAGTATCACGCGAACTAAAAACTATCGTCTTGCTACTGCTGTTGCTTTATTTCAATGTTATCGAATTAAGACTTTTATGACTGTGCTGCTGCGTATGACGATAATATATTGCTCAGGAAAAAACTGACATTTCAAGTTTTTGAGCAGATTGACATTGAAAGACTTTCTCAACGCTTCAATGGACGTAGAGCTCCGTTTATATAGACCTGAAGCGTTAAAAATGTAAAGAAAGAACAATCATTCGATAAGATTATAATCCGGGGAATTGAGAGAAGCACGAGTAGCAAACGCTACTAGCCAACGCAGTAGAAACATAATTTAAAATACTTTCTTAGCTGCAAAGCTTTAATAAGAATTGACTTTTGATTAAAAGAATTGACACAAACAATTTCGAAGACGATTAAGGTGAGAGAAAAAATTTTTGTTAAAATCTTGAATACAAAAACGTTTTAAATTTGAAAAAATTTACATAATGTGATCATAAATTTCATACGAGACTTAAAAAGAGTATCCTGAACTCTTTCGTTGAAAAACAGCAGCGAATGAAAAATTAAATGTATGGAAATATCATTCAAATATTTGTATTCGAAAACAGGTTTTTACTCTCCAAAAACAGCCACATTGACAATAAATAAATATGAATGGAAAACTTCGCTCAAGTCTATTTAATATTCAACTCTTTTTATATACAAAACATAAATTGAGATGAGAGAATGACGATAAGAAGATTAAATTTGCTGAGTAAACTACCAATATCGTCAATGATCGTTGGCAAGATTAGGAAACGCTGACAGTTTACAAAACTGCAGAGTTTGGCTTTAAAAAACATCTTGGCTACTCTTAAGAAGCCGTGATAGGCTATTATAGCCATAAACTCGTATTAAATAATAAAAATTTCTACTATCATTAAAAGCCATTTGTGAACGGAAGTCAAAGACAACTACTAACTTATACCAACTAACACAAAACCGGACTTTTAAAATCTTCGTTCATTTGAATAATGAAAATGCCATCGGAAAAGTTCAGAGGTGACTCTGACTTTACCATCAATAAATTCACAAGATCTCATCTCATTATTTTCACATTAAAGAATAGAAAAAAGATATTTTTGCGTACTTGGTAATGCAATGAGACAAATCTACATAGTTAAACTATAAATCACCAAAAAATAAGCTTGGAGGTGAAAATTTAAACGTTGAATTATAACATTTACTTGAAATGTTTAGCGCGAGCGAACTCAAACAGCTAAATTTAATTAATTATGATGAAAATTGGCATTATGGTAATTTATTACGTTTTTTTTCTTCATTCTGAACCTCATTTGACGATGCCATGATGCGATGAAGTGGAAAGGTAGAAAAAATATTAATTTCGTCTGAAAAATGTTTTTAAATAACATTTAATCGACTTGGCTATCCCCCGACTTGATATTGCGCCGACTCCATGCTGTGGCATGTTAGTTTTATACATAATCGCAGTTTGATAAGCAAAAACTATTTTCATGTTTTAATCTTAACAATAAAAATCGTTCAAAGAGCGATTTAATATTTGGACAGATAATAGCTTTCAAGCATGCCAAACATTTTTTTTCTCAGTCTGATTTTTTTTGTCTGTGACCGAAACTTGAAGCAAAATCATCAATTTTTGATACACATATATATGTTGGTACATAAGCATAATAAAATGCTGCATCAACAAAATCGTTTATTTATATGAAAGAAAATAAACAAGTAAGGTAAAAGTGCCTGCGGTTGTGTGGTGGTTCTTTAAGTCACGTCAGAAACAATACTCGCTAACGTCACGATATGTTAGCCATCTTGCATGATGCTGCTGAAAACTATTCACCATTTTTTAATGTAATTAAAATAACATTTTGATTATTATAGACAACAATATTCAGACGAACGAAACTTCTACGTCCAGGGCAAGCAACTGCTGTAAAAAATAAATAACAGCGGATCGAAAAGAAGAAATAATAAAAACAAAAATTTAAATCTTTAATTTAATTAGCTTGATGAAGCCTTGAAATCAAGTTGAATAGCGGGATTGGAGGCGAACGAGTGATGGAAACTTTTTTATTTTATATTTCTTAAGAATTACTTTACTATCGACTGATGTTCGATGGAAGATAAGTTTTACTAGCCTGGCCTGCTTATTTATCACCGCACAGCATTACAATCATGGATGGATAGATAAATCGATAAAATCCAACCAATAAAAGTAATTTACTGAGTCAGTTTGCCCTCGAGACGCTCGAAGTTAAGCTTCATCGATCGGATTATAAAACGAAAACATATTTATGCATCATCTATATGTCACCTAGATATGGTGATGGAGAAATTTAAAAATGAATAAAACTCGTCATAAAGCAAGTGTTGTTAAAGTTGAAGCTGAAAGAATTTTGTTCACTCGGATATGGGAAGTCATTAACATAAATTTAGGTCCCTGAATTGTTATGTTAATTTCTTTGGAAAAACGAAAATTCTTGTTGTGACGATAATGGTTTTGGTCTCTATTTTAATTAAATTCTCTTCCTTCAACATCACAAGAATAGCTTTTTATTCACCTTCATGCCCAACAAATTCAAACCTTAAACTTTAACTCAATTAATTAGATAAAAAGAAAAGGTAAAGTTATTCGACTTATCCCAACTTTTCTATTGTTTTAATCCGAATTGTTGCTTCCAATTTAATTAATTCACGTAATTTTTTATTAAATTTCGAAAATTTCAATCATGAATTGAATTCTGTGGATTTAAATCTCATTCAATTAATCTCAAAGCCACTTCACAACGTTATCGCCTAGATATCATTGCTCGGCATCGTACAAAAGCAATGTTATTGATTTTCAATATTAATTTTTACAATGATCACAAAAAAATAAGAGAGAGGAAAAGAAGTAAAAATTTTGTGAATTTACTTTAACAATAACGAGCGGCACGACTTTGAAAGCGCTTTATTTGTTTTTGTTATTTAATGGTTTTTATTTTTCAGTCGCAACGGGATGGATTGCTTCAACAAAAGCCATAAATCTTTGGCTCAATCTCATCCGTTAAAAATCAGTGAAAATAAAAAAATAATCTAAGCAATATTGTCAACGAGCGTGATGCATTTTTTAGTGTTGTCGTAGGAGAACATGAAGGCGAATGAAATGAACTTGCACAATTGACTTTTGTTTAACAATTCTAGCATCGCTAAATTTCGTTGTCATGGATTTGACAAAACTTTACAAAACAAAAATCAGTTTATGTAAATTTAATAAAGTGTTAAATTGCTTCTAAAACAGAAACGAGAAAATTTGTTGGCTTCTTGCCTCGACATGAAATTTCAAGCGGGAAATTTTTTGTTTTGTAGTCAAAAACGAAAAAAGATGAACATCAAAAGCGAACTACCGACCACCGTTTGCGGATCAAATTTCATTCGTTGCTTTTAATGAGATGCTGGTATGGAGTTCCACAGGTATTTTGTAGCTTCTTTTGTTTTGTTTGCCTTCTTTAGCTTTTTAGAATCTCAAATTCCTGTTAACTAATTCATGAAACATTCTACGAGATAAATAAGTCATGAAATACTTATTCGGTTTCAGTATCACAAGTTATTTAAACATCACCAAGCGAACCTTGTTAAATTATATTAAAATAATTTATTTTCCTAGTTAAACTATTCGAAGGAGAAATATTTTCAATTTCAGCAATGCAATGTTGCATTTTAAGTTGATTTTTTTGTGAAGAATAACTGATGCGGAAAAAAAACAACTTTAATAGAGATCAAAAATAAAATTACAAGATTCATTATTGAATTTTTGTAAAAAAAAAACAGATTGTCAATCATGACATTAATCTCATTGATTATTCAGAACATCGATATGACAACAAGGGGTCTCATTTGCCAATAAAAATTATAAATTGGATGTGTCGATATCGAATTTCAGATAGCAAAGGAGTAAAACAAAATTAATTTTGCGTGTTCACTCATTGCACCACCTGCAGTATACATACAAAGCACGGAATGAAAATGAAGAATCGATTTGTGTCCGCATCATCTCAGTCTGATTTATGAAGTAATCACTTGCGGGCAAGAAGCTCTAATTGTTAGGTTCACAAAAACAAGTTTCTTCGTTTCTTCACTTCTCTTCGCAGAAGTATTTCTTTCGATATTCAGGGGAATAAAAAGCAAATGTAAACATCAACTGCCTAAGGCTGTCTTTGTACGAGAAACAAAAAAAGAACAGAAAATCTTGTGAAAGTTGCTTGAGAACTTTTTGCCGTCTCGACTGCAAAGTGTGCTCGGGAGAGAGAAAACTTTTATTTTATTTTTTCGTTTTCTTAAATTTATGCAAGAACTTTGTCATTTCAGCAATTTGATGAAACGCTCAATGTGAGATGTAGGACTTATTCATAAAATAAGTGAGAAATGTTGGATTTCTCATTAATTATTGATGAAGCTTCAACATTATGAAATTACGTGACATCATTTAAATAGAAAGAATGCCGACAAAAATTTTAATAAAACATTTGTACGACTGTTAACATCAAACATAAGTGAGATAGATTCGTAAATTACACATCTTATTTGAAGGAATGATTTTAAGTAAAAACATGTTTTATTTTGCTGCTTGAAGCTACTCTTCTTACGAGATATCTTGTCTGTCTGCTATCTCCATTTAAATCATCACAAACATTCAATCAATATCATGAAACGAGCATATTCTTCTGTCTGATAATTACAATAGGACATTTTTGGACGAGAAATAAAAAAGAGAGCAGATATCTAAAGATTTTTCTTTTTTGAAAGTGATCCGTCGTTTTATGCTGACTAATGATTATTCATGATCGGCTAACTACATTCCTTTCAAATTCATTCTACGGTCATCGATATTAAGAGCTGATGTTACGTCAAAGGAGATTGGTTAGATTATCAAGACTCATTTCTTCTCAATACAACATAAAAAACAATCTACTGAAAGAAAACAATTTTCAATTTCTTTTGATTGACAAATGTTAAATACTTCTAAATGCTGCAGATATTCATGTCAATCTGATTTTAATTGGTACATATTTATGTTTGATGGACTTTCAAGAAAGGTTTAATGACGTCCATCAAACTTTTTAAACATAAAGTAATTCTACAGATGGACCCACCACTTCAGAAAATTGAAATTATGTTGGAATGGCAACATTAAAAAAATAAGAAAAGAAATGCTGCATTGAAATTATTTTTCATTCTGATGTCTCTGAAACAAACGACGATGATCAAGATCACAAACATGTTATTTTACTTTATTTTTATGTTTTAACCTTTGCTTCACCAGAGCACTGAACGAAAAAAATAAAATAAAAATTTCTCAGTTTATTTATTTTTTTATATGTTGGGGTCTCGAAAACAATTTGTTTGAATTCATTTAGCTTATTTTTTTCCTTCTTCTGTTCCTGAGAAATGTGAGATGAGCGAAACATAGAACCAATAAATATCATTTTGTTTTTGTTCTCCCTTTGTGCATGCATTACGTGATGTGATAGCAAAGCCGTGCACATAGCTTATGAAGCTGTTTCACTTTGTTAAGAGACAATACAGATTTGAAAGCTTGTTCGACAAACATCGATGATTTTTCAGAAAATTTCTGTAGATATTATATAAATAAAAAAAAAGTGTTTTTTATTTTTTGAATAGTTTGATGATGTTGTGCAAATGTTTGCTTAGTTCTTTTTCGAATCGTTTCTTTTTTCGGGAATGTTTGTTCTTCAATTTACAGTGCTAGAGAAAACTCCGTAGTGTCTCAACTGCTTTATGTATCTTCACGTTCAATGTTCACGTAGTTTCGTACACATTAAAATGTAAACAATAATTTTTTAAGATATAAACTTACGAAGTTTGTTGTTGAGAACAGGTCGAGAACAAAGTTCAGTTAAATTCATACTATCGTTGCCATTCGAATAAATTATTTGTTTAGTTTAGCGAAGAGTTTCATTTCTATTTGAACGGTAGGATGATATTTGCGTTTGAATAATGGATAACGGCAGAAATCAATGGCGCATATAGGTATCTGCTACTCGTTTGAATTATTGTGTTAGAGATTAACGGATTCCTCGGAAATTTCATTTACGCTTAGAACAAATCACTGAATCGAACGTTCATCAAAATCCAAATTCTTCTTCGATGACTCATTTCAACTGCAGACGAAGTTGAAACATGATCGAGTAAAAAAACATTCATTTCTTCTCCATCTCAATCTTTCTCGAACGTAAAGCAAAGAAGAGAAAAAGTCAGAATCACATTAAGAAGCCTTCAACTATCAGATTGTTCGGTATTAGTTTCCCAAACTCTCTCCCGCACGCCGTGACTTTTTCAACAACGAAATAATAAATGAATTCAATGGTTGTTGTATATTAAATTACACAGTTTCCAACTTTTGAAATGGACAAAAGGAGAAGACGATTTTTTACGTACAGTACGAATACGAATAACAAGATGGCGAAAAACGTATGAACTGAATTAAGTTCAAAACATTAAAAGGAATCTCTTTACTTACAATATATGTACATAGTATGTTCAATCAACTACATCATGCTCGATTTTCATTACGAGTGTTTTTAATTCAATTAATGAAACAAATATTTTTTTCGCTTTTTTTCTCTCCTTTGCCACAGAATGATTGAAGTCAAAAATAACAAAAAAAAACTGGTTTTGCGATACATTAAAGAATATCCAATCATTCATTTTAAGAGGCAAAAAATAAAGGTAAACGAAGAAGAGAATGTTACATAAAGAAGACCATCACATAAAAGTAAAATTGAACCGCGTGCGGTTCTTGGAAATGGCATCAGGGCTTTGAATGCTAAGACTCATCGCTTAAGTTAAACGTCAACCAAACATACATAAACTTGAATTTTAATTTTGTAAGAAAAAAATTCGCAAGCCATTGCAGCACCCGAAAAAATACATGAAATCCACACTAACGAATTACTTTTTCTCTACCTCTTCGTTATCTCGATATTCTCCTTCTTCTATCCACCTTTTAGTTGTTATTTTTGTTATGTAGTTAGATGCTCTCTCGAACTTACTCTTTTTTTATCCAGAAATATTTAAAGCAGCACTTAACCGAGGAGAAAATGATTAACTTTATTATTATTTTTTTTCGTCTTCCTTCTTTCTTAGTGAAGCAGTGGATATTCTTGAAAACAATTCAGAGGAGAAGCATTACGAGAATCAAGATGGGAATATTAATCACACAAAAAAGAGAGCTTAGAGGAACGCCACTTTAATGTTTGAAAATTAATTTTGTTTATTATGTTTTTGCTAAAGTTTAACTTTTCAAACTTTTATTTAAAAGTTTCGTAAACAAGTTAAAGTCGCTTGAAAGCAGGTAATTTAATGGAGAGAAGTATTGGACAAGTTTCGCTTGTTTTTAGCTCAAAACATTCAATAACCTACTCGAAGTATAATAAAGAATGAGCGAAGACAATTTTGTAGCGCTTTTTAATTAGAAATGCAAATTAACTTCAAATTTAATTGCATTAATATAATTTACATCGACAGATTTGAAATCAGTTTTGTCATAAATAAATGAGATATTATCGATAAAGTCTGTAGATCATGTTGACCTGTCTCAAACTAATGATGCTTTCATGTTATTACTTTAATGTAATGTTAAAACTTAAAAGTAAAGATTGAAATGGATGATAGCGGAAAGTTTGTAACGCTTTATGTAATACAGACAAGTGATCAGATTGTAAATATCACGAGAATGAATTGCATGAGAAACGCAGAAATCTGAATTCCATTAAACACTTCATATCTGTTACTTCTTTCTATCAGTTTACTATGATAATGATGATCATTCAAATGGATATTAGATTAATAAGTAACGCCTTACTAATGAGCTCAATTAACTCTGAAGTTCTTCGTATCGGAGGAAAATAAAAAGAAAAACGAAAAAAGAGTAAATTAAGCCACGAAGCAACGAAACACGGGAGATTCCAAACTAATTGCATTATCATTGTGTTGAAAATCACTTAAAAGTTTATAACCTCGGGGATTGGTTTAAGAAAAAGTTCTTTTCAGAATCTGACTCATCAGTTCAACATGTTATTGGAATGTCAGCAACTGAAATCTAATTTTCAGATGTTGTTTCACTGAAATCATGATCTGAATCCACAATTGTTTCGTTTCTTCTTATTATAAAAAGAGTTTGTAGTGAACACTTCATTTCTTATATATATCATGCACATCTTACACGATGTAAATACCCAAAACATTATTGTTTCTAAAACTTTTTGCTTCACAGCAGATTTTTAGTCTCTTCTCAATATGCGTCTATAATTTTTATTCCCTCCCGACTTTCACAAAAGAAATCTAATAAGAATGCCAGACTAGAGCGAATAAAAGAATAAGAAAAAATAATTCAGATTATATTTAAGATGAAGCTTAAAAAGAATAATTTACGCCGTAAGATTGATCGATGTTTGATGTCTATAATCACACAGTTTGGAGTCTAAATCTTTTTCTATTCTCTTCTCTTGGAACCGTCAGCAAAAAAAAATAAGTAAGAGAAGAAGAAGAAAGAAAAAAAACTTCCCAAAGCTCTTTTCATTTATCGATAGGCTTGTTGATTGGAGGCTCTTGCCCCGTTCCAACTCTACTCATTACAATAGCACCAACAATGCTCTTGATTTCTTTCTTCTGTCTGATCGGGAATGGCATACAACAATGGCAGATAATAATTTAGAGATTTTCTTTCTTTCTTTTCTCGTTTCTCTTTTCTTAACTTTGACTTTGCGGCGAAGATCGTATGGAGGTTGGAATTAAAAAGATTGTATCGAACACGATAATGAAGATTTAATTGAAAAAAAAAAAGAATTATCATTTGAACGAATCGATTTGAGGGCATTTCTATTGGAGGTCAAAGGCACGTGTGAAAGGAAAATGAAATTAAATGACTCACCGATGATCACGTAAATGATCCTGGCGTCGGAAGGCTTTCCCGCATATGTCGCAGCTATAAGGACGTTCATCGGTGTGAGTTCGTTCGTGAATGAGAAGATTGTACGATTTTGTAAACTGACGGTTGCAGAATTTACAAATAAATTGTTTCTTGGGACGTGACGCTCGTCCAGGTGCTCGCAGTAATCGACGATCGAGATTTGCATGCATGTTTGGCACTCCAGGTGGATAAAGACCAACTGTTGATGGGAATGTAAAGGGACCTGGTGCAGTGGGTGATGGACCTGGTCCAGTTATATATGATGGTGGATATAAACTCGGTGAGGATCCCGGTGGTGGGCCGTTTGATTGATTTGATCTCGGTAATAACATCACAGCTGCTGCTTCTCTTATTGCTAATTCTTTTCGCTTATCGGCCATCATCGCCATTATTTCGAAATTTGAACCACGTTTGCTGGCGATATCTTTTTCTGGTGATTCCAACATTCTTGGATACAAACCAGGTCTTAAAGCACGTGAAGGTAATACTGGGACGAATGCTGATTGTTCTCGATTCGGGGGATTCATCATTCCACCAAGATGATGTTGATATGACATTTGGCCATCATAGCTTGAAGCTGATGGTGTTCGTCCACCCGATGAAGACGATCTATGAGATGGTGAAGATCCTGAATTCGTTGCAATCATAAACTGCTCCAATCTTGATGTTCGAGACAATGAACTAGGGCCACAATCTTCAACAGCTCCTTCGGTTGGCATTTTTATGTTTATCTTCAATGTTTGAATCTGAAAATGTCACACACAAAAAAAGAAATGAAATGAATGTTTAATTTTTCTTTGCATTCCGTTATCGTTAAAAAGTAAACATTGAGACTTTGTGTTTATTCTGTAACAATAAAATGTCATTCGTCGAGTAGGTTGAACATTTTTATATCGTAAATGTGTAAGTGATGTAAAACTTTAACATTGTAGAGTTTACTTTCATACAACTTAAGTTATGTATTCAGAGCATCATCATAAGTCACGACAAATTATTCTTCCATCTTTATTAAAAAAATTAATTAAGAAATAATTGTAACAAATTTCAAAGTTGGAACGACTATCCAATATTATTATTAAAGTCATCGTCAAGCGCTTAAAAATAACAATTGAGAACAGTTGAGACGAGTCGTCTTTGATATTCGTGAGACTCTCAATTTTTTAGGAAATCATGTGATATGTTTCAACGTTTAATACATTCATAAAACAGACGGAGGTCTTTGCTTTTTTATTTATACAAAAAATAAATAAATATTTGTTATAAAATATTTCCTTCAATGTGTTGTAATGCAATAATATGTTCGATTCATTGTCGTGAAATGGAAAAAGTTTATTTTCTAGATTTTTATTTATCGTTGTCATTTGAAATTATAGTCAGGAGCCATCAATGGCACAACTGTTTCATTGTATCGAACTCTCTAAGCAATTTGCTACTTGTCTCACCTTGTCTTTGTTTGCAACAAATAAATTGTTACTAAGCATGTTGCTTTTCACTTTGTGGCAGTTTTAACCTCTTTATTTATTTATTTTATAGGCAAAAAATAAAAATATTGGCGCGTACTTCCAGAAGGAAGGTTAGTTAGTTATAAAAACTTCATTCGAAACTTCTCACGAAACTGACTGACGATCGGAATAAAATCGAACGTGACAAATCAGACTTTTTTAACTGTCACGAAACGTTAACTGAGACCTAAAATATTTATTTTATGGAAATTCAATTATCTACCGTTTCTCAAAGTTCTATGAATTTCAGCAACTTAAATTTAATGATATTTGAAACTTTAAGCCATTAAAACTGAATCTTTCGATTCGATTTATAAATACTGACAAGTGTTGTTATTTTATGCAATTTAGAAATTAATTTCACTAAAATGCATTGACATAAAGTTATGACCACAACATGACTACAGCATTTGCACATCATGGTTGTTAGGATAATTTTGGTCGTTCCATGTCTGCGTTAGTATCGATTGGGTGGTCGATCAACAATCGTTTCCAACACTGATTATGTTGTAACTTTAACTTCGAAATTGTTGTTCAAGATTGCTCAAAGTGTTTTCGTTTAATTTTGCTTCATTTAAAAACATTTATTTCTTTAAAATTATTTAATTACCAGAAAGCAAATCCGAAGGCATCGTAAATCGAGAAATATGAATAAATTTATTGTAAGTTAACGAAATATAAAGTTTTACTGTACAAACACTCAATCACATCAGACGCAGAGGTAAACTAATGAATTTTGAAGCGAAATTTGCATTTTATTGCTTTGATGCTGATAATAAAATTTTTCCTTCAATCTTAATTGAACGGTTCACAGTCAATCAAAGTTTTATTTGCTTTTTAATTAGTCGGTGAGAAAATTTTTTCTACTCGACGCTCTTGATTATAGCCAAAGTTTAATCTTTTTAAAAGCCCATAACTGACAAATTATTGCGCAGATTTTTATTTATTTATTGAGCTTAATCAGAAATCCGAGAAGAAAAAAAATCGCGTTGATCCCAGCAATCGGACATATAAAACTTCTGCCACTTAATGACAAATTTTCAATCCTACATGCTTTACGCTCCCATCAAAAACGATAAATCATTTTTTTCTTCAATGTAGCCTCAATAAGCACCACTTGAGTTCATTGCCTAACATTTTTATTTAAGTCTTACATCAACAACAAAAGTTGAGAACTGAGAAGAGTCTCCAAATTGAATCTCACTCAATTTCAAGCGCTTTAAGCATTTCTGAAGCTTAACTAACATCAGAAAAATCAAGAGGTGAATGAGAGATCATTAGCGCTCCTCTTGTCATTTAATCCTCATATTGGCAACGAATCGAACAAAAATAACATCAAATTTCTTTGGACATAATTAAGTTTTATGCAAATGAAAAACATTATAATTAAATTATGTAATTAAATTAACAACACAGCGAAGACATTTCATGTCGAATCTCAGAGATTAACGAATGGTCAGAACCTGATTTTGGAGACACACAACCACAAACAAATAAATTCTTTCGCTTCTAGATAATAAAATTAATTTCATTAAAATATTCAAGGAACAGAGAATGAAACAGTTTGGTGATAAACATCTCCATACCATGCAAGAAAAAGAAAACTTTAAAATTCTTCAACCAATTTCAGTTTTCTTCTTTCTTGTTCGCTTACATTAGAGTATCTTGAAAGATTTTAATCTCAATTTCAAACTATAATGATATGTTTCACAAGACGAAAAAGAAATTTAAGAAGATTCCTTTGCCCGAATGATGAGATGAGATGAGATGAGATTCGTCGTCGACAGATTGTGCTTGTCATTTACTTTACGAATTTAATTCAAACGTAATTTGAAATAAAATTATTGCGTTAAAGCTTTCGAAATATCTTAAAGTTGGTTGGTGACGAATCATTAATTTTAATTATTTACTCTTCTACTTTTTTTTATCAATAAGAAAACAAATAAAATGACCTTTTTTACATTATAAGGATTCGACTGTTCCATAGTCAAAAAATCATCAAAATAATAAACATAGGATGTTGGAAGGAGTGGAACAGGTGATTATTATTATTAAAATAAATCTTTTTATGTTATTTTGTGTTTCACATGATCAGAAAAGATTTAAAAAGAAATCTTTTAATGTGTTTAATGCTTGTGTTGAGAATTCTTTTGTGTTGCAGACATCGGACACTAACACAAAGATGTGGGATGACTTGCTTACCACTGGTAAATAATATAAAGGAAAGAAATACAAGAAAATATGCCGTGATCGATCGCTAAAAATAATCATACAAAGCCAATACCAAAGACACAATAACATTGCTCAACATGGCTGATGCTCGACTGCCGTTTAAGACTTTACGAGCTCGAAACTTATTTTTAATCTCATGCATTTAAAAATAAATTTTCTTTCTAATGGAAACTAATTTTCTTAATTTTCCTAATTTCTTCAACATTAAAACTGACAAGAGATTGGCCTGACAACGCTTTTTGTAACAAATCAATTATCACCAACCAACTCAACTAAGGGTTCAAAGATGTCATAAATATCCAACTCATTCTCAATGCATCCCAAACGAACAAAACCATTTGAGAATAAAAGAAAAAGGAAGAATGTTGTAAAACTATTCAAAAATGATGAAAGAAGAACATTTTTTCGGTAGTAGAGCATCGTGTAAAGAGAGGTAGAAAAAAAACCAGTGTTTAATTGAGGTGCTCCCTTAAAAAATTATAAAACGGTAGGAAAACACCTGAACGAATGGAAGGAAAAAACCTTTTCGAATTAATTATTCATTTTATTCAGAGCCACTGTAAAATGTAAAGTCGAAGATGAAACATCAGCAGTACACAAATTATCTGCGATTAATTTTCTCAAGACATTCCATTGTCTTTGTGCTCACTCAACACTGCTACTTGTCAGAAATCACAAAAAAAAACGAAAATTAAAATACAATTCAAGTATACTATTGTGACGGAAGAGAGTCGAATAAAGTAGCATTATTATAATTAATAGCTTTAACAGGTGTAAATTACTGGCTTTATCAATTCCAAATGACCATTAACATCGTCATGAATTACACTCTAAAATCTCATAAATATATCGCCAACAAAAATAGTAGCATTTAGTGGCATCATAAAAATTAAAACAATCTGGATTCATCGGATGAATATTTATTATTCGCACTTGAGTAGGAGCTGAAATGCTACTGAAGATGACAAAGACGATGACATTCATACAATGCCCGCTAATTCAGAGAATGAATGAGTAGAATTGTCTCTGATTTTTGTTTATTGATGCTTTCTGACACATTAAAAAATTAATTTCTTACTTGATTTGGTTTTAACTGGTAACCCTGCTTATAAAAGAAACTTAATTTTTTTAACGACTTGCCAGTAAACTTTAAAGAAATTGTCGTTGCCATTCAATGTGGTTTTTTAAGTATTGCGACGTCAAGAAGCTTTATCAAATTAAAATTTAGCACTGTAGAGAATTTACGTTGTGCATGGTTGACGAGATTAAAGGAAAACGCTTAATTGCAGTCTAGCTACCTTCTATCTATCTATTTTTCTCTATTTGATTGAAGCCATTTATTTTATTAAATCATGAAATTTTTTATGGCACGAAGATTGCTTACTGTACGGTTATGGAAGTTGACTGTGCGTGGGTGCAAAAATAAATTTCTTTATCTTTTCATTCCTTTGCTTTTAAGCAGGTAAAGCAAGAGAAATAAAAAAGTGAAAATCATGCAAAGCAAAACTCTCGATTTGTGAGTTAAAGGCGAGAAGACAAAGATTATTTATGCATAAATAAAGCAAATTGGCAATTTGAATTTATGAAAATTATTCAAGATGATTTTTGCTTCTGTTTTTTTATGGCGTGTGTGTTTTTATGGTATTTCTACTCAAGTTTCGATAAAAAGTTGCAATATGTATGTAAGCTTAAGGCGTCAGTGACTTATAAAGTTTCTCACAAACAACAGACTTTACCGTCGAATAGTTTCGAAGATTATCTCATGATATATTGACGCTTATGACTGCCATAAATTTATCCACTCTGACTTCTTAAACTCACCTTCAAATTTAACTCTGCTGAGTGTGCTTTCAAAATAATCCAATAATCCACTTAGTCTATTGTTGGTCGTAAAGGAAATAAATGTATTGAATATCTACGATGTTTAACATAAATATCCTTAGTAATCCATTGATGAAACTTTGCAGTTTTCTCTTTACTTCTTGAAATTATTACCTCTGTTCTCACTCAAAGTTTGCATTCCTTACTTCACTTTACATAAGTAATAAAGTAAACAATTGTATTTTTTCTGATTTTTTAATCCTTTTTAAATCCTATTATATGCTTTTTTTCAACACAAAGTGCACAGTTAATATGTTTTACACTTTATTTCTGCCTTTTTGGCTTACATTTCATTCACTGCACTTATCTGAGAAAACCTTTTCTTTTAATGCTAAAATGCTAAAAGGTCAGGTAATATTTCTTTTCTCATTTCTCATGTTATCCAATTATTATTTGCCGTTCGTAATGTAACGACACACTGAAGTATTTTGCTTCACCTTTGTTTATTTTTCAATTAACGATACGAAAAAAAATTCCTCTCTTCTCGTTAAATGGTTGCTTTAAGTTTAAACTTTCTATTAGACACTTCATCAAAAAAAAAAGTAGAATACAGTTCAGGGAGCCGAATAGAGAATGCGCAATTCACATTGACTTATGAAACCCGAATGAATTGTCCCGATCCAAACTAAAATTTTAAGATGGCAAACCGTCACACATGTAAAGAAAAAAACTTGTTTTCTTCGCATACATCGAAGTCTCTTTCATTTCACTTATTGTAAGTCATACATTTTTTTATACCGTAAGACGACGAACAACAAAGTGTTGGAATGATCGCAAAGTCAAGTTAACACATAAACAGTTTAAAACTTTCATTAGTTTGGAGTGAGATAGAGTAAAACGAGTTTTTCGAGCTTTTGAAAAGATAAATAACACGATTGAGCATCTCAAGATCAGAATGAAAGCAAAGGCGTAGAAACAACATCTGAAAAGGTTGAGAATGTTGCGATCTATACAATAAAAGATCGGAAGAAAGAAATATGAAGAGAAAAGAAATTGTTCATAGCGCTCCTAAGTAAATTATGTGCTTCTGCTTCTTCAGATGATACTGATGCCGTTCAATTCATTTTTCATGTTGCTTTGTTTCTTCTTCCATCTTTCAAGCGTGCAAGTGAACATGTTGAAAGTTCCTAAATATTCTTCTCAATTTATGGTTTCCATAAAATTACTTTCTCAGTTTTGTATCTATTTTTAGATGGAAGCCTTAGACAAAAATTCCAAATATTTCTTTTTTTGACGAAGTTTCATGCTTTGAAAATTTCGCGGAATCTTTTTAAAATGTTCTAATCTATTTACTTAAAAACAATCTAATTCTCTTTTCATGTTCTGAAGGGCTGCGGTTTGTTTCTGTAGCTTAAAACCATAAATAAATAAATTTTATAAAACAGTGAATGATACGAAGATGGATTTTTAGGTTCTTTTCGTCCATTTTTAAGCCTCTGTTGAATATGAAACAATGTTTTCTCATTTAAAAAGAAAAAAGAATAAAGATTCAAGAAAAACTTAGATATTCACGTTAGATACTTAAATCTTCTATTGACTTATACATGTTAATTATTTCTCACATTAATCATAATTAGTAGAAACTACTGAGACATTCAGAATTTTAATCCTCTTGCATAGTTTGAATAAACTCTTAGAAATATATCCGAGCACAAGATTCACTTTATAGATGATGACAAACATTGCTAAACTTTCTTTCCTTCTTGTACATAGATAATGATATTAAACTTTTCTCTCCATAATTGAGTGATGAAAGTAGAGGAAAAAAAAATTTTACCAAGTCATTCGATGATGAAATGTCTCGGATGAGATAATCTTAAACTTTTCTAGAAAGATGCTTGTCATATTTAACAATATTTTATTTCATATTTAAAAGAACCTTGGAGAAAATCTTCTTCAAATTTCATCCATTTATATTCATTGATAGTGTCGTGAGCTGAGACTCAATCATACAAACAATTTCAAGTCAATCCAAGCGACATGACAGATATCATTCGCATGTATCAAATATGAGACAAATTAATATTTATCAATGTTAGGAAATCTTCTATAAAAACCGTGTGCTGTTATGCATATTAAATTTATAAATCGATTTATAATTGCACACATTTGCTATAAATACCAGCTGTTTGAAGTGCTTGCCTGTGTGACGATGTTTAGGTGAAGGACAAAAAGAAAAGAAGATTTCCACTCCCATTAATAATGCTCTTTAAATAATCGTTAAACAATTTCAATGAACAATTATGGCTTCATTTTCATGCTCCGCAATGTTTTGTGCAAACATAAACACTCCAAAAACCTTGCCAAAAACAAATATTGATGATGAAACACATGCTTGGACGATAAATAGAAGCATCAACAAGAAAGCACCAAGCTAAACATGTAATCTTATTCTTGAGAGTTTTTGAACATGTGGAAAGCTTGCTTAACATAGGAACATAATTTTATGCAAATGAAAAACAATATTTACTTGATAACGAAGGTTTCCTTTTTTTATTTTCCTTTCTCTTATGTTTCGGTGAAAAGCTTCCAATATCATATGGTAGTAAGATGATTCCAAGCATTCATCAAAGCACATTGTGTTGTCATGGAGATTTTGGATACATTTTCATCCAGCATCTCAATGCGCAAGACGAAAAATTGTTCCAATACTTCCCAACTCTACATAAAATTCTTAAGCTTCGAAACTGTTTATTCATTGAAAAGTTGTCGCGGTGATGGGAGTGAAACATTTGTAAATCACTTGTGGACATCTCGCTGAAGTGAAAGGGTTAAAAATCTCATCATACGATGATTAAGTGATAGTACAAAAACATGATTGTCTTCTTATTCGGTTAAATCAAGTTTGTGAGAGTCATTTGTAAGAAAAGATCCTTGCATCGAGTGATAAGATTTTGTAGAGATTTTTATTGGAATTTTCCTCAATCATCTGATGCGAGCCCCAGTTGCAAACGTCGTTTTAGTCGTAAGTTGGGTTTGAGGGAAACCACACTGCCCCAATTTTCTCGTCTCGCCATTCAAATTCAGTTCTTCTTCTCACATTCCTTTGCAAAAAAAGTTTGCTGCAAGTTTGCTTAGTGAAACGAAAACGTTCCGTTTTTTGATTTACTTTATCTTCAAAGTTTTATCTGAAAAGCTTTCATTGCTTGCCAAAGAATGACTCATAGTGCTTTAAATTCAGCAAGTATGATTTTTAAAATTATTGTTATTGTAATCTAAGGGAATGAGAATGGAATCTCAAGCAATTTAAATGTAAAGGAAAATGTGAGAACGAAGGAAAAAGGATTTTAAAAATTCAAAGTCAGATGATCGTGATTTGTTACGAAGAAAATCAAATGTGAAAATCAATGGCAGATCGAGGATTACAATCGGTGAATAAATGAACATCGTGCAGAAGTGTGAATATTGTTACATAATTTTGAATTTAAGGTTTTTGTACATAAGTTGGATTTATTCCAGCGAAAATTTGGGTGTCGGAATTATGAATTTGGGTGTCTACTACAGTAGTGAAGTCAAATTGTGAACAATTAAAGCATTTTTCATCGCTACTCTTAAATAAATTCTCTTAAATTTCAGAAAAATAAAGTTCAATTAAAAATTTGTTTCACTTTAATTGGTACAGAAAACAAGTTTTTAGAGAAAAAAAAATTGAAAATTATAAAAAAATGATTGGTTTTGAAAAAGCGTCATTAAATCTTAACCGAGAATAAAAACCGAGAATAAAAAAGAGGAAAAATTGGAGTTTTTTAATGGATAAATAAAAAGTGTTAATCAGAATAAAATTTCAATTAAACAACCGTGAAAAATGAAAATTTATGGTTCATGATTGTAATGTTGAGTGTTAGCTTCAAATAAAAACCTTGAAACTGATGGATTACTGCAGCATAAAATAAAATGTCAAATATTTGGATATATTTTTGATATCAAAACGAGAGTATCGTCATAATAAAAATCTCATTTCGTTGAGAAAACGCTTATATCTAAGTATTTGACTGCTTTTTTACATCGTTCACTTACACACTTAGGTAAGCTTCACGTCATTTATATAAATTAAAAATTTAAAAGAAGGAAAAAATGACCAAAAACCTAAAGAATTCGGATATAATGCCACGCAACATTAATTTTACAAAATGAGATGAAAAAAAAACTTTTTCCATTTTACCACTCTCGGGATACGAAGTCAGTAAAAAGTCATTTTCATTTGCCCCACAATGATTTATTTTTAATACTTTAGTTTTTTTCAGATGAAAGGTAAAGCTTTTATCTTCTATATCTATTTCGTAATAGAAACGAATCCAGAATGGAAAACAAAAAATAAAAAGCGATAAAAACAACCTTAACTTCCATTGAAAGCATTCACTTAAAAATATATTTATTATTTTTCTTTTTAATTTTATGATTTTCTTTGGATAGATTTGAATTGTGGTCCCCTTAAAGGTAGGCAACAAAAATATCACAAAAGCTTAAAAAGCTTTCGCTTCAAATGAAAGCTCGTTGACAATGCTTTCCTCTTAGGAATAAATTTATGCCTCCCCTTAACCAATTTAGTCGAATTAAAATTGAAAATGTCTGATACTTGACTGTTAAGTTTGCCACGACCTTCGATTCCCTAACCTTTCCTCGACATTTTCTTGCTTTTTTGTTTGGGTGTAGTGTAATGCTCCCTATTTAGAATCCAAAATAAACATCAGCAAGAAGAAAGTAAAGTATTCTTCTTTGAAAAAGTCGAGTGTTCTCAGCGTGATGGTAATATAAATTCACGACAAATGGAAGAAAGAAATGTGAGGGATAAATACTTATGAGAGCGATTATGGAGCGAATCATAATCATCATAAAAGTCATCAGCAGGTGCTTCGTTAATAAGTGAGAAGAGTAAATATTTCTTTTATGGAATGTGAATCAATAAAAAGAAATGAAGAGGAAAAGAGATAAACTTTAACAATGAAACTTTAAGATTTCCTTCAGAAGCGAAAAGCTTAATTCAAAAAAGTGAAATTCTTTATCAATCATGCCTTAATGTGGAATTTTTTTTCTTAATTTATACTGAGTAGGTATTCAATTAATCATAATTCTTGTTGCCTCAGTTCTCTTACAATAATTGCTTCTTTAAAAAAAGAAGAATTCTTTTTGCATTCTTCTATTCGACATTAATTTCTGAAAAACTTTCAAAGAATAAATAAATTGCGAACATTCTCGTTCAAGCGTATCTAAAAAAATAAACGAAACAATAAAACATTTATTTATTTATGATATTTAGGCAACATCAGTCGTTATCAGGTGAATGTTGTCATGGAAGAAAGATGCTTGAGAAAAAAAATTTACGAATTACGATTTGAATTTGTTTACCGAGGGTTGCGAAATCGATACTTTGAGTTTCTTCTCTCGCCTTAATTCCAAACAAACATAAAATGTTATTGTTATTCGTTATGTTAGACACGAAACGAGAAAACAACCCCTTAAGTGGAAAGAATGGGAGAGGGTTAAGTATAAATTGTAAAAGAGTTAAATCATTGAAAAGACGAAAAGGTTTTTCTTGAAATAGTAAGCAAAGACAACAAACATCTTTGATACATTCGATGTGGACTTGATTTGCTTCCGGGTAACCTCAAAAATCCAATTTTTAAAATATAACAACAGCAATATTGTTACGTCTTCTAGCGATTAAAGTAAGATGTCAAAACAATGTTGTTATATAATTTAAAAATTTATCTAATAAGAGGGGAAAATGTTTACGCTGTGATCCTAAGCCGTAATTGGAAGCCCGAATAATTTGATGGAACGAGCTAGAAATAGGATCTAAAAAATTGCTTTTATTATCCTTGAACTTAGTATTGTTATAGGGATATTATCAAAGCGTCTGTAACTGAGACAAAAATTGGAGAGAAATCTGAAGCCGATTTAAAGAATTTCAGATCTCTTGAGACAGGAAAAGCTTATTTAGGTGCTTTCGGTGATTGGAAAAGAATTTTAAACATTTCTTAGTGGACATGCAAAGTTTTCAATCGAACATTGAAATTAATATTTCTATATATATTTATATTAACTAATATTTCGCAAGATTTGAAATAGTAGATAATTAAATATAATTATTCTAGCTTTGAAAGAAAGTTACCTACATTTAATTTTGCAATGTAACTCAAAGCAAGTAAGACATGGAAGCAAACGTTAGTGATTCATTTGTCTCTTTACATTCTCTTTGACAGTATGAAGTAGATTAGCAATTAATTAATATCAAATAAGCGTAAAATTTGCCAACTTCAAACAAGCGTCAAGTCAAATATTGTTGGGTGGTGCTAATCAAAACGGTAATCATTTCATGTTTAGAATTTTATTCACTGATATATTTATTAAAAACTTAACATTTATTCACTTTCAATATAAATTTACACATTCAAGCATGTACCGAGCAACACTCGGCTCCATTTGATCTGCTCTATTTCTAAGCAGATTTTTATTCTGATTTGATAGATCTGAATGGATTAAGAAGACAAAAGAAAACATTTTCTCAAGGAAATTAAAGTTTTCTGCTTTTCTGACCACACATGACGTCTTTACATATCGTTCAACTGGAGAACCTTCAATGATTTCTTTAATATCTCGGTTCATTGTATTGTAGAGATCGTCGACAACCTCCTTACAATCAAGTTCCTCCAAATCTTCTTTCTCAATGTTCCTGGGGCTGATGTCGACTTTATTTTCATTGATATCAATGACACCATTCTCAACGATCTGCTTTCTTACGCAGAACTTAATTTCGTTGAACTCGTAAATATCGTTTATGTCAACATTGTTCTCAGCGAGGTTGTCAAATTTCTCGTTGATGTTTGGCGCGAAGATATCTTGATGACGGCAAATAACTTCTGCTGTGTTGAACAGCCTTTCCTTCAAAGTCTTTAAGTCTTTCAACACGCGCAGTTCTTTCGACTCATCTAGATGGAATGTCAAGATTTCTTTGAATATGAAGTTCGTCGCATTATGCTGTTTCAACGTCGCAATCGCACAAGAATCAATTTGTTTGTCGCCACTCGTTTTCCTACTCAATTGTCTGTAAAACTCCTTGTTTGCTAACTGAATCTTGTCGCTGCAGTTATCTGCTGAATCCACAATCTTTTCTTTAATTTCCGTCTCACTTAACACATTATTTTCAATGAGATATCTTGCTATGCATGATATATCAGAATTTTTAATTGGAATAGATTTTGTTTCACCGTTACTGATAAGAGAAACTAAAAGGATCTTTACAAAAATCTTCATCATTTTTCACTTGAATTACACTGTCTCCAACTTGCTAACTTGCTTCTTCAACTCTCTCTTAAAGACTACAATGATGCAATGTGATATGGGTCAGCTTTATACGTAGAAGAAAAAGATATCAAAGAATGCCTTATACTTCAAAACCATATGATATTCTCTCAGTTTCTTTCTTTTGCTTTTCTGACACATTTCTTTACACGCGTTTCGCACTCAGAGAATCAAAAATTTATAACGGAACCTTCAATAACCTTATTTATTGGTTCTTTGCCACAGCAAAGTACGCTGCAAATGTGAGAAAGACTTTAACTCTCTGAAAACGAACGAAAACATAACAGAAAAAAAGTTATTTTAGCTTCCATTTAAGCTTGTGTGAATTGCCTTCCAGCGAATATATTTAAGCTTAGAAAACATTATTTTGTTAGCGAGAGATTTTATTGGATGAGAGAATGTCTGAAGAAAGCTTTTTGTAGACAGCGTTCGTTACGAAGTTGAAATGTTGATGAACATTTTCAACTTAAACAATGTTACGAAAACAGTCAAAATTGAAGTCAACAAACTGACTAAACAGATATGTACATTGGAAAGTTTCTGTTATTTGAATGTCGTGGTTCTTATTGCAAATAAACAATATGTCTGAGAATGTCTTTCTTCTCACATTATCAAAACATAAATTTCATTTTCTCTTTTAAATTCAAATATATCCGAGCTTAAAGCACATGAAGCATTAAAAGTTTTGAAATAAATGAAAATTCACTAAGTAGAAATTCGACTGAGGCAAACCTTTCATTTATCAAATCAATTCTAATTTTGTCTATCATTTGTCATTTCAGGAATCATTAGAGCTTAAAATGGCAACAGCTTTCCGATCTGGTGGTAAGTATACCGATACGTTATGAATTTTTTATAAGTTTCATGTTCATTCACAGCAAACATCAAATTGTCATTAGTTATTCTTAATTGGACATTGTTGATCCTTCTCTAAACAAGTTTCAGCAAAAATTCAACTGACGTTTGATTTGTTTTCGCTTTTTCTCTTCAATTTATCAAATGTCTTTATATCATTATAAATTTACTTTAATAGTATGAAGATTAAAACATTGATAATAGGAAAATATCTACATAGAAACATTTTAATTATTTTTACGGCCGTCAATGTAATTAAGACGGGAGGCGCGGGTACACAATCTAATTAGGTGAAACAAATTAAAAGCGATGGTACAAAAGTTCGCTTAACACCCTAACAGACTTTTACTTTACAATTTTCATTTCGATTCTAATTATAATCTGAGAAAAAGTTTTTTGTTATTTCAAGATAGCAATTAAACGCTGAAGACACTGCCATTGTATTGTCAACTTACGCATTAAAGTTGTTTCAATTCTTTCTTCTCAACAAAGTCACAGTTGTGCTCGGTTGCTTCAAAATTTTAATAATTTTGTACTTACAGCCACACTAAAGTAAAAGTCAATCCTTTTAGATAAAAACTCGTTATTCGGTTATAAAACTTTTTCCTTTCGCTCCTATTTACATAAAAATGGAAAATTACTCGAAGGGGACAAAATGATTCCCTTTATAGAAAAGTTTTAAGTTTGGTCTTTCCGTTTTACGAAAGTATGAAATAATGTTTTAAAGCCTTAAAAGCTTGATATTTAATTTCCAATTTTATTCAGAAATAAAAGAAAACTTAGGAGAGAGGCAGGAAATGTGTATGAGCCCCTCGACCTTAATTTCAACAAACTCAATTTTCGAGGCAACATGTTCGAGGTTTAACAGGATTTTATCGCTCCACAACTTTTTTAATGCTCGATCCCATAATTATGAGAAGGCTCTGCAAATATGTACACTGTTACATAAATATATGTATATGTTTTATATTAAAAAATTAAACACACAAAGTTCACCACTTAGTTTTCTCTCGAGCTCTCTTACTTAACCTTTCAAGCTTCCTCAATTTTTTTCTTTTTGTTGTGTGGG